AAAGAAAGTAAGAAAAACAAACTAAAATTTAATAAATTAAGAACTTGACAAAACAAACAAATAAAGCCTCCAAAATTCAAGCCCACCACCACTTGTGCTGTGCTCCCTACGCCGTAACGCTTCATTAGGTGGAAATTGAATCCTGCCCATTTAGGGGAAGTCTCCATTTGCAGATCCTCAATCAACGATTTGCCATGTATAGGATGCATGTCTCACCTAACACGAATTTGGTTCAGGGGCGGCGCAGAGACAATTACACTACCGGGAGTCAATCCGACGCTACTCCAGAATCTGTGGAGGGAGCACGGACGATGCAAAACATCTTGAGGTCTATGACCCCGGCATGCAGTAGTAGAGTTGCAGTACAGTAGTAGCGGCTATCATAGTCCAGGAACCAGACCTGGACTGTCTCCCCGGACCTATGAAGCCCCCGAATCTTAAATTGAATTATATTAATGCCATGAACTTTTTTTTTCTATGGCGAGGCTTCCTCCCATTCCGCCGGCGCTAAATTCTAGCCACCTAAGTACCCTGGTCTTAATTTATGGTAGAGCAAATGATTTGGCCGTAGTAGATGAGTACATGCGGTGGCGTACTACCTTCATGTCTTTTAAATGCCAGGATCAAGTCGTTATTGCACATGGGATCTTTCTGCGATTCGATACCTTCCTCACTCGAAGCGGAGAGGGTATACTGCATAACAAGACAACAACGCAACCTTGAAAAGGAATACGCAACAAGTACGAACCCCGGGGCTCGGGAGTACAGAGCAGGGATTGACCAGGTTAGATACAGTAGAAAACCCCTAAAAAAAGTTCCGATCGCTGCCAAAAGGATAATTCAAGTGGGTTTTCGTGTCGTAGACAATGTCTCAGCATTTATTTGCTCACAACAACGAATTCGCTGGCTCAAATGGAGAAGATCTTGGGTTAAAGTTCAGGGTCGTAGTCGGCATTGCTTCGGAGGAAAAATGGGCCTGTGGAGATATGAGCCAACGATGCGACAAGAATCTAACCGCGGTGAGGGAGAGCTTGCGAGGTTTTTCGGGTGGAGATACCAGATAGGACAAGGACAGACTCTATTAAATGCCGGGTTGGAGGAACTGACAGAATTTCCAAGTCCCGACAGCCGAAAACAACATGAACAGTCTTTGTTTTCCTAGTAATCACTTTAAACTTCAAATTTCGCTTGCAAAATTTTTAATTATGATTTGGGGCTAAAATAATCTCGTTTAATTTTGGAGCGATACCATAAACAGGAAGTGCAGGGGGTACTTGCGAGCACCAAATAAAGGGCGATCCTGAAAGGCGGCGTGCAGATCAGATCGCCATGCATTTGAGACAAATACGTGGTCAACTCTGGAGTGCATCGCCGTTGGAGTAAGTAGTCAAGTGGAATGTGCATGGTGGGGTTGAGGTCGTCCATGCGGGCCTATTGGATACAAGGGAGGCTTGGAAGACCAGGGTTCCTGGAATCAAAGAGAGAGAACTGATCGTCTAGGCCGTACGAAGTAGACAGGGGGAAGGAAAGATGCTGGATCTCGACTCCAACAGAGCTGCATGGTTATTCCTTCGCGAACAGTAAGATTTGATACATCGTGTTTTTTTGCAGGATGGCAACTTCCCTCCTTGTACTAGTCTGCAGCACCAAGTCCATAGCACCAGGTATATATTCAATAGAACAGTGGAATCTTGGAACTATCATGATGATCATATTTTATGAACGCGTACTGTACATCAAAATCATGGAAAGTGTGCAAAATCTGCACATGCCAGCCTAGGTATCTTCCGCCGAGCATGCACAACGGAGTGGATTCGCGTCGCAATATACAGCAATCAGCATTAACCGACTCAACCGAGGATAAAGTCCCGAAACATTGACTTGTCAGGCATTCGGGTTTAACAACTCTTAATTAATAGAATAATTAATTATGTTGAAAAATTCTACGGAAAAGGACGAAAATTATGGAGACATCTCCGACCAAACCAACTAAATCAAGCGAGGGTCCGGCGCAAAATTTGGGAATCGGTGCCCACACGGTCCACCCTGCACGACCACACGATCCAGCGATCTTCGCACCGCACTGAGCGCTGTCCAAAAGAGCGATAAGCCCTGCAGCCCCGACAATGGATCCAAGGAGGATTTGCCTGACTAGGCATCTAGTCGCCCGCGCCACCGTCGGCCGAAATCACCATGGCCCACCAGAAGGATATTCGCGGCCTTGATCTTGTGAATAAGACGTCTCGGGAATTGCCAAGATCCTTATGTATACAATCGGAGAAACATTAAGTTCCTAGCTACAGCCGCGGAAAGCGTCTCCTCAGCCGATTGAGGAGCTCTGGCGCTTGCGATGGAAGTGCGGTTTATTCCGTTATGTTGTGGGGGTACACCAAAGTGTAGTTAACGTGTAGCAAGAAACGAGAACGAGAGATCGTGCCCAGCAAATCCCGAAAACCTTCTCATTCATTGGGTGCAAGGCTACCCCGTAGAACAAGGCTGTAGAGGTGTACTGTATCATGGACATGAGACTGGTCACGGAATACTTGATTTAATTCCGGTTTTTGTTTTCTTTGGGCTTTATGACTTGGTAATACATAGTACGCATGAATTTTAGTCCATGTAGGAATGGAAAGGAGACGATCAGAAGATTCCGAGGTATTTCGATTCAATGTCTCATCCCGGACGCTTACATCCTTGATCCTTGTGAGGGATTCGTGAATTAATATAAGGATGCAGCGGACAGGTGGAGGAGCTTGGTAGGTGTAGCCCGGACGAACCCAAGGGGATTCCGCTGGGTTTTCTTATCCTTCCCTCTCTCCACTTTGCGACCAGTGTCTTTTAAGCAAAGAGTCAATACCTGGATTCTCTCCACCGCGTGGGTTCCCACGGCAGTGTGTTTCAATTGCCGGTGGATTCGGTTTAGGATTACGCCAGCACGCCTTCATAATTGGTGATCTGATGTCAAAGACAAGAACCGAAATGCCGAATATTTAATCGTAGTGGAACGGCGTCGGGGGGTATCCACTTAGAATCCTGTGGTGTATATGATATGACCTCAATGAATTTTTTATTTTTTTTAAATTCATTTTCTCCTCTACAGTCTATTTTTACGAATGGCCATTTTCTCCGATGGTCCTATAAAATACCTGAAATATCGATCCTAATACTACTATCCTCTCGGGTGTTGACCGTGTGGCGTTCACCAAGGAGAGCCTCCTGCAGGCTTGAGTCCATAAGAGGATTGAAAGCAAACGAGGGGTCCAGTGGTTCAGAATTATAGTAGGAATATGGGCTTAATCTGTTGGAGCATGGTTTAGGTAATTTTTAATTTATTGATAAATTCAATTTTTTCCATATTTTTGGGGCGATTTGAACCTTCGAGAATTTTATCTGCGCAGACGGGGCAACCCAGAACAGTATAGATCGAGTCCACTTCTCGTCGATCGTATGGTTGTCCGTGAGGTGTAGCTAAATTAAAATCCATAAAATTTGTTCTTTGTATCCGGAGTACTTTTGAGCGGTACCCTATGTAATTATCATACATGGAGTACCCAGGATACAAACGGTCTTTGCTTGGTCCTTTTCTGAAGCATCGTGGTTGAACCCCTCCCTCCCTTTTTGATCCATCTTCATCTTGGCTGATCTCTGTTCCTTCTCTTCTTTTATTTTTGTTTCTTTACTTTTATTTTTCGGCTTCTTACCTTCTTTCCTTTCTTACTGAACCCTGGACCCCTTTCTTCCAAGGAAGGATTCGTGTCCAGCCTTGTTGTTTGTATGGGGGAGGAAAATACTGCCAAGGGTTGAATCCGACCATACAGTAGATTGCAACGACCGGAGCAAACTTGCTGGCAGCTCGCGGGGCAGCCCACTTTCTGTTGATTTTTCGTTAGGGTGATAAATTGGTCGCGGAGGACTCTACTTTAGCGTCTTATTATTCCTATACCCTGCACTGGCTAGTGGCAAGCGACGCACACTACCAGGGTACATTTCCCAGTGCAGTCAAGCCGTGTGCCACCAACGGCGCCTGGATCGAGGATTGCGTCTTGGAGAATCATCGGAACAGCTTTACCTAGCTTCTTACCTATCCCGTTGTCATCTCCGAAAAGAAGCCCGCTGTCCCGTCGATCTGTTCGGCTTAGGTTGGCTCCTTTATTGACTAGTTTGCGACGCTTTAATTTGGAGGGATCGTCATTTTCACCTCATCAACACGTCTACTGCAGAAAATCTGTCATACTGCTTGCTTCTATCGTTGCGGGGCGTCTTATCTCAATAGATCGGACTGGTTTCCGCGATCTTTGGGGTTAATTGATGTTGGCCTCGCCGAATCATCGCCGTAACGCCTATGCCACCAAACGGGATCCTGCAGCTACCCTGGTATCATGAACATGCACATAATATGATAATCCTTTACACCGATTGCGAAATGATCTTCTAAATCACCTCGGCATCTACTTGATTCAGTGTCTCCGGGCGTTATAGGCAACGGCGTTGACACCGCACTCCGACACCCACGGATTCAACTTCTTTTTGGCCACGGACCAGGCAATCAATTTGGTTTTTTTGCACTGGAGTTTATTTTAGCCACTATTAAAAAGAGTTCGATCTACAAATCGGGATCTAGGCCGTCGTTGCGCCAATTAAACGCAGCCTTGAAATTGTGCCCCATTGATTTCTCATCCCAAACTCAGTTGCTCGACCAAGTTGGAACGTCTTGGTCAGTATAATGTCATGAGCCTTTCAGGACATTTATCTGGGCCTCCTTGCTAACCCAGCCTTCTCTTATAAAGATCGTATTGAGCCGTTTTACTCCGAGTTCCCGCTTTTGAACTGATCAAATTACCGAGAGTACCAAGCAGCATCGACCTATACCATCAGTTTCGATAAGCGTTGTATTTTCTATGAGAGAGGAAATATCTCTAGATCCAAGAATTATTCCAAATTGACTCGAATGATTACGCCCTACATCCTCGACTCACGACTCCGCAACGCACACGCCTGTCATGTCAGGATACCCCTCTGGTCCCTTTGGTCGTACGTTACCCACAAACAATGATTTATTACCTGGGGAGGTCCCAAAAAAGCACGCAGCTAATAGATCAGAATCTGGGGAAACCCCGTACCAGCTACCACCCCCGCGCGCACCAGCAAACTCGCAATTCGGAACAGATCCGTTTTTACGACAACGAGCTCAGAGTGAGAATACAGAGCAGAGCAAAGACTCAAAACCTATAGAGTCTGCCCCTCAAAAGCAACCGCAGAGGACCGAGCAGCTCCCCTCTGTACGACATCTCTTGACTCCTGTTACTGGCCCGACCTCTCCTCCTTCCTACCATCAATCATTCGGAACCACCACACCCGGTACCGACCACCGTGAATATACATATCCATTTCGCCAGCTTGATCCTACACATGTCTCTCCGATTAGCCCCATTTTTTCTTCCGACAAAACCAAAGGACGGTCAGAATCCTTCCCGCAACCGCAGACTGGTACCCTTCCTCCACTGTCACAAGTGGCTCTCCATAGCCCCCGAGACGTAAAACATGCAATGACTCGAAGTGACCCGTCTTCAACATCTTTCCAACATAGCCAGTTACCCAATCATGGTGTGTCATATCACGAACAGCCTCTTAGCGTGGGAGACTTATCATCTCCAGAGAGTGCAGGTCGAACTAAGGGCCAATCTGTGCTTCCGCATGTTATTGACGAACGATACATTGAGGGAGAAGGCATATGCTACGTCTACGCAAATGGGGCACATGTCCCCAAATTAATTGACGGAATTCCAGTCAATGCGAATTGGGGAGTCACCAAGGCAGGGAAGCCAAGAAAACGTCTCGCACAAGCTTGCCTCACATGCCGAGAAAAGAAGATTAAATGTCATCCGAACCTACCCAAATGTGATCAGTGTCAGAAATCTGGGCGTGAATGCAGGTTTGAGAGTGCGTAAGTTTTCGTCTTATTTTCCATTTAAGTAACAGAAAGCCACGAATTCGGAATTGGAACTAACATACACAAAGACCTCGCGGAAGTCGTTCGTCTCTGAGAGGATCTCACTCAGCAGGGCCATCGAGCAGATATGATGCGAGTGAGAATTTCTCCCCTGGTCCTCAAACCTCCGAAACTTCAACTTCGATCTACAATATCCCTCGGGCCTCAAATAGTGCCACTTCTCTTCCTGGTACCAGTGGCTATTCGCCGCTGTCTGAGGGTCCACTCCAAACTCCATCCGTAACCGAACCCACATATGATCCCATGTCAGATGCAGAACGAGTATACAGATCTCGCGTGTACAAGTCTCCCCGCGCATATGGGGCTGGTGATGAAGGTATTACGAGGATGAGTGATTATGCCAACGCAGGCCGATCAGAATATTCAGATATTTTCGGAGAGGTTGGCGATGTTAATCCTGACGATCCACTGGCAGCTTTCTGGGGTACAGATCCATACGAGAGTGACCCAGAAATGACAGTCCACTACATTGAGTCTTACATGTCATCTGTGAATGGTGGACTGTATCACATTTTCCCACGCGGTCGATTTGTCGCTTGGTTGAAGTCCTGCCGCACAAAGTCTGCCGAAGACAAGATGTTATTATATGCAATGTTGGCCTTGGGGTCAATATTTTCAGATCGACCTGACAGAATCGGAGCATTGAAACGCTATGTTCAGGTTGCACGCTTTGCTATTTTTAAAAGCCAGCATGCGCTCTCTTTGCAACTTGCTCAGAGCCATCTTATAATGAGTCTTTTGTACTATGCCACGGGATTTTTGGCTAGATCATGGGACTCAATCGGGGCGGCTGGGCGAGCAGTTAGTGGCTTGCGTTATAACGTGGAATCTGGAGGCGTCATAGTTGATCAAAGTCAAATTTGTGACTATGGCTTGCATCCACATGCATTAATCGAATGTCGACGACGAACATACTGGGTTGCGTTTATTTCAGACCGCGTCTCCAGCTTCTTCTCCGCATCATCGACTTTCATCTCGTCAGAATCAGCATTAATACGATTGCCTTGCCACGAAGACATCTATGAAGCACAGCAATACGCAACGGCGCCATATTTCCAGCCTGTCCTTAATCAATCACCTCTTGGGGAAGACAATCGATCTGCGCTCAGCCCGATGGCCTTCTTGGTGCAGATTATGGCTATTTGGGGGGATGTTTCTCTCAATGTATTCCGCCTAGCACATACTCCATCAGAAGGCTACGCTCGACTCGCTGAAGATTTCCATTCAATCATAACACATCGCACCGAAGAATGGATGAAATGCCTTCCCGAGGATTTGAAGATGTCCGCAATTAATCTTGAACGAGCCGCTCAAGTAAAGCAGGTGGACACATTGATATCAATCCACATTTTCTACCACGCAACCCTTATGAAGCTCTATAGACATGCCCGACACTCAAGTCTGAGGCCCGACATACTGGTACAATATATCCACCGAGCCCGATACCACGCAGTGGAATCCTTGAGGGTTGCCTTGACGATCATTCCATATTTGAATACAATGCACTCCAGATCAAACACCGACATATCTGGACCTAACACAGCAATTATCAGTCCCTTTATAGGCTATGTGGTTCTATCTGCCGTGGATGTACTCAGTGCCGCCGGCTTGGTAGCGGAGCTACCAGACTGTGTGCCTCTGATTAGTGGTGCTCTTAGCGTTGTTCAACTTTTAGGACGTCACTGGGAGAGCTCCTTAAGTTTGGCAAGTTCTATTCACAGGAGGCTGAGCCTCATGATCGATTCTATGAAAGACCGAGCTCGAATCCAGGATAAGGTGGGCTTTGTCGTCAATGCCTCCTCTCTCGAAGCGAAAGCTCATACGGATGTACATTCCTCTCATCCTCGCAGTACTCTAGATGAGGACCTATTCTATGGCTCGATGCCAAAAGAGATGCTGCTCAATGCCATGCGAGTCGATGAAACAGCCATCACCGAGCACAACATAATCTGGCTGAAGGATGCTTGAGCATGTCCTTTCTATTTTGTTTTCTTCTACATATACTATTTTTCTTGATTCCGAAGACGATCTTTCAAAATGGGCGGCAGCGTGATTTGTTTGGCGAGCGTTGTAGAGAAGAAAATTTGTTCCATTTGCGTCTCATTCTGAATGCCTTTTATTTACGACGTGATGGTATCTATTTCTGACGACTGCTTGCTTCATGTCGAGTTTGGTAACAACGAACTTGAGCATGGTCTACATGATCGCATATGCTTTCGTCTTGTATTACAATATCACCTTTTGCAGATTTCCTTTCTTTTCGGTCTATGGGTCTCTCGAGGACTTGGCCACTTTGTATATAGAATATGGCTTGATGAAGTCAGATCAAATCAATACGACTACTAAAATAACATTTAAAAGATAGTGCTCCCTTTTCTGGAGGTATCAATTTTCGTCATCGTCATCCCATTCGCTTGTATCATAGCGCCTTACCCAAGCCAGTTTACCCAAAGAAGGATCCATGATGGTGGCATAATGCGTGGTCTCGTTCAAGACCGGGAAAGTTGTGAGCCAATTCACAAGTTGACTTTTTGTTATAGTAATGTCCGAATCATCATCCAGATCCAAGGATACGATTTGTTTTCTTTTGGCCTCCTCTAACCTTTCCTCTTCTTCTCGCCTTTTTCTCAATCTTAAAGAGGTCCGCGACCCTGGTGGCTCAGCAAAAGAAAGGCTTTCTTTCGTGATAGACACGGGGTTCGCGAGTTCATTCTGTTCACGAACCTCTCGATTCCATCTCATTTGTATACAATCGTGCCGCTCGTTGCTATCTTCAATGATATCCGTGATGTCTTGTCCATCTGACGCGACCAATGTCAGACCAAAATGATTCTGCCTTTTTGCATCAGCCACAGCCTCAGGTGACATGGAATCAGATCCTTGATCGTGATTCGTCGTGACGATAAATGATGAAGAGGATCGCACAACCGCTGTCCGATGATCTTTCTCCATTGTCACCGTGGTCGACCCATTAGAGAAGATCAGATATGCCGCTGTGGTAGCCATATGAGGAACATTGGCAACAATATCGGCCAACGTCGAGAATTTTGATCGCTCGTTATTTTGAGTTGGGGGAAGTAGGATGCATTGTCGCAGCAGTGAAGAGATAGACTGCCGCAAACCAAGAAGCACAAAGAGGTGATTGGCATAGAATGCGAAGTTCCTTGTGGTATCGTGAACAGGCCTGAAATTGAGCGAGGCACTCAAATCCTTCCTCACGCCTGTAAGGACACCCACGAAACCAACATAAGTGACGCTTGTCGCGAGGACATTCTCCGAATCAGAATCTCGAACGAAATCCAGCTGAACAATCAGGTCGCGCAGTGGATCCATGCCCCAGTCTAAAGTACGGAAATGCATCATTTTGGTTTCTGATGACTTAGACTTAACTCGCACTCCGCCGCTTGTGCAGCCCATGAGTAGATCAAGAACCGTGTTTAGGCAGATGAGAAGGTACATGTCGATATCGGTAGCCTGGCTGATTCCGCGCAGCTCCTGGGTTTCTTCGCTTGTATAGAGTCTGTGCAAACAAAGCCAGGCAATTTTATGGACGTAGTTGACGGGGATTCTGGGAGATAGTGATGTGACCAGGTCATCAAACATCCCTCGGAGGGATCGCATCCTGTCGCGGTATAATGTTGCTATGCTGACATATCGTTCTTTTGGAGGGAGAGAGAGGTTTATCCTGAAGACTGGTGGTTTTGCACCTAAGCGACTGAGATTGACAGAGTGTTCCATGATGGCTCTTTGATGTTAAGGTTTTGGTTAGGGTGCGGCGTGGTACCTATATGTTGCGGGGAATTTTCAATGGGTGCCTGGAACTAGTAGGGGTGATGACCTCGGGAATGAGGCTCTGTGCGGAAGGCCAGAGCGGCCCTACTATCGAGGCAACTATATAGATAGGCACTGTTGAATTATAAAAGAGATATGATTAAAAACAGTCCTTTAGTAAAACGATAGTGATCAATTCATTAACGAAAGAAATAAAGGCGCAGAAAAGAGAGCGGTAGGGAAAACAAACGAATATGTAGTGTCTCTTATGGGCTCCGCGATGTTCCCCACCGCCAGGCTCCTCCCCAGAGCCGCTGCACGCTACCAACATAGCCAATGCCTGTAAGCTTAGGGAATGCTTGATCATGTCTCCTTATCGAAGACCTATTGCTGAAACCCCATTAATAGACATATTATTCAAGTTGATACCAAGTTAAATCTTGATCCGTGTTCGTGCTATACCCCCAATCGCGACAGCTGTTTGTTGTTCTTTGATGCCTCAGGCATCAATATCCTTTCCCTTTCTACGTGTGCACTTCCTGTATTTTTTATAACCCCTTTGATTGACATATCTCGTCGATATATACAATGAATATATATCCCTAATACCCATAAATTCTTGTAAAAAAAGGGCTATCTGGACGTCATACGTTGTTTTTTTTCCCTAGTATTTTCGGGGCTTAATGCATCCCTTCGCTCTGCGGGGCCTGCGGAGATCGGAAAGTTTCTCCGATGGGACTTCACCTTGCCCATATCGCACCACTCATTGCCTTTTGAATAAACTGGATACTATGGAGCTGCGCAACACCTGAAACACCTCTCATTGGAAGTAAAAAGGTAGCAAGCAGAGATGGCATTCCCTGCTGACCAACCCGCCGCTCCCCGGAGCTTCGGCGTCGAGTTGGAAGACGACGGACTTGATGCAGACTACAGCATGATTGCAAACGAGTACCCCGAAGAAGACGACTATTACGCCTTGCTGGGACTGTCACAGAAGCCACCTCCGACCGAGGCTGATATCCGTTCGGCGTATCGCAACCTGTCCCTCAGCTTTCACCCGGATAAACAACCACCGCATCTCCGCGAGACCGCTAGACAACACTTCACCCGGATACAGGAGGCATATGATACCCTCATCGACCCTAAAAAACGCATAGTCTACGATCTAGTCGGAGCGGAAGGAGTTAGGCAAGAATGGGGTCATCGCGGTGCAATGGGGCTTGCAGGAGAAGCGCAGCAACAAGATGTCGGGGTTAAAACAATGGCACCTGAGGAGTTTCGGCAATGGTTCCTGAAGACGATGAAGAAACGAGAACGCAAGGCCGTGGAAAGCTTAGTGGCATCTAAGGTGAGCACTATGAACTGATGAGACACCATCATGACCAGTTGATTCGCGTTCTGACAACTTTTTGAACTCGAAAGGGAAGCATTATTATAGGTATCAACGCGCAGGATACAATCACGGTGGACGAAGACGACGATGTAATGATCGGAATGCCATCGGCACGCATTAACACCTTTGGTGCAACATACGAGTTCAAAGCCCCATTGCCTCTGCCAGACTTCCTGACTAAAAAAGATAGCGACGAGGATGAGAAGGATGAACAGAGCCAAGAGCAGCCCTCAGCAAATAACGAGCCAGAGGAGGTGGAAGACCCCGTTGAAATCAGTTTCACTGCTGGAATTAATGGTGGTGTCGTTCGCCAAAAACAACCCTACTACGTTACATATGAAGACAGCGACGAAATGGTGCAGGTGCAGGTTAGTCTCCTAGCAAAGAATGTGCCCTATTGCTTCCTGCTAATCCAGTTACTTAGGTGGATGGTCCACGTATTCTGGCTGCCAAAGACATCAACCTAGGTGCCACAATTATCCCTAATTTCAGGGCACTGGCAGGCACCAAAGGAATCTGGAGTCGGCGCCCGTTATCATTCCTGCTTGATTCAAGAGTATTCATGGAGGGTATTCTTCTTCCGGAAAGAGCACTCAAAACGACAATTGCTCGTTCCTTACAGCCGATTTCTGGTGTCAAGCCCATCTCAGTGACTGCTAGTGGCACTATCAAACACTCACTATTCGAAGCCCCTCCTTCCTTTGAAATTCAAACATCAAAAGAAATCGCTTCAAGAAAGATAGCCGTGTGCTCCTGGTCGAGTGGCGCATGGCAGTGGCCGGAATTCCTACGCGACCGTTTCACGTCTCTTGGAATGGGCGCTGATACCATGTATGCCTCGGAGTTTGACCCTGGGAGTTTTCTTATCGGTCTCGTCTCGCTGCCTAAAAATGCTGGGAAAATGGTCAGCGTTGATGAGGACGAGGAAGAGGATGAGGAGCTGCAAGAACTTCTCCAAAAACAGAAGGCCATTGATCGTGCTGCAGAGTCATGGACAACCCAACTGGCCGTTTCTCCCCATGGGGGCAGTCTTGTCCTGAAATACGGACGCAACTTGTTTTCTGGCAAGGCATCAGACGACCCCGTCAAGTCCGAGTGGAGTGGCGAAGGCTACTTTCCTATGCAGAAGATGGGTGAAGCCCGCGCTGTGCGACTCGAAGTCATGACCTCTGTTACTCCTGATCTCCAAATTGGCTGGACAGTCCAGGGAACTAGGCGAGTTGGTGAATATACCAAAGTAGGACTGGGTGTCGGCCTTGCACATAGTGGAGTACATATGACTGTCTCATGGAATCGACTAGGTCAGAACATCAAAATACCGATTATCCTTTGCCCTGCGAACGAGGCCAATCATGACGCCGCAATGTTGGCTACTGTTATCCCCTGGTTGGCATATTGTGCAATCGAGTTTGGTTATATACGACCCCGCGACCGAAAGAAACGACGACAAGCTGCGGCTAATCGCCACAAAGAACTGAAGAAGCTTATTCCCAAGAAACGGGCGGAGAGTCTCCAAGCCATTGAGCTCATGGCTGATCAAGTTCAAAGGCGGCAGGACAGAGAAGAGGCACAAGAAGGTCTGGTTATCACAAAGGCTGAATATGGATATGTTCCTTCCATGAGCAAGAAACTACAGTCCAAGTTCCCAGATGCTCGTCTTATTGACGTGACCATTCCGGTGGCCGCATTGGTTGATCGAGCTCAGCTGGTAATCCCTGAAAATACGGTCAAAGTAAGTTTGATTTATTACACTCTCATCTCATTTTGTATGAGGATTCTAATATGTATATTCCAGTTCAAAATTATCGGATTCCATGACCCCGCGCCTCTTCTGCCCAAACGACTGAGGGTTTGGTACACGTTCCAAGGCCGCGAACATTTTGTCGATGTTGGGGATAAGGAGGGCTTTGCTTGCCCTATGCGTACACATCTCGCTTCCTGAGTGTATTCTTTACGCACCAGGTAAATACTCTCAACGTTTGAAATCATCTGTCCATGTACTTTTATTGCATCTTTGCGTTTTCAAGGAAACTCGCCACACAGCATTCTTTGCTTCTGTTATACTTCATGCCAATAGGTTGCAAGCCAAGGCAACCCATATATATAAAAATTCAAAAATAGTACAAAGTGATGCACTTTCATTTTGAACCCGTAGTTCCATAGCTTTCATCCAAATCAAGTTTTTTTTATGTTCATGGAAGAGCTATAAAGAGCCTTGATGTGGTGGGTCCGAGCGTATACCTTAAACCTCATGTACGGTAGGCTTAGCGCACCTCTTATGCAGTTCCGCAAAAGCCAAGCGCATCATCTCGAGATCTTCACCACACTCAGCCAACCACCCGACTTGCCAGCATTTACTTCGCTTTCAATTCTCACCATGGCTTCTCTTGCGTCAGGACTTTTTAAGTCCCTTCCGAAGCCTAAATACTCTGGTGAGGAGGAAGAGCTCCCCCAGCATGCGCAACCCCGTGGACCGCGTGTGGTGGCTGCCGACCAGCTTGACGAGACTCAAGTAGTTTTACGGGTATATATTTCTCCTTCTACGTTTTGTTCCACTGATGAAAGCTCACATTAATTGTCTCCTTCACAGAGAACTGGCCCACCGCCCTATGGAAACCGTGCAGGATGGCGACCACGAGCGCCCGAAGATTTTGGCGACGGCGGCGCGTTTCCCGAGATTCTAGTCGCCCAATACCCCCTCGATATGGGCCGAAAGGGAACATCTTCGACATCCAATGCACTTGCAGTACAAGTCGATGCCGAGGGCAAGGTTAAATACGATGCGATCGCCCGCCGCGGACACGCCGACAATAAAATCGTTCATGCCTCATTCAAAGATTTAATCCCGCTGCGACAGCGGGTCGATATGGGAGAAATTTCCCTGGACCGACCCTCCGAAGAAGAAGTTCAGGCACAGACGGAGAAGACTAAGAATGCTTTGGCAACTTTGGTAGATGGAGCTGTGTCCGCACAAAAGCCGAAGAACGTCAAGGGCGGAAGCAGGGCCGAGCCGACATTCGTTCGATACACACCCGCGAATCAGATGGGTGACAATAATAATAAGAATGACCGAATTATGAAGATTGTTGAGCGCCAACAGGATCCCATGGAGCCTCCTAAGTTCAAGCACAAGAAGATTCCCCGCGGACCTCCGTCACCTCCTCCCCCCGTTATGCACTCGCCTCCCAGAAAGCTTACCGCCGAAGACCAAGAAGCTTGGAAAATCCCTCCACCTGTGTCGAACTGGAAGAATCCGAAGGGTTATACCGTTCCGCTGGACAAGCGTCTGGCTGCAGATGGCCGTGGTTTGCAAGATGTGTCGATTAATGACAAGTTCGCCCAGTTTGCTGAGGCTCTCTTCACAGCTGATCGACACGCTCGTGAGGAAGTGCAGCTTCGTGCTCAAATGCAACAGAAGTTAGCAGAAAAGGAGAAAGCTCAGAAAGAAGAACATCTCCGGCAATTGGCACAGAAAGCTCGCGAGGACCGCGCTGGTCCCAGCCGACGTGCTGACTCCCGAACTCGTTCCCGATCTCGCAGCGCCAGCCGCAGTGTCTCTCCCTACTCCTCGAGGTCTGGTACCCCAAGTGAGGAAGGAGATGCAGCTCGGGAGCGTGAGCGTGAGCGTCGTGAACGCCGACAGGAAAATGAACGTCAACTTCGCCAGTCTCGTATGGGTACAGAGCGTCGAATTCAGGCGATGGCACGCGAGCAGAATCGTGATATTTCTGAAAAGGTGGCTCTTGGATTGGCCAAGCCAACTCAAAGCTCTGAAGCTATGTGGGATTCTCGTCTGTTTAACCAAACCAGTGGTATGAACTCTGGGTTCAACGAGGATAACCCCTATGACAAGCCACTGTTCGCCGCGCAGGACGCCATCAACAGTATCTACCGTCCTCGAGCTCAAGCTGATGCGGACGAGGAGGAGGCTGGCGAGGGCGAGATGAGCAAGATTCAAAAGACGAACCGATTCGAGGTTCTGGGACGGGCCAAGGAGGGTTTCCGTGGTGCCGCTGATGCCGAGGTGAGCTTTAAAATGAGGTTCCATGAAAGGTTTATAGCTAATAATTTACGTTTTACAGGAGCGCCAAGGTCCTGTCCAGTTTGAGAAGGATACTGCGGATCCGTTTGGTATTGACAGCATGATTGCCGATGTGACGACAGGCCAAAAACGCTATGGTATTCAAGAAGCCGAAACGGACGACCGCGGATCCAAGCGCGCCCGAGTTGATGACGATTAGAAAATAAAACCATTAGCCGGGTTTACTATTGTGCATTACACGACCTCTTTTTCTGTTTTATATATGTGGGTCCTGCGGGAGCGTGGACAAGGCGAAGGCAGTTTTTGTGCATTACGGGCGTTCGGCGATGCGGTCTTCACCATTTTATTTGATCTCAAAAAGTCAACCTATCAGACCGATCTCGTCGAAGGCCCTCATGAAGGGAACTTTCATCGATAGACCTGGCTTGAATATCTTTTTACTGAATAACATTACCCAATATGACGGATCTTTGTTACCAGTCGGATGTACGCAGTGAGTTAAACGTAGAAAACTATAACAACCACTAATTGATACATTATTTTGAGATTTGTCCTAGTGTCTCATCTCCATGTCGTCAGGGCATATTTACCCCTTCTTGTCCTTCGGAAGAGCAATGCAATGCCAAAAAAAAACAACCACACAATCACAAACCATTATCAACCCAGAGCAAGATCGCACTTTTGAGGTTGTGGCTGCTCAGGTCAATTGCCGTCGTTCTGTCGGAAATGTCGTGCAACCGTTTAAGGCTTCGTACTCCGTCCACTTAGAAATCTTCCACCAATTCCGAAAATCTCTTTCCTGTCAACAATCATAATCATTTGCTTCAAGCCACCACTTCTCGTTTTTGGTTCAATAATCGCTCCAAATATTGGCCTTTGAAATCAACTTTCGTTTACCATGTTCCCCCTTATAGCCGTGGTGGTTCACAAGAATATCAACTTAGCTGGACAGGGATCATGGAATTCTACTTTACTGGCATGGGATTAAGCCCCGCTGAAATCCTGATTCAAAGTCTTGCCGGGAGTTCTTCAAACTCAAAGTTTGAATTAGAATAATTGACTTTTGCCTGTTCTCAGCTTGCACTTTTCTCCTCGCATACATGTCCCCATATGAAGCAGGCTTCCTTTATCTTCCCTGTTCCCTTGACACATCTTATTAACTGTGCCATATAATTCACCCTGGCTTGCAAGGTAAATCCCGGGACAATCCCCCGTATTGCTCACAGTCAACTAGCAGTCAACTCCATATTGCCAAATAATCTCGGTGGACAGGTCATAAGTAAACGTTAAGGGTTGGAATATAGAGAAAATCATTGACCAGGCTCTGTGTATACCAGGCCTATGGATCGACAACACTCAGTGCCTACCTAATGCACATCTGGTTCCGTCAGGAAACTAGTCCTGAAGTACTAATAGACCGCCTCGGTTTTACTGAGATCATATGCGGTCAGCATTCTCTCTGCTCCAAGATCCACCCTTGATAGAGATTTAATTTTAGCTTTTGAGAGACCTTGTAGCTGAAAATTATCGGACTCCGAAATTTGAGCTTCTCGTTACCAGAGGTGATCAAATTGTGATTACAAGGTATCAAGCAAGGATATCCCTTCGTCTTCATCCTTCAAGTTGGCGTTACTAGTCTACCTAGACATAAATACTGAACTAAAATAGTGGACATTTCTATTCACCGCATTGTATATCACATTGATATTATATCAAACATATCAAACACATCCGTGCCTATACCAGAATCTCCATCATGAGGCTGTTATCATTCATTATTCTGCTTTTCGTGTCAGCGACCTCGTTCGCAACCTCCTTCGACCTGCCACATACCAACCCGTCTATTATCACTCGCGCGAACGGTTCCCCAGTGCCCGGCCAGAACCCCTTTCAGTTCTGTGAGGATCCTTCCTCCTATGCTTTCAAGATTGATAAACTAGATTTGATACCATATCCTCCCAAAGCGTATGTTTTTTCCTACACAGTTGCTATCTCAACTGGCGAAAGAAGATACCTAATGTTTCATTAATCAACTTACACCTACAGTGGTCAAAATACTACTATCAAAGCCAGCATAAAATTCCTCAAGCCTTTAAGAAATGGTGCATGTGTTAAGGTCAAAGTTAGCGCCGGCCATACGGATATTCTTTCAAAGACTTTTGATATCTGTCAGGAGGTCAAAAAAGTCAATTTGAAGTGTCCTTTGGAGAAAGAGGTGGACCTCGAGACCAAGATAGACCTGAAGGATGTCCCCTCTGTATGATATGGTCCCTTGTATTCATTTTGATAGTCTTCATTTAATGCTAACTTCTTGCTTAGGGTACATACCAGCTATCGGCAAAGTTCTACACAGAAGATGCGGTTGAAATTGCTTGTCTCACTTTGTCTAATATCAAGCTATAGGCTTTCCATGCTCTCCAATACATGTTTTGTTCATCGAGGGCGAATTATGACGAGATGATTTTTCCTTTGTTCCCTTTTGCAAGTGAATCTCAACACAAGCCAAATCCTATGCTCCGCCCCGGGGGCAGATGAACTCAAAAGCTAGTAGTGCTCATTCCTCGTATTTTGAAGATTGAGGAGATTGCTCATTCCTCGTATTTTGAAGATTGAGGAGATTAAGCTTTGCCAAAGTGTAGGTGGGGGGATACATTCGCGAACAGACGTTAGAAAATGAGGATATGGATTAGGCGCTTTCTAAAGCTGCATGTGTTTTAAACAGGGCGACTTAACTCCAGGGTTTGGATTTGGGCAGGCGCGTAATGATTGCCAGCGACTCGATAATTAGGGTATATCATATATCTATTATTTATTAATACCACAATGCCGACTCGACCCAGCGTTAATTACTCAAGGCTGTATTTGATGTGACATTGACATCGTTGTACAAATAGATAGATGCTGATTTATTCACCAATAACGTCCTGCCTTAGGAGCCTTCAATGTTTGGAGTAAGACCCACTACACTTGCCAAGAAACCTATCAGAGAATAGAATAATTCTCGACAAACAAACCAAGCAAACGAAAAATTCTCTCGCGTACTTAGCAATTAAAGTGGGTCCAATTAGCGTGCCCTTTGAAAGGTATAAAGGGAAGTCGTCGCCCCTTAGATTTTCTTTTCTTCAAGCGACTCTACGTATGTGCCTCCCACCCCCTACAATGGGAACAACCAAACCATTCTTCTGTCTCACGGTTACTGACTTTTTTTCTCCTACAGTTCAAAGAATCACTTTAGAGTAGACGTCCTCTTCTAAGCTCTTTAAAAGAGCCACAGAATCTCCACCCTTGCTGATGACTACTATGTCCTCGATGCCCTAAAGTGAAGCCTTTTTACTCCCGCCTCGATGGGTCACGCGTACTGTTTACAGTGTCTGTGTTTCTTGTCTAGGGAGTGGTGATGATCTTTACCTGGTCTTGGCGTCTGACTTCGGTCGGCTGGTCCTGGTGGGTGTCGAGGAGGTCTGAAAGGTTTTTCTTACATTCACTTTGGGAGTCCCACTTTGAATGTGAGAAATTGGAGCTGCTAGTTTTTATTTTATCATGAATACAATTTCATTAAACAATCATTAGTCAATTTCTTCGTATCTGTTGTAATCTCGGAACTCTAATTTAGTCTGGCCGAACGAGAAAGCAGTGAAGTCTTGCACATCAACGGATAAAATGTAGGAAGGATGTAGTATCTAATTGCAATATTCTTCGTTGTTACTAGTGTTATATTCCAGTAGTCCTCCAGGCTTATACTAAATGGCTTGGGATGAGACTACTAAAGCAGCAACCAAAACTCTTTCCCATGGAACAACTTTTCGGTTTAGTCATTAATGGGCCAGCATTTTAGGCTCGAGAGGTACCATATCATGATGCAGTTTCCAATATTTCGACCTTTCGCCAGTAGCGGAAGTGAGCTGTTGATCACTGAGACAATTCCAATGAACATTCGGGAATTTAGAACTATTGTTGGTACCATGGACAACTACCTGCCTACCTGCATATGCACCCATATTGGCGGGCTTCCAGCGCTTATGCGACTAGAATTCTTTTTTCTTTTTTTCTTTTTAGCTATTCACCCAGCTCAGTTGTGGCAAAAGTCGAAAAATGTTTTATTGAGTGAAGTGGTTCCAGCATTTCCAATACTGCCCCTGAGCCCGAGCTATGTCATAGGGGTGTGAGAGCTATCTAAAGTATACTATATCCGATGCCCGAGCCTTTTGAAGATCACTAGTAGTAGTCGGACGTGGTTACCTGGTTTAAAGAGCAAGTATGAGTGAGAGCCTTTAGGCTCCGAGTCTCGGGCGACCGGTAGAATGGGTGAATGTGCTGGTACACACATGTCTCGTTTAGAAGTGTGAGATTCACCTTGAATCGCACGATGATCCCTCGCCTTATTGTATGTACAGTGTCAATGATTGCGCGTCATGGGTCCCAATCACAGCCGAGCGTGCTGCACATCAGTCAAGCCTAGGTCAAGCAACCACCAAGGTGGGGCCCGGGGCCGAATGCGCGGGCAACATTAAACGGGTTCCCGACCCGCGACTCCGATAATCGTTCTCGTTTTCGTGCAATCCCGACTCCGAATAGTCGAGCCTGACCCCCTGAGAATCACGTATGTATTTCGTATCCACAACCACCTCAAACACGGTTACAGCGGCAAAATTGCCAAGTCCATATGATTCATTAGACGATAAATACGATCATCTCCAAGACTTCTTATGTTCTACATTCAAACAAAGGAACGTTTGTCATGGCAGAACCGGTGTTTGTAGGATGGTGCCAATTGACCGGGTAAAGTAACACGCTGACCAGGAACACGGAGAGAGAATTGGACTTCGTATACTTCGTACAGAGACAGGTGTTGAGCAACCTCCTATACGAGATAAGGATGATATCATTGAACAAGTTGAAATATCTCCTCTATGTAGATGACGTACCGGTACCGGTACAAACCTGATACTTTCCCTTGGCATCCATATTCCAATCTGCATTTCGTCGTGGAAGAAGCCAAGGAGAACGCTCTGCCAAGAGTACCTAAAATATAGCCCTGGAGGAAGGATGGAGCCGTTCCATATAGTTGCACGGAGAGACCCCACTTCAATCCTGCAGGGATCTACACCCCAACCCTGTGACGATATTTTCATCAGATAAAAATCAATGAGAATCTATGGAGCTACCATCCACCACAATACAGTCGGCCCTATACGTAGCAGAACACTGGATTGAGCATCACAACACTCCAATAAGGAGATGAGTTCCAGGACCGGGACATTGCTAAATAATTATTCTAACCGGGCCGGTTTGGCACTCAAACGTTTCAGCACATGCATAGTACATGCACGCGATATCCAAGAAAAACTCAATTTGATTATATCCGAAGATGGCATGATGGGAAACCCATGCAAAATCACGTTCACTGCGTAAAGAGCACGTACTTGCCGCATTTTTGTGGACTACTGATTGTCGTTGATCGACAAATCTTTGAAGATCACACTCCAGTTATTTCCCCTGGCTGGTTAAGCTCTCGACCGCGGTGGTTTCGGAGCAGGGAAGATCAGCGATCGTCGTGGACCCACCCTACTCTTCCATCCAGGTTCTCAAACCTAACTATCGGTACCTTATATACCAGCATGTTACTCCTTTCATCCCTTGATTCAACCTGAAAATTATCGATAGCATCCAGCAAAATCTACAAGGTAAGAAATTGTCAATACTACACAAACAACCTCCCTATCTGTCTTATGTTTGCAGCAGCTAATGTCTCTGGAAGCCTGGGTAGAAGATCTTATTGAATTAAAATATGGCCACCGCCCTATCATCTAGGGCGCTCCTATGGGCGACCATCTTGGCAGTCCTAGCCCCTTACTGTTTTGCATTCTCGTACAATGCGGCTGAATATGGAGAAGTCCAGGTGACGGACAACAGGGACATTTACTCTGGAGAGCAAGCAGCTATGATAGATGGAGATGAAAGCGAGGAAGGAGAGGTAATTTAGATATCATTGACTACTATCGTACGGCACCAGCTAACTAGTTGACTGACAGGCCCATGGCGACATCGAAGTACCTGATGGTTCTGTGTTCACGTCATTCCCCGTTAATGAGAATGGCACCGAGGAAGTCGCAGGCTTCATCTCAAAGGACATAGACAACAGCACAATCGAGCATCTCTACATTGTCCTTCATGGGAAGCTAAGAAATGGAAACACGTACTGGAAGACCTTCCACGACGCCATCAAATACGCCAAAGAAGATAACTTCCCCGGTACCGATCGCAAAATGGGAGTGCTAGCCCCGCAATTCTTCTCGACAAAATACAACTCTGGCCAGTACAATAAAAACCAGCTTGGGTGGGAAGATTTGAACGCCTGGGAGCCAGGTGCCCAAGCTAATCATCCTAAAAACACAACCCTTACCACATTCGATGTCATAGACGGTCTCGTCAGGCTCCACTCGAACAAGGACAAATATCCGAGTCTGAAGAACGTCACTGTTGTCGGTCATGGTGGCGGTGGTCAGCTTGCCCAACGGTACTCAGTTCTCGCTAGCAACCCCCCTGACAATGTCCATGTTCGATACATCCACGGTGACCCATCTTCGTGTATGTACTTCACCGAAGACCGGCCTACTATGTCAGACCCCGATGCCTCAACGAACTCCTGCTCCAACTACAATGTCTGGAGATATGGTTTCGACAAGTTCCCCGGCACTAAACAGGGCCTGACGTCAAAGGAATATTTCACCCAGTACCTCAAGCGAGATGTTATATCGATCGTGGGACTTCAGGACACTGGCAGAGGTGGTGATACTAGTTGCATGGCGAGATTACAAGGAGGCATTAACCGACGTACTCGCAACTTGGTTTGGTTCCGGTACATCAACACTCTTGCACGCACGAATGAGAACCTGGACGGGTTCCCTGGTTCGTTCGATGATCTTCCTGATTGGAGTGACGAAGTGGGTGGAAACAGCCATGTACGACTCGTTGTCGTTGAAGATGCGGATCATAATGCGACGCAAGTCTTCTTAGGAGATCTTGGGCGGGAGGCACTCTTCCACGATGGCGATGTCGACGAAGGTTGGCGCCCTGATGATGATGACGACGATGATGACGACTCGGACGATGACAGCAACTAGATTTGGCCAGCACATACCACGAGAGTATATACTAGTACATCATAGAGCACAGCCAAGCAATATAAATTTGTGTTTCGGAACAAGCCAGTGATTGATAAGAGTATTTCACATTGACATATCATCTATCCAGATATTTGATAGAATAGATTATACACACGTAAACTGAATCTGTCGAAATTCTTTGTTGATAGTAATATTCCATGCTATATGATTTTCCCGACAGTATAATGCGGCAAGACTCATTTCATTCAATCTCGGATTGCTTCTAGTGTTCATTCTCTAGATGAACTCATCCGGGAGCAACGATAACAACTCCACTGAAACCACCTATCACAGCTCTTCTTGATAACCTTCTGCTGCCTGGATCTTTACTCAAACTTCTTGAGCTTCTCACGTTGAGCCTGCAGCATCTCTTCCAAGATCTCAATCTTGACTTCCGTACGCTCTTTCTCATTCAAACCTTTGTAAGCCCCATTTCCATCTTCAGGATTCTCTCCCTTCTTTGTCGCCTGACGACTGAATAGGTTTGGTCCAAATCTCTGGAACGCAGCAGCTCCTGCAAACATGAAAAGCGAAAACACAGATAGCTGTCGGAAAAGCGGGACAAGGGCTTCCGTGATAAATCTAGAGATTTCAGAGAGATATTCACTCGTGGAGTAGAAGCTTGTGAGGCAAATTTTGAACACGGTCATGATCAGGAGAGGGGTAATAACACCGAGGGACAAGGCGATCGCTGTATGTTTTGTGGGACTTGGGTGAGGCTCGATAGATACCCATGCCACAAAGTAGAGAAGACAGACGACTGCAAGGATTTGGAGTCCCAGGATGAAAAATCCCTCAGAATAAGACATGGTGATGAGGTCTTGGAAGGAGCACTTGTAGTCAAGGTTTTCGCAATAAGCTTGTGTATCTTATTTATAGGTGAGAAAAGGTTATGTCTTCCTGCCACAAGGAGCAGAGTGTCTTTATTTATGTAAAAGGCACCAGCGCCCGGTTGCTGGTAGAGCCTCACTAGCCTCACTAGTATGGGGCGATAAAGCGGGGTCTGCATCGGGGCACCAACCCTCGCGAAGCCTCGTAACTTCGCACCTGGAGCTGCGCTAGGCTGCCACATTTCATAATCGATAATTTGTTTTTCATTATGCAGTCTTTAACATGCGGTGTATCCAAGTTCTGGTCGGTCGCATGTCTCGGGCAAGGTGACTGAGCCGGGGTAAAACTGGGCGACAATCATCGTCAAAGAAAGCCCAAGCCTTAAATTTGGCATTCATCGAAGTACTAAAATCACCCACCAATTCTGTTTAGAACCGAGGCCAGGAAGCATCTCAAGACCCGTCAGGTAGCAAAAGATGGGGCGATTTAGCCCCTGTGGATGTGCATCTTGGAACCTCTGCGCAGATTGGTAAGGTCATCAATATTAAAAAATTGGTAAATAATAAAACAAAATAAAATAGCAAAAATGCAAAAGGAAAGAAACCCGACGAGGCTGATTTCAGTCAGTGATTACTTTCGTCCTTGAGACGAAGGATTTTCAAGAGCGCTTGTCCCCTTTCTACTAGTAGCTCGATATAAGTCAGATCTTTGTAAACGCTTGTATCGGGTTCGACATCTGTATCATTATAGCAAATCAACATGATCTGTTTCTGCTTTGTTCATGAGTTGCTTGTTGGGATACGGGATACACAAAATGTCAAGGTTATTGATATAAAGCAATCCAGTCGACCATTGCGAAATGTTGCTTCGCCGCGTTGAAGTCCTGAGGGTTCGTGTTGTCGGCGTAGGTGCCCCCGAAAGTGACGAAGGCAGTGTCTGGTCGAGACTGGTCGACGTACGCTGCTGAGCCTCCACCGTCACAATTGATCGGCACAAGGCTTAGTTGCTGAAGCTGGGGTGCGAGCTCCTCGAACCCGGCGCGCAGTGAAGCAGCTCGGCAAATCGAAGATGAAAATGAGGTTCATTCCTAATGGCCGCAGGAGGGGACCCAAAGGGATCGGATGCGATCTGTTTTGAGTTCGAAATGCCGCCATATCGTTGAATGATCGTTATATAGTTGAACTTGGGTGATGTCTTCCGCGCCATAGCGGGGATTCGTCGTATTCCGCGATGGGGCAGTACCTTGAATTGGAATTGCCGGGAGGGAAATCGAGAGATACTCTAGAAGAGATTGATTGTTCATATTGCAGTAGACTACCACGTCTGGTGAATATGACTCAGAAGTAATGGCCCCAGGTGGATACCGAATGATAGCTGATCGTCGAATTGGTCAAGAAGAATCAGGATAGACAAATAAAATAAAGGGCTTGGGAGGAAAGCAATTGGAAAATATATAGAGAATTTCCGATCCAAGATTACAAATATATCTGATAGGAAATCAATGGCGATATCTTTGGATGTAGTTGATTGGCGTGACTGTACTATAGTAAGCGCTCTCACTTGAAATGCATCCCTTGGCATGAGCAGAGTGAAAGAAAGCGATTAGTGAAACCCCGAGTGAACCTTGGATATAGGGATATGGTGAATCTAGTGGTTCAAGAGGTCTAAAAAAGCGTTCATTGGAACCCTGGATCAGGACCATAGTCGACGGGGGACCTCAAGCACCCGCCTTCTCGTTTCAGTCTCAGGAGGCGCTTACATGCAGCCACTGAAACCGACCTACTCTGAGATTTCCTCTTACCATCGGCAACGTAGTGGATTTGATTCACGAGATCTGCACTCTGGGATCCACATGACCCAGGTCAAACTTTCATAATCCGGCTATTAACTTATTAAGTTGACCACGACCTGTCCATTTTTTGCTGCCTGACCTGCTTCAACCATTTTGGAAATGTAACTTTCCGACTAGACAACAATGCATCTAAGAAGTGCGTACGAACACGGATCCCTCCAAAATTCATATCATCAGAGAGATTACGTGCTCTGATGCGTCTTCAATATTCGAGGTAGATCTGGATGGACATTCTGTCTGAGATGCGAGCTGCCGGGAATTTAGAGTATACACGCGGTATTATCGTTGATGTTTACGCAAAGCTTTTGGAGTTGCTAGATGAGATTGAAGCTGCAATAGGGAAGAATGAGCTTCTGAGAAACTTAATTTTGTTTTTGAAGGTTTAGATTGGCCGGGAGTTCAGAGACGGTAGGAACATGAATGAAAGTTAGAACGGGCCAGCGTCGGCTGTTGACCCAACTTGACAAGGAAATCGCATTTCGCGTATATTTGAGGCAGTCCTAGGATCTAGATTTGTGAACCAATGAATTCAAGTCATTATATAGGGAATTTTCTTGGATAAGCTAAGCAAAACTCCAAAGAAAAACGTGTATCGACTGAATTAGAATTGAAAGCTACAGATGTCAACCAGGCATAGACAAGACACGGCTTATATACAAGCCTTCCAGCACAAGTGGCTGAATATCTACTCTGTATACTGTCCCCAATACTGGAAACCTTCAGGAAGATCATTGGGACTAGTTGACGGTCAGTAAGAGAGCCAGGTAAAAGGGTAGAAATGGAACTTACCCAGAGTCTGGAGCAGGGTGAATAGTGTGGCCGCCCTCCTTGACATATTCGTTGTTGTTGTGAGGGTGAGGCCAAAGTCCCTTGGTGTCATCCGTGTGAGCAACGATGGGCTTTCCATCAGGACCATCGGGAACCTGAGCTTGAGACACGTCGTTGTGTGGATTTGGCCATGGGCCCTTGGTGTCTTCTGTGTGGCCATAGGTTGGGGGTCGACCGTCGTGGCCATTTCCAATCTGGGCATGGTTCTGGTCAACGTGGGGCTGGGGCCATGGTCCCTTGGAGTCGTGTGAATGAGCATAGACAGGCTCGTCATGAGGAGGAGGGTAAGTGGGGACCACCTCAACAGGCTCGGGCTCGGAGTACTCAGGAACGACTTGAGGTGCAGGCTGCGCTGGGGCTGGGGCCTGAGGAGCCGGAGCCTGAGGAGCCGGAGCCTGAGGAGCCGGAGCTTGGGGAGCAGGAGCAGGGGCTTCAGCAGGAGGTACTTGAGGGGCTGGCTGCCAGGGTGGTGGCCTGTGGGTATGAGTGGGCTTGGGGGCAGGCTGAACAGGGGGCGCTGGAGGGGATTCAGGCTGAGTAGGCTCTGGTGCTGGTGCTGGTGCTGCTACGGGCGGCGGAGATTGCTGGGCGGGAGCAGGAGCAGAAGGCGCGGATGTCTCTGGCTGAGGAGCAGGAGCTGCAGCTTCACCTGGTGGTGGGTACATGGCACCATGATCATCGCCGATCTGGGTGTTTGCGCCATTTAAATCCAGGCCCTTATGGCCAGCGGCGTTTCCAGATTTGGGTGACCCGTAAGCGTTGCAAGCGCCATAATGACTTTGCGGTGGGGGGTTAACAGACTGGGGGAAGGTTTCGGGAGCCTCAATAATGGTTGCAGTCAGACCGGCCTCTACGTGCCATTCAATGTGACAGTGAAGCAGCCACACGCCAGGGTTATCGGCACGGAAGCGCAAGACAGTGTGGCCGTGGTTTTGGACCATGATCGTATCACGGCGAACGGGTGTCTGAGAATTATTCTTGAAGTACTGGCCATTGAAGTATCCACCATCAACAGCAGAGCGTTGAAGGACCTGGAACTGATGACCGTGCAAATGCCATGGATGCAGGTTGTTGTGATGGTTGTTGATAACAAGTTCAACAACCTCACCATGCTTCACAATAATAGGGTTGACATCCCCATACACTTCAGGGTTTGAAGCAAGTTCGGAGCCGACAGTATTGGCTGTGTAAAGGGTTGGAACCTCCTGAGGGATATAAGTCTTATTGTTGATGGTGAAACGACTGCGTCCGTCAATCACAGCATGGTCAGTGTCAAGGATAATCTGGTGGTTCACAGGCTGGAGCAGAGGCTGGCGATCAGCAGGCACAAACTCAACATCGTCCACGAAGATCAACTCATTGAAGGAAGGAGGTGCTGGCAAAGGCTTCGACTCGTCGTACACGAGGTAGGCAGTCGCATTGGGGTTATAGTTTGCGGGGATAGCACGGTTCTCGTAGATGAACATCATGTTGATATCCATAGTATCCCAGATAGCGAAATTCTTGCTTGTATCAGGCTTGCTGCGGAATAGAACACTGGTACGCTGTCCGGGAGCAACACGTAGCATCTTATCACCAACGGGGTATGGCTCGGTGTAAACACCATCGACTTCAACGACAGTCATTTCATGGCCATCGAGAACCCAGGCGTGACCGGGCCAGTTGGCAAGACACACCACGTGAACAAGATAAGTCTTGTTTGGTAGTATTTTTATCTTGGTATTGGTAGAATCGTTGATCAAGGCCGAGTCGGGGATGGGCTCATTGCCCATGAAAGCCGCTTCGTTCTGCTGGGACTGGTACTGCTGTAGCAGATCTACCATTTGGCCATGATACCAATCACTCAAAGTGATCGTGATTTCCTCGTCGTATTGGAATGGTGGGCTGGGATCATGGACAATCAGGGGACCACGGAGACCGTCGGGATACTGTCCCATGGTGTGCGAGTGGTACCAGTAGGTTCCAGTTTGATTGACCTAGACATAGATTGTTAACCTTTAGACTATAAATTGCAGTGAATCAACTAACATCGAAGCTATACTGCATGTGCTCACCCGGAGGAAGTGGGCATTGAGTAGTCGAAGATGCGCCATCCATAGAACCAGTACCAAACTGACGGATCCCATGCCAGTGGATTCCGGTAGACTGGTTCCCCAGGCCATTGTACACGTCTACGATAAGACGATCGCCAACGTCGACATCAACCTGAGGACATGGCCATTGGCCATTAATACCAATCACTGGCCTCTCAAATCCATCTGGAGAAGCATTGACCCAAGTGATATTCCAGTCAAGGTAAACGTCCTTTGCCGCCGCTAGCTTCGCCGCCCAACCGGCGAGAAGAAGCAAATTTAATTTAGCCATCGCAGTCGATGAACGAATGACTATCGAATTGCTGTCAGAGGGATACCTAAATCCTCTGATCAAGGAAGCAAGTCGATGGATACGCGGAAGGCCGAATAAGAATTAACGATTAAAACGAAGGTGTCGAACAAAAAAAGAAAGAAAAGGGCCTGGTCGCGTCGGCTGGGTTGTTGATCAAAAGTTCCATCAAGCAGCAACATGGGAATGTCGTCCTTTAACAATGGTCGATCGATCTACAACCCTAGGGAGTAATTCTGCCGGATTGTTGGTCCCTTCATCCAATGCCAGGCTCGATGTAATGCCAATTGCTCTGCCGCCATTCAAGGATCAGAAAAACAAAACCCCGAACCGGCTGTCTGGAGCCCTTCAACCGCCTTGAGGGCACTTTTGAGGCATTCCAAGTGCGTATCCGCCTTTGCGGCATGTACGGAAATCACCCAATTTGGCATCGCGTCAGGGCATGCAAGTAAGGGGCCAGCATACCACATCGACCACCTTGGTCAATTGTAAACAAAACAGGATAATATTCACTGCGCTGCATATTGATTTCGAGTTTAGGGGGATTTGAAACTGCAATTGGGATCGTCGATTTGCAATGATCCTCTCATTCTCCCATTGAAAGCTGTCGCAGGTTTTCTGTGTGCTGCAAATATTGTATATGATCAACCAGTTGTTAATTGCTAGGCCAAAGCCGACCAAGGCCGCGATCATTGAGTAGATAATTTTTGTGATCCAATTTGGATACCCTCTAGATATTCAGATCCAGCAATCCATCATGGTTGGGGTGGAAAAAGTGGTTCCCCACCCAGGGACAATGGCTTGCCACAAACCTTCCACGATGCACCACCAACCCGTACGAACGTGGATCAAGAACGCCCACCAGTGATTTCATGCATGGGTCCACTCTCCCTAAAGCGGTCGTGGCCGTGCCTATCGTAGATCCCCGTTCCGGCCGCACCAACTGGAATCGAGCTCCGTATCAGTATCAAAGACTCAAAGCGGGGCAGCTCGCCGAATTCTGTCAAAGGGACTTTCCCGGTTGCCGTCGGCCGTGTAGATCATCCAAAGAGATAGGGTAGATGCCGAGGTGATGTCTTCTTTTGTTGGGTATTAGTATATTATCTGCCAGTCTCTGAAGGACTTAGTCTGTGCAATGAACAAAATCAGATCTTACCTGTGTGGCTTCACCAGCGCATGGAGCGCCAGATCCTCGTGTTTCCCCCACACAGAAAGTGACGCTCAGGTACCAAAGACCAGGATGGCACATATACCCGTGGCCAACCGCGAGCTAGCGCGGGGCATCTTGATAAGGAAGTGGAGCAACGAAGCAAAGATAAAGGAATTTTTGCTTGAAGTGATTTGGTAATGGCGGGAAGTGATTGTAACGATAAAAATTCAACGGAGTAGAACAACGGAGAGTGGAAGAGAGATGGATTATCTTGAAGGGAATGAGGGGGTGTTAAAAGTGTTAGCCTTCTCTTATCTCTTGACCATGGTTGAATCACATCTTCCTTTTCTTACATTCCCTTTTCATTTCCTTTCTCACCACTTTCTTCAATTCTTTCCATCAAATAATCTCAAGGTTATCTGCAGCTTCCCTTGGCGCATTTTTGACTCATCACCTCTGCACTGACGAAAATCTGGGGTCGATGGCGTCTGCTCTATTCTAGTATTGTGTGATCTGCATTGCACCCAATGGCGTAATTCTCAACGCCATGAAAGTTGCACCCAAAATTCAGTCCGAACTTCCTGAGTACATTGTATCGCGCAAGTCTGGTCGCGCGCATTGTCTACGATTTGTGAACGTATATTTCTCTACGAGTGATTCGATCGCTGGAAATGGATCAATCATTGAATTTGATCGATGCGCAGGTCCACTTTGTGGTTAGTACAGCATGAGTCAAAATCAATATCCAGTTTAATACTGACAAATATATACAGGAAGAGCAGCTGGTTCTCGTTCATATTCCATTGGAGCTATACGCCTATTTCTTCCAATCGGTGCTGAGATTGATCTACGATGAAATATCTCCATTGTATGACAACCAGAACAATGAAGAGGACGAGCTCGAGCAGCTCGAGGATGACTCTCGATCTGAGCCAGACTCGGAATATCGTCAACCGGCTTTTCTGAATGTGTCTATCACCCCTGTCGAAGTATCGGTGATATGTCCCAGGCGTCTTGTAGAAAAGTACTTTGAACCTGCCCTCAAGGAGCTCGACCAGGTGGACAATCAACTACGATCTCGGCTGGTCATCAGTGAGAATAACTACATCGCCATGCAAGTTCTCGGTCAGGGTCTTGAGGCTGGCAAACGTGTACTGGAATTAACCAGTCCGCTCGCCCTGGCAGGAATGTATGTGACAACCCTTGAGTCTTTCGATATATATCACTCCTTAATAAAGCGCATTATGCTAATTATATATCCCAGCTCTATCTTCTTCATATCAACATATTTCTCCGACTACATTCTTGTTCCAGTACACAGCAAAATAATCGTGGTATCAACCCTCGAAAGCCGAGGATTCCAATTCGAAAACGACACAACAGCAATCAACAACCCCCTCAGCCCAGCACTATCACCTCGTCCAGAAAAACAGCTCGGCGAAATGATTCCCCCAGCCACCCCGCCTCCTTCAACACTCGCTGAGCTACAAACCCGCACTTTCGAAAATCTCCGCAAGCGCCAAATCTCCCCATACGTAGACGACAGTCTTCGCTTAGTCCAATGTGCTGCTCATCACCAGTACAATCACGACGAAAGCTCCATGTCTATTCTCCGCGATGCACTCACAACAACGCTACTAGTCGACAAACCGCGCTTTCTCTCTCTCACCCTTGCAGATCTAGACCCAGCTGCCTCCCTTCTCCTGGAGAAGCGACTCCTTCCTCGCTTCGCGCGCCCCACAAGCTCCTACCAGGGCTATGAGGATGCCTCGGGGCTTCTACTCGGCTCAAAAGAGGACTATCTTGTTCCTATCATGCTTGATTTGCGCGATCTTCCACTTGAGGCATCGGGTATTGTCTGTGGTGTTGCTGGCCGACTCGCCGACGCTACAGATAGACCTTCGTCTCGTGGTCTTGCAAGCGGGGATCCGAGTATCGTGAGTAGTAACGATAGCAGCGTTATTGGATCTGTGCCTGCGTTATTCGATACTTTTGGAACCAGGTTGGCTCTTGGAGGGTTGGATAAGAATAAACGCCCACATTTACATCACCACCTTCATTCTCCGGCTATGCATCACTTGAAACCGGATGTTGATTTGTCTGCGGATGCGGTTGGAATTAGTTTCTTGAGTACTGCGCGGGCGGGAACGATTATCGTTGGTGAAGATGAGTTGCAGAGGGCTATTGACGCGTTGGAGGAAGAGAAGATACACGATGAGATTATCGAAAGTCAAGAGGCGGTAGCTGAGAGTTCGGATATTGCTGAGACTGAGTGATATGTTGTATCGTGACTCCCGAGCTGCATAGGGATGAGTGTGTTGAGAGTTGTCTTTGTCCCGAGGACCCATCATGTTACGGCCCACGGGTGTTTTCCTTACGAAACGAGTGATGAAAAAAAGTTTATGTTGTTTTGATTGTTTGATTATTGCTCTTTGACATATTATGTATGCTCACACGGATTTATCATACCCAGTTTGATCTATTTCAGCCACGAAGTGATTTTTGTTCTTATTTTATTTTTGAGTGTTGCTTTATGTATATCCATGGGCCCACTTATGTATGATAGGACCTGAAATGCGATGTCTCAGCCCTGATCTCAGAACAGAACTTGCAAAATGTAATATTCAACCAAAAAGCAGCTAGGACTCAAGGAGTATCTTGAAAGCAAAATGTCGGTTGCAACATATCTGAGAAGTCGATGGCTTCCAATGTTGTGTCGTTGATTTTTGAACGGTGGAATAGACCGAAAAGGAGATAGGTATATGAAGTCCATTGTGATATGAGTCGAGTACAGCGATGGACAACACCTATGCCAGGTGGTGGAAGGAAAGCGCCGCCATGTTGAACAATGCATTGAATATACATGGATGTGGTTCGGGGTTTTTATAATGTGTCCCAAGTTTATCCCCTCATATCATTGGAGACTGCCAGACGGTGCCTAACGGCATGTTGATGTGATATTTTTCTCTGTTCGCTGCTATTGGTTTCTGTAGTGTTCAAGGACATCAGCTTGGTTTACACCTCAATATCCGTTGGATAATATGGCAGCGGGCCTGGAGATCAGCTGAGGACACCCGTCTCTGCAGCTTTTAATGTCTTTATTGTCAAGCTCCAGGATGCGCTTCGATTGATGAGCCGTCTCGCGTCAGTAAAGACGCCATATCATCTTATCTGCAATTCCTTCTGCCTGCAAATTTTCTGAGAGGGGTAGATTGGTCTTCAGAAAGACCCCAATTAACAGTAGTACAACAAATCGGAACTCCGTAGTTGGACGGAAGGTCGGCAATGATTGGTAAATATCGATGGATGCGATTAACTGAGTAGCCCGTTGGCAGTTGGCCATTTGCCTCCTCAACCAAAAACACGGACAGTACCTATTCAATGTGTTAATAAGGCGTACATTGGAAACTCCTTTTGAGCCATGTCGACGGGCCACTTACCATCCGAGCAACCACCAGCCCAAAACCCCTTCTCATTCCATGCCACACAACTGACAACCTTGACTTTCTCGCCCATTGGCACCACAGCAACAGTCTCACCACTGAGTATATCCCAAGCAAAGACCGCAGCGCCCAGTCCTTCATCATCATTCTTCGCAGCTTCACTACCACTAAGAACAACAGCGTCGCCCTGCGCAAAGGTAGAGCGAACACGTAGTTCAGAATTGCGATATGAATGACGAGATTGACTGCCGTCCACGAATGGAGTTTTCTCTTTTGCCGGACCCCCAAACGCTGCAAGCAGACTTCCATTCGATCGATCTAGCATGCGGATATAGCTATCTAGCGTGGAAGCAAGGACCGCATTGCCATCCGCTGAGCATCGAACGCTTGTTACCGGGTAGGCTAGGACATCGTCGGTTGCTTTCCCCATTCGCACATCGTAAACTCGGACATGACCATCATAACTTCCACTGGCGATTGAATAAGAGGGCATGTGGACGTGGAGACTAGAGACGGTATCGGTTGCCTCGGTGAGGGATTGGATGGGCTTTTGATCTCTGGTGCGCGTATCCCAGAGATTCACGGTGGTGTCTGCACTACCTGTAGTTATGAAATGACTGTTAGAAACCTCGGCGGACATGGAAATGAAGACTTTAACTGCGGACGCGACACTTACCAGAAACTACCACTGAATCACCCTCGCCAGCAAATTGTACTGCCCCAATCCTGCTTGTATGCCCGCCCCATCTTCTGGTTGTGATGCCTTGCTCGACGTCCCATAAGAAAACTTGTCGGTCGCCTCCTACGCTGGCGAAGCGCGAATTGTCTGCGGCGACAGCTACGTCGAGGACAGAGTAGCCATGTGCCTCGTACTTTTGAATCGGAGATGTAGTTTCAATTGTCTCTTGGGACTTTTCCGCATTGTTTGGAACAGCTCGTGACAGATGGATGGCGCGATCGGAGGAACCTGTAAGCACATATGTGCCTGGATAACTGGAGAAAGTCACCGCATTAACCGGAGCTAAAGAGGAAGATGGAAGTTAGCATAGGAGCTCAATTGGTAATTAGATTAAGTGCTAAGTACCATTATGTGTTTTGAGAGTGTGTAAATGCCGCGTTGGGAATGATTTCGAAGGCATAGTAGTGAGCCTGTACCTGCAGAACAGAGCGGGAGTTGGTGGGGGAATCTCCGAGAGAATGCTAATGATGCGCGAGCGTTGTGCCGGATCCATATTGGAGCCCGAGCTCCGCATATATTTATTTCTCCATGATCCATGAATACTATTCCGTATCTATGAATACTTTAATCGGAACTCCCTCACTTCTCCCTACACGCAAGCTACTTTTACAACTTTTCCACTTTTGCAGAAGCAAGAATTAACTGTATTTTCCCGCGCTACAGAAAATAGGAGGGGGTTATTATCAAGAATGTAGACACCATCGCTAGCTACCAGCGGTAAATGGATATAACAGAACAAAATGAACCAGCCTCTTGAGGCGAAGGTGCGCCCTCCCAAGCGCATGAAACGGCAAGACATAGGGTACTCAAGAGAAAGAAAAAGAACAAGGAACTAGGTGCGTGATGCAGCTCCCATTTTTGAACGACCAAGGTTGTTTCCAACCACAAATTCTTAACGACGACCGTGGCTGCGGGTGCTGGAGCCCTGCAGGTTTTCGATTTCGTTCTCGAGTTGTTTGATGCTGTAAGATTATAAGGTCAGTATTTCCGCCCACAATAAAAAAATGGAGCATAGAAACATACGCAGCATGGGTGGCCTCCAGATCCTTGTTGAGGCGGTCGCGCTCGGAGATGAGCTTCTGCTCCCACTGGCGGAAGCGCTGCTCCTCGACCTTGACTTGCTCGGTGAAACGCTTGCGCAGGTTCTCCTCCTCTTCCTTGAACTTGGGGTTGTCCAGCTTGCGAGGACGGGCCTCGCCGAACTTGCGGGTCTCCATTTGCTGCGCACGGTAGGCCTCGTAGTGCGATTCCTCGGTGGTGTGGATAAGGTCGAGCATGTGGGTGCGGATCAAGATGGAACGGAGCTTCTTGAAATCGCAGTGGTCCTCGTTCTCGACTTCCGCAACACCCCAGGCATATTGACGACCCTTGACGACACGGCCGTCGTTGGCCTTGACATCCTTCTCGGAACCAATAACGGCGAAAGGCATGGCAGCCATCAGGCTACGGGCGTGGGAAGCGGCGTGCTCGTCATCCTCCTCAACGGGTGGGGTGTAAATCTTGATGCCCTGGGCCTCGATAACACGGCGAATCTAGAAATAGCCAGTCAGATTTCATTCGATCTGCAAATTGGTCCATTACCCTCAACTTACTCTCTCCTTGTAGCGGAGCAGGTCGGCGTGGCTCAGGGTATCGGCCTTGGCGACAACGGGGATCAGGTTAACGCGCGAGCTCAGGCGCTTCATGACCTCAATGTCGAGAGGCTTAAGAGTGTGTCCGGTAGGGCGGATGAAGTACAGACAGGCGTGCACACGCATATCAATCTTATCGGTACGGCGGGGCTGTTGCTCCTGGAGCATGTAAGACTCGTGCTGGTCATCCAGGAACTCGATGATGGGTTGCCAGGAGTCACGGTTGTTGACATAGTCGCCGAAGCCGGGGGTATCAATAACGGTCAGACGGACTAGATGAGTGAGTAAGAAGTCAGCGACCACAGGATAAGACCTCTAGTTGATTCATATCGATGTCGCACCTTTGAAGAACTTCTCCTCAAGCTCGGCCTTGGTGATTTCGATCTCAACAGTGCGGTCAACCTGCTTCTGGTGGCGGCGCTTGTGATCGGCGTAGTTCTTAATGGTGGTGGAGAAAAGAGTGTTGATGAATGTGGTCTTTCCCAATCCCGACTCTCCAGCAACCTATCCGTAGTTGGTAGTTAGTTGTTGATGCCGTAGCTCGATTGAGGCCAAGCTCCCACTCACCATAATTGTGAAAGCCGCACCCCGCTTCGCGACAATCTTGTGTCTGTATTGTTATCAATTAGAATGTTTATCCTTGGACAAGGCCAACTGAATGATCGATTTCGAGTACACACCGCTGGTTGGGGAGCTACATGGTTGCACATCAATAGATTAGCTGACCAGCCAATTTCAAAGATTCGGAGGTTGCGGGATAAGAGCTTACATTGGCAATGCCAATAGGCGTGGCAGTCTCAGTTGTCGACATGGTGAAAAAGATTAGATAGAATTGAAAAACAAAAGAGCAATAAAAGTGTCCTCTGAAGCAGGACAAGAAGAATCAGAGTTGGAAAGATTAAACTCCTTCCTTAGTGGGATGTAAAAAAAGGAGAAGGCGTGAACTGCTCACTGCTGGTTGCTCTTTCCCCCTGAATCTCCTTTCTCGTTTTCTGGAGTAGAGCTGGCCCTTGCCAATCTGGGTTTAGTGCATAACACTATGCCATATAGGGTTCGGAATCGGGCTCAAGATGATCCGACCTTATCGCATTTTCCCTCTGGTTAACGCCGATCATCGAATTTTTGACTTGGAGCAAAGTGAGCTGTCGCAAGGGAAAAATGAAGACCGATTTCAAGGTAGGCCACACTTAATGTTGCACAATCAGGAATTATATCATGTCTAACATTTCATCATAGTTCTCCAACCTTTTGGGGACGGTCTACCGGAAGGGCAACCTGCTCTTTACTCCCGATGGAACCTGCCTGCTTTCGCCTGTAGGCAATCGAGTCACTGTCTTTGACCTTGTACAGTAAGTCCCTCGCGGCTTTTACCTGGACCGAAAATCATTGGAACCTTCCAATTGCTCAGCAGCTAAAATTTCACTCCTAGCAATACTTCTTACACCCTACCCTTCTCCCACCGCACGAACATCGATCGCCTGGATCTTTCCCCGAAAGGAAATTTGCTATTGACCATTGATGAGACTGGCCGGGCGATTTTGACCAATTTCCAACGCCGAATCGCAATTCACCATTTCTCCTTCAAGGGGCGCGTCACCGCCCTGAAGTTCTCACCATCGGGTCGGCATTTCGCAGTAGGCGTGGGAAGACGTTTGCAAATCTGGCAGACACCTTCTACTCCCGGTACTGAAACCAATGGCGAGATTGAGTTCGCTCCATTCGTTTTGCACCGAGACCTGGCTGCCCACTTCGACTCCATTTCAAATATCGAATGGTCGAGTGACTCTCGATTCTTGCTTACTGCATCCCGTGACCTGACTTCACGAGTATGGAGTTTGGACCCTGAGGATGGCTTTGAGCCTACTACTTTGTCCGGTCACCGACAAGGCGTGATTACCGCTCATTTTGATGCCAACCAAGATAAGATCTACACGGTCAGCCAGGATGGTGCCCTTTTTCGCTGGGAATATGTGGCCAAGAAAGATCCAGAGACAGACGAAGAAATTTCCGAACCTCGGTGGAGAATCGTTAAGAAGAACTTCTTTATGCAAAACGATGCTAAAGTAAACTGTGCAACTTTTCATGCAGCCTCCAACCTGCTGGTGGTTGGCTTCTCCAATGGTCTTTTTGGACTATATGATTTGCCCGAATTCAATATGATCCATTTACTCAGGTATGTGAACAGATCTATTTGAATCTCGATATATTTTTTCTAATCAAAATTCTACTCTAGTGTCTCTCAGAGCAACATTGATGTCGTGGCTATTAACCAGTCTGGAGAATGGCTCGCATTTGGATCTGCCAAGCATGGCCAGTTGCTAGTATGGGAGTGGCAGTCAGAATCGTACATCTTGAAACAACAGGGCCACCTCGACTCCATGAATTCTTTGGTCTACTCTCCGGATGGCCAGAAAATCGTGACCACAGCCGACGACGGCAAGATCAAAGTTTGGGATGTCAAGTCGGGTTTCTGTATTGTGACATTCACCGAACACACCAGCGGAGTGACCGCATGTCAGTTTGCCAAGAAGGGAAGCGTTCTGTTCACGGCCTCCCTAGATGGCTCAATTCGAGCGTGGGATTTGATTCGGTACCGCAACTTCCGAACTTTCACCGCACCCTCTCGACTGTCATTCTCTTCCCTGGCAGTAGACCCCAGCGGAGAGGTAGTCTGTGCTGGTTCTCCAGACTCCTTTGATATCCATGTGTGGTCCGTGCAGACAGGCCAGTTGTTAGATCAGCTATCCGGCCACGAGGGACCCGTCTCTGCCCTTGGGTTTGCCACAGATGGTAACCACCTGGTCAGTGGTAGTTGGGACCACACCGTCAGAATCTGGAGCATTTTTGGCCGTACACAAACAAGTGAGCCTCTTCAGCTTATGTCCGATGTTCTGAGCGTAGCTTTTAGGCCCGACGGTCTGCAAGTTGCGGCATCTACCCTTGATGGCCAGCTTTCATTCTGGTCAGTAAACGATGCAGTTCAACAAGGAGGTGTTGATGGTCGTCGTGACGTGTCTGGTGGCCGAAAGGTTGCTGATCGCACAACTGCTGCTAATGCCGCCGGAACCAAGGCCTTCAACCGCGTCACCTACAGCGCTGATGGCAGCTGTATCTTGGCTGGTGGTAACAGCAAATATATCTGCTTGTATGATGTTGGCACCGGATCGCTGATCAAGAAATATACTGTGTCGGTGAACACATCACTCGATGGCACCCAAGAGTATCTGAACAGTCGTAAACTCACTGAGGCTGGACCTTCCGCTCTCATTGATGAAACTGGAGAGGCATCGGACAAAGAAGACCGCATTGACAGCACTCTGCCTGGTGCGAAACGTGGCGATTCTGGCGCTCGTACTACCCGACCCGAAGTGCGAGTCACCTCGGTTGATTTTGCTCCGACCGGGCGTGCTTTCTGTGCTGCATCCACTGAGGGTCTCCTGATCTACAGCTTAGATGATGATTTTGTCTTTGACCCCTTTGATCTCGACATCACAATTACCCCTTCAACTATTCTTGCAACGCTCGATGCTGCCCGGGATGCTGCCGCGGCTAACACTGTTGATGACGAGAACACCTTCTTGAAGGCTCTGGTCATGGCGTTCCGTTTGAATGAATCAAAGGTTCTTCGTGCTGTTTACGAGGCAATCCCACCATCCGATATAACGCATGTGGTCCGTTCCGTCCCGACCGTTTACTTGCCTCGCTTGCTCCGCTTTGTTGCACATGCCGCGGATGAGACTCCCCATCTTGAGTTCAACTTGATGTGGATTGAGTCTCTCTTCAGTTGTCACGGTCGGTACTTTAAGGAGAATTCAGGAACATTTGCCCCTGAGCTCCGTGCCGTCCAACGCGCTGTTGATGATATTCGCGAAAATCTCAAGCGCTTGACCGAGAAGAACCTCTACGATCTCAACTACCTCCTCTCTAAGCCTGTCCTTGCCGACAATAAGCCTTCTAGTGCTATGCTCGCTGTGACCGCTGGTGAGGCTGAGGAAGATGACGTTCAAATGGCTGGATCCGACGCCGATGACGGAGAGGGCGAATGGGTTGGCCTGGAATAATTAATCCGGTAAAGAGTTTCCTCTCTGTATGTCTACTTTGCATCTGCGCCTGGCGTTTGTATATATCCCGGGGGAAAGAACGGGAAATTTCCCCTCCAAAAGTGTTGTAACTAGGTACATATATTAGAATCAGGATGGTTTCTTTGAATTTAAATCTATGAATAACACAGATGTCTCGCTACATGTTTCTCTGTATCCCTACGTATGGATTTCCTCTGCCACTTCTTGTCTTTCCCCTTCCGTCTCAAGTGCTCACCCCTCGCCGCCTATTGCTCACTGAGCCAGCTCCCAGTCCTGTGGTTCACCCACCAATCGCACAATAGAGGGCTTACCAGATGAGTTACCCACCCAAATAAAACGCACAGCGCTAGTGGAAAAGAGTGGATCCCCATTTGAAAATCAATATCCCATTTAGAAAGAGATGGCCTGATGCACATGACGACGGCATTTTACATTTTGTGTTTCACTGTAAGGATTACCAGCGCGAGATCAGGATTTATAGTCTATCAGATTCTATTCAAATATTTGCTCCCAGGAGCCACTCGCTCCGACTCAACTACTTGCCGGCTCAAAGAAAATAATTGCTCCACCACAGGTGCTCCTAGGAAGCTTTTTGCCATAGCTTGGAACGGCCGGATACAGGAATTCCAATATTTGGGAGCGTAGATATGTTGGCAGCATTCTTCTCGATGTATGAAGATGCATTCAGGGAGCCCATGTCCAGTCGGTCCAGGAATTGCAACATCGCGTCCACAGTGACATTTCGTCGTTGTTCCAGCCATGAGGTTTCGTTCGTCGATAACGCCGACCCATTGCGGATGGATGGTCTTTCTATAGGGCAGACTTCGCCCTGGGGGGTGTATCCGTCAAGAGCATTGGAAAGTGCTCGTCTCTAAAGCAATGAAGCTGTGGCTAGTGAGTCTCGTTGCGGGTTTGCAATTTGCAATTTTTCCTCGCCAGATACCCAGTTCATTGGGGTAAATCTGGGCGGGCGGCTGGCTGTATACCCCTAGCCATGTAATCAGTATAGGGAGCAGCTTGAGTGTTTTTAGAAGATTCATTTTGGTTAATTATTGGCAAATCATAAACTTTGATTTTGATATTCGTGTGGGCCGGATCCGAAAGGATTAACCAAAGAAACAAAAAAGAAGCACTGGAAGCTCAAAACTTTATAGTAGCCCAGTATCATGAGGGTTGTATATGTCCGACCCGACGGAATACGTTCTAAATAATGACGATCAAATGCAAGGTGCTGATGACGAGAATTTGGACCGGGCCATGGTCCAACGTACCAAGGATTGACCATGTACGAGTCATCCCGCATCACTTGATCGATTCCAGTCTCCTAATGTATCAAAATGCATGGATACCCCGTTATTTCCCCCCCCACCTCTATTGCCAAACACCCCAACCCAAGTTATATCCAAGATTACAGTCCCACTGGCACAGATGTAATCCGCTCATTCTTAGAAAATCATCTAGCAATCTCAAGCCCTTGGATCTTCGCAGACACCTTCAAATAACATGATGTTTCACTCCTCACGTAGTCCGGGCCACCAAGATTGCAGACAGCACCCCGAAGGTGTTCAAGCTTGGCTGGTGGGTGCAGATATTGGATGCCTGGCTGCTGCTGTCCATTTAATCCAAGATGCGAAAGTGCCGGGGCCTCAGATCCACGTCTTGAGGAATTCAGGATCACAGTCTCACATCCTGGAGGGGTTTCCGGTTAAGGAAGCATTTGGATTGGACACAGAATCTAATCCTGGAGTTGAGCGTTCCTCTCCAATGCGTGTACTCAATCGGAACTTCGTTTGTACCAACGATCTCCTGTCCCGTATCCCGTCACTAAACGATTCCATGAGGTCTATCCAGGAGGAACTAATCGAGCTGGATAACGATAAGAACCTTTTTGAGGGTTTTCAAACCAAAGTGGTGGTCAAGGAAGGCCATACTATGCAAGTTCTGGATGCCAAGGGACTAGACCTTCACCTGGGTGACCGCGCTCGAATCAAGAAGATGATGCTTACGAGTAAGAAGAGTCTTATGAAGATGAGAATCATGGACATTTTCAATGAAGAATTCTTCCACGGTAAATTCTGGAGCATGTGGGCAACCAAGTATGTATTCCTCCTACTTCTGTATTCTCTATGGGTTTAAACTAATTGAAACTAATCATCGGGTAGGTTTGCATTCCAACCATGGCATAATGCCGCAGAATTCCGGCGCCATCTTCGATATATCCACGATTTCGCCAACCTCCACACATTGAGTCCGATAGACTCCACCCCATACGAGATATTCAACACCATAATCATTCCGATCACCTCCTACCTGCAAGCTCAGGGTGTAGAATTCGAACACAATGTTAAGGTCTTGGATTTGATGATGAATTCTGAGAGTGACCCGACGCTAGTTTCCGGCCTTAAGATCGTGCAGAGTGGCACGGAAGCTGTCATCAATATCCACCCTCACGATATCCTTATCGTCACACTCGGATCTATCTTCGCGGGCTCGACCTCGGGCGCGAATCACTCTCCTCCTGCGCCGGTTCCCGATATTGAGGAGTTGAAGCTCGACGACTCGTGGGACCTATGGTTTAAGCTCTCGCAGAAACACCCGGAATTCGGAGACCCGTCGCCCTTCTGCACGCGCATCGCTGAGTCGACTATTGAGTGCTTCCTTGTGATGCTGAGTGATTGGGAATTCTTTGAGCACTTTGCGAGCCTGGTGCACACTTCACCTAACATGCGCACGCTAGTGAGTTTCAAAGACAGCAACTGGCATTTGAGCCTGAATGTGCCACGGCAGCGGCATGTCGTCCGCCAACCGGAAAATGCCCCGTGGATATGGGGCTATGCGCTGTCCCCATCACGAGAGGGAAACTTCATCCGCAAACCAATGAGTGAATGTACCGGAGAAGAGGTCCTGATGGAAGTGCTTCAACAGATGCAGTTCCCTCTAGACCGGATACTTGAGCACTCCGTCACATTGACTAGTTTGATGCCATTCGCAACGGCGCAGTACCTAACGCGAGACGACGGTGATCGCCCAAACACGGTTCCTGGCAACGTGCAAAATATGGCCCTCATCGGCCAATTTGTGGAGCTCCCTGATGATACCGTGTTTTCTATGGAGTACAGCGTCCGCAGCGCACAAACGGCTGTATATCACTTGATGGGCTTGGACAAGAAACCTAAAGCGCATAAAAGCTCCTGGGATGGCTTTTGGACGATTTTATTATAACTCAGCGGTCAAATTATTCTGCGTGGCTCATTTTTTTGACCTTCCCTTAGTTAGGAATTCAAATATTTCGTATTGAGATGCACAAGTTTCCCAAGTATCGTCGCTTAAATTCCAATTACCTTTATATTATGTCCAACTGTCCGATACCGTTTGAAGTCAAAATGTCAGCACCAACTACTCTGCAAGGGAGCGAGCAGCTATGATCAAGAAGGAACAAGAAGATTCATTGGCCAAGCTCCCCCAGAATGCACTTTTCATGGTCCTCTGGATTCGGTCAGATCCGCCCCGGCAGAACGACTTCCATTGGGGTTCTATTTCCATTCTGGCCCTCGAGGTGGCACCAATGATAAATATAGGCCGTGGATGGATACCCGATCATGGTCCAACTGGAGGAGATTATCACTCAATTGTTTGGATCTGGGGTCATTGCGCCGATCTGAATGCGTCTGCTGTTGTTGATGGGATGTGATTCGGAGGTGGCAAACTTTAGCTGACGTCATGTGGCACTAGCCAACAAATTATTTGTTTATTTAATTCATTGTAACGAACCGATGTTGAGTTGATACCGATGTCGAGTTGATTAAGCGAGGTTGCGGGATTATGTGACGGGATTATATGATCTACAACCCGTCCGTTCTTTTGTACGATAACGCATAGGAGCCTTCCTTCTTTCTTTCTCTTTTCTTATCTTTGATACTTTTAGTTAATTATATAGAAATTTCTTTTGTTTTCAAGTCTTTATATTGTATAAAAGATCTTTTACGCCACCTAAGATTATATAGACTACTTATCTAGGGATGTATCTTGACTAATTAGGTTATATCCTATTTATCTTAGGTATCCGTGTCCTACTGTGCACCCGGGGACTTGGATGGTCCCGAAGCAGGGCTTGCCTAGGTTGGGTTATCCCTGCCCAGGTGCTCCCCAAACGGGCAAGCCCAAGCCACCCGGCAGAGATCCTTGTTCAACATTCAAAATTGAAAGAATAGTGCGGGCTCCTTTGTTCACACTGTAGATATAATTTCAGAAGCTCTAAAGTTCTGAAGTTCCACCTTTTACTATTAAAATGTTTTCTGTGCGACCGTCCATAGTATCGCTAATCTGGTTCAAGTTTATAATTGAAGTACACAAAAAGGAAAGACCCTCCAAGTTTGTTAAATATTGGTTCTTTCCCGTGGTACCTCCTCTTTTTTCTTTTTTCCTTTTGATTTTCAGACTTCATTGACTGCCCCTCATGGCTGGGTATGTTTTTTGGCCCCTTGTCGGGGTCGTGTTAATGCTCTTAATGCTCCATGGGAAGACAAATCCTCGCCTCAAGCATATTCCGATTGTCCGCTACTCAAATTATCTACCTACTTTTATGAACAGGATTCTGTATTACCCTAGGGCGGCGTCAATGATCTACTGGGGATATGAGAAGGTATGGATGGAGCTCAGTTACTCTTCTTGCATGGATTGATATCTATGATTTGGTATACTAATACGCACAACAGTACAGGGATTCCGCATATCGAATGCTTACGGGAGATGGAGAGGTTGTGGTTTTACCAGTGAGATATCTGTCTGAGCTCAGGCATTCTCAATCTTCTGTGATCAGTGGATTGCATGCGCAATATGAGGTATACTTCCTCCAGGCACAAAAGGCATTCGGGTGCTATCATTGACATTTAATAGAACGCTCTGGGAGACTATACCAATCTCCTCATCAATAGTCAGATACCCTCAATGACAGTTCGGAAAAAATTGACTCCTCAACTTGGTATCTATAAAGCGAAAGATAGTCTCGTTTTAAGGGCTCTTACTGACAGAGCACCCAGCACGAGTAATCCCTTGGGTAATAGATGAGCTCCATTATTCCTTCGAAGTCGCCATCCCAGAATGCGAAGGTAAAAAACCCGAACTCAAATACATTTCTCTATTTTCCCGCCTAAACGCCAAGGAGATATTCAACGGTAAAAGATGCATGCATACAAAGAGGCTTGCTAACCGTTTCCAGATCACTGGATACCAATAAAGCCCCACGAGATGTTCGTCAATCTGATAGCCCGTGCTACATCCCGAGTCATTGCAGGCGAGGCCCTCCGCCGAAACGAAGAATGGCTGGAAACCGCAAGCTCCTACTCTGTGAATGTAGGGCTAACCATCTTGCTACTCCGTCCGGTCCCCACATATCTCCGGCCTCTCGTTGCACGTTTTCTCCCCCCAGTACAACAGATGAAATCCCAGCTGCAGTTCGTAAAAGACCTCTTCATCCCAATCATCAACGAGCGCAGAGCTTCACATGAGAAAGCAGTGCAAGAGAATGACCCGGGCTATGTAGCTCCAGACGACTTGTTGCAGTGGATGATGGACATGGGAGAAACCAAAGAGGATGAGGATCCCAAGCTACTAGCACATCATATGCTGTTATTGATGAGTCTGGCGGTTGTGCATACGAGTGCGATGGCTATGTGTCATGCACTTTATGATTTGCTTCAGAGGCCAGAGTATATTGCGCCCTTAAGGAAGGAGATCATGGCAACCTTGACGGATGGATGGGAGAATGCGACCAAGCGGTCGTTTGATAATCAGAGGAGATTGGATAGTTTTTTACGAGAGTCGCAGCGGTTTGGGTCACCAGGAGAATGTGAGTTTTCATTTATTTTCTGTTTGTTCTCTTTCGAAGATAGACGAACTCTGGATGTTCAGTGGCTGCCATGGTTGTGTTAATATAATCACTCATGGAATGAAGACGATGCTAACGCTTTGCATAGTATCTTTCCACCGTATCGTTATGGAACCTCTCGCCTTATCCGACGGTCTTTTCCTCCCCGTAGGAACACATATCTGCTTTCCTTCGGGTCCTATCAGCAAAGACCCCACCCATGTTGAGAATCCGGAAACATTTGATGGCTTCCGTTGGTGCCAGAATCCGACTGATCGAAACGCCCTCAGAGAAATTTCTGGCCAGAAGACGCCGACGGAAGAAAAGCACAGCGACCAGAGTCGTGGGGATGAGAAGAGCAATCAACAGCAGGTGTTGAAGCAGGTTCCGTCGACCTCAACCAGTTTTGTTAGTATCAGTGCGTCCAGTATGCATTTCGGGGCCGGTGCTCAAGCTTGTCCTGGCCGGTTCTTTGCGGGGTGCAGCATTAAAGCGATTTTCAGTAAGATCATCATGGATTACGATTTCAAGTATGAAGAAGGGAGGTGCAACTGGAGGCCAGCGAATATTTGCGTTGGGGAGCATATTTTGCCTAACACTGGCACGACTGTAATGTTTCGGAAGAGGTTGATAGAGGTTGCTTGAGGTTTGTTGATAGGTACCACAGCAGGCCAAGAGAGGGAAGATTGGTTGAAGGAAACCAACAGGTGGACAATCAAAAATGATAGCAGACAAATAGAGGCATCACATCAAATGGTCGATGTTGCCAAAATTGTATTCATTGAATCCAAAACAAATCAAGTACCACACTAAATACCATCACCATCCACCACCAGTAAATACTCCTTTGGGGAAAACTATACATAAATACAATGGCGGATATCCGGTCATAAAGACAGACATCTAGGTAATAATTAACATGATACTTGAACAATTGCAAATAGGCAACCTGGTTGATCATATTACTGGTCGTTCACAGCAATTGACCCTCTTCCACGGTTCTGTCCACGTGAGCCATTGCCGCGGCCACGGCCGCGACCACGTCGTTGCTCTAATCCTTGAGGGGGCGGAACTTGTGAGTAGTTCTGGGGCTTGAAGTTAGGGTTGCGTTCCAGTACACCCTCGTTGGGGTCACCGTTCTCAATGGGGGCATAACCACCCCGTCCTCGGCCGCCTCGGCCACCACGGTTTCCATTCGCAAATCCCCCACGGCCACGAGGGCCACGCGGAGGACCATCATTAGTGTGGGGACGGAAGGGCAGTGCAGTTGGTTGGCCGTTAGCAAACCCGCCGCGTCCTCGAGGAGATTGTCCAGAAACGGCACCCCGGAATGAACCTCTGAGGGGTGGAGGCACAGGCGCATTCTGCAACTGTCCCTGTCCGTTGGGACCAAGGGGCGCACCGTATCCAGGGACTGTTAGAGGAGTAGGTTCCTGGTGAGGCTGCTGGCTCGTGGTAGCACGCGAACTGGTAACCAGCTGGCGATATGAGATGTTCAGGACAGATGCGGCAGGGACTGTTTGGCCACGGAATGGTGAGCAACGCTTGCCGAGATCTGTGCCGCTCATGAAAGAGGCATCGAATACCACGTCAAGTAGAATGGTGAGCGGCGTTCTTGTGATACCCACGATCGTTCCTCGGGTAGCAATTGGAACCTTTCCAGAGTTCTGAGCATACACAACCCGGTCACCAAGTTTGAAAGTTTGGCTACCAAGACGTTGCTCGACATCCTCAGGACGGAGGAGAGCACCTCGGGGAACACTTCGGACCATCTTTGGCTGCATTTCCGGCAGTGACTGGTTCATTTCGTCGGCATCGTTTTGGATGAGCAGAACGATATCGGAATCAAGTTGCTCAGCTTCAAGCGGGACTCGGGCAAAATCCTTTGCCTCAACTGACTTGAGCCAGTCACGGATCTCCTTTATCTTTGCTAGAGCAATATCCTCTGGGTAGAAATCGGCAGGAGAATAGCGGTCACGTTGGGGATTTCGTTGAATGCCAGCAATGAATTCAGGGAAAGTGATCATGTACTGCTGGAGCAAATTCACTGCCTTGCTGCTGAATTCCCAACCAGACTCTCCACGACGAGAATATCCAAGAACTTTCTGCTTTCGCGCCTCAAACTTGAGGTTGAGGCCAAGATTGACGCGCGAACCTTCAACATCGACAGAGAAGGAGGAAGTAATCTTAGCTAACACAAGAGGATTAAGGCGCAGACTTCTTGCGATGGCGTAAGAAGGCATGTAGGGGCAGGATCGCTCAGCCTCTTGAACGTGCTTGCGCCCAAACTCCGGCTCTTTGCCTTTGACAGCTGCGATGAGCCCGTTTACCTTTCCTTCGGAGTGGCCGGTCACATGAACAGGTCGACCATAGTTGAAATCACCTAAGAAGAAGCAACGTGAACCCTCTGGGAATTCCTCTTCAATGGGCAGCGCTTCACGTTCAATGAAACGTTGGTCAGGGTTTACGACGTCGTCGACCACCACTTGAGCTGCAAAGTCCGTTTCTTGTCCTGGTATATCCGCAAATTCTTTGATGGTAGCTCCATCATCGGTCTTAATCATGCCTTTCAACAGTTGGATGTGGATCAATGACTCGACACCTCCAATAATGACACCAAGTCGCTTGCTGTAGGTGCCCTCGATCTTGTCCGCCTTCTTCTTCCATTGTTCAATTTGTTGAGGAGTATGTGGGATCGAAACAGGATGTTGCTCGCCTGGAGGAAGAATGTAGTCAAACAGCTCATCTGAGACGCGGACGACAAGGGCCTCTTGCAAGTACGGATATCCGACATGGACCCGTTTACCAAGCTTAGCCTTGGCTAATTCGACACTGGCACGACTGGAGGGGTCCAGAAGTGTGATGACCTGACTTTCATTGCGGCTCTCCTGCTGGAACACGCAGACTCCGTGGAAGCCTAGCTGGCCCATGTTTGGCAGGGTCTTGAGGGTAGGGAAGCCAGCTAGTGCAGCTTCGCCCAGTTGCACGCCTTCCATCAGTCCATGATATGGGACCAATCCATCCATTGTGGGGAGGTCAAATGTGTTCTCGATGCAATGGCAGTTGGGCAAATCAGGAAATACGCCAGGCATAGAAGATGGATAGACGAAGTTCACATCGCTGGAATAGGTGAACTTCAAACTAGCTCCAAAGCCATTACGCGATTTCTCGTCGGGGGTGAGATGGTTCTCTCGCGTTTTCAAGGCATCAAGCAGACGTTTCTCGTCAATGAAAGGAATCTTGACCACAGCCTCCCACTCCATCTTCTTACCATTCATGTCAAGTTCAAAGTCACGAGGATAGAAATCGATGATAGGAGATTCGGGAGAAGTCATTAGATCCCAGTAGCCTTTCGGCACAATCTGTTTACTGCGATCAGGTAACACGCCCATCAACTGATCATATGGTCGGAAGGGCTGTCCAAGTCGGAAATTCATGTTTGCACCAAGGCCTCTCTTTACGTCTGTTCGACTGTCAGTATCAATGGATAATAGCAGAATATATATATATAAAAAGGTGAACACGGGACAAAAGCAACCATGGACCACTGACCAGAAATCATCGGAGCGTAGTGATATTGGAAATACCAAGGCCACGATGCGATACCCCGATAGTAATAGAAAAGAACCCATTGCAAGCCTTGCACATAGTTCTCTGCAAGTTTTTTCATCTCCTCCTCGTTGTCAAGCCCCCAGCCAAATTTGCTGCGGTAATAGTTGTCCCTCCATTCAAGGAACTTGGCATCATATTTCTTCTCTGCGGCCTCTTGCGCCTCCTCCGCAGACATGTCCTGAACTTTGGCCTTCTCATACTTTCGAATAATACGCTGAATCGCCAAAGTCGCCTCCCCATCATCATCATCAGATTCGTCATCTTCGTCGTCATTCTCAGGCTGGGGTAGCTGAAGTCTCATGAAACGGTCGCCATTCTCGTTCTCGGTGGTTGACCAGGAGACTCGAAGCTGATCGGCAAGCTTTTCTACAAAGCTGCGATCGCGGGCTGGCAATGTTGAAGGAAAGTCCAAGGGCTTCACGTCGGAGCCCTTACCAGGTCGGTTCAAAACATATTTCTTGATCGTCTTGAGGATTTCTTTCTGAGAGGTGGTGATGGTCAACTCCTTGGGTCTTGTCTCCAACTCGAGTGTACCGTCATTCTGCTTTGATTTGATCCACTGCGCATCCGAGAACTCGTGCTCAAAAAATCGATGCTCAAAAGCACTCATTGCATCAATCAACGTCCCCAGACGTTCCACATTAATGACGCCTTCCTCGTTGATGTAACCGCCCATCTTTGGCAAAACTTCCTTGTAAATCTTGAACATAAGCGCCAGCGCACCCTCGTTGATATGTAGATTAGGCAAGTTGGGCAAGAAGTCATTGCCCACAAAGAAGGCCATGAGAATAAAATCGTCTATCACGCGCTCCATATCGAATGGGAAATCCAGAGCTCCTTCGTCTTCAAGCTCCTGAAACTCTAATTCCAGATATTCCCGAACCATGCTCAGATGTAAAAGATAAAAGTTTTGATGTTCGAGTTCCTTAGGTTTCTTCTGTGTCTGACGCCCAAATGTCACCTCCTCTCGGAGAAGACAGAAGTGGGGGTCATGGCTCAGAAGACCCAACATGATGAGATCGGCATCCAAGCCATAAAGACAGTGTCGCATATTAGAGTGATAACCAGGCTGTGCCTTTGAGCGCCGAATGTATTCCATGATCTTGTGCTCACCTTCTCCAGGGACCTCATGGCCCGAGAGCACAATTTCCACGCCTTTCCAATCCGAATCCTCCGATATTTTCTTGTTGATGAAATATTTCAGTTGTTGGGTCAATCTCGCCATGAACTCGGTGCCGGGCGTAATACAGTTGCTGTCGAAGGCGTCTTCTTTCGGCATTTCCATGCCTTGCGCAATTGCCTTTTCTTTCGCATTTTCAGCGTCCAGCGCAGTTCGGAAACGACGCGCACGTTGCTGGTTCATCTTGGCACGTGGTGCGACACCATCGACCGCCATAAAAAACAGCTTCTGTGGTTTAATCTTTCCAAACAGGTGCTCGATATAGTTGAAAATGGCAATAAACATCTGCTCTTCTGACATGCGGAATGTTGGGGAGTCACTGTCACTGTGTGTACAGTTGTGAATAATACCGTTCATGTCCAGGTATAAGCTATCAAACTCCGGGATGCGATTCTCCTTGATGAGTGTGGAGATCGCGGGATACCGCTCGCTGAGCCAGCGAAAAAATTTGGGGACACCCATTGTGATGATATACGGTGTTCCTCACAGGTAAATCGAGAAGAAATAATGGAATGAAGTCTTGCGAAAACTTGTACAAGAGTTCTGCGATAGCTGAAGTTGCCGTAAAAATAGCGTGGGGGAAGAAGTGAGAAAAGTATCGTCAGAAGAATCGGAAAGTGGAAATCCAATACAGCTGTCGTCTCCGTAAATAAACTGGCAAAAGCAAAATCAAAGGCCAACGCCAAAAATCCCACAAGAGCTAAGTTCCCCTTGGGAGATTAATGAATAGTGTTTCAAGGAAGGAAGGACTGTATGTCACAGAGTGGGAAAGGCAGAGATGGACGTCAGTCAAGCTCAAGTCACCGCCAAGGTCATCGTTACCGAATGTGGACTAGTGTCAGTGGCACCCATTAACGCGGTTTCGCGTTGGGGGAGATCGCCCTTCTGCGACTGAACCTCTTTTTTCTTGCTCAAAGATCAAATCCCTGGGCTGCATTAACCTTGTGGTATTTTTGTTGTTGGAAAAATATGGATCACTTTGAGGACGAGAACAGTATGTTGACTCAAGCAATGCTATCCCCTGGAGATTTTCCATTCTAACTAAGCATTAGTGGTGGAGGAGCAGCAGGAGAGAGAAAGCGAGCACAGCAACGAGAAGATCGTCAATGAAGGTAACTAGGCAGGAGCTTCAATCCGTTGTCTCATTTTATCTCAATTATCAATTCGGTCAAAACAGACTTACTGAACCATCCTCGCTTCTGCCACAGAATACAAGACATGGAAGAAGAATGCGCCGTTCCTTTATGATATGATTCTGAGTACAGCTTTGGAATGGCCGACCCTCACCACTCAGTGGCTCCCCGATAAGCAAGAGTACGTTCAAATAATTGGTTTGCTTTCTGAGCCAGTATCTAACAGGTTTTACCTTGTCTAGGGTCCCCGATAAGCCTTATTCCACTCATCGCCTACTCATTGGCACCCACACGGCAGGCGACGCCCAGAACTACCTCCAAATTGCTCATATTCAGCTGCCAAACCCCAATGCCCCCAATCCAGACGACTATGATGAGGAGCGTGGGGAGATTGGTGGCTACGGTGGCGGGCCCAAGAAGCCTCAGATGGAGATCAAGTTCAACATTGCACAGAAAATTGATCACAAGGGAGAGGTGAACAAAGCTCGTTATCAACCTCAAAACCCGAATATCATTGCGACTATGTGTACCGATGGACGGGTGATGATTTGGGACCGATCAAAGCACCCCAGTCAACCCACGGGAACAGTGAACCCCCAGATGGAGCTCCTAGGACACGAGGCAGAAGGGTTTGGATTGAGTTGGAACCCCCATGAAGCTGGCCATCTTGCGACCGGTAGTGAAGACAAGACTGTCAGACTATGGTGGGAGCTTATCTATTTTACCGCCTGTTTTTAAGACGCCATGCTCACAATAATGACAGGGATCTCACAACATACACAAAGGGCAACAAGGCCGTCCGCCCTACGCGCACTTACACCCACCACTCATCGATCGTAAACGATGTTCAGCACCACCCTCTTCATTCTTCGCTCATTGGTACTGTCTCCGATGATATTACTCTTCAGATCCTTGATGTCCGTTCTTCCGACACTACGCGTGCTGCTACAATTGCAGAGGGCCAGCACCGTGATGCCATTAACTCTATCTCGTTCAACCCGGCAGCTGAGACCATCCTGGCGACTGGTTCCGCTGACAAGACGATTGGTCTTTGGGATCTTCGAAATCTGAAGACCAAGCTCCACTCCCTGGAAGGTCACAGCGACTCTGTCCAGTCAATCTCGTGGCATCCCTTTGAGGAGTCTGTCTTGGCCAGCTCCAGTTATGACCGCAAGATTATGTTCTGGGACCTCAGCCGTGCTGGCGAGGAACAGACCCCCGAGGACGCGCAGGACGGTCCTCCTGAGCTGTATGTCTTTCTAATCGTTTATATGACATGTTTGTCTACATCCCTCGGCTTGGCTAATCTATTTTTTGTCTAGTTTATTCATGCATGGAGGTCACACCAACCGCATCTCCGACTTTAGCTGGAACCTTAGCGACCCGTGGGTACTATGTTCGGCGGCCGAAGATAACCTACTCCAGGTTTGGAAGGTGGCCGATGCCATTGTGGGCAAAGATCTGGAAGATGTCCCGACCGAGGCACTGGAGGCATAATTGCTCATTTTGGTACTCGATTTTATTTGTTCAAGTTCTCTATTAAATCTTTTTTTTTCTGGTCGGCGAAACAAAGGGTCATGTAATGAGGCATTTAAAAACCCTGACATTTGAAACTTGCATTCATATATCTCCAGGGCTCCTATGCTCCTTTGGGCGTAATTCTACTCCGAGTAGAGCCACATGGAGTAAGCATACAATTCTGCCGGCCCGTTATCTGTGACGTGTTTCAGCTCGATCTTCGAACGAAGGCATTAATTAATGGGAATGTGTAAATTATTACACTTGTGTCACTATAATATGCCAGGAACTGTTCAACAAAAATGGTGTTTTAGTCCCTTCGATTTTCAAGTTTATCAAGGCCCAAGCCCCTCCGAGTCTCTCTTAATGGCATCAGCACTAAAAGTCCTTCCGCGGACAACCCAGCTTAGTGCGTGATTGATGGATCCCCAAGGCGGTGTCGGGAAAGGTGAGGGGGACGTTGGTGAAAGTAGCTTAGCGTGCTTTCGGATGACCGTTGCGACAAAAAAAAAGTAGAGTCACTAATGCCGATGACTTGCAGAACTATTTGAATTCCGTTCCGCCCTATTTTTTTCTTCTAAGATTCAAGTGTGACCCATCATATTATATTGAAGCTGACAGTGTCCCCCGATTCTCCTCAAAAACCACCCAAAAAGAGAGGCTATCCCCACTATGGGCTCAGAAACCACCCCTCCCTCCAAGCCCTCCGCAATTCCATCCCACATGTTGAACGGTGGCTCCCCTTTGCAATCGTCTTCGGGCCCTAGCACAGGGACTACCGCACGCGATGTCCGTGAACGTGAGAGTCTCAATTCTTCCATTCGCTCGTCCTTTGCGCCTCGAGTGCCTGCGGGGCTAGGATTTGATGTCGAGGCCGCTGCTACACCCAGTGACGATGCGACGGTTCGGGAGGCAGCAGAAGCTCCTACTGCTTTGGCTACCCGGTATGTTGCTGGTGGAATTTTCAACCTGATATAAATATTTGATTTCATTCTTCTAACACCTTACTCATATAGCGGAAGACCGACTTTGAATGGCCCTCCCCGCGATCCCCGGGACGAGGGCGGTCCGTTGACCCCGCCGGCGACTGTATCCCGCCCCGCCAGTCCTTATACACTGAACCCCCCAATCGATTTTGATGGACTGAGCTGGCCTTGTAAGTGCTAATCTTTCTTCATTGGAGATTCGGCTCCTCTGGTCCTTTCTCTATCTTTTCATCAATACCAAACGTTTTCCAGAGCAAAAAAATGGGCAATCTTACTAAATATATTCTGCGCCCCACAGGCCCTGGAACTCGGCAGCGGTTAGATTCCACCCCCGAAGAAAACGAAGAACGATTGAAGAAGCTTTCAGGTGCCGTCAGAACAATTTTAGAATGTGTTGGAGAAGACCCTGAGCGCGAGGGCCTCCGTGAGACCCCCGAGAGGTACGCCAAGGCCATGCTCTACTTCACCAAGGGCTATGAAGAGAACGTTCGAGACCTGGTCAACGGTGCAGTCTTCCATGAAGACCACGATGAATTGGTCATTGTCAAGGACATTGATGTGTTCTCTCTGTGTGAGCACCATATGGTCCCTTTTACTGGAAAGGTATGAGAACCTGCATATATCCGTGGCGAATAACAATCACTGACGATGTGGGGCAGATGCATATCGGTTACATCCCGGATCGTCGTGTCCTGGGACTTTCAAAACTGGCCCGTCTGGCTGAGATGTTCTCTCGCAGACTTCAGGTTCAAGAGAGACTGACCAAGCAGGTCGCCTTGGCAATTTCGGAGGTGCTGAAGCCTCGGGGTGTTGGCGTTGTGATGGAGTCTTCCCACCTCTGTATGGTCATGCGTGGCGTGCAGAAGGTTAGCAGCACTACCACAACAAGTTGCATGCTGGGATGCATGCGCTCAAGTGCTAAAACCCGCGAAGAGTTTTTGACACTGCTTAACCGACGCTAATTTGCGTCTCTTCACTCTTTAATATGTGCCATCTCCTTCCGGTTTCATTTGAGTTAAGATATTTTGTTTTGATTTTGGAGTTTGGGGCGTAACCTTTCAACAGGTTTACATAATGCCGGTTTTCTATTTTTCACCTTCTTTACTATTGAGACTCTAGCGGGGATATGGGTCTTTTCTGTTTATTTCCTGTCTTCCTCGATTTTCGACTCGATTTTTTGCATATACCTTCGGCAGACTCATTGGGCTACACAGTTTCCAACTGCTTTTCAACACCTTGCACTTGCATACTCACTGGAAAATACCGTGAATGGGACCCTTGATCTCTTTTATTCATGGCTTTTTGTTTCCATATCCCAAAGATAACAACGATCTTTCGACTCCATGATGTTTCAACATGCACCACCTTCCATGCGACTCTTTCTTATTTTTTAACTCTTTCCCCCTCCCTTTCTCTGCGTGTGTCCTGGGTTTCTCTACTGAAAACCCAACTCCTCTTGGCAGTGCCAGCGAGGCTGTTTCAACACTTGAAGTCTTCATCTTGTACTCAAAATTAACCCAAAACCTTGATAAGAGGCTATTTAGCCAGATTACTTGTATATGTACCGTGTTCTATACATTGGAATGCCATGAATACCTAGGTACTCAACTCATTGTTTCTTTTGACAACACTGTATAGCTTATTTCATATCAGTAGTAGAAAGGATACCTCTACCTATTGGAAAGGCACTGTCATGTATATCCAATGCTAAATTCTGACTCGTAAGCATGATGATGAATATAGATAGTATCATTGTGACTTACATGATTGGAGCCTTACCAAGGGGGGGGGCTGGGATCGAGGTCCATGTACTACGTTCAGTTCTCTCTACATAAACGGATTCAGGGCCGCGAGGCTCAGTAAATCTATAGTAAGGGGTGCTTGAGATCTCAACTGGCAGCTGTAATTACTCATTTAGATTATCCTTTGATTCCTTGTGGTGATTCAAAATCTGGCTTGCTACCATGGCAATGTCAGGGCTGCTTAGATATGAATCAGCACACACACCTGCCTAGGTGACTCTTCTGGAAGCAACGTTATATTAGGCTCCCCTAGCAACAACCATAGTTTTCCGAATGGGACTTACATGTAGCCCAGGAGGCTGGTAGTGGTTACCTAAAAAGTGGACTCTATGACCTAAAAATTGACTCTATAGAGAGTGAATGTTAGCAACCCTATGTAATCAACTACCTTCACACATAACCTTGAGTGAATGCTCCCAAGCTGATCCGTTCATTAACTTCATTAACTTCTGCTGATCTCTCTTCTTCCTTATTCGATCCAACATCTCTCTGTTTACGTTCCCAACTTCCAAGGCCCTGCATTTTCACGACTGGGTGCTTGATCAGGTTCACTTTCTCATTTTGCTCTTACATTTCACGATGGCCACACCCAAGCCAACACAAGGACTTGCCAGTCAGTCAATATCTCAGAGCCATAATAGAATCGTGGCCCACAACGCGCAGGAAGCAATACGAAGACTTAGGGTTCAATATCCTCATCAACATCATAATCCCATCGAAAACTTACAGTTTCCAAGTCTGGGCGCTACATATACTCGGTCGCATATAAATACTGCCCAGCGTGCTTGCCCTCAGAATCAGTTTCCTTGTATTCAGCCTACCACCGTCAACGATTTTGATCGGATGTTCCATACAATTCAAGATCAAGACCTCGAGCTTGAAACTGTAGGACTGGGTCACCTGGTATCGGCCTTATCTACCGACAACACTGGACCATTATTTGTCGACCCTCATGCTGGCCTCCAAGCATACCTTATCCGACAGCAGCTCATAGCAGGGGTCTCTCCAGAAGATGTGGTCCCCATCGAGTCGTTTCCTACACCAACCCACCTGAACCGACGATCCTCTGTTCCCACCTCCGTCAACGTAAACCCGTCAGATCCCGAAGCGGGGATGACGGTTCCAAGAATTCCCAGTCCACAGTTCGATGGCTACCTCGAGCCACTCGGATGGTATCCGGCAATGGTGGATAGTACATATGACTCTTTCTTGGAACCAGATGCGCCAACAGTGCTCCGACAGGAAGAGGTCAATGAAGTAGTCGAAGAGGTACTTCAAGAGCTATTCCCAGATTACATACCTGAGGTCGATTGCGATTTTATCGACGCAATGCTTCTTGATTTGCGAGGCGAAGGAAGCGAAGGAGGCGAAGGGGCTTCTCGGGAACCCTCCTTCTAGTTTGCTGAGAATCGAGATGTACGCATGGTTGAAACAAAAGCCATACACGGGGATAGTTCAATTCGCTTATTGTTACTCTCAGAATGGATGTGCGAATGTACTTAGCCAAATGACTGGGCCTAACTGGTTATACTCAAGAGTCACAAATAAATCAAACACCGAGCAAGGATGTCCCATAGTAAATGTCAGTAGATCAAGTAGACCAAGTAGATCCCCAGAAGCTCCACTTCTTCTTGATCAGATTAACCGTGCGCCAATCACACGTGATAGATCACGTGAAGACTGCGGAAGTTCCAGGCGGCCGCAACCTCAACCTGACGTGACATCAACAACAACTCTGCCATGTCCCACTTGCCCCATCGGCTTGCCGTCCCCATATTCTTGGACATATCAACAATAATCCCTGCTCCTGGATGGATGGACAATCAAGTTAACCCTTAACCCCCACCCCGCCTTGTTAGTGCATCTCGGCCATCAAAACACCATGCCACTTCCTGCCGCACGGTCCAGGGTCAGTCAGCAGGAGCAAGTGTGGAACGCAACCCAAAGCGCAACCTGAAGACGTCCTCAAATTTAAGCTACACAAATGGCCTTAGGCTAAGAACCGAGTTATATTTTTTCTTTTATGCTGCTTTTTTTTGTTGTTCATTGTTCGAAATACCGCGAGTGATAGAATGGGATTGAATACTGGAGGTTCTAAACCTTCGTCTTTCACGTCTCTTGGACGTATCCAATATTTACCGTGCGAGGACATATGCACTTTGCTGACTGGAAAATTTGGTGCACTGCCCGGAGCGGTTTACTTGTTGCAACATTCACCTTTCTCCACATGAGAGATCTACTGCTGATCATCTGAAAGTCGACGATGGGAAACATAGCTGGCATTCGCAAGTTTATTCAAGACAATTTTGGAGGGTGGTTAAGAGCGATTTCTCAGGGAATTTTGGGAACAGCCCTTCCTTGTTCAGATATACCGGGCCTCACTTAGCCGGATGGGATCCTTTTCTTTTCAGATAGACTTCCCCTTGTCTTTCTGCTGTAAATCATGACCAGAACTGTTTTGCAGTGAATGGTCTATTTTCTCTTCTGATCTCGCCTGCAACTACCGACATGAAGCCCCCGTGGCTTCTCAGTCAATCGTTTTCGGATATGCTCTCCCATGAAGCATGGCGATCGTCTGAGAGACGAAGCACCCAACCTCATACTGCAGGACTATATCCATTGCCTTGATTGGAAACTACCATCTCATTATGATCACAGACTGAGAGACAGGGCCCAGGGTCGACAAACTGCGTCGGCTTTGAGGTTTTCCTATACCCAGCAATTATGGTGTCACAGCCTGCCGTGCTATCAGCTTGGCTTTATGCAGAACGTAGATAGAGTGATCCACTAAGTCTTTCTTTTGTCAAGTGCGATCCTGCCTTACAAGGGAAGATGGGTGGTGTTGAACAAGTGAAAAGGCAAACCAGGCCAAGAAACTCAAACAGCTTCAAGAGCTAACTTGCAGGTCGATCCTATTCTCTCATTCAGAAGCCCCCGTTGGGGCTGTATTTCTCCAGAAAAGAAGGGATATGCGAGAGAAAGTACTTTTATCGTGCAAGCGACAGTGGAAGATGAGTGAAGGCGGCTCATTCCAAAAAAAAAAATTAAAGGAAACACCGGTGGATGGGAGTTGTTTGGCCCTCGACTAACGCCATGGCCTCATACTTTATTGCTCCGAAGCCAGTTGTAGAGCCGCACAGGCCAGTCCCACCACGCCAGCTAATCTTCCGCCTCTCACAGCCATTCCAAGCGGCCAACAGCTAGATTAGTAAATTGCTTTCAGCATTTCTTTGACATTGAAATGTTTCTGCCATCTTATTGATGCCATTTCATGCTTGTTGAACGAGTTGAGATCCCTGTCCCTTTGCTCATCAACCTCGCAGTGATCGGAAAAACCACTACTCCGGGACGACTCCTCTCCAAAACCCAAAGAACTTCCGCCTCAACGGACGCGATCACAATCAAACGGCTCCACTCTCTGCGATTCACAGGAATTTTTGGGCGTGTCGACTCTGTCCTCCCACCCTATTCGCCTGGCTACATCTATTTGCAGAAGCCAACGCCAGATGCTGCTGGCCACGTTTTCATGGCTGGATCCCGTAGGAGTCCGGTGTTGAGAGACCAGTGGAGTGGTGACCCCGATCGCGAACCCCGTCCCCGAGACAATAATAGAGGTCGAGTCTCTCACAGAGATAGAGGAAGATATCGCAACCGTGATCGGGGGCGAGGATCACGTCCCAACGGCCGTCGTTTTGATTATCCCCCTCGATCGCCACCGATATCTGGACGCGTATCCCGCTTCGGTCCTGATTCATCCATCGCACCAAACGACCCTGCCATCGATCGATCACCCCCGCGAGGCTCTCCTGGTCCATCTCCAGGATTCTATAACAATCGACGCTCAGACCAGAATCGCCCTCCATCATCAGGCGACTGGAACTCCCATCCATCCGGACCTTTGGAAAGAGACGGCCCTGGGTTTCGGCGAGACGACTCGCCAGGTGGACCTCCATCTAAACGCAAAAGAACACGCAGCCCTTCACCTCGGGGCCCTCGCGGCCAATTCCCCCCACGTCAACCCTCGTTTGCAAAACACGGAGACCGACGCGACCGTAGTCCCGGCTACAAGAACCGAGGAGGTAGGTTCCCGGGCCGTGGGGGTCCTAGGCGAAGATCCCCTCGTCGTGGCCGGGACCGCCGTGGAAGGGACCGTGGTCGCCCTGATTTTCAAAGACCTGGCCGCTCTAGGTCACCCGCGCGGGGACGAGGAAACCCTACATCACCAGATCGACGCTCTCGAACACCCAGTGCCGGGGGCTATAGTGACCGAGATTCACGCTACAGGTCCCGCTCAGTATCTAGACATTCTGGGCGGTCTGCAGCATCGAGAATATCTTCTTTCTCTTCTCGTATACGGGGAGATGAGGGCATAAACTTGAACCGACCAGCTCAGTATGTGGCTGATGATTCTGCTCTGGCTCCCTCACCACGTCCAATACCGAGCTTTGATGACAGCCAAGTCGGCCGATTGGGCGATGAGCCTGATATTGCGCGCGACGCATTCTCGATACATGGGTCTCGGCAACCAGATATACGAAATAAGCAGCGTAGACCCTCACGGTCACATATCGATATCCACCCATATTCAAAATCACCACATTTCACGCCAGCAAGTTCCCACCGTGGATCTCCACCCACGTCTCCCCGTTCTGGAGGACGAGGGGGTTGGAACGGCCAACCCGCATATTCAGGCCCTGGGTAAATCAATGATTTTTTCCTTCATGCATCATATATAAACATGTGCTAATTTTGCGTTTCTGGAAATAGCCAATCTTCACCTCATCGAAATGATGATTATTATCATTCGCAGAATATCCCTACTGGGCCATATAGCCAAATGCATCAAGGATTTGATGGACCCTCAAACCACCATGCGCAGACGCCCCACGGCGCTGCGCCTTATCGTGGTGGCCTTTCTGGCTACCGAGGCAACCACCCACCTCAAGGTCCAAGCCACCGATATTCTGGGCCTGGCTCTCAACAGTACAGTAATGGACCGATGCACCGCGGCGGAAGGGGCCACTTCAATAACTCTCAATGGACTTCTCGCGGTCGAGGTGGGCATCAAAGCCCGCGACCTTTGCATTCTCAAGGATCCCGGACTCCACCTAGTCGTCAGCAATCTGTTAATGATCCTCAGTCTCCTGAAGCTTTTGAGAATTTGGTCAATCACCAGTCTTCAAACAACAGAGGTAGCGAACGAGATGATGTACGCGGAGCGGCGGCCTTCGAGGGCTCCGATGGTCAAAATGATTCCCACGATATGCCTCCGCCAGCACATGAAGATGAACCAGCGACCCCTGCAGACAAAGGTGGCAAGTTCAGTTTTGCACTCAAGGCAAAGACAACACCGGCCTCTGCGCCTAAACCAAAGCCAGATCTGGCTCAGCGAATGCAAATCCGAGAACCCACACCGCGAGCCCATCCACCTGATGCACCATCGCCTCGAAACCGCTTAACCAATGGCCCATTGCCCAAATTCAAGCCTGAACCGCGATTCGATCGCCGTGACCGGGGTCGCGATCGCAGAAACGCCCGAAATCCTCGAGATTTCCATGATTCACGGGATCGGCGAGATGACCGGCGTTTTGACCAGCGTCGCGATGGACGAAGAGGCGGTCGACAGCCTGACTCCAGGCAAGATCGCCGTAGGGAATTCTCTCCTCCGCCACAACGAGAATCACCTAGACAACCGCCCAAGCAAAAGAAGATTCTTACGCGTTTTAAGCCTCGGCCCACTCTACCAGAACAATATGCATCGGTCGACTCGGTTTACTATCGAAAGCCGGGCAATGAATCTGTGATCGGTGCAGGGACTTACGGGAAAGTCTTCAAGGGCATTCACGTCTTCACTAAACGTGAGGTTGCATTGAAGAAGATCCGAATGGAAGGCGAGAAAGATGGTTTCCCCGTTACTGCTGTACGAGAGATTAAGCTTCTACAGCATCTTCGGAGTCACAATGTTGTGAGCCTTCTGGAGGTCATGGTTGAACGAAATGAGTGTTTTATGGTTTTCGAGTATCTTTCGCATGACTTGACTGGCCTCATTAATCACCCTGGCTTTTCTCTCACTCTTGCCCATAAGAAAGACTTGGCCAAGCAAATGTTTGAAGGCTTAAACTTCCTTCATCACCGAGGTGTTCTGCATCGAGATATCAAGGCTGCTAACATCCTCATCAGCAACCAAGGGTTGTTGAAATTTGCTGATTTTGGACTGGCATGCTTCTTCTCGAAGACTCGTCAGCTTGACTATACCAATCGTGTAATTACAATCTGGTACCGACCACCAGAGCTTCTTTTGGGTGAGACGCGGTACGGTCCGGCTGTGGATGTCTGGAGCGCTGCCTGTGTTTGCATGGAAATGTTCACCAAGAAAGCAGTCTTCCCTGGAGATGGTGGTGAAATTAGCCAACTGGAGAAGCTTTACGAGTCTCTGGGCACTCCAACTCGGGCCGAATGGGCGGATTTTGTGGAAATGCCATGGTTCCAACTGATGCGCCCACATGAACGCAAGAAGCGAATATTTGAAGATACGTATCGCGATACATTGACACCGGCTGCGCTGGATATGATCTCCTCGGTGTTCCAGTACGATCCTACCAAGCGACCCAGCGCCGAACAAGTTTTACAACATCCCTATTTCCTGTCTGAAGAACCGACTCCAACGCAGGCTACTGAGTAAGATCCAATTTCACCGTTTTTTTTTTATCCATTTGCTAACATTTCCCTTTACAGATTAGAGTTCGTCCAAGGAGATTGGCATGAGTTCGAATCTAAAGCGCTCCGGAAAGAGGCTCGCCGGGTCGAGGCGCAGAACCAAAAAGACCGGGACAAGCGCAAGGCGGAGAATCCGAGCGATCGTGATTCGAAGCGAGCACGGCCTGTATAGGCTGCGTCTGTAAGCTGCGTATTAGTCGACAGAGACTGTTTTGCTTTTCTTGTGTGCGGCATCGGGCGCAGATGGCATGGGATGACTCGCATTTACATTGGAAATTCATTATTCGGGGAAATACTATCTAGGGCTTGTTTTTGTCATTTAATGCCCCCTTATTCATAAAGAAATTTATTATTCTCAGACCATTTTCATAAATTACTTGAGAGGATCCGTATAGGAGTCATGCTTCGTCGCACCTACATAACCTCTCCTCTACATTATGCAGGAACATTTAAATGGGACTGACATCATTTGATCAAACTACGACTTCGCGCTAGTCTCGAATCAGTGAAATAGACTAACAAAAATCGGGCAGTGGAGAACAACAAGTGTTTTAGATCTCATCAGACTTTGCCAATTGACCGCACGCTCGACCAGCCCCCTGGACGAATCCGGTAGAATAGGGGGGCGGTTGAGGCCTAGGATTACCAGAGAGCTCAAAGGATTTTCTTCATATGGAGATCGAGATGGGAATGGGATAGAGAGATATTGGAAATATTGATAGATATGAATTGCTATATCAAACGTACCCTATATACTAGATGGAAGAAATGGAATGTCTCGTCAATCAGGTCATCAACGGGTCCTGGGTAGCTTCGAAAAGCCCTCGTGATGATGGTTTTAGATGCGACATTTTAGTCTCGACACACACATCGGAAATGACCGGTCAGTAGGAGGATGAAGAATCCGGGCATTGATTTGAGTTGGTGGTCTGTTAGGTTAAAGAAAGAAAGGAAAGAAAGAGGGCGGAAAAAAATCTCGAATTTAAATCTTTCACGCGTCGGGAAAATAGACGGTGCGGCAGCCGAGCCTTGTTCTGATTGGGTGGAGCTTTCTCTTTCGTCAAGTCTCCAATGCCATTTCCATCTCTTCTCGAGTCCCATATCCAATCCCTCTTACCCCTCTACGAACCTACGAATTTCCTCCCATCCACTTCCCCCATAACATCCCGATTCTCCTCGCCTTCAATCTCTTCTTGCGCTCTACAGATACCCTTCTTTCTCTCGTCTCCACTTATCCGTCACCCGCCACCTACCGTCCGCATCCTCCGCCGCCATCTACCCACTTTTCTTTTTTCCTCTTCGCCAAATTTAGCAAGCCCCAGACTTGTCGACATCGCTGTGGAATACCCGACGAAAGTGTCTCAGTAGTGCCCTGTTGTCTTTTTGAGCCGCTTTTCTCTCCCGGATGACCGTTGGTGTCTCGGGCAGCTACACCCGCCGTTATGGATAATGCCAATCTGTGGACTCGCCGAGCAAAGTACGTTGGAAACTACATCCATAAACTTCTACTAATGGGGAGTGAATTTCCAAAACTAACTCTTTGTTTCTTATTTGTACAGCTCTTCTAAACTGTCTTTGTCCATGTCCGGAACAGACGGCAAGGACGGTGCCCGCGTTGACCTGCCCCGCTCATCCAAACGATTTGGTCCTGACAGCTCCCACGGCCGCTCCAATCCATTTAACGCAATGTCCCCAATGTCTACCGGTGTTTCGTCCCCCTCAACAAATGCCTCATCGGCTTTCGGCCTCGGCTCGGGGGCATTCGCCTCATTCGGTGCTCCCAAGACACCTGGCGGTTCTTCAGAAATGTTGAAAACTCCGGGTGAGAAGCGCGAATTCCTTGGTGATCATGAGGATTTCTCTGGCGTCAAAGGACTGGTGCAGGATTCAGTTTCTGGCCCCGGGGATCATCCGCTAAAGTCAACGTGGATTGTCTGGTACCGTCCGCCCACACCAAAGTACTCCGACTATGAAAAGTCGACAGTGCCTCTTGCCTCGATGTTCTCAGTAGAGAGCTTCTGGGCTGTTTATTCGCATCTAAAGCGCCCTTCGTTACTGCCTACTGTTTCAGATTACCATATTTTCAAAAAGGGTATTCGACCTGTTTGGGAGGACGAGGCCAATAAGCGTGGTGGAAAATGGATTGTGCGGCTGAAGAAGGGTGTTGCTGATCGGTACTGGGAAGATCTATTGCTGGCGATGGTGGGTGACCAGTTTGCAGAGGCTGGAGATGAGGTCTGCGGTGCTGTACTGAGCGTGCGGGGTGGCGAGGACGTGTTGAGTGTATGGACACGGATTGACGGTGGCCGGAACATCAAGATCAGGTACGTGTTACTTTTTTCCCTTGCGACCTGAACATTTTTGAACGTCAAGATACGGCGATTCTTGTGTATGGACGTTCATTGGACTAATATATTTTCGCAGAGAAACTATTAAGCGTCTGCTCGCCTTCCCAGCCGACACCAACATTGTCTGGAAGAGTCACGATGACAGCATCGCTCAACGCTCTGCCATTGATCAAGCTCGTCAAGAGAAAGCAGCTTCTAACCCTGGAGCTCACCTAAGCAATGAGCGCCGGCGCACCGGCCATGAAGACTCGGAGAAAGTCAAGGGCTCCGCAGCCTTATAAATGTCTTTCCCATAATCGTGGCCATGAACCTGTACACTACAGTCGACAAAAAAATCATCAAAAAACTCTCTTATGCACTAACTCATTGGGACGCGTTTGGGTCTGGGGGACGGCGGGGCATCAAGGCGAACTAAGCGGTTTGTTTGAATTTTTTATGTCTTTGAGTAAAGCTCAATTATGCCTTTTTTTCCGTGTTTCTTCACTTCATGTCTTCCTCTATGTTTCTCTTTTATTCTTATTTTTTTTTCTCTTTCTGCTTTTGATCATGCGTGATGTGCTATTCTCCTTTATCCCTGATGTGAAAAGTGCAGCTGTAATCTGCAGATGGCGTGGCCGGGAGGTTTTTAAGCCCTTTGAAATACCTTTAGGTATTATGTTCACTAGTCTTTCTGGGTGGCTACAATTCAAATATTGCAAAGTATTTTCAGCGGGGTTCAGCCTTGTTATGGATACGTTTTCCCCTCATTAATATTCTATTCTATTCCATGATCTCATGCATGCTATAGTTACCTGTAGTTCTGTTTCTGCCTGACAAATAAGACTTCAAGCCTTGACCGCCCGCGATAGGCGATAACCAACGACCATCGTGATTGTACAAAGATGCGGAAAAAAAAAAATAGTAAAAGGCATATTCCAAGGAAGCAGGAACAAATTAGAACACCATATGCAAATGATGATGGGGCCGCAATTGGTCCTGTCTTAAGGAACTCACCGAATGTCCTTCTTTACAAGTATATCCGATATCATTGCCAGTTTGTCACCGCGTCGACAACGGCACGACGGTCGCCAACAGCAGCAGCTCCATCAATCCTCTCACCACCACCGAAGCCCCTCGATCTCCGCACACCTTTCTCCCTCCCCGACCTCTACTACACATAATCGCCGTACAACGCGCAACAGGCTTCAGCTTTCGCGCGGTGAAGACATCCGCTCCGACCGCGATCGCCCCCGCCATATTCGCTTCTTTCCGGTCCCAGAGTCGGATTGCGAGACCACTGCTGCTGAATCGCAGGTGCGTATAGCTCTCTCAAGCTCTGTGATGCTTCCCCCTGGCTATATCTTCTGGTCTTTGGTCACCAGGAGTTATACCCCGCATATTTTCCTTTATCTCCTTCATTTACTCATTGAAGACGCTGTGACGGCGTAACGTGTTGGTTGACTTGGTCTTGTTTTGTCGCATTCATTGGCTTTTTTCAAAGAAGTTTGCTCAGCAGAAACTGACTTTGACTCCAGACTGCTCAAAGTTATGCCAACACTGATCCTCTTGCACACATTGGAATCGCAACCACTCGTGGACAGTTGCGGTCTCCATCTCCTCCGTCTGTCATAGACTTAGACTCTCCCACCCAGTGAATATGACCTAACCGACCCATATTCCCCGACAATATACTAATATCTTATATCGCGTCTAGCTGGGGTGAGTTCCCGCAGATGTTAACCCGGGGCCAGAACCAGAAAGATGCCCAAGACGAGGCTCGCCTATTGGGGGCGAAGTACAAGTATGTTCATTTGAGCAGAGAATGCTATCCCAACGGTATAGCTACAGGACAATATACTGATCTTTGGAATCTGTATTGATATAGGGATACCCATGCTGTGAAGATCAAACCTGGAAGCTCTCTTCAGAACAAGAAAAAGCCTCCTGGGGTAAGTGCAGCCAATCTGCAGTGAGCGAGGTTGATCTCCCATTCTGATATGTCTGTTATGTTAGTCAAATTCTGCGTTCAGACCGACAGATAGAATCTCTCGCAATTCACGAGAGAGTGGGCCTGTTCGCGCGCAAGGGAAGCAAGCTCATTCTTCTTCTCTGTTGAAGAATAATCAACCCCGATTAGGGCCGCCTATTGAATTTGCAGACTCAAATCGACCAAGTAAACGACAGCGCCACAATGATATTAGTGATGGCTTCGATTTGACGAGTGGAGAAGGGAATGATTCCTTTGCTCGAACACCCAATCCGCTTTACCCGCAGGCGAGTCCAGCTAAGAGACATTCACGCCACTCGCCAAGCTCAAGCCAGCTTTCTCATAGAGTCAAGAATAACTCGCAGGTTCGTCGACATGATGAATATCGCCAGGTAGAAGAAAGCGTTCATCTCAGCCCTGTCAATCGCAGACAACAACAACGCCGGCCAGCTTTATCGTCCTCCCCCGAAGAAGCATTTACTTCCAAAGCTACTGAACAGCGGCGTTCCAAAGCACATGAGAAGAAACCTCGCGAAGCTGTACTTGGGGCAATTGAAGTACCTGTCTTCAGTGGGAAACCGTCAGAAAATCGCAACAAGCAGACTAAATCCGCCCACTCATCCTCACATGAAGTGAACGGGTTCCAGCGATTCCATGAGGCGAGAGAGAGTTCCGACGAAATTCAAGGCGAAGTTACAACTCTACCCGTTCCAAGGGATTTGAGCGAACGGCATCCTCAGGGATCTTCGAAGGTAGAAGATCAGCTTATATCTCCTACCCGGAAACGTTCACCAGCTGATATTCCGACAACTGATTTCTCGAGGTTCAAGAAAAAGAAAAGGAAACCTCAAGACTTATCCACGTTGTTGCCGTTGGAAATCACATATCTTCTATTCGGTTCCATACAGAGGAGCTATACTGAGGGCGAAAGCGCCTTTATTTATCTTGATGAAGACAAAATTCACATCGGATCGGATATTGTAGGAAAAGAGGGGAAAGTCGCTGATATTCTCCTCCGAAATGTTTACGGAGTCGGTTACGGGAAAGAGTCAAGCCGAAAGATAACATTACAAGTGAGAGGGGCTTCGGCTTCGACTATCACCGTGGATATTGAGTTCTCGACACCAGGAGACATGACCCAACTCGTGCGGGTCCTAAACTCGATGGGGCAGGTCAACATACAACCCAAGTCATCGTATGTTCTCTTTACAGAATTCTTCATTGTCAAGCTTACAAACTAACTGAATAACAAGGGATCATATGGACAAAGTTTTCAAACGTCGTGAGAGAGAATCTGCTCAGTATAACAATACAAAGAAAAGACCTCTAGAGGTGGAACTGGAGGTCTCTCCGTCGGCTTCAGCAATTCATACTCACGCCGGTCCACGTACGAAGCTTTCCTCTTCTCTACAAGATTCTCCTAGCAAGTCTAGGAACATGAAACTGAAAGAAAGCGAGTTTCCTCCTACTGGAGGAGGGGAAATCGTTACTCAATCGCGAGAAGTGGACCATGCGCAATCGGATGCTGCTGTCGATATACCTGTCAGAAAGTTGAGAGATCCGCCGGGGCGAGCAACACGATCCACGAGGCGGACAAATGGACTTGTGTCAGATGGCAAGGGCTTATCTCCCGAACCTTTACGAAGGTCTCCTCCTGAAGACGATGTCAACCGGAAGAAATGGAAGAAGCCATTAGTATATCCTCCTTCTGGGAAGAAGCGCGCCGAAGTTAGCGTTGAGGATCGAGATCGCTTGCGTGAAAACGAGTTCCTAAACGACAACCTGATTGCTTTCTATTTGCGCTTCTTGCAGGAGAATATTGAGCGTACAAACAAGAGTATTGCGGAACGTGTCTATTTTTTCAACTCTTATTTTTATGCTACGCTGAAGAGCACGAAGAAGGGCAGTACTGGTATCAACTACAGTGGAGTTGAAAAGTGGACTCGTAACATCAACTTGTTTGAGTACGACTATATTGTTGTTCCGATCAATGAGGATGCGCATTGGTACGTTGCTATTATTTGCAATTTGCCCAGCCTAGGCGTCCCTGCGTGTCCTGTGGGATCGGGCCCTAAAGATGACAAGCACCGTCTTGGGAAATCTGATGGAGTGCTTGAGATTCTCGAATCGCCGAGGGAATCTCCACAGCCTGCGTCAGAGCTCACTACGGCGGCAAGTGTTCTTGAAAAGTTCAGAAATATAACCGGCAAGCACACAGGAGAACAAGAAATTCGAAAATCAGAATCACCTACATCAAAGGATGCACGGCAATCTTTTGCTTCCATATCAATCACGGAAGGCCAAGAGACGTCAGGTAAACCAGAACCCCGAGAGCATAAAAGCACTCAAGTGGAAAGAGTTGAAGGGAATGGCTCAGGTTACGATGGTGGATGGCCTGACATCGAAGAAAATCCTCAGTCGTCGCCGCCTTCGCAACTACATTATCCGCATGAGCATGAAGCAGACCCCAATGAGGCTTCAACAAAGTCTGCTGGAGCCAACCAGTCAACCAGCAAGACAAAGAAGAAGAAGAAGAAGCAACGAGGCCCGAAAATACACCCCAGTCAGCCAACAATCATTACTTTCGATTCTCTTGACCTTGCTCGTTCTTCTACAGTCGGGATTCTTCGTGAATACATAATCAAGGAGGCAGAGTCCAAACGCGGTGTCAAGATTAATAATAAGGATCTCAAGGGTAAGCGCGCTATGAATATTCCATTGCAGCCGAATTGGTCAGACTGCGGATTATATCTACTAGCGTATGTGGAGAAGTTTGTACAAGACCCTGAGACCTTTGTTACGAAATTGTTGCAGCGTGAGATGGATGCAAAGGACGACTGGCCTCCGCTTGGGTCTGGCCTTCTTAGACACCGACTTCGCAAGTTTTTGGACGACCTATATGATGAACAAACAGAGTCTAATAGGGACAAGCCTTCCATGGCCAATCAACAGCCTGTGTCATTCTTGTTGGGACCCCCTCTTCCAATCTGGGAAGACCGCGATGGCGACCGCGATACAGAGCCCCGTACAAAGGAAGATAATGAGAAATCCCAACCGACAGATTCTTCTAAAGATGGGGGCACGGAAGAGACACATCCCGACTCTATGGAAGAGTTGAATAATCCGGACGTTGCTGATGAAGACGAAACTGTGCTGGTTCCGGTGACACCCACAAAGAAACATTCTGCTAAAGTTCAAATACAAGTTGCAGCAACTCCCCCGGGGAGTGGAACGAAGAAGATCAGGGAGAGTCCTCGTGCAAAGCATAAGAATTGATACGTCAATTCCATGGAGTAAGAGGGTGTTTTTACGAATTGATTTGCTTTTCTGCGTTTCCATTCAGCCATGCATGCAGGTGTTCTATTTGAGCATCTTTCTTCCTTCAATCTCATTCGAAATCTTACTGTTCATATTTATCCATTCTTTTGGGCATTCTGCTTTTCCTTCTTGAAATGACCTGTCTCTTTCAAAGTTTTACTCTGATTCCCTTTCCCATTATTCTCAAGTATATTCCAACTTTCGGCGCAATTTAGATAGAGGCTGTTTATGAAACTATATTGTGCCTTTAGGGCTTATCGATATCTGAACGACAGTAATGGGATCCTTCATCATCAGTAAACAAGCGCCCTTCCCTGTCTAGAGCTGAGACGTGCTGAAGCTTTCATTGATCATATATACGGGATCTAGATGAAAAGGGCCGAGGAGTATTTGGAAGATCTGCTCTGATGAACAGTACATTGTCGGGTCCTTTGTTCCTTAGGGCCTTTTTTTTTTTTTTTTTTTTGCAAATTTGGCTAGATAAATTATTACCAGATGACATCCTTGGTTTGATAGCAGTCTACCCTGTCTACATACATCCAGCTAGTGGTTTATCTAAGGATATATTCTCAACCCTATACTTCATATCAAACTATCCTACCAATCACGTTCATCAGCATTAACCCACCAAGCCATCTTCTCTTTCTTAAACGTCTCAAAATCCCACTCTGCGCTCTCCAGCCACTCGGTCCCAGCAACCCACACATAAGTCACAGCATTAGCCTCCCCCACTTCATCAATAGTCTCTGCTTCTGCAGCATCAAGTGCACCAAACAGGTTTCCGCCCTGTACATTAGGATCACTCGACTTCTCTGCCTCTTTCAGTGTCCGTACCTTAACGTTCTCACGGATATACTCGCTTCCTTCGAACATGTCCAATCGGTGGATGTCTCCATCTGTAAGTCCTGATACAAGGATTCCGAGAACAGAGGACGTGGACTTCTTTTCTACGGTCGGTTTTGCTTGGGTTATTTCTCCTCCACCTCCAGGCTGTGATAGGGAAGCTGGGACTACCCCCGGGTAGTCTGCACCCCGCACCCGATGGCGCCGGTAATTGTGCAAGACGGCGGGTTGGAAGCGTACAAGCGCCTTTTGCCATGGTTCCGGGTCTGCAGAGCCGTGTATTACACGGTGGAGTATTTGAGGTGCCATGAGAGTTCCTATTCATCGTTAATGGCTGCTTGAGTGCTTTATCTGAAGGAAGTCTTCGTTACCATAGACGAAGAGGACGTGATCTCCCATTATTGTTGATAACTATTATTTTTGCAAGACTTGATAGAATAATAGAAGGAAATTATCCGGCTATCTCTTTGTGTCTGATGATAGGATCGTGAATTCACAATTATCACAAAATCAAGAGAAAATAAATCAAAGTCTCGAGACAACGATGTGTTGTTCCAAGGTTGTCGAGGTCATAGATTAAGTTCACCAGTCCCTGGGCTAGCTTATCGCCTTATCGTCTTATCGAGGATCGCGATAAGCCCCAAACTCGCCCAGCTGGCTTCATCCGCCCGACACCTCCAGCTGCACCGACTTCCTCGTCGCAACCCACCATGCATTCCTCATTAAATCGCTTACAGGCTGTCTTCGGCTTCTTTACCACCGTCGCCCTGGTGGTAGCAGCTGTAGCAGCCTTCTCTACGCTCCTCTTCCCAACATCGGACACTACAGCCTCCGTGCAGCTAAAGAATATCCAAGTGTAAGTGAGCTCCTCAACAACCAGATCAAACTTAGCAAAAGAAGAGAAACCAAGCCTGATTCTGACTTCGACTCCAATTCCTACCATATACTAATACTGCAACAGAACAAAGGGCCGCCCACACTACTATTCCACCAAACGCTCCGAATATGCCCAGATCCGCTTCGACTTAGACGCAGACCTCTCCCCCCTCTTCAACTGGAACACAAAGCAGCTCTTCGTTTACGTCTACGCTACCTACTCCTCCTCTGATGATTCTACTACCTCCCTTCCTGCCTCTGAGGCTATCATCTGGGATAGTATCATCCCTGCGCCCGCATCGCCGTATTCATGGGACATTCTTAAGGAGAAGGCACTAGATGCTCTTCCCACAGCTGTTGTCGCGAAGATTTCTCCTTCATCCGTGAATAAGAAAGGGAAGCGCATCACAAAGGGAACAGCCAAGAATAAGAAGAGTTCTACTTCTAAGGCGAAGGCGGAGGAGAACCCAGGTGTTTTGCGGTTGAGGGGCCAGAAGGCCAAGTATCAGATTACCGATGTTACTGGGCGATTGGCTGAGAGGCAGAATGCTACGCTTTCTGTTGGGTGGAATGTTCAGCCTTGGGTTGGAGCTTTGTGGTGGAGTCCTGGTTCTGGGGCTGCGCTGCGCACAGATGGCAATGTTCTGACTAGCGAGGCCTTTGATTTCCCTGAGTTGAAGGGGAAGAAGCCTGAGGCGCAGGCGGTTTGAGGTGATGCATGATGCGTGTGCGTTGGATCCGCGGTATAAATGTTAATTTTTGAGGATTAAAGTCAATGTTTACGGGGAATTGTTAGCCATTTCTCTCTGAATTTTTTGATATGGATTTATATCACGAGAACTGATAAAATGAAAGGAAATTAATTTCGAAGTCATAAAGTTGGTACTACTCAGTAATGATAAAGTTCATGTCGTGTCGGTGTATCGGGGTACTCGAACGCTTAAAGGGCAGTTTGGATTGGGGATTGAATCCCCATTTGTAGGAAACATTGAATGAGAAAGCCGAAAGGTTTAACCGGGTCCAAGATATCATGCCAGGCTAGTAGTGGGTTTCGGGCTTCTAAATGGTGCCGTAACTGCGATCTGAGCGGCCACCATTTTGCACACGCTGCGAGTAGACACCTGGAGCGGGTCGTTGTGTCGCGCGAGTCATCGGATCTTGTTTGCGGCGCTGGTAATAGACGTATTCCATGTAGAACGCATGGATGTGGCCTGGGAAGTATCTATTAAGAGGTGAGTCAGAATATATTCTTTTAAGAAATCGCGAGTAGTAGACTGTGTACTAAGGCAGCTCAGTACTCACCCAAGAATTGTGAGGAGGACGTTAATCCAAAAATCCACTCCACACCCAGAAATGAGGAAAACTCCAAGGGGAGGAACTAGGAATATTATTAGCGCTCCGGCTCTTCAACAAATCATAAACTTGGCCCTCTTCTAGATGTAGGACACAACATCGGAGTATATCACAGGCGCCCACAATGCGAAATAGCTCGCAGACCAAGCTTGGAAAGAATATCCACTTACTGAAAAGAGTGATAACGATCAAACAGAGCATCGAACAAGTGCCTGCCATGGTGGATAATTATTATTGTTGTTCGGGATGGGGTCGGGTCGAACGTTTAAAATCAGTGGTTGCTAGGTAGCTAAGGAGGAAGATGGCGAAAATGAGGAAGAATATATACAGAGGAACATTGTCGTCTTTGGCTGAATGAACGCGTTTCATGATCGGCACAACGACGTCAGAGGGGAGTCAGAAGAGTGATCGGGTCAACCTTGATTCTGAGGAAGCTGGAGACTTGGTTCACATGCACATGTGGACTAGGTAATAGGGCTGAAGGAGGTGGCCCGATTGGCTGACGTCACCCAGATGACCCAGTTCTGAGCTACAATACAGGTACAGAGAGTGGTGTCTAGCTACACAGTTACATAGATGTGGGTGTTGAACTTGAATTTGGATGCTACTTATTATTTCCTTTCTAAAAATAAGTGTTTCTCTCCAATCACGAAGTACATTGTATACATGAGAACTTCCCGAGCGGCGAACAAAGCTACTAAGTTAGAGTACACTCCATAGTCAGTAGCCTAGGACATGGATAATTGCCACATTCTGTGGCGCATTTTAAATGGAAACAAGAGCAATATTGCTGTTAATAAGCCGATGCCAGGTTTTGGGCTCTTGAATTGCATTAACCTTGGAACAGTTCAAATAATACTCTCAACTTGAAGACAAAGTTCTGTAAATATATAAAGAGAGCCCCCAGTATGTTCACGGAGATATACAATAATAAAAAATCAGAATAAGTACTAGTAGTAGTCATGGGTACACTTTGAACGACCATTTATGTTTGATACATACATTTCAGCCTTGCCAAGTCTCTAAACAAAAAAATGAGCGTTCAGCTTTCCCACAGCGGATGCTATTTGCTCATTCAGGTGCATTGACTGCCCAGGTGGAGTAGGGCTGCGGAAAAGTACCCACTTTGTACCCTTCCGAGCTATACACTCTCAAATCACCCTGTAGACATAGCCCAGACATCAGGCATATACTGGGACACTCCAACCTCTCGCCATTCTGGGTTGAGAGTATCTTATTTTGAAACATGTTATATCCGAGTCCCGAGGCTAGAAAGAATTGTAATCACATGTTCAAATGTTGGAAGCTCCGCGGATAGGTATTGTACGTGTTGATTCGACTTTGATACTTAAAGGTTGAGAGTTGAGCAGGGGTGAATCGTGGGGATTTCGAAAGGGGTCCACACGAATGTCGATATGTATTACTACCAACAATTCTAGAAGTATCACATCTCTACAGGATGTAGCTCATGAAGCTCTTCCTGTTCAACTCACCGCCTTCCCTTTTCCTGGATGAGAATCAAACACAGCAAACACGCATAGATCAATCAAACCTGGCAAGTTCAACCTTAGCTTGAATAACACGCATCATCGTCATCTGCCAGGTTGGTCTTTCTGCTTACGCTTGGATTCTATGAAGGGGCCAGGCTGTCCAGTGCCCAAGTGTTACTGAGATTATATGTCTGAGTAAAATTAATTCACACGTGAGGGCCTGATCCGAGAGAATACTGCCTTAATGGTGTTGGGATACTAACAAATTCATGGCTACAAGGCTTGAGGTCAAATCCAATTCTCACCGTGGTATAATTGAGATTCTACTAATCATTTCCAGGCTGATGGTGAAGAATTCTTCACGCCGACGCTAAACGGGAAGGGACTAAGTAAGATCATCTAAACGCGGGGAATGACGCTATGAAGAACCATATATGGGGTCTATAACTATTATATACTAAGAAACCAGAAAGGACTGTAGGTATAAAATAAATCAAGTCTTCCCACTAAGTGATTAGTATCAAGTTAAGGAGATTTGATAATTACATGCAGGATTCCATTTCCATATGCCTTCAAACTAAGGGTAACCAGCAAAACGAACATTGACGAATACTAGTAATAATAAAAAACAAAAACAGTAATAAAGTAATGAAAACCAGTTTATTTAAATCCAATGATTACCTTTCTTTCTCTCCCTAAGTCTTTTAATCTCACACTTCTTTCCCTTATTGCCTTTTGAATCCCCCACAAAAAACACACCACACTGGTGGTCTCAGTCAATCAACTGCCGAGCCTACGAGGGCTCCGCCACCGCTAGCTCTCCAAACTTGCTCAGCAAGAAATTCCTCCCGACAACTACTCTCCACAGAGTTTCACCGTCTCAGTCCCCCTTCGCTCTATTTCCCACCTAAAATTCTTTCTCCATTCCGACAGGTGCCTTCCGGCTGGACGGGAGGGCGCTTTTCGCCATGGAAAACGTGAGTCCCCGACCGTGCCCCTCGTGTGTGTCGTCATTGCAGATCTAACCGTCAAAGCCCCAGCTTGCGGAGAACGACATGCTCGTCGATGAGTATGAGCATTCCCCCAATGAAAGCCGAACAGATGTTGTCGTCGTCTCTCGATCTGGCTCCGATGAGCCCGACCCTGCACCCTCCGCTACTGACCGTAGGTTTCTTTCATATGTTCCCCACCCCCTCTTCCGCGGCGGAATCCTCGACCACAACAATCATGATTTAGTCGATTAGACAGGACTGGAAAGCATGGCGGTGACCGAATACACTCATGGGAACCGGCTGCTTCCAGTCCTGAAAATCCGGGCGGCTGCGATCTTACATCATTCTTGGGGAAAAGCGAGCTAACTGGGGCCGTTTGAATCTTTTAGATGCGGCGATGATGGCACGAGTGCTTCCTAAAAACCCGGACTTCGAGACCGAAGAAGAGACTTATAACACATGGCATATCAAGGATTGGAGGAAGCTGGACCGAAAGCTGCATGGTCCGACCTTTAAGTGTGGCGGGTCTCCTTGGTGGGTATTATCGCAATGGGCACTTGCAAGGACGGAAATATTAACAAATGAGTCAGGCGAATCCTCTTCTTCCCGTACGGTAACCATTCTGAGCATGCCTCGTTCTATCTCGAACATGCCTGGGACGGTGAACCCCCAGAGAACTGGTATGCTTGCGTGCAGTTCTCCCTGGTCTTGTCAAACGTGAAGGACCCATCAATCTACGTATCTCATGGTAAATAACCCTGTTGTCACCCTGTTTATAGGCTTGGTTGAGCTGACAAAATTATTAGTTGCAACGCACAGATTCACCGCAGATGAAGGTGATTGGGGATTCACTCGATTTTACGACCTCCGAACCCTGTTCAATGAGTCGTGGGAGGGCAAAGGTGTGCCGCTAGTGCAGGACGAAGAGGCTATCATCACGGCCTATGTGCGTGTTGTCAAGGATCCCACTGGTGTTCTCTGGCACAGCTTCCAGAAGTAAGCCCTGAACCCTGTCGAGCTTGATACTTAGTAGGCATTGGCTCATTAGATTCATTATTTAGCTACGATTCAAAGAAAGAGACCGGCATGGTTGGACTGCGAAACCAGGGCGCCACCTGCTATTTGAACTCTCTTTTGCAGTCACTCTATTTCACAAATGCGTTCCGCAAGGTATGAAACACTTCCTTTTTGGGACCAGTCCTTCAAATCTGATATCTAATCGACATAACAGGCTGTATACCAAATTCCCACTGATGAGGAGGCGAGTCGCGAAAACAGTGCATGGACTCTTCAAAGATTATTTTACAACCTACAGACCAATGACACTGCTGTCTCTACAAATGAGCTTACTGTCTCTTTTGGCTGGGATTCTCGGCAGGCCTTTGAGCAGCAGGATGTTCAGGAGCTCTCACGTAAGCTCATGGAGCGTCTAGAAGAGAGGATGAAGGGCACAGTTGCAGAGAAGGCCTTACCTGACCTGTTTGTGGGCAAGACCAAGACCTACATTTCATGTATCAACGTGGATTATGAGTCTTCCCGTGTCGAGGATTTCTGGGACATTCAACTCAATGTTCGTGGTAACAAGACCTTGGATGACAGTTTCCGTGATTATATCCAAGTGGAGACTCTGGAGGGTGAAAACAAGTATGATGCAGGCTCTCCATATGGGTTGCAGGATGCCAGGAAGGGTGTGATCTTTGAAAGTTTCCCACCTGTTTTGCATCTCCACCTCAAGCGATTTGAGTATGACTTGAACCTCCTCACGATGATGAAGGTGAACGACCGACATGTTTTCCCCTTGGAATTTAACGCCGCCCCTTACCTCTCTGAAAATGCCGACAAATCCGAGCCCTGGGTCTATGAGCTGCATGGTGTCTTAGTACACAGCGGTGGCTTGGATGCCGGTCACTACTACGCATTCTTGAAACCAACCAAGGATGGACACTGGTACCGCTTTGATGATGATCGAGTGAACAGGGCCACCGAGAAGGAGGTCTTGGAGGAGAACTACGGCGGTGAGTATGAATTGGCGAACGGTGCCGCTGGTGTTCGACAGCCATACACCAGGACATTGTCAACCAAGCGCTCAATGAACGCGTACATGCTGGTTTACGTCCGAAAGACGCGCGTAGACGATGTTTTGCACACGATCACCAAAGAGGATGTACCAGATCATATAGAGAGCCGCTTGGCCGAAGACCGCGCCGAGGCTCTTCGTCGCAAAAAGGAGAGGGAAGAAGCTCACTTGTATATGAACATTGGTGTTTTGGCCGAAAAGTCCTTCCAACATCACCATGGTTTCGATCTGACCAGCCAGGACCTTCCCAACGAAGATCCTGCCCTACCTACACAGTACCGCGTTCTCCGATCTAAGAAAGTGGGCGAGTTTGCGAAGGAGATGGCAGATGAGCGAGGTCTGGATGTTGCTAGCATTCGTTTCTGGGTGATGGTCAATCGTCAGAACAAGACTACCCGACCCGATCAGATCATCACTGATTCCGAAATGACCGTTGAAGAGGCCTACACCAAATATGGTACCAAGGGCAACTTCTTCCGCCTTTGGATGGAGGTTTCCCCCGATGGTCAAGCTTGGCCGGAGGGCAACGAGTCCGCTTTGATCTTTTTGAAGAATTTCGACGTTGTCTCTCAGACATTGACTGGTGTTGGTTCGGTGTATATTCGTAAGAACCAGAAAGTTGGTGACCTGGGATCGATCATTCTCTCAAAGATGAATTGGCCCGCGGGAACCGAGTTTTTGCTTTATGAAGAGATCAAACATAACATGATTGATGTTATGAAACCCAAGCAGACTTTCCAGCAGTCCGAGATACAAGACGGTGATATTATCACCTTCCAACGTACAACAAAGGACTCAGAGCGGCCACAGACGGCCTTGTACACCGACGCTAGGGAATTCTACGATCATCTTTTGAACCGAATGGATGTGACATTTGCTCCAATCAAGACCTCTGATGACGCTGAAGAGTTCACACTTACACTCAGTCGCAAGATGACCTACGACCAGTTCTCGAAGAAGGTGGGCGAGCATCTGAATGTGGAACCAACCCATCTCCGATTCGCTCCTGTTATGGCCAGCACTGGCAAAGCCAAGCCGTTCCTCAAGCGGTCCAACACTTCAACACTCGCACAGATTCTCAATGGGCAATACGGTGCTTATGGATACACCATGCATCGTTCGGACGCCTTATACTATGAAGTACTGGATATGAGTCTCAGCGACTACGAGAGTAAAAAGTGTTTCAAGGTCACCTTGCTTACTGAAGGCATCACCAAAGAAGAAACAGTCGAGGTTCTGGTTGCTCGGAATGGAACCGTTGCTGAGCTTCTCTCTGCTCTGCAACAAAAGGCGAAATTGGATGACGAGGCAATCCAGAACATCAGGCTCTTTGAGGTACACGGCGGCAAACTTTCCAAGGAGCTTCGTGAGGACTTCAACGTTTCCGCCATAAACGAATACTCTTCGCTCTACGCGGAACGTATTCCAGCCGAGGAGCTGAAAATGGAAGGTGATGACCGACTAATCAGCGCCTTCAACTTTGATCGGGAGCCTAACCGCCCTCATGGCGTCCCATTCAAATTTGTCGTCAAGCCGGTAGGTTTTTCAAAATTGCTCTCATTTTTTATAGGCTTCAAATTGACATTTGTACAGGGCGAAATCTTTAAGGAGACCAAAGAGCGTCTTTCAAAGCGAACATCCATCAAGGGCAAGCCCTTTGAGAAAATCAAGTTTGCCATTGTGCCACGGAACGCCTTCCCAAGCGCAAAGTATATTGAAGATGGTGAGTTAAGTATCTTCGTGTTGAAAATTTGGGGAATATCAGCTGACAATCTCCCTCTCCTTAGATGACATCTTATCCGACGTTGCAGGTCCAGAGGATCTTCTTGGTCTGGACCATGCTAGCAAGAGCCGGGGATTCTGGGGCAAGAGCGAGAGTTTCTTCATTCGATAAAGTATTTACGGGGGGGCGCTGGGGGGTTTTGTGGAAGGGCAAGCTACAACACGGTACATGACCACAGCCTGATAAACCTTGCCCTTTTCTATTCTTTTTGCTTCTTGCTTTGGTTCTTTCTTTTCTTTTCTTTTCTTTTCTTTTCTTGGTCTTTACTTGTCACTTTTCATCTGGTCTTTCCTGGCTCACTCCGTTTCATAGTTTCATATTGGAGTAGAGGTGATACAAATGCCACGAAGCGATGGGATTTTTTTTGGCACAGTCAAGGATACCAGTTCCGAGTCTAGCTTTTTTTGTTTGTCGGCTGTTTAATTCGCTGTTTTCAACCAAAGAATTATTTCTATTATTGATTTCAGATCACAAAATACAATAAATCGTACGTATATGTCTCAAATTATTTCGTAAATTTGTACTTTGTACTGTATCTATGAAGTTGGCCAAGTACATCTTCGACGTTGTGTGGAAGCAGTAATTTGTTTGTATGCAAACACTGCAAACAGCCACCGCCCAGCTGGCCAGAACAATTGAACTTCAAGGACACCGAACCTCCTGACGCGCATCCCGCACGATCACCACTTCAATTCTCCGACATGCGGTTCGCCCTTCTCGCCGGCCTGGCCTCCCTGGCCTCCACTGTCTCTGCGACTGCTCTCACTTATCGCCTTGAGGCTAACGAGAAGGCATGCTTCTACACTGAAGTGGACCAGACCAACGCCAAGGTGGCCTTCTACTTTGCCGTTAGTCAATTCCGAAATTCCTACGATAAACTGATAGGGATTACTCCATTGATACGAGTCATTCATTGTATGCTGACATGGGTTGTAACTAGGTCCAATCCGGTGGTTCCTTCGATGTCGACTACTCCATCTTAGCTCCGGGCGACAAGATTATTGCCGCTGAGGAGAAGCAGCGACAGGGCGACTTTGTTTTCACTGCCCAGAGCACCGGCGAATATAAGTTCTGTTTCAACAATGAGATGTCTACCTTCGCAGAGAAGATGGTTGACTTCGAGATTGCTGTACGTTGTGCCCCTGGAATCGGAATCGGAATCCAACCCCAAACACAAAAGCCAACCGAAAGACTATCCGCGTCTATTTTGTCTATATCACGCGCACAGCATCATACATAAATCACCTTGCTAACATTTGTATCGGCAGGTTGAAAACGAGCAGCGAGCTCAACTCCCCTCCCGCCAGGGCGCTACCCCCGAACAAACCTCTAGCCTGCAGGAATCTATCTACAAGCTCTCTGCACAGCTCTCTACGATCTCCCGAAACCAGAAATATTTCCGTACGCGTGAGAACCGGAACTTCAGCACTGTCCGCAGCACCGAGCGTCGTATCTTCAACTTCAGCGTCATCGAGTCCCTGATGATGGTGTCGATGGCTGCGCTGCAGGTCTTTGTTGTGCGGTTCTTCTTCCAGGGCGCACGAAAGGGTATGTCTCACTCGTTTTTTGGTTCCTCCTCTTCTCTTATCATATCTTTATTTTGCCGCATTCGATCCGATTCGTACGACGGAAGGGACGAAATAAACAAGGCCTCCATTCAAAAATTGAACGTCAGCTAACATTTACCTATACAGGTTATGTGTGATGAGCATGAATTGAATAACGTGATGCATTATTATTATTATTTCTCAATCTTTTTTTTGGTCTCCGAAAAACATGATTTGGTTGGGAGAGTTCTAGCGTGTTGCCCTGTATTTCCTGCTACTTACTTAGCCCTCTAGAAAGATTTATCTATTGAACCAAAACAGGTTATGTGCTCGGATGACATGAATTGCCTCCCTCGGTCGGTCACGACCCGTTGTTCAACATATACCCGCTCGGTCTCTTACCGTTATTCCCTCATTATTCGATATGGACTAGAGGAGCTCAGGAAGGAGATGAAGTCACGTAACAGTAGCGGCAACGCTCTAGCAAGCAGGTTTGGGGTCTCGTGGAGGTTTCGCGGAGGCGAGGTCGACGAGGAACTTTGGGGAGAGATGGTCTGTTCAATTTTTCCCTGGTCTGTAGTACAATATCCACCGCAAAGATGATTTGTTCTGTACTTACTCAGCATTTGAGACAGGTCAGGTATCAGATGTCCACGGTCAAGTACCAGATATCCCCAGATCGAGTATCAGATGTCCAAGTCGCGCCGTAGTCGTTGGACTGAGCCTGTTAACCGCTGAGTTGGAGCATCTCGTTGTCCATGATAGGCCACAGCAATGAAGGGAAGTCATGCTATGATCGCAGACCGAATGCAAAAACCTGTTCTCAGCGACCTGGTCATCCTAACCGAGCCGTCATGATGAGGTCGAGGTAGAGATGCGATAGTCTTGCTGCTTCAATATTCATCTGCTAGACAGGTTTCCACGGCAACGTTTGTGTTTCTCGGGATTTGGTCTAGACAAGTCTGAAGCTTGGGCTGTCTCAGTATCGGGAGAAAGGGGGTTGGAAGGAGAAGGTTGTCTAGTGAACAGGCGCCCGAGATGCCTGACTCGTGGCGTTCGTTCAGTGTGGTTCACGTACAGTACAAAGTACTCACGCTGTAGTTGCATTCATCGTGGCCGAAAACAGGTTTCTATGATTTTTATGGTCCAGACCTCTTGTGTTCCCAGAATCATGGTGCTAAGGCGAGTACGGTGAGTACATGATGATGCTGTAGTGCTTCTGGTAAAGCAACCTGTTCACAAGTCTTTACTACAGAAAGGGGTTTACCAAAAGATACTTACGACCGATGATGCAACAGGAGGAATTGGCGCGTACCGAATATCTGTCCAGAACATAGCGATGACTTGACCGCCAGACCACATGCTGACCTGATTTTGAACCAAAGGGGCACCTTGGCCATGATCTCATATGTCTACCCTAACATGGGCGCAACATACTCTTCCTTATTCCGCAAAATCGGCAAGGCTGCGCCCTGCCAATCAATTTGCTGGCTCAACAAGGCCGCCTACCATTAAGCTTTCAGAAGTGGACAGATTGGCTTAGGGTTCATTTGGAATGATGTTCACGTTGTAGAGAAAGTGGACAGTGATATCATCTGGGGTCCCTTAGCGTCTATCGAAATCGTCATTTTCGCCTCCAGCTATGGCCAGAACAACCGCAACATTCACGATTCGGCCCAAGATTTCGTACATCTCATCAGTGCCCAAAATCAGTAATAAGATTTAGATCCTTATCCACACCGCAATCTTGGGCGTGGAGACAGCTGATATTACGATATCTCTTTTCGAAATGTCATATCTGTTCAGATATGGGGGCTTACCTACATAGACGTGGCCGCGAACACTATTGATCCGTAATTTAGAAATTCAGAATATAGACCAATTAAATCTATTTGGGATGTATGTATGTACATATGTTTTCTGCCGTGTCTGCCGATTTTCTCGGAGGGTTCATCGGAGCTGAACAGTATACTGTGTACAATGAGTGTTCTAATTTCGCGGATTGAGGGTCAATGTTCCTAGCGTAAGTACTACAGTTGGCCTTCTCCACAAAAAAAGCCTTTAGGCGCTTCTTGTCTCTTATTTGTTCGTTTCTTCTCTTGTGGGCTACGACATTGTACAGATATATGGAGGACTCTGATATCACTGGTGCATCATTGTTCAAATCTTAGCTTTTTACTGTACAATACACCTCTATAGTGGTACAAATTCCCGCACGATGTACAATATCTGCGTGTGACGTCTCCACAGGTTTGCCCTGCAGGAGTCATTATCTATACACAATATGCGGTCAATGATTCAAATGAAACCGTGTTGATCGAAACCCCGAGACTCGCTCTTCCTTCCCCATTACCCTTCGCTTTCGTTGAGGCTTACGTGGTATAAAATTGGCGAGGCGGGATAGAATAGCCTGACGTCGATTTCACACCGGGGAACCTTCCCATGGGAGGTTTCCCCGTATTTCTTCTCTGTAGCTCCTAGCGAGGCGGAAATAATGGAGCCTCGGCAATTTTAGGGATCTGAAAGTGGAAATTTACTCGAATGAGAAGTGGATAGAAGGATATACCATCTTTGTGCTTCGGAGCATGCGCGAGACCCATCGTCTCTCGCCTCCCCCGCTAGGATGGCGAATGATCGTACTTCCAAACCTAAGGTCGGATGCATCTTATCACTGGTCGCTTTTGTATCTCCGGTCGTGATCTGTGGCTCAAAATGTTTTACTTTTTGACATGCATGCACATTTCTGTATTGCAACTCAAGCTTCAGTGGAGATGAAGTCCTATTTGCCATCCATTCTCCACAATTTGGGGCATCACAATTACACTGTTCCATATTTGGCGCCTTATCATTGGAATTTCCGTTTTTTGCTCAAAAAATAAAAAAAGATTAATTATTTAATTATTTTATCGGGTGTCCGTATTTTAGTTTAGTATTTCAGTAAACTGCTCGGTATTTCGTATCCCGCATCCCGCCGTTGGCACCGAAGTACGGAGTAATGAGTAATAGAAAAAGATAGAATAAAATGCAATGGAATGAGGAAATGAAGAGAAATTTGAAAAAAAAGGGGGAGAACAACGTGTCCGGTCCCGGCCAGTTGGTAAGTACTTTAGTTTTTTATCATACCCCGGGGCCATCCATGGGCGCAAAACGCAAGCCACATAGGGGAAAGCAGATCGGGAGGGTTCCCTGACGTCAGGTGCAGTTGATGCCCTAGGCAACTAAGTCTTTTGCATTTGTTCCCCATTTTTCTTAATTTTTTGCTTTTTACTGTCTCCACTCTACCGTTGCCACTGGCGGCTTTGGGGCTTTTCTGGCCGATCGAAGTTTCTGAATCGGACAGTTTTGTTTCATTTGCATTTCGGTTTAATTAATTAGGCTTAGTGAAATGGGGGGAAATTAGCATAATGCGATTTCCTAATTGTTTGTTTCCGATTACGGAGTATACACAATGTAAGCAGTTGAGATAGACAACCCAAATGACTTCCTTATTGTTCCTGCATGGACCACCATATCAAATAAAAGCATTATTAAACACTAGTAAAGAGGACCAAATCGATACCCTCGGATCGCCCCGACACTTAAGCTATGACGACATAGTTCCACTCCCGAGCCTCAGTTACTATCGAGCGGGAAAAAGGGGAGGAAGGGAAACTCTTCCTCATCATGTGCCCCGAATGTTAGATGTAGAAGGAAGGAAGAACGGATTAAACACAAACTAAGCATATAATTGTACAGTACTAGTAGATCGTCGCGAAGCGCGAAGGATCACGACCTAAATCCCACACCTCGTCCTGGGAGCCGATACCCCAAACTCCGGAGGCTATAGCGTGGAATCCACTGCAGTCCATGGCTCCACCGTATGCGTTCCCGCTGCAACGGGCATCCTATCCTAACCCGGCAAAAAAGCCTCTGCTGGGCCTTCATAGGCCTCGATGCTTTGCAATTATGATTTGTCTGGCAAACGTCAAGTGCAGATCAGCAGGGTGGGGGTTTCTCGGGTCATGCTAGTTTGTTGCTGATCACAGAACGCCATAGACCGTCGACCAATCCATTTGTGCATTCCTAAATGACCTCAGTGACCTCATCGGGAAGCCACTAGTTGAGCTGTGGACCGATTGATGCCCCCATCCGCACCAGTAGCTATTCAGATGTGGGGATTCGTAAGTTCATGATATAACCGTTGTAGCCAAACAAGTCTCCCGCTGATGGCGACTATTCCATTCTCATCATCGGGTGGAGAGCGTGCTGTCCTTTATGATGTCGCCCAGCCTCTCAATTCCTCGCTCCCATCCCTTTCAGCCAATGATGTCACTTTACGGCGGGTTGATGGAGCCACGAAGTTTTTTTTTCTCCTGTAATTTATTCTTTTTGACTATTTTTTTTTCTTTCCCTCCCTATTTGCCTACTCAAAACACCACAGACCAGTGGGTTGGTGGGCCTATCAACACGAAGTTAGCTCCAGCTCCGTTTTTTTGCCATCCGAGTTATGAGGTTAGCAGTGATTTCATAGTGGGAACCCTTTCCCCCCTCTCTTCCCAACCCTCTTTCCTAATATATATACCTCCGAATTCGAACTAGATTTATCTTTTTTATTCAACTGGCCCCATATCCTTTGCCCTAACCCTGTACTTCCCGTCCCTTAGACATTATCTCCATTCCCAAGCCCCATCGCAAGCCCCGTTTTGCATATTCCCACACAGATACACGACTTAGTCCCTTGACCATTGTCTAACCTTGGTACACTTCATACAACGCGCCCAGTGAAACCTGATTTATCAATCCAAAGGTATGGTACCTAGCAAACTCCTTTCCACTTTGGCTTGGGATTCCCCGGAGTCATTCACCTCTCAACATCCAATGTAAACCCTGCACCTACACTTGTCCAATTGCGGTGAAAGGATCACACTTATTAATGCATGCCCACCCCTCCCTGCCTCGTGGTCCCGCCGCAGAACTTTCTTCGCCCCCGAGGAACTCTTCCAGAAAGCCCAACTTCTTTACCTCCCAGGATTAAGCCCGCCGACTAACCATCCAACATAGACACTATCCACCATGAATGAACAGTCTCAGATGCAGCAGTCTACCATTTTCCAGGACTCGGGAGCTGGACCTCCCGTTGCCTTTGTGGATTCTGCGGCGTCTTTAGATCCTCAAACGTCACTCGAGGACTACAACCGCACTATGCTGGAGTACACCCAGCGCCAGATGTCAACCTTTGTCGACCTCGACGGCTCCCGGGGTAACGGGGCTAGCAGTCGAAGCAGTCAAAGTTCTGGCAATAGTGGCAACAGCGGCACTTCCTCTAACGGTGTCTTGGCTGGAAGCGCTAATGGACCTCCGCCTCCAACATCCGCTAGCTCATCAGCCGATGCCCCCCGCAGTGGAAATCAGAAATATTCCAAGACCCCTCGCCCTGCGCCCGGCCAAGACCCATCTCTCTATTAGAGCAACAAGCTAAATATCAAGTATGTGTTCTCACCGGATATTATTACCCTTACACGCGCAGTTCATCTAACATGTTTACCGTTTTAATAGAGGTCCGGTCTCTGTATACGCTTTCTGTGGCAGTGACCGCCTCTAGATCCTCTTTGGGAGTTCAATGACGCATCTGAATAGAGTTATGCAAATACCCCGCTCTATTCGATGACCGTCTGGAGGCGCAATTATTATGGAGTTATACAGCGTCGGAGCTTTTGCTTTCCAGCGTGCGCAGCATCACCAGCATTGCAATTTTCCTGTGTTGCCGACTCGAGTCAGGTCACTGTGAAGTGGTCCTTTCCTATTTCACAAACCCTACTACCCCTTATATCCCCTGGCTTTTTCCTTATTTCACAACCTCAGCACCTAGGTCACCGATGTGTCCATGTTCATGCACGAGCAGTTTCCGAGACAGGACCAACAGCCAAGCATATGGCTTCGGGAATGCTCGAGCCAGGCCATCGATCCTATCCCCCCACGTACCCCACCCCATCAGAAAATCTTCCAAAAACAGCATGATCTACTATGCCTGAACCCCAGCCCCACCCCTCCACGCACCACTCCAACTACACTTCACTCATTTCCTTTTTCGAAGTGTGATTGTTTCGGCGTTCGTCTTCAGGCATAAGTCGCAGAGCTGTCCACAAACGACGTTCCATTCACATATACAGCATCCACCTCAGGCTACGGCCTATGTATCACTATTGTGCCTTTCTTGTTCCATCCTTCTGTGAAGGATCTGGAACCTGTATAACATCTTTCTATCAGCGAGCGAGCGAGCGAGTCTTTTGGATACTTGGTTAGGGCCAGGTTATTTTTTATGCTTCTGCCTTTGTTCTAACGTCGCGTGCTGTGTGACGAACCCCACACCACGACGTTTGGACCTTTGACGACCAAAAACGCGATCGTCGAGGCTAAAACTCGAGCCTTTCGATTTTTCGGCATTGTATTACTATTTGATGACATGTTGCCATATAAGGCTATGATATGTATTATTATCACAGAATATCTGGTGTTTTCGTTGGGCTCGCTGCTTGATTTCGTAGACGACTCGCATTGTAGGCTTTTATATATGAAATGAACTTTTTGAACAGTTTACACTGGCAGTCAAGCATATAAAACCCACCTTTGGAGCTTTCACACCTTTTCAAGGCCCACTTCTACCACAATTAGCTAGTAATACCTAGACACATATCATCATGATGTTGAAGCGGATTCCCACTCGAGCAAAAGCCCATATAGGCAGTGCTAGTGGCATAAAACCACAGTAACAAAATAAATATAGGAGAGGTAGCGCCTCTAGTATTCCGGAGTTATTGAATTATTTCAACAGACCCTTTTCTTTTTGTCCTGCTACGCTATTCCTCGGTACCTGTAAATCCCTAATTCAAAAACCACGCTTCGTTGGAACACCCCGATACTTCCGGAGAATGGACCCCAATTGACGAATTTCTAATGATCGCCCAGACGAGACATCATCTGAAGACCAAGGCGAAGAGATCCTTGAATTGCTCGATCTGGAAAAGGCGGAATTGTTTCACATTGTTTATCCACGGGCTCTGCATCCCTTGCGTGCCTTCGGAATTCCACACGACCATCACATTCGCTTGAACACAATTTCGTAGAAACCCTTTTCATCCTGGAGTACCTTCAAGAAGATAGCGAATTACTATTCGTATCAACAGTCAAGCTAACACACACATAGGGATAATCAGACTTTGAAGGTTCCTTTGTTGACATGAAGTCGATCATCCACTTATCTCGTAAACCACATGTTCAGCATACCGGACAAATATGAGCTCACCAAGCCCAATCAAAGCCCGATACTGGCAATGTACATTCCAAATGACCTAAATGACCCACTATCTACACAAACAATGGCCGTTGCTGGCTTGAACAGCAACCTGTAACCCCTGGAATTCCGGGATTCAAACCCGAAGCCAGTAGTAATCAAGGGAGCCCCAGATCGCCAGGGGAAAAAACATGATTCAGTAACTACACCAATCCTGTTGTAATCTCCCATCAATAGGGCTACCAGGGCGCCTGTCAACACAGGGAGAAAAAAGTCTTTCCTTTTCTCCTTCCGACTGTCTCGCCTCTCATCCTCGTCGACAACCAACGCCTGCGTCAATGACGCCCCCATCTATCTAATTACGTCCAGCTCTTGTCGTTCTTTTCTATCACGGACTGGTGGTTACTATACGCTCTTTTGAGATTCAACCGAATCGAACTACAAACGATCTTTCGAAGATTCTTCATATCACCAGTTCTGTCTGAAACTTGTCTCGACACTAGCACTACACGCATCCCTTCGACTTATTCTTCGGCTTTTCACATCGCAAATACACACGACATAGCAACATAGCGCAGCCCAACACATCTACTTCTATCCCAATATGCATATCAAGCCTCTTTTCGTCTTGATAGCAACCTTTTGCACCCTTTCTGCCGCTGTCCCCTTCAATCACGATCACGCCTTAGCTCACAATCCTTCACGTACCAATCTTCAGGCTTCGTCTTCTGCTGCCTATGCCTCTTCTTCATCTACGCCATCTATGATTACCGTGGCAGGCGCTTATCAATGCCCCCCGAAACAGCATAAGTCATGCTGCACCTCGCTGGAGGAGACAACCAAGGAATTAATGAAGCCTGTCAGTGATTTGGTACCGTCGATCGGAGGAATCTCAATCAGCTCGAAAGTCTCTTTCCAATGTACGTTATACGGGTCTCCAATGCTAAATCCCAAGTGATTATGGATGTGTCGCTAACTACGAGAAACAGGCAATGTTATGGACCCGCTGGCTGCCCCGCAAACTTGCCGTGGACACGGATATACTCCAATGTGCTGCGCGAACGCCGTCACAGTAAGTTCTTGTTGAATATTTTGGTTTAACTTTCATGAGTCAAGTAATCTTAACATATTGCAGACCTCTTCTTTGGATGCTTGCCAGCCCTTTGAGAAGGCTAAGAAGAAGTACTACCAGTCTTTGGGGTTCAATAAAAGTGAGGAGTCGAACACAGATCTGATCAATGATGTACTCTCATGAGGTATATCTTTCTTTTTGTTGTGACGAGAATTCCAGTATGTATTGGCTTGAACATGAATATCTTGATACAAGGTTGTGGAGGCGTTTATTTTATTTTCTTCTCTTCATTCGATATAGTCTTGGCCTATAGTCTTTGATATAGTTTAAACTTTGTGTAAAATGGACTGCACTTCTTATTTTGAACTTTTCGCTGTCGTATATCTGCTGCTGGAGATATTCTTCAATGACTAATTCAATCTTTTTGCATAATTCCTGATACACGACCTACTCTTGTAAAATTCAGCAGTATATTAGATAGTCTAGTATGTGATCATGCGATTTAATTTCCAAGGTCTTCGACTGCTCAGTAGTTATAATTACGTGCTGACCTTTGAGCGAGATTAGAGCTGCGTAACAGGGTTGAGCCATTTTAAAATGATGTCGCACCTTTGTGCTCCCTGGGCTCTATTATTCTCCAAACACCACGGCCGTGCCATGGAGCTTCTGGAGATTATACTAGAAATTTGGGATTGTTTAATTCCTGCCATTGATTTCTCTGAGAGTGCATATATGTCTTGTCTTCTTGTCATGTTTTAAATAATAATACAATGATTAGGCGTCTACTGCCAACCTTGGCCTCCCTGTGAGCCCCAAGGGCCACCATATTGCCCTCCAAAATGAGGAGGGGGGAAATGATGTTGACCAGGAGGAAGAGGCTGTCCAGATGGATGATTCATCTGCTGTGAGGCGTGGTAAGATGGAGGAAAGGCAGGGTGATTCATGCCCGGGCCAAGTGGGGGAAAAGGCATGCCCGGCATCTGTGGGGGTGGGACAGGTGGCCAAGAGCCTGCGTATTGTGGGGGAGGTGGGGGAGGCACGACAGGGAAGCCATACAAGGGTGCTGGTGGCTGAGAAGGATGATGGGGGTGCGAATGAGAGGGTTGGTGGGGAGGGGGGAATCGGGGCGGCGGTGGTTGCTGAGGAGAGTAGGATCTTTCACGACTACGTGCCCGTTGTGGAGAACGACTTCTGGATTGTGACCTTGACCCATATCTGTGAGCCTCATGTCTACCGGGCCGAGACCGAGCTCGGGAGTCTGATCGTCTGCTCATGTCGCTCATGGTACTCTCACTATAGCGGCGCTTGTGGCCATTTGCGACTTTGTCATAGCCTGGGCTATTAGAGGTAGAACGGGCTTTTCTCCTGTTCATCTGCTGGCAGAATGCACGGGACCAGCCGTAGTAGGTTTCACCAGCGAGGACATCACCACTAATTTCATCCCGAGTAACTCTTTGTCCCAGCTCATCGATATCAACATTATCGTCGTCCTTGACAAGTTCCTCTGTACCGTAAATTTGATCCACATCTTTCAGGAAACCCTTTATAGCCGTAACAAGCGTCTCATCTGCGGGACCTGCCAGAAATTGTAATGGCTTGATGCTTTCTGCGTGAAGTGGGATGGTGGAATTGGGAATAATATGAGGTAACCAGTTACCCGCCGGGAGGTCATAGTAAGGTGTGGACGAATCTCCGTGTGTTGATGGCATGATATAAGGTGCATCCTTCCCGAGGAGCTTCTTTGTTGGGTCGGCATCACCTTCTAATGCATCGTTCGATAGAGGGGTTGCCCCAGTCAAGGCCGAGTTCTTGACAACCTCCTTTAGTCGATGAAGCAGGTCGGCACTGAAGTATCCGTGCTCGGACCAGATCTCCAGAAGATCATCTAGCCGCTTATGGTGCCTTGGATACTTCTCCCGATCGTAGGCTGCCGCATGCCCAAGCAGGTCCACCATGTGTGGTTGAAGGGACCCACTAACTGTGGAAAATGTCGCAGTGGAATCCATGTGGTACTTGCTGTGATGAAACAGATCATTGAGCAAATATAGTATGTGGAGCCGCCGACGCTTCGGAGAGGGTTTGGGCCGAGCGTCTGGAGACGCATCGAAGGAGCCCGCCAGCACGACTAGGTACTTGGCCAATCCTCCCACGCGGTTCGCGGAGGATGCAACATAGTGGAGCAACCATGTTTTACAGGTCTGTGTGGGGCGGAGAGGTTTAGTAACTCTGGGGAGGAGGAGTAGGGACAAGGTTGCAACAGCTCAGACCTGTATGTTTACTGGGGAGCAATACGACAAGGCGCGGTCGAAGGAGGTGTGAAAGGCCGTGATCTCATCTCGGGGAACTGAGGTGGGATCTGGACGTAAAAGACCCGCCGAGAAAGAAGCCTTCGCTATGGCAAGATGATGGGAAGCCATGGAGACTCAAGATCCTTGGAACTTGACAGCAAGCCAAAGATCATCTGCTTTGAAGGTCTCCGTTGGATCGAGGTTCCGCATCAGCTTTGAGCTTTGACAACTGATTAACTGATTGGTTATCGCACGTGATCGGCACAGATGACTAAACTGCGCCTTTTTTGACTTCCTTTACGCTTTTGGGTTAACTCTACGACGGTCTCTTCTTGTTCACTTCGTTCATTGGTTATGATTTGAATGTTGTCTTCGTTGCCCCATTACTCGTATTGCTCTTTGACTAGCCACTTCTTTATGATCGACAATTGACCCCGGGAAACTTGCATCTTGTCGCTTTGCACAGACGTATGTTCCCCCACCCAGCAATTCATTCTGGTACTCTATCCGGTAGATCACGCAAATGATAAGATCTGTTTTGGTTTACATTTACCCACCGGCACCCAAAGTCGGGTTCTTCCCCTCCGCCACTACGAGTGGTCCGGATGCCTGCTTTCCCGCATCATTCCATTCCAAACGCGGTGAAGCCTAAAACACATCCATTCCAGACAATTATATAGGGTCTCGAAGGAGGGGCAACCTGGCTCGCCCCACATACTCGGCCGACCCAGTGCGCTTTCAGACCCCGCGATGGCGTGAGATGCACAATAGTTCGTAGGATAGAGACACATATTGAGTACCTTAGACACCCGCTGTTGCCGAAGATCGTCATGGCGTCTGATCACCCCGGATGAGTCTTCCCAGCTGCGAGAATCAGCCCATGTTGCCTTAGCGCCCAGGCTGCCCCCGCAGCTCCACATGAGGGTCACTTGCTCACTCGCATGGCCTGATCCTACTATAAATACGGCTGATGCCCCAAGGTACTTGTTGGTTATAGCCTTCTATAAATTCAGATAAAACCCCCGCTCCGTTTACGTCTGTTCTGGCCTTTCATCCCATCTCCATATACCTATCGTTGTTACCAGAGCTACCAACCTGAACAACCTCCCCAACTCTCAACTCCACGTCTTTCCCACAATACAGACTACTACCCTTATTGCAACACCATGGCTTCAGTCATCGCCTCCCAGATCGTCCGCCCTTCTATCCGTCACTTTTCCGCACACCGTCCACGTCCGGATAGCCGTGCAGCTCGCGCGGTGGCCATGTCTTGCCTCGTCACCGGGGTTGTATTACCCTTCATCCCTCCTGCACTGGAAAGCTCACGCCAGCGCAACTCAGGTTCGCCGAGCAGCAATAAGTAAGCCTGGACTACATTTGAAATCCGCCAATATAATTAGAATCAATATCACTAACAAATTATCAGGCCCCACCCACCTCTCTGTTTCCACGCTCGCTAGGCTGTGCAGCTATGGCGCCATACGCGTACGAGACGTGTAATGGTCGCTTCGTCTGCTCTTCCAATATATTGATGTGGGATCTCGGTGCAGGCACCGCTATGGAACCCACCACACGATGCATGATTTATGGGCGCTTGGACTTGGCGTTATGGAAGCTTTTGTTTTCTTTTGTTTTTCGATACCGAAGTGGGGGATATCATGACTTTATTTATATCGGTGGGATAGGCCGACATCAAACTATCTTCCTTTTGTTTTTATTTTCGCGACAATTGCTTAGATGTAAGGTGCTGAGTGCGTCTAGATCTTTTTGCAATAAGAAAAACATACTTATCATTATCATTATCTCACGTTGTAGGACGACATGGGGGTACCGATAATATATGCGGCCCCACTTCTTCGAGGAGCCCGGTAGCTCGCTGCACCTTAAAATTGGCATGGTTAGGGCTGCCGATAGTGTCGGCCCCGGACAAAACAAGACTAGGCTAGCAGAAAAATGGAATAAATGCACCTGAGCATGCGAAAGTAATTTTGTAAGGTCAACGGGTATACATCACCAACGTATGGCTACCTGCATAATGTATCGTATGATATCCATGGATAGATTTAGTCCCTACCGAGATAAATTTCGCTAGCTAGGACACTGGAAATGGAAACTGAGAAGCTGTAGAAATAGACACCAATCCATGCATTCTGGTTGAGCCACAACATCTAGTTGGACATTTTCATATGTGATAGTTTACAAGCCAAGCAATGTACAACAAGTTCCACGTATCCGAGTTCAATTATAGACGGTTCCCAGGCGGAGGGCGGAATGGCGCTGCCGCCTCATATTTTCCCTTTTCGAGCACGCGTTCATTATCTGTCAAAGGCTCGTGGCGCGTGGCAGCAGGGTCGTGTGAAGCCTCTGCACTAGGCGAGGCGACATCGTCGGCCGCGTTCTGGTATTGGGCGGCGTTCGCGCGCTTCAAACTCGCATCATCGCTGGGGATTCGAGTGGAAGTTGGGGTTGCATCTCCTACGAGTGCTTGACGGCGGTGCTCCTCCTCAATGGCCTTCATTTGAGCCTTTCGTTTCAGCTCGGCATCAAATCGAGATTGTCGGTCGGCATTGACGGATTGCTTCGCAAAGTAGTAGGCTCCTCCGCCGGCTGGAAGGGATCGCTGTTAGCTGGGAGCCTTATAAAGTGATATTGCTTTAACCTGACTGATTGGATATGTCACAGACTACTCACCAACGCAGAGGCTGCCCCATCCAAGCCTATTAAGACATAAAGAGATTTGGTTAGTTCTTGTCTTCGGATCCCGTGTGGTGATTTTAGCTCTCAAAGGAGCAGCGCTTGCTTACCAAGTAGATCTGATCTATGTGGTTAAATAAGTTAGAGCGAATAATTATACACGATAGCAGATAGAGCTTACTGTGTTCATGGTCGTTATGAATATAGCTGTTATGCGAAGAGTGGAAGTGAATCGTCCTACGTCAGTTCAAATGTTGAAGGCCGGGCAAACGCCGCCCGGCCGGCCGTTGGTCTGGCCAATCGGAGCTGCCTTTTTTGCCTTAGGCAGCCGCCATCCGGAAGGTTATTATCAAAGACGAAGATCACATTTCCGATCCCTCAACTTCATCTTAACCTCAACTTAACACCCTCTTTGGTTTTACTAGGACTCACAGTTAACCTCGCATTCCCCCCTTGAATATAACACCCAGCACGGTTCTTTGCACTCTCATCTTGGTCGCATCCAGACGGCGTACGCCGCCTGTTTCTCGCGACCCGGACCTGTTCGTGGCATGAAAGCGTGAAGCAGACCTCACAAGGCGTAACTCGCCCTTTTGAGCTCCTGAAATTGATCTTCGCCATCATCAAATTGATCTTCCTCATTTACTAGAGTTGTCACGTTTCGACAGGATGCCTCCCAAGAGAAAGGCAGCTGACAGTATGTATATTGAACATCTTACCAGAGCATCATGACTCACTATTTCTCGAGGCGGTCGATCAAGCAGTGCCTCTAAACGACCCACGCCCGTTCCCGATGTCACAGAGATATCCAGTAGCGATGAATACTCGGACGATCAGGATGAAGTACCGGAACAAAACAATCTAAAAGGTAGAGTGTGGCGACCTGCTCACATCTTGTGAACCAGTTGCTAAAGCTAGACTGGTAGAGGTCGTTAGCAAGTTCTCGTTGGAGTCGTTCAGCAAGAAATCGCAACTTGATAAGACAGATCCCAGATTTGGCTACAAGGATCTCTCATCATTACCGCTTAAGCGCGATCACTACAACCGCCCTCTATGGATCGAGCCGGTAAAAGGCACGATTACCCTCGAGAGCTTCTCACCACTAGCGCCACAAGCACAGGATTTTCTTACCACCATCGCCGAACCGCTTTCGCGTCCCACCCATCTCCATGAATATCGTTTAACCGGTCACAGTCTTTACGCAGCTGTGTCGGTTGGTCTGAAACCGCAGGATATTGTCGAGTTTTTGGATCGTCTTTCGAAAACCCCGCTCCCTGAAAGTATTCGCACTTTCATTATCGAGTTCACAAAATCATATGGCAAAATCAAAATGGTTCTCCGACACAACCGGTACTATGTCGAAACGACTGATCCCGAAATGCTACAACGATTGTTAAAAGACGAGGTGATCGGCCCACAAAGAGTTGAAAACACCGAGGGAATCATTGAGCGCGCGGCTCCGAAGATGGGAGGTCTCGTTATTCCTGGAACCAAGGATGCAGCCGGTGTACGAGAGACGGGCACTCAGCAAAATTCTGCTGCCGCGCCCCTTCGCAATGAGAATGAGGAAATAGCTGTGGATTACGGGATCGACGATGTTGGTGAGGATACTGATGAGGCCACCACATATAGTTTCGAAATCCCTCCAGCCGGTGTCGAAATTGTCAAGGCCCGCTGTCAAGCAATTGGATGTCCCGCCCTGGAAGAATACGATTTTCAGGGTGATACTGAAAACGCCAATCTTGACATGGACTTGAAACCGGCTGCGAGAATTCGGTCATATCAGGAGAAGAGTCTAAGCAAGATGTTCGGTAACGGACGTGCAAAGAGTGGTATTATCGTTCTTCCCTGTGGTGCCGGCAAGACCTTGGTCGGTATCACCGCTGCAGCGACTATTAAAAAGGGCACAATTGTTCTTTGCACGAGCTCTATGTCTGTAGTCCAGTGGCGAAATGAATTCTTACGCTGGACTACTATCGACCCCAGTGACATCGCCATTTTCACATCTGATCACAAGGAAAAGTTCAAGAGGTCTACCGGAATCATTGTCTCGACTTATTCTATGGTGTCTCAGACTCGAGCCCGATCCTACGATGCTCAGAAAATGATGGACTGGCTTCAATCTCGTGAGTGGGGTATGATGATTCTCGATGAGGTCCACGTCGTGCCCGCTTCAATGTTCCGAAAGGTCACATCTGCGATCGCTGCACAGAGCAAACTCGGCCTCACAGCAACTCTACTTCGTGAAGACGACAAGATTAAGGATTTGAATTTCTTGATTGGTCCCAAGCTTTACGAAGCCAACTGGATGGAGCTTGCTGCCCAGGGACATATTGCCAAGGTTCAGTGTGCCGAGGTCTGGTGTCCTATGACTACTGAATTCTACTCGGAATATCTGAGAGAAAGCTCGAGAAAACAGGCGTTGCTCTATATCATGAACCCTCGAAAATTCCAAGCATGCCAGTTCTTGATCGATTTTCACGAGAAACGAGGAGACAAAATCATCGTCTTCTCTGACAATGTGTACGCATTGGAGCGATACGCACTAAAACTGAATAAGGCATACATTTACGGCGGAACGCCGCAGAATGAACGAATGCGTATTTTGGAGAATTTTCAGCATAACGAGCAGGTCAATACAATTTTCCTTTCCAAAATTGGTGATACCTCGCTGGATCTACCGGAAGCTACGTGCCTGATCCAAATTTCCTCTCACTACGGTTCTCGTCGTCAGGAGGCCCAGCGTTTGGGCCGTATTCTCCGAGCCAAGCGTCGTAACGATGAAGGCTTCAACGCGTTCTTCTACTCTCTTGTATCGAAGGACACTAACGAGATGGTCTATTCGGCTAAGCGTCAGGCCTTCCTTGTCGACCAGGGCTACGCCTTCAAGGTCATCACCCACCTGCAAGGCATTGAGAATTTCGAGGGTCTGTCTTATGCCACGCCTGCAGAGCGACGTGAGCTCTTGCAGGAAGTCATGCTGCAGAACGAGTCTTCTGCTGACGTGGAGCAAGTCAATGATGATCTGTTCTCGATGCGCTCAGGCAACAAGCGCCCTGGAGCTAAGAGGCCTGCAGCTAAACGATCCGCTGCTACACTCAGTGGCTTGGCTGGTGGTGATGATATGGCATACATTGAGTACAATAAGAGCAAGAATAAGCAGCTCAAGGACAAAACCGGTCACCATCCATTGTTCATGAAGATGGAACGAGAGCGACAGCGGCGCAAGAAGGAGCGGGAAACCGGGGTCGAATAGCCAATTCGCGCATGGTTTTCACAGACCCATCTGCCATCAGATATGTTTCTGTGGAATGAGACTGGCTATGTGGATCTAATTCTGAGACTTTGCAAGTACTGGAGAGCTTCTTTTTGGGTTTTTGTCTAAAATTGCCTATTCTTGCATTATTGAACTGCATTGGTTTCCTCGCGACTTTTGTTATATTTAATACCTAGACTGGAATCTATGGATACCCAAACCAGAAAATCACAAAATATATCCATTTAATGGAACATATCTCACTATATAGCATACAAGACTACATAACTTGAACCTACTCAGTATATGCTCAACTCCTCGGAGTTTGAATATGACTCGATGCTTATAGACGAGGACTGGCGGGATTTAGATGTGAACTTCCATGTATTGCTCCAAAGTAGACTGATTTACAACCTCATTTACAATCAAGAGCGGTCCAGGTTTGCTTTTAGTCGTATGGGGTAACTTTGAATACGAAGCCACCCGCGCGCAAATACCCTTCAGTCAGCAAGCCGGGTCTAGCTCAGCCGCAACTAATCATGACGTTCCTTCGCGGCAGCGGAAGTCCGAAGGCCCGAACTTCCCTGGCGAAACACACTAATGTTTTTATTCTGATAGGCCATCCCGGTCTTTACTTTTTGTAGGCCGATCCCGATGTTTCAATCTTGGAAGTTGCACACGAACGGATGGCAATTTATCTCCGCACTTAAAAAGGAAGCAGCCATGCTAACGCGACTTTAAAAAGGATCATCGGGCCCCGCATCCTTTGATATGAAGATTCACAGCTTCAGAAGCGTAGGAAGCAAAACACACCAGGCAAATCGAATTACGAACATTATACAGACGAGACCTATACTTCGTTCCGTGAGAGCTTTATCACTTTCATCATCATCGCTCTCATACCCACCTAAATCCCGGTCACAATTAGCCGTGCTTCGCAGAGCTTCCCCGCATTTTGCTTCGTATAGCTCTATCTCCGCGTCGGAAGCACAAAATCCCGCCATGGCAACCGCGACTAAGATCAAGCTGGACCCTGTGAAGGATGCGGGTGTTTTTAGCTTCGAGGTCCAGGAAGATGCAGCTCGTGTAGCGAGCCAGGTCCTGCAGGAAGATATGGAGAAGCATCATGTCTTCTTCAACCAAGAAGGATTTCATAGTATGCTTGCTATTTAGTCATTGGATTAAGTGATAGTTTCTCTGATAATTCATCACAGATCACATTGTCCATGGTATACTTACCATCTACGCACTTGGTGGATCTGCCGAGGATATTCAAGCCCATTATGACCGCAATAAGAGCTATCAGCGGCGACCTTACCCTACAAACCAGGACACTGTCAAGGCCATGGAAGATATCACCAAGTTCCAGCAGTATCTAGGGAAGGGCGCAGAATACGCAAATTTCCTGGCCTTCTTCCAGTACGCCATTGATACCAAGGGAGTCGGCGAAGTCCTTCAAGAATACGTGTTCGCTGGTGATGATCGTGCAGAGAGCATGCTGTGTCGATTGTTTGGTGGTTCGTATCCATTCCCGTCCGAAGTAAACTTAAAAGCTTTATCGTTCTCGACTGACACTGACTAGGCCTGATTCACCCACTTATCCATCTCGGCTTCGGATTAGAATTTAACCAACCGGCTATTGTGGCCCAGGGATTAGCCCAAGCGGCCGTTCATGAGGAATGGATGGGTCGACAGTTCTTTCTCCCCGCTGAGGAATTGGCAGGTGGAATTGGAAAGCCAGGAAAGAAGACCCTTCTCCAACTTCTAAACGAGATACAGTCGGACCAGGCATTGAAGAGCAGTGTCAGGTGGTCCGATGTGAACAAGATCAGAGATGGTATCCTCGTCCGTGCGCCGCAGCAGATGTTAGATTATGCCGCTCAGTATTCAGTATCAAAGGATCAGGTACCGCACAGGCTGGCCGATATGATCAATACGGTTGGTGAGTTTCAAGTTTCCCAACATATTATTGGCATATTATACCCCCGTATCACTTTCAGAGCTTTATACTCACACATTCTTAGTTTACTACGCAAGTGCCGCTCAGCGCCCAGACAAGGAGATCAAATTCGACTTTTTCTTTATTCACTGCGTCAATTCGTCTATATTCTTCTCCAAAATTATGGACCTGCCATATATAGATGACAAGGCTAAACTTCGTCTACTGGAATGGAAAGGTCGAATGGATCTAGTGATGTACGTCTCACGTAACTCACCAAATCTCCCTTTGAATGAGATTACACAGTACCCAGCGAAGAACGATTGGAAATTACTCTTTTCGCGCAGTGCAGCACATCCATCCGACGATGGACATCTCGCCAAGCTAGTCCGGGCTGTCGCGCATGGTCAGAATGTCTGCAAGCCATTTGAGAAGGATGGACTGCCAATATCCGGAGATATGTGGCTCCAAATCGGCAATATGGGTAAGCATCTACTCGCAATTGTGGGATTATGACGTTGGTACCTGTGACTAACTAATTTTTCTCTCAACAGCGATCGACTCCACTACTGGAAAGCAAGCCATGTGGGTCCGCTCTACTGGATTCGATGAAGCGTGGGAGAACTTATCAGAGCGTGCTCATCTATAAGGGGCGCTATTCTGAGTTTGTACCTTAAGTTGTAAAGTGAACATGACGACTTTGTTCTTTGTATGCGACCCTGTTGGTATTAACTAAATTGATGACATCGATGTTGAACTATGGTTGTTCTAGCCGCTGTAGTGGGTCTGTTCCGCGAGGCACTTCGATCCGGGCTTGGGCGCGTAGATGTCAGCAGAAATCTTAGCGTTGAGCATAAGGATGAGAACAATGAGGGTTATCTCATAAATAAAGCCAATAACAGATATATATGATTGAGATGCAAACTAGAAGAAACAATGAATAACTAGAATCTGTACTTACTACCGAGGTCGTCTCTACTGTAGTAATTGAAGAAGAATCAGGTTGTGGAACTCACGTGGCGAAAGTGGGGCTCCCCAACAAGCTTCAGCTTCAACTCTTCAAAACTTCTTCAACTTCAAATCTTTATCGTCGCACTACCACTACTCACATCGACTATGCCCTCAGACCGTCACTCGACAGACCAAAGAGCCAACAGTGATCGAAACCAGGCATCCGAAATGCCCCGCAACAACGACTGGGAAAATGACACTAACCCGTTTGTTGCTTTCCGGCGCTTCGCCGATGAACAAGTTTCGTCCGTGTTACAGTCGATCACCGGTCTCCCCTCGTCTATAAACCCCCCGCAATCAGACAACTGGACGATATTCACCGACGACAGAGGCTACAAGAACATGGCGTTTCGCCACCGCACCGGCACAAATAACGCGGTTGAGCGCGAATCCAATCAAAACGCCGATAACAGTACCCCAGGAGATCGAACAGATCCCTCAAACAATAACAACGATCAAAAGACTGCCCGCCCTTGGCAACAATCCTCAATACCCCCAGAAGACGCTGGCCGAACTTCTCAACCCCCTTCTCGTAACAGTCGATATGACGAACAACGACCCTCCGACTTCTTTGGCCTCGACTCATTTTTCCAAAACCTCGAACATCACTTCTTACCTTTCGCGTCATCTTTCTTTCACCCCCATCACAATTTCTTCCTCTCTGACATGTTCAGTGATGATAATTCCTCAACATGGCCATTTAGCTATATCATGCTAAGCCCTTACTCGCCCCTCCACCTTGAACGCCAGGCCCAGTACCGCGCCGTGGGCGAAGGGGGTGTCTTTTCTTCCATAATGTCTTCTCTTAAATTCGACTCGGAGCCTGAATCAGCTCGCGACCCGACCGAGCCACGATGGCGCGAAGCTTTTGAGGATCTAATCCGATTGGAAAATGGGAAGCCTCTGCTGGATCGCAACTCGACCCCATTTGCCCAAATCAGAGAGAATGGATCAGAGTGGATCCATGGACTTGTTAAAAGAGGGAGTCTGGGTGAACAATGGAAATATGTGTCTGGTACAGATAACAATCCCTGGACTGGTATCATATTTACTGGACACAGCCAAGATGGCCATGAAGTTCCTGAGACAGAAAAGAGATCTCTAGAGCAAGCCCCAGCCATCCGTGATGAGAAGGAGGCAGAAAGCGAATTAGAGATGTATGAGCGTTTCTTGCAGGACATTGAAGCGCGTGAGCTCGAGTTCTCCCGGGAGATCGCGTCTAGTCCTCTACTCCGTGCTTTGCTCGAGGAACGACAGCGCCGACGTGATGTTTTTGAGAAGTTTGAGAGCGGATTCTTCTCGGAGGATGAATACAGTAAAGATGATACGGAGAGTTGGTTGGATCTCGTCTCGGGTGGTAACCGCAAGTCTGTTCCTGAGACAGAAGAACCAGTTACCTCGACGCCTACTGCTGCGGTTGAGGGTAAGCCCGTTGAGTCTGAATTTGGAAATGTGACGGCTCGCGTTATCTCTACGATGATTCGCACAGAGCGTACACGCCTCCCTGATGGGTCTATTCAGGTCAAGAAGGTCCAGACAAAACGCTTTGAAGATGGTCGGGAAGAGACTGAGTCATCTGAAGAGACATCACATTCGTCGCGAAATGGGGAGGCGCAATCGGGGGAGAACGAATCTAAACCCAAGACTGGCTGGTTCTGGAAGGACTGATTTGTGTGAACGATTATTATGATGTACGATTTTCTTTTATCTATCTTCTGGGATGGTGTCTGCGATGACCATATGGATCTTGCTTTTCTATTCCGAGATTGCTCATCAGCGTTTTTTCTGTATCTATCTATTTGCTTAATCGCTACTGGGCAGTGTACATTCACTCAATCTTATTTCTTCTCTTTATTCTTCTAGGGTGCCCGCATTTGAAAGTAATTGTTCCAAGGTTCTGTAGGTCACTAATTGTCGGCGCTATTAGGATATTATTGTACGTATATGCCGTATCTATTGGGTATATGGGCCAGATCTTGCTATCAGTCTGCCTTGACACTCTTCTTCTGGGTCTTGCGTGTAGTCCATCCCCTAGACTCCCAGAACTTGACACTATCTTCCATCTTATATGCCCATGTAAAAGAAGGATCTGAGGAATGACTCATTAGTACCGGTCACAATGAAAAGACCAATAGACGGAAAGCTTACATAGAAATTGGCGGAGGTCATGATACTGTTCTGCATGATAACTAGGCGTCAAGACGGTCATCTTATGCCGATTGATGGCGTAGTTGTAGAAGAAATGGCGTGTCTTTTCGTAGACCTCGCGTGGTTTGTATTCATTTCCCCAAAGATGCTGAGTTTAAGGTTAGCTCTGTCTGGTGGAAAAGTTCAGTGTTGAGATAGGACTCACCATTAGCTTCTCGTTCGACCATGGACCTAGCTTGGCCACCTTTCGGAGATAGGCTTCAAAACTGTCATTGAAAATAATTAAGATTTATTCTCAATCTACTTACCGGATGTACCGAGCTCCGCATAAGTGAGACCCATATCTGCCTCGTCGGATTGCACATAAGTCGCGGTACGAGGCTCCAGCTCAGCTGTTGGTGTCGCATGCAAAAACTCTTCTAGAACCGGGAGCTCAAAACTATGACCTGCCCACTTGATGAACTTTTTGAGATCAACCTTGCTGATATATCCGATAGGGTTTAGACCCGCAGAACTGGCATCGTATTTAGTCAAGTAACCACGCAAACACTCGCAACGTTTGAGGATGCAAGAACCAAAAGACCACCACCGCCAGGTTGCTGACGCACAGTTGGTAAGTGTGAAGCAAACAGGTAAGACAGGACCATTCTCAAGCGAGCCTGAGTATTCTGCAAAGGCGCGTTTTCGGATGGACTTCCTCCGTGCACCTTAAAGCGAGGCTGGAATTTGGTTACGGTGGTAAAAGAGTCATCAGAGCCATCACCACAGTATCGAAATTGAAGTCTATATGGTATGACCCGATATCTGATGCCAATCGCTTAGCGCGATACCTTGTTTCGTGTCATGAATTCTGTGTGTCCATGTAGCTGGAATATACACTTGCAAATATCTTGGCTGGTAGTTGGAATTTAGTCCGAGTCTATCGGCTTAGCACACAGCCGACGAACATCTTTGATAACTTGCTCATTATCCTCTCCGACGGCCCTGAGAGCCTCGCGGCACATTGAATGGACAATAACTGATGTAGCACAGCTATCAATACCCCCGCTCAGAGGAATAAAGAACCCTGCAGCACCGCATCTTCGTAGATAATCCCAAAACCAGCAAGCGGGTCCGAGTGCAATATCCTCTTCTGGAGTGTGAAAACGGGGCTTGATAGGTTGCGAGACGGTGAGACTGGGATCTGTCTCTTCTCCACGGCGAGAAACCCGAACATCCAGATCAAGACGTACAAGTAGTGACTGCTTGCTCGCTTGCATTCCTCTGCTTATGCTTGAGCGATATGTGCGGACCTCTTCAATGTCGACAGTTGCGGTGACAACTTCCACATCGTTTAAGGATTTCCTTGCGCTACGACATCACCATTAACGACAATAATCGCACATCCGTCATAGTACAAGCGATCGCCATCGCATCCTTGCTGATTGGCATAGAGGTAAATCCCAACACTCTATATCGTGTTAGTGATAATACCAAACAGTATCTCACGGATGTGTTCTCTTCACCAATTTTGTAGCTTGTGTAATGAGATTGACACGGGTATCAAGTTTCCTCAACTCATGCTGACTTCCAGAAGAATTCGAAATTATTTCCACGCCTAGATGGGTTAGACAAGGCTTCTTCTATCGTTAAGCCCGGGGAAGTAACTTACCAGCCAAGTCATATGGGATATGAAGACTAAAGCCAATAATTAGTTTTAAACGCCATATGACAGCTATGCATGAGATATAAGACTATTACCATTGGGAGTGAAAAGCTCCTCGCAAGTTTCCAAGCCAAGGCAGGTATCTCTCGTGCTGATGACTGCATCCCCAAAGGGAACTTTGTATTGACCGGTGATGCTTCCAACAGTTTCTTTCAGGTAGTAATCCTCGACCTCTTGAGGGTGCTGCCAAGGTATGAAGTGCCTGTGCTCTCTGTAGTTTCCATCTGATAAAGAGAATCAAATATGAGTAAAAGTCAGAAAGGGATGGTTGAGAAAAACAAACCGTTGGTGAGCCACATTTTGGGCCGGATAAGTATGATCTTGCGGTTGTAGAAGATAACGCTATATTGGAAAAAAGGTGCCGATGAGCCAATGCTCATATTCCAGAGAAGGGCTGTCTAAGGACTCACCGGCAGTTGTAGCGCGCGTTGCGGTGACGAACGGGCATACCCACATCCACTACAATGTCCTGGCAATCTGGGTGATCAATGATACTAACTAGCATCTCCCACGAATGCAGGATTGTGTCTTCTTCGAGGAACCCCATCAAGAACTTCATATCCTATTGAACTGCATTAGTCTCCACTTATTCCATACAGTATAGTTATTCGGTGATACACCGGTAATTTCAAGCTCTGGACCAACTCTGAGAGCAGCACATGCAGCTTTAGCTTTTTGAATACTCTCAATAATCCGAGCGGCACCGCCCTCGAAGTCTAAAGCCCATTGATTAAGGGAGCTATCAAGTCAGCAAATGTAGTTCTTTTCTCTAGATAAGCCGTTCGACATACCATGTTGCTAGAGTTACCAATGTCCCATTTTGAAGAATAGCCAAATCGAACACAGGATACACCACTTCTATGCGAATACTACAATATTCTTCACAAAGAAACATAAAAAAGATAAAACTATTGGAAAGATGAATACATCACTAGGTCACGTGTGTGGGGAGGTCGGACTTCCCCGCTCTACAGAGAAGGTAATACCGCATATTACCGGTGATACACCCCTCACGCCTCAGGCTCGGCTCAAATCCGATGAAATATACTGTTATACAAATACAGACACAGCGGGGGCCCACCTTACACCGAGCTGATTAATTCAATTGCGATAATCGCAAATTCCCCAACTCCCTTACTGATTAACTCTACCGAGGTCTCAATTTTATTCCTTACTTGCACATAGACAATCTCTTCAGCATGACTGCGACTTCCCAAATCCCCGTTCCAGCCCACATCCTCGCGGAATCCATGTTATCCCGACGGTTTGGCCGCGAAACGGTGAACTATTTCTCCAGTATGAAATGCCGAGGGAATGAGCGAGTGGCAGTGTTCCTTGATAGCAGGTTGAACACTTAAAACTAAATAATGTATAGGCTCCCCAATCAATCGCTTATCGTTCCTTCGTGGGGATCATACATTCATCTCGACTGCACTGAAGCACCCCTCTACGCAGTTTATCCTGTTAAACAACCTCGCCCCATTGACCCGCTCCCCCGCCGAGCTGTACTATGCGAAGCATGAGGAACTTAGCAAACTTATTCCAGCAGATGTCTATGATCAATCTGAAGAAGACATGATCAAGAACTTTGACTCCCGCCAGACTCATCCAACCTTGATTTTCCTCGGTTTAGATGAAAGTCGCAAAGAGAATAGCTTGTCCTATAAGATTTACTCTGGAATTCCTTTCTTCGCAGTTGATGTCACACCCAAGGGCTCCGAAGTGCAGCAAACCGCGTGCAAGGATATAATTAGTGCCATGGAGGAGAAAGGGCTTTCTTTCTTCCAAACTAGGGTTGTGACGACATTTACTTCCGATGAAGGTATGCCAAATCGTCTTCGACACAGATGATACCAGCCAAGATCGAGGCAGAAAATCACCAAGAAAGGCACTAATGATTTGTATAGCCGCTATATACGCCCAGGCCCGCGCATTGACCGACTGGAACACCCGCAACACCTTTTGTGGCACATGTGGTAACCGCACTCTCTCTGTGAACGCAGGAACTAAGCGTGCCTGCCCTCCCACCGACACCGCACGTGCTGCGCAAGGCCAATCTGTGGAAGGCCCTGCATGCACAACCCGTACAACAATCTCGAACCTGTCGTTCCCCCGTACAGATCCGACTATCATCGTGGCTGTCGTCTCCGCAGACGGCCACCGGGTTCTACTGGGCCGGTCCAAGAGATTCCCTCCGAGCTTGTACTCCACTCTTGCAGGATTCATCGAACCCGCTGAGTCAATCGAAGACGCTGTGCGTCGCGAAGTATGGGAAGAAGCTGGAGTGACCCTTTCCCGGGTCGTAATTCATTCTTCGCAGCCCTGGCCGTATCCTGCGAACCTCATGATCGGTGCTATTGCGCAGGTCAGCGATCCGACCCATGAGAAGATCAATCTTGAGCATGACCCAGAACTGGAAGATGCGCGCTGGTTCTCACTCGAGGAAGTGGAAGAGGCATTACGCATTGGAACTAGCGATCTGAGCTCTCCGGCCGGTCCTGAGTATAAGGGTGGATTGAGGTTGCCTCCCCCGACTGCGATTGCGAACCAGTTGATTCAATCAGCCATTAGTAAAGACTACTTCCATCCTGATGAGAAGGCCTCTAAGATGTGAGATACACAACTATATCTTGTACACACAGCAGTTTACATCTAGATAGAATAGAGATGAACATATATCAGGAAGAATAAGGCACATAAGAATATCATTGAAGTTGTAGGTTTAGGATCAAAGGTCGACTTTTTAGCGAATTGGTATGAGCCCGAAAGTGAGATGAGATCACAGATTAGCATAGACTGTACCGTCACGTAACTCATGAATGCTTTCTTTGGTGCTCGGTGACCCAACCTCGGTGTAGCGTCGACCATCTCGCAGTTCATGGATGGTAACCCGTCGGTAGCTCTTGCGACGTCGCGAGCCCCTGGCCGAGGATGTCGGATCACGAGACATTGAGTCCATGCTTCCAGTTTCGCTCAATACGGCACTGCCCTCTCTATCCATATCGTCTTCCTGGATAGATGTTTGGAGTTGGTGATCGGCAACCATATGCGTACCAATTTCGGCATACCAATTTCGCAAGCCAGTTGCATACGCTCGTTCTTCTGAGTTGTATTCAACAGGTGGACCATTCACTTGTGCTTCAGGCCCAGATCCATCGAAGACAGCCCACGAGCTGGATTCAACGCTAACTAGCATGATAGAATGATCATAGCTGTGGACCTTGAAATTTCGGAGCAAGACTGCGCTCCCTTCGACCAGCGTTGGCATTGCAGACTTGTACCGTCGAAAGATCTGGGCTTGGAGGAGAGTACCAGCCATGGATGGGTCGGTAAGTTGAATCGTCATGAAATAGTCCTTTGAGCCAGCAGTCGCTTTGACAATTGGGGACGTTTCATGGACAACTGAAAGGGTATCTATTTGGGATCCGTAGTGGTCGACAAGAGTGGCAAGGGGAGCGAAGTATGACAATTTGCTGCGCAGCCCATGTGCATGACGATCAGGCACGGGTAGTTGGGTAACGATGACCTTCGGGACTCCTAGCGGGTGATCTTGTGGTGCCTCGGGTTGTTCATCAGGTCGAGTAGTGGTGGTGGGTACTACAACGAAGATGTCACCTGCATGGCTTTCATTCGGAAGAGGCTCTAGAGCGTCCGTTGACATAGACGTATGTTCCTGATGCGATGAGACGACTTGGGCATCTGTGAGAACATGCATATCGATTGATACAGCATCAGCTTCCGAGGTAGAAGGGGCATTTGGGTCGGTGGAAGATTCCTGGATGTTTTCAACATCTTCAACAACTTCGCTGTGAATAGCCTCGTTCTCCTCGTTGTTCACAGCATTTCGGGATCCGGTGACAAATTCTTGAGTAGGCCCAGGTGTTGAAATTTGATGATCAGCGGAATTCACTAGGGTGGTTCTTATGTCTTTCTGGATAGTCTCTTCTTCCACGCTCATGGGCGATGCTGTTTCATCTAAATCGTGATCGCCTGCCCCGTCTAATGTATGGATAATTTTGGTGGACCAAGCCTTCTCGATCCGACTGGCTGGCGCTGAATCCTCTCGAGGAAAAGTAGATGGATCAGCTTGACTAGCTTGCTCATCAGAATCAGAATCAAGGTCGATGACCGATCCGGTGTTAACACTGCTGTGGATAACATCATCGGACTGATATCCTTTGGATGAAATTGCCACGGATCCCGTATACTGTGCATCCCTTTCATCATGATCACCATATACAGAAGTTCCTTGGCTCCAAGGTTGTTCAATATTGTGATCTCGGGCCAGCACATCTACCGACGATTCATCCTCCTTATCACTCTCGTGTACTCTTTCATTTAGATTCATGTTCGTGGACCTATCATGGCCATCCTCTTCATCCTCGTCGTCATCTTCAGCGTCTGACTCCGAGTCAACGTGTTCTTCACCTGAACCCCATTCTTGATCTTCGGATTGCGATTGTGGAGGCGAATATTGATGTTTTTTATGATCCGCATGCATAGATTGAGGAATCATCGGCTGGTCAGAAGTAAGTTCATCTTCACTGTCACTATCCAGAACAATAACTTCGGGTTGCGCGGGCGGTGGCTTTGGTAATTCCTCAGCCTCGGACTGATCATCTGAAAATCCGTCCCATTGATCTTCGTCATCGTCATCGCGACTATCGAAATTTGTCGCCATGCGCTCATCTTCTTCGTAGTCGATGGATTCGTCCTCAGATTCAAGACTTTCGTTGTCACTGACATTGGAGCCGGGTGCGACATGGGGTTGTGGAACTTGAGATGCATCCGAAAAATCGTCATCATCATCGTCATAATATTTTTCATCGCCGCTCTCAGGGGCTGGCACTTCATGTGACTCTCCATGCACTTCTGTGTCTACGGCATTGTGCGTAGATAGTGCGATGTCCGGGTTTTCGCAAGTTTCATAGTCCTCGGGACCAGCCTCAACACCTGATGCTGAGCTGGGCTGGGTATATTCCCTGTACTCCATATATGACTCCTGTTCAAATCCCATTTGTTCTTGAGCAACATGCAATCCCATCCGCTGGATTTCCGTCTGGTCATCCGTGAATGATGCATGCTGTTCTTCAACAGATTCAAAGCCAAAAGGAGTTTCAATCGTTGCATCTCTGACATCTTCTGACGAAATGATTATTCCAGGCTGGGACGGTAGCAAACCACCACTGATACTTGTCGACTCGATAGTCTGCGTAAAGGGTGATGTAGACTGGCCAGTTATCAGGTCAGCTCCTGCGAAGGTGCTTGCATTGTTTTGATAGGTTTCCTCTGCAACTTCAGATATTATAGAGGTTTCTTTTGAGGGGGTTGTAGGTGGTATGCTAGTGACTGAGATGAGTTCGGGAAAAGCGACACTAGCATCAGCCTCCAAAGCTACGCTGTCACCGTTCAACGTTTGTGAAGGAAGATGTACGCCCGAGAAATATCCCTCGGAATAATTTGAATTTGAGACAATAGGAGATGGAATCGGAAGTCCTGGTGAAGGTATTGGTCGAAGTTGTGGGGTATCTGTAGCACAATGGGATGCTGGGATTAAGCGATCTTGAAAAGAGGGTGCTATTGGTCCGGACGGCGTATTCGTATTGTTTGATTGTAAAGGTTGTCTTCCAAAAATGCCCCCAGAAATATCCATCGAGGGTTTTATGAAGACAGGAGAAGGCTCACGAGACGCGTGTGCGGAGCTGGTGTGATCCATGGCATCCACATCGGGATTTGAGATCTGAGTATCATCCCCAACACTTGCGACATGCTCGGGCTCCTGTTCACCATCTGCGTTCTCTTCCGACATTTTTTCCCATGAGTCTTTTTCCCACCAGTCCAACCCGGGCTCGTCCTTCTCTTGTGGGCTCATGGGATCCTCCACAAGATGCCAATCATCCCGTTTCAAGCTGTACCTCGGCCGTTTTCTTCCCTTACCCGGCACGAATCCGTCTTCCTCCGCAGACGTGTTAAGAGAGGCATGGAGCACACCCCCAAACTGGTTTGACCTGGGGCGCAAAAACGCTGGTGAATCCCATGATGTTTGTCCAACGACCGTTGTGCTTTCGGGGTCTATAGAAGTGACACGAGGAGTGGAGGGCGGAACTTGCTCGGAATCATGGGGTGAAAATGATTGTTCCTCAATGAATATCGCAAGCGAATCTTTCGACGATCGGTTGACCTATGGTTGTATTGTTAGCATCAAAGATGCGCTCAACAAATTTGCGGACCAGTTATACCTCTAGTGACAGCTCAGATTCGAAGTGTACATCCCACGCGACATATCTCCCAGGTGTTTGTGTCGCCGTGTCATTCGCAACGTAGTTTGAGCCTTTCAACGCGACACGGACACTGTCACCGATACCGACGTGCGATGCTGCGAGCTTCTCCGCGGCGCGCCCATGAAATATCGTCTTCACTTGACCATGCGAACGTCGTAGGCGAAAGTCGGGCTCAGCCAGCAATAGACTAAAGGATTTTGTTGAAGACGAGTAGGGCCATACGAGGGTTACAGCTGCCTCGATGCATTTTCCCTCGCTCTGCTCAAGGGTAGGTGACAACTGAGCGATCGGAACCTTGGTGAGTTGCGGCAGCGCATTTGGTGCCGAAGGTCGGTCGGCTGCATCCATGATATTGCCCACTATTCCGCGACTAACATCAGGAGAGCACTATCACCTATCTGACATAGCAGAAAAGGAGTCTGAGATGAGGGAAAGGCTGAGAAGTAGGTACACATGAGCTGAAAGGAAGTGGGTTCGACAAAATGACTGAGAGCTGCGGGTTGTGCCTTGGTAATACCATGGTAACAATACAAAGTGAATGGGGGATTTGCCTGTGTATCTAAATACGACTATTACATCATTATAGCCCTGGAGCTGAAGATTACGGCACAAAGAACTTTGGAAATGTTTGATATCTCAGGCAGAAATAGGGTGAAAGATAGAGCTTTTTTTCTGTTTAAATGAACTCACTAGTATAATACAAAGCGTCTAGAAAAGATAATCACTCTGAATATTTGTCTAATCGTCTTTCTAATCGTCTTTCTCTCTATGTAGAGCTTACAGTACGGATAGCGGTGTATTAGGCGGTAAAGGCAAATATTAGGACCAACGGGGGTTTCCCCCCTGGCCGTTATGGTCGTACAGCAGGTACGGTGACTCTGAGCCAAAATGTTTCTTTCTTCCAGTATCTCCATTCAAGTAAATTCCTAATGTTGAATCCTTTCCCTCGGAACAGCCGCCCCAGCTTCCACACAATAATATTCCACTTGGCATTTCTCATCAATACTTAATGACTAGTCGTATAGTACTCCTGTTAGTACTCCTGTTCTCCAAATTGACCGATAAGCTCCACTGCTCCACTATGGCGCAACTATCAAGCGGCCTTCCGTCCGTTTAAAATGGCCTCGTCCATACCCCTCACGCCACTATCACGCAGAAATACGTATCTACAGAATGCCACTCGCAAGTCCTATTCGACGGGTAGCTGTAATAGGAGCAGGGCCCGCTGGTCTCGCTTCTGTGAAGTAGGCAAAAACTATACAGTTTGTCCACATTTGAGGGTCCCAGATCTTACTAACCCGCAAAACAGATATCTTCGAGCCGAGAACTATTTTGAACAAATTGATGTCTTTGAACAGAGGAGCTCAGCTGGGGGTACCTGGAATTACACCCCACCGTCTGTCAAATCAAGTATATCAACTCCAGTGCCCCATTTGAACCCTCATGAGCCAGTAGAGGAGCCTATATGGATCAACCAAGCTCAAGGGGCTCGTGAAGCGAGCTTTGTTTCCCCGGTATACGACAAACTAGAAACAAATATTCCGAAGGATTTGATGAAGTTCTCTGATCAGTCTTTTCCAGAAGAAGCCCAACTTTTCCCCACGCATGGTACTGTGAAGAATTACCTGGATAACTATTCAACGGATGTCAAAGGTTTTATCAAATTCAATACGCAAGTCAAAAATTTGAGATTGCATGACGCAAAACTTAGCAACTGGGACTTGACCACTGCAAATCTCCACAATGGATCCGAAACAACATCCACGTATGATGCTGTGGTTGTTGCAAGTGGCCACTTTACCGTACCGTACCTGCCAGACGTTCCGGGGATACAAGCTTGGGATAAAGCGTACTTGGGGGCTATATCGCATTCCAAATTTTATGATTCCGCTCAATACTTTCGGGACAGGAAAGTAGTTGTCGTGGGAAATTCGGCTTCGGGGCTTGATATCGGAGCCCAGATTAATGAGTTCAGCAAGGGCAAGGTCATCGTCTCTCAAAAGGCCCCGTCATATTTGGCCTCTTCAATGCCATCCGATAAATTGATTCGTCCCGAAATTGCGTTGTTTCTCTCACCTACAGAATATGATAGAGGGATTCAATTCGCAGATGGCCATATCGAGGAACAGGTCGATGCTGTCGTTTTTTGCACGGGATACTTTTATTCGTTTCCCTTCTTATCATCTCTGCAACCGCCAGTCGTAACCGATGGCTTGCGCACGAGGAATGTCTATCAACAACTTTTTTATATCGAGCATTCAACTCTTGCATTCCCAGTACTTCCACAGCGCATCATTCCGTTCCCTGTGTCAGAGAACCAAGCTGCGGTCTTATCTAGAGTATGGTCTGGAAGAATTTCTCTTCCCGAGACCGGAGATATGAGAACATCATTAGAGGATGAAATTATGCAGAAAGGCGATGGGAAGACCTTTCACCTACTACCATTCCCTATGGATGCGGACTATATGAACCATCTATACCACTGGGCGGCGGGAGCTGAGACACGTGCTGGACTGGTCAACGACGGGCAGGGAAAACTGGGGACATACTGGGGACCAAAAGAGCGGTGGATGCGAGCTCTGTTCCCCGATATTCGACGAGCATTTGTTCAGAAAGGGGACAAACGGAGTGAAGTCAAGACACTCGCAGCCCTTGGTTTCGATTTTGAAGCCTGGAAACTGGAGTAGGGCTATACCTAAATCTATTATACAGTGTTATTGATGGAGGAAAACAACTTCGGGGGTAATGACTGATAAAGATAGATACTCCCAGCTTGTATATAGAAAGCTCTAGAATCTTACAGTGAGATTATTGCGTAGATTAATACATGAAATCCCAGGCCTGCAGACATTGTTCAGGTGTGGATATAGGTATAAACGAAGCAACATGTCGTGCCGAATCCATACTAATGTTATTTGTTCTGAGGAAAAAAGGGATGTATGGTATTCTGCACATATATTGTCAGTGCGACTATAAAGAGGGGTATTTCTTCAAAAAAATCTTGACAAGTTTCAAGCATTTATTTCCTCGAGTTTGACCTCGGGATCTCCCATATGTAGATCCCTAGACCAACTAGTCCCAAACTAGTTAAGTCTTATCGATAAGGCATCTATCACGTGACAGGTATTCGTCTCCGCCGCGACTCAAGACATTCATTCCCTCTTCTATACATTCAGCTTCGGTCCATCGTGATTTTGCAGACAGTTGCCGCTAAGCCTTAAAGGTTTAAGACATTTAATATAGGTATGAATCATTTTGTTCAAAACAAACTTTATCTGTGCCTGATTCCATCTTCCGACCTATGCGCAATCACAACAGCTTGTTCAACCCTCCCTAACATTAACAATATCAGTCTACCGCTCCAAGGTCACGGTCAATTTGAACTGCCAGGCCGACCTTTTAAATATTCTTGACAGAGAGATTGAAGACCAAGGATATTCAAGGGTCAAATTCGCTCTTGGATTCACGTCTAAAGCTTACCTATTGAATACCGTGCACACAGATCAAGGTCGAGCCTGGCTAAGCTCCGACTTGAGTCGTCGCAAAACCTCATAGATATTGCAGCCGTTTTGCATTTTGCTCTCGCTGCAACTTTCCTCGTTGATCTTTTGAAATTGTCATACATTCTTTCTTTCTTTCATCATCAACCCCTCCCCCCCCCCCTCTCTATTCATCTATCTGCTCTGGCCTCCCAAGCTTCGCTCTTGAAGCCCCACTTGGCAGGCACGCAGATTAGCTCTCATACCTTTCTGCTTCTGACCGACCTTGATTTATTCATTAATCCCTTTTCTTGTCACCTACACTTAACATGGACGACAAACAACTGCACCTGAGACAACCTGCATCTTCTGCCCCTGCAAGTGAAACTCCTTCCTCCGTGGGGGACATAGATGCTGTTGTATCGCCATATTCACCGGAAACCGTTGTACCATTGAGTGTGCGAACTGAAAACGACAACATGTCACATGCGCATACAGCGGTACATCACGCCCACCCGGAATCTTTATTGCAGTCATCTCATTTGAGTCATGGCGAGAGCGGCATGCAGACTATTCAACCCAGTGCATTGACGGTAGGCAATGTCGAGGAGCACCAGCCAGGATCTGTTCGTCTTGGACCAGCCGAATTTGCCGTGACCCTTCCTATGGATTCACGAGTCAAGGACGATTACGAGCGTGTCCTGACCAGCGCAGCTCCTGATATGCAAAACTTTTTATCTAAACTTAACTCTCATTCTTCCGCATCGGATTATGAGGTAAGATCCCCCTTGTGTTAACTATAGCCCTAAGCTAATCATGACACTTTCAGCGAGAGACCTTGCAGTCCAAGATATATGGTGTCATAGCCCGGTTGAACAATGTTGCAATTCATCCCGATTTGAACATATCTCATCACTTGAAAGACCCAGATTCCGATCTTGAGAAGCAAGCCTCCTGGGCTGAATATTCAAGCACCAAGTTTCTTTTGCTTGGAAATTTGATCGAGCTTGCGAGCACCCATGAACTCCATGTCATTCTTGCAGTCGAGAATATGGATAAACAGGTTATTGTTGAGCGTTACTTGCGAGGTAAAGGCTTTACCTACACCCGGCCCCGGGAAGAATTGGGCGGTAATCTGGAGGTTTCTTTGACTCGGGGGCCCCTGAGCTTCGGGGTTCATTCTAATGATAGCGTGCGAGATCTTTACAGAGCGCCAGCTGCCATTATTGCGCTTGATACGGCATTTAACCACAAAAGTCCCGCTGTGGAGCACTTAAGAACAACCTATACCCGGAACAGTGGTTTTCTTCCAGTGATCTGGCTCATTGTTTCCAACGCATGTGAGCATATTGGGTGTTGCCTGCCAGATTTGCCGGAGTTAGAACGATTGCAATTCCTATTACACTACACTTCTCGCCTCCACGATGAGGTGGGCGACCTTCAAGATGATGCCCTTGGAGTACCAGAGCATGCCGAAGAGATTCTCAACTATCTTTTACACAGCTTTGCTGCATGGCAAGTGCCTCTAATCGAGCCCTTACACTTTCTCTCATCTGGGGAAATGGAATCATCAACATCCTCATCTGATGAGTCCCAAGGGGCGGCCCAAAAGCGCTCTTTAGTAAGTGAACATTTCTGCTTTTTCATACGTGTGAGTGCTAACGACTCTCTGTAGCCGGAGGATGATCACGATGAATACCAGTTCAAGCGCACCAAGGTCGATTATCAAGACCCCAGTCAACTTACCCAATCGACTAAGGGATCCAGCCAAAGTTTGGACCGCGACCTTCAGTCTCTGGAACGAAACCTCGTTCAAATGAAAAACACCCACGCCGCAGAGAAAGAGCATTTAGAAAAGGATCTAAATGAGATGCGATCGCGATTCCAAGACATGGAAAAGGCTTTGTCTACCCTCCAACATCGATATGAAAGCCGGACGAGCGACCTTCACAAGACTAGGCAGGAGCGTGATAGTATCACTAACTCTAAGGCATCACTGGAACAGCGGGTTGAAAAGTCCAGAGAAGATGTCACCAAATTAAAAGAAGAGCGGACTCAACTACAGGCTGAGCTTGAAGCGACTCGTCAAGAACTAAAGGAGGGAGGCGGCACATTAGCGGAAATTGAGACAGCTCGCGAAGAAAATCGACGTTTAACCAAGGAGATTGCGAGTCTTGAACGCAAGGCCGATTATGAACGAAACCAAGCGGAATACACCCGTGAGCAATATCAGACTGCTTCGAATGCAGCAGCCCAAGCCGGAAATGAGCTTCGCCAACTTCAAAGCGAGAATGAAGCGCTCAAGCGAAGGGTCGAGAGTGATGTCTGCACATTACGAGAAATCACCAACAAGAGCGACTCGGAGCGTCATATTGCTCGCATTACAGAATTAGAGCTCACCCTTGTCTCTCGAGATGATTTTATACGTAAGAAAGAGGACGAGCTGCGAGAAATTCGCAAAAATCGCCCTTCTACGCGCTCCACCAGCACACAACCCCGCAGTCCTAAGTGGGCCGCGGCAAGTCGTCCCACTAGCCCGGGGGTGAATAATGGCAACGGAAATGGGAATGGCAACAATGGCCTCGCCGGCCGAGGCAGCGGCCTACGCTACAGCTCCGAAGTTTCACTTTAGTCGTTGACTATGAGCTTCCCATCCGCCGCGGTATAATAATGCCCAAGATGGTCTTCAGGTCAATAACTTGAATTCCACATCTGTCTTCTGTGGAAATCCAACATACGCTGATAGTCTATGACGTCTACAAAAGAGCAACACCATAAACCTCACCTTGCATCCCTTCATGATCTGCAACACTTCTGAACTCTCTCGCTACTACCTTGCATTATTCCAAGCGATGTTACCCGGTCATCCCATTCTTATCTCTATCCCTCGTTGCATTGCACCCAGGTTACATCAATCGCGTTGCCATGAAGTTTTTCAATTCGTTCCCAAATTTAGTTGAATTATTCTGAAAACAATAGATTTTGTTTCTCATAATATTCGGGATGTAGAATTAAGTAACGCCCTAAAGACGTACACCACGAGACTATGTATACAGTGATGCTAAAATCAGACAAGAATTAGATAGATCCCAACGAGAAAAAAAAGAGTGCTCCAAAAAATAATCAAAACGCCAGACATTCTCTCGTGCTCATAAAACACAGTTAATACAATATTCGAATTTAGATGAAAAGCCCACATTGCGTTTATGAGGACTGCATGGCGCTACCAATGAACTTAGCCAATTCCTTCGCTTTTTCACCTTGAGTCATGCTAAAGTGATTAGCACCCTCCATAATCGTGATGCCACCAACATTCTTAGGACCAACAAGCGTATCCCAGCCGTTGGGACCGAGATTCGTGCGGTTGTTCAACAGCCACATCATCTCTCGGGGATCGGGGCTTCCGTCCTCAGCTGGTGCTGGGCGAGGGTCATTTGGCTTGTTGCAGACACCATCCTTGGCCCAGACCATAAAAGTCTTAGGAATCTTGTCTGCCTGCTTGTCATCATCGAATGGGAAAGGCAAAGCTTTGTATGCATCAAGAGAATCGATGAAAGCCAGGAAGTGGGGAAGGAGCCACTTGGGTGGGGGTGCCTTGCCCTCGCCGAATAGACCAATTGAGTCGAAGAAGCGGTACAGGCGACGGGGAAGCTTCTCAAGACCAATGGGAAAGGGTGAGTCTAGGAGAAGCAGACGTTCGACGCGCTCGCCATCCTCGAAAATTAAGCGACGTGCTGCATCATACGCGCAGATTCCTCCAGCGGACCATCCGCCGAAGTTGTAAGGGCCTGTTGGCTGGCGGCGACGGATCTCGGCCACGTATGGAATAGTCAACTCATCCAGACTGAACTTGAGGTTCTCAGGGGTTCGCATGTAAGGACAGTTAAGACCGTACACGCAGACATCTGGGGAGACACCTGGGATTGTAGCATAGGAGGTTGCGGATCCGGAGCCATCGGGGAACAGGAAGAGCTTCTGCGTAGCAGTCTTTGGGTTTCCTTGAAGCAAGATTGAAGTTGCCGGAGGATGCTGGATTGCCGTGCTGGAAATGGCTTTTGGTACTTCCGCGGGGATTTGCTCGGGAAGTCTGACTGGTTCAGTCTCAGGGGCCTTGGGCTTCAAGTCAAGGGCGACTTCGACTTCGTTAATAGTCTGGTTCTCGATGAAGAATTCTCCAGCCAGATCAAGATCCAAGGTCTCTCGGATCTTGCCGAGGACGGTGAGTGACATTAATGAGTCGAGGCCCATCTCAGCGAGGTTGACGTCTCCCTGGAGCTCATGTGGCTCAACACCAATCTCCTCGGCAAGAATCACGCAGATTTGCTTCATGCTATCATTCTGCTCAAGGAGCATGCTCTTTTCATTAGCAGGTGTAGGAAGGCCGCTCGAGTTAGGAGTCGAGATGTCAGTTGATGATGCTGCAGATGAAATGTTATCGTCACTGCTCGATGCATCACTGCTGCTCTCAGCGGGACTCATCGAGATCAACAACTGCTTGAAGTCTTTGATTGTGGGTTGGTCGACAAAGACATTAGAATCCAAGTCAATGGTCATCTCCTCGCGGTAACGACCAGTAATAGTCAAAGAGAGTAACGAATCAACTCCGTAGTCCGCAAAGTTGAGATCATCTGTCATTTCAGATGAGGACATACCAACTTCCTCCACCAAGATACTCAAAGCCTTGGCTACAAGGCTGGTACTGGTTGACTTTGGAGAAGCTGCAGGACGAGAGGCCTTCTTAGCTGGTGCTTGGGCCTTCTGAGCATTGATGGGTGCTGGCCTGGGCTTAGCAGCCGGAGTAGCCTTAGAACCAGCAGGAGGAAGAGCCATATCAAGAATCTTGCGTGAGAGTGCTTGGAACTATATTACTAATGTTAGCCATGTTCCACAGAGACATCTGAGAGTTGCATCACATACCTTGACTCCACCGTATACGGCGACAATGTCATCTCCTTCAAAGAGATAAACATCACCGGCATAAATTGATTCCTTCCATAGCTGCATCCGGACATAAGTTCGGTAAGTAACAGCGGGATCGAACTTCTTCAGACAACGCATTGAGTCCCATCCGTGATTGACGAATACTTGATTCTTGGAATCAATTCCATCGCTTGCGTTCATGATGAATCCAGACAGATGACCAATACTGTCAATCCAGAATGGATTGCGATGGAAGTCACCAGGGGGTGCGGCGAACTTAACCAATGCAGTGGCTTCGTGCTGCTCACTGTCCAGAATGACTTCTTGAATGGACTTATAATTGTCATCATAATCAACAAGGGCACTGAACAACTTGTAAACCATTCCCCGTTTCATACGATGAGCATCTCCTGTCTCTGTGCTCTCTTGAAGATGCTTGATGCTTCGCTTGATGAGATAAGCAGACCGTTTCCAGTCAGCCTCGGCAGCCTTGGTATCAAAGAACTTGATAGTGCAGGTTGCATGATCAAGGATCTTTTTGCCCTCAGGAGTAACAGACCAAACTTGTAAACTAGCCTTCTCCTCAGCCCAGTTAGCCGTAGCCGACACGCGGAAAAGTTGCTTTCCACCCTTGGCAATAAGAGGCTTGGGAACCACGACATTGCAGACATCATAACCACGTTCCTTCCACTCGGGCTTGTACTTGTCGACAAGGAACTCACCCAATGTTTGGGCAATATCTGCATATAATGAGGAAGGACAAAGGGCAGCACCGTTGACTTTGTGGCCCTGGATAACACGGTTCAGTTCAGGGTGGTCAATATCGTTTTCGATTGTCACTGTCGCTGTGTGCTTATCTCCAGTAGTCTCCAAGACCTTCTGAGCTGATGTTGTCAAGAAGGTGGTCACGGGGGCAGTCTCTGCTACAGCCGTTGCAGGAGCACCCTTCAGAAGACAGAAATTGTTCGTGTATGGAATCCAGTAATTCTTAAGGTCCCACTTGTAGGCGGGAAGATTGAGAACTTCGTGTGTGGAGCTGAAGTCTTGGTGGTATTCCTTCCAACGCAGGTCAATTCCTGCCATGTAAAGCGAGGCAAGACTGGTCGAAAGCACCTTCCAGGCATCTTCCTGACGACGAAGGGATGTTACAGTCAAGGCTTGGGGACCAAAAGTAGACTTGACCATGCCAGAGCACACAGGGTGCGATCCAATTTCAACCCAGACAGTCTTGTCGGTCATCAGCTTTGCATGGCGGATTGCCTCTAGTGCAGCGAGGAAGTTGACAGTCTCGCGGCAGTGACGAGTGAGATAGCTGGGACCAAGAACTTCGGGATTAGCCTCCTTAATAACATCACCAAGAAGAGCAGAAACAAATGGAATGGCTGGCTCATGGAAGGTAACGCCCTTGGCAATGTCCTCCAGGCTTTGAAGAATGGGATCAACCTGGGCAGAGTGGAAAGCAAAAGGAACCTTCAGCTTTGTAGCCTTAAAGCCTTCATTGGCCAGCTTTTCAGCAAACCGATCAATGTTGTCATTGGATCCACTGATAACAGTCTCACTAGGCGCATTGATGCAAGCGACCTCAGCGATGCCGGCTTCCATATACTGTTTGACCTGAGCCACCGAAGACTTAACAGCTAGCATAGCATGTGTTCCCATCTGGCATTTATCGGTGAGAAGCTGTGCTCGACGACCAGCAAGATAGATAGTATCGCTAGTCGTCAAAATGCCAGCAGCATTCAATGCAGCATATTCGCCCAGGCTGTGACCAAGAACAAAAGCAGGTTTGACGCCGAGAGAAATCCAGAATTTAGTCAAGGCCATTTGGATGCAAGTGGTTCCCAATTGAGTCACAACAGGGCTTAGCTCTTCAATAGGGACACTTCCGTCGATCAGAGGAACAATGGCGGGGAACCCGAAGCTCTGAGCGATACGGTCCAAATGCTCAATGTGTGTTCGGAACTGAGAGTTGTGCTCAAATAGTTGGCTTCCCATACCGGTATACTGAGCACCTTGACCTGTGAAGATGAATCCAGTGCCAGGGGCGGTGGCAGGCACAGGGGTGATGCTCTCCCGGCTGGAGCTTGCGTTCAAACCAGCACGAATCTCCTCCAAGGTTGAGCCAGTAGCACTGACACGGAATGGGTGGTGGATACGTCTTGCGGTGGTTGTGTAGGCCAAATCAGTAAGTAGCTTGTTTTCATTGACATTGAACAACTTCTTCTTTGTGTCAATGTATTGAACGAGTTCAGTGGCGTTGTTCTTCAGCGCAGATTGAGATCTCGCGGAGATGGTGACAGTATGTACAGATCGCGGATCAGTGCCAGTGCGCTCCTGAATGGGCGCATCTTCCACTAAAAGGGCGGTGTTTCCACCGGCGGCGGAGAAGTTGTTAACGAAACTGGCACGCTTTCCGCCAACAGGGCGGTTCCATGGTGTGGGTTCCATAGCAATGTGCACATTTCGTTGCTGAAGGTCCGTGGGGAAGTTATGGTTGATCTTGGTCTTGATACCACAGTGCGGGGGAATCATGTTCTTTTGCATCATAACCAGGACTTTGATCAAGGCCGAGACTCCAGAGGCCGACTCTCCATGGCCAATGTTGGATTTTGCTGAACCAAGGTGAAGCGACTGGTTGGGTCCGCGGCGATAGTCGGGGGCGAAGACATCCAACACAGATTGCATCTCAACAGCATCACCAGCCTGGGTGCCTGTACCATGCATTTCAATGTAGCTAACATCCTTGGGGCTCACATCGCCTTCATTGAGCAGTTTGTCAAAGATGAAGGATTGAGCACCAGCAAGAGGGCGGGTGATTGAAACAGCCTCGGCGGAGTGATTGGTGTATGCGCCGTTGATAATACCGTAGATAGGGTCATTATCAGCTTGAGCATCTTCAAGTCGCTTCAAAACAACTGAGCCAATGCCATCAGCTCGGCAGTAGCCATCAGCACCGTCGTCAAAGGTGTTGCAGTTTCCGTTGCGGGAAAGAAAATGACCACGGTCGAGACCAGCGTGGTTGTCAGGGTTAGTCAGAACATTGACACCACCTGCAACTGCAGAATCACAATCATTTTTCCATAGAGAGTTACATGCCATATGAATGGCTGCAAGACTTGACGAGCAAGCAGTGTCAACACTAACACTAGGTCCACTAAACTTAAAGTAGTAGTTGATGCGACCAGGGGTGAAGGCACGGTTACCACCAGGGATGAAGTAAGTGTCAATGTCTTGGCCACTGTTGATCTCTCGATAATCGTCACTGGTCATTCCGTAAAACACGCCTACGCGGTTCTTCTGTGTGGACGGTGTGCTATCCGGAATGAATCCAGCCATTTCGATGGCCTCATAAGCAGTGAGAAGAGCCATTCGCTGGGCTGGATCCGCTTGCAATGCCTCGCGAGGCGACATGTTGAAGAAGCGAGGGTCAAACATGCCAGGCTCTCTGATCCAGCAACCATACTGAACCTTACTGGTGTTCCTTGTATTTCCCTCCATATCGACGTGAGCCTTGACATCCCAGCGATCGGCTGGAACCTCTCGGTGTACATCCAGTCCTTTGTACAAAAGATCCCAGAAGGCTTCAGTGTCGGGAGCTTCCGGAAAGCGACCAGATAAGCCAATGATGGCGATCTTGGACTGCTCTGAGCGACCGGTTTGGTTGTCGCCATTTTGGTCCTTCTTGACGTCCCCAATTGCACAGTCAAGCTCAATGTTCGAAATTCCAGATTTCTTAAGTGACGAGTAGAGGCTCTGGGTTGCAGTGCTTGATATCGGCAGCAGAGTGCATTTTCCATCCGCTAGTTTCAAGGTCGCGGAACAGGCATCAACAACCTTGTCCCAGCAAAGTTGACGGAGGAGAATCTCTTCAAGAGAAGATCTCAGAAGCTCTTCGAGGCCCTGAGCCTCAACGGCCTTTCCTGTGCTGCTCGAAATAATAGGAATCTGTAGAGAATAGTTCTCGAATTTGTCTTGAGGCCAAGATTCCATGATTCTGTTGACATCCCTTGCGTCATACAAATGAGGCGCATGGTAGGGACCGTGGATTGGAACCCTGGCAGGCTTGTGCTCTTTAGAGAGACCCTTCTCGATGAACATCTCCAACGAATTGGGTGGGCCGCTAATTGTCACGCCGTTTTGACTAACAGCACTGACATATGGCTGGGTCACCCAAGGAACCGCCTATTGGTGTTTTAGTTACTTCTGTTCACTGATACAGGTAAGGAGATCTTGAAAAATGGACTTACATTTGTTGTACCAAATTTTTCAATTAGCTCTTGCGCTTCCTGCTCCCGAATCCCTGAAACTAATACGGACCAGCTGGGTGAAGATGATCCACTAGCTTCTACCAGCTCACGTACTCTGAAAACGCACATTCCGAGTCTAAGAGCTAGAACAACAGTCTCTACACCGGCTGCGATAAGTTCTCCAACTGTCTTTGAAGAGCTAACAGCGGCAGAAGCAAGCTGGCCTGTGCATAGTCCGATGATAAAGCTGTCAGACCCAGAAGGATAAGTGTTTCCAAGGTCACCATAGTAACTATATTACTGTCAGTTGTCTGATATTTTGTCCATTTCCTTGCTAAACTTACTGGATGAAACAGCCAAGCTGGTAGATGGTAGTTAAAGCACTTTCCAGCGCCGCATTTGGGCCATGCTCGCGGTACCTTGCCAATAGATCAACGATGCTCGTAAAACGAGGAAACATCTGTCGCTCCGATGGCGGAAGCGCACTGATCTCCTTGCGCAAGGCATAGTAGCACTTTTGAAAAAAGCCTACCACCACTGAGTCATTCTTGGCTTGCAGCAGGCGACGAAGGCCCGAGTCGAAGTCGGCTGTTTGGTCTCCGAAGAGATACACACGACTTGGGCCGTTCATACTCAAACCCGATGCTAGCCAGGGGTTGCAAAACTTTGCTGAGAGGAGAAGTAAAAATGGTTGAGGGCCCGGCGCGAATTGATGGGCACCATACTTTATACATTAGAGTACATGCAACGATGGGATTCTTTTCCCTGTGGAGAAAGCATAGTTCGAGAGGCATCATCCACAGTTCCTCTTGGCAATAAACCCTGGAAAATCAAACCTTGTTCCCTGTTCCATGGTGGTAATAGTACTCAAGTGGAACATAATTTGTGATATCAAGACCCTCACTCCACGAGATCCCGATGTGGGTACGACGGGGTTTGTTTCGGTAACACCCTGCTCGAGCGGGTTCAAGATCTAACTAAGCCGAAAATGGGACTGTTACTGTACTTCGAATTTCACCATTCCTACTATTAGGAGTAAATTCACAGTTGTTGGGACGTTCTGTTTTCGATTTGTTCGCTTTTCCCGTTCTATTAAAAAGAATTGACTATATGTCAGTAAACTGGTGGTTTAGCTGTCAATTCGTTCCTTGGAAGCTACATAAGACCTAGACCCTTGTTTTTTGAAAATAACATAGATACCTGGTGTTTGGAGAGCTGCTTGCGGAAAAAGATTAAGATCTTTGATCATTTTTGGACAAAAACCCCACAATATATGACTTACTACTGGTAATTGATCACCGGAAAATAGACCCGAATAGGCTGAAGATGTGAATATAGTTGCAGTTGGTGGATCATCGTCGCCGGTTTCGGAACGTTGCACCCGAAACTATCCCGCAGATCACGTGCGCTGGGTGCCCTACGTGCCTGTTCGTACCTTCTTGCTTGCCCAGGGGGTTGGAAAGAATAAGGAAAGGGGAAGAGGACTCAAGGGCTTTGTGCCCTTGCGATAGGGGTATCAAGTTTTGAAAGATATTTATTTCATCCAACATTAATATGGAAAGTTGTACTTGACTCATCACAATGTTGCTTCCGCGACTAACTTCTATATATTTTCAAAATTCCGACAAATCAAAATCCGGCAGCAAATGTAACAACGTACTAATGCAGCTGTATATTTGAAGATCACAGAAAGAATCGAAGCCATCGAACGTTGGACCCCGTGAAAAATTCTCTCGTTGATACAGTACGTCATGACTGACCCGTAAAAGAGTGTATGAACAGCCCACCTGCACGGCCTACCCACAAGGATATGTTCTGGACATCATGATACCAGACCATGACAGCACCAAAAGCCAATTACGAAGGCGAAATATTAATGGAACAATTTAACTTGATTTTTGATATCTAAACTGAGAAGGGTGTCACGATTTGTAAGATGATTAGGCATCCGACTGCCATCATTAAGGCAAGCGAAGAGCGTCGAGGTCGCGGAATAAAAGCCTGGAAGTGGGGTGAGTGCGTGACCACCTACGAATCGGAAAGTCTCCAGTAAAGGAAGGGCGCCTAAAAAGTATTGCAACTGGATAGTTCTGGCCGGCTGGAGCCTGGGGGATTTCCGGTAGCCTTGATCGACTGCGATCATCGATCAAAGTGGGCCATACGATGCGGACCAAGATCTTTACAAGAGACGGATGTAATTATTGAACTACTACAATGGGACGTAGTGAAAACACTGGAAAGCGCGATAAACTCGTGCGATGTGGTTGTAGTAACAAGATTAATGATGTAGTAAGATTTATATGCTAGTATAATGCACAGTATTAAGGCATGATGTTAATGCAATATCAAGATTTTTGAGACAGGATTTACCAGTTGCGGTGGTGGTAGCGGCCACGCCCCTTTGAAGAATTGGGGGAATGAGAAGTGTCAGTTAACTTTTCGTGGACTTTCTTTGCCTCGATCAAAGTAACCTCGTTCGGGAACGGCTTGTGTTTATCTCCTGCATCCTCGTCACGTTGAAGTAGCCTATTTACAAGCCCATTTTCGCCAAGTTTGTGCATGTGCAGTCTTGCCAACCAAGAGGGAGACGGTGGCTCAATTAGAGGGTTGGGGGTTTGAGCCGGTGGAGGAGATGGGGGTGAAGGAGGCTGAGAACTTGGCGTAGGCGGTGGAACAATGGGTGACGATGATGGAGGAGCTGTTGGAGTAAAGGACTGGACAACAGGGGTAGAGGGCCGAGAGCTTGGTGTGTATGCAGGAGGACCTGGTGTGAAAGACTGAGAAGCCGGGGTAGACGGCTTTGTACTGGGAGTGGGTGATGGAACGATGGATGAGTAGGGCCGCGAGCTTGAAATAGAAGACTTAACACTGGGAGTCGAAGCTGGGTTGACAGGAGGAGTGCTAGTAGGAAGGGGAGTTGGAACAGGAGATTGACTCTGAGGCCCAACTGGAATTGGGTTGGGACTTTGGTCCTCACCCGGAGGAAGCTGCGGCCAGGCGTCGACTCCGTCGAGAAGGGCAACAGCCATGCCATTTGCCATGTGTGTCTCAATGTGACAGTGAAACAGGAAGGGCCCGGGGTTGACAACCTGGTAGCGAAGAATCATCCACGTCGGACCACGTGTGCCCTGGGTAACAAAAGTGTCTCGCATTTGAGGGTTTTCAAGCCCAAAGTACTCAGGGTGTGCAGCAACCGCCTCTTCAGTGCTTGACCATTCGAAGAATCCGGGCCCAACGCCGAGAATGAAAGCTTTGTTGGAATGCTTGTGCATAACGTGGGCAGCAGTGATATCAGGGGTGTTAGGCATATGACCAAGTTGTAGGAGGAGATCAACCCAAGTGCCGTTCTTGGTTTCAATAGCAAGACCAGGCGCCAAATTGTTCTTTGCGCTGAGATCATAGAGAATTGGGTCATCCCAGTTGGCCATCATATCCCATAGACCGCCACCTGAGGTTGTGAATGTATAAGAAGAGCCCCAGCGACCAATAGTCAAATTGACTAGCTGATCAGCGGAAGCCGGAATACTGACAGGAGGATATGGATGAATAGCTCTTTGATCCAGGGCCACAACTGAGGCCGAGGTATTCCTCCCGCCGTAGTCAACGTAGGGTTGGGAAGATTGAGCATTGGAGGATCCCTTATAACGCAAGGTAGCAAATCCTGAAATGACCTGGTCACCCTGAGTATCAGGGACTCGAAGGGTGTAGTCCTTCCATGGCTTGTCGAGTTTCACCATGGCCGAATAGCGCTCACCATTGAAAATAGCCGCACTATGGACAAGCAATGGCTCCACGTAGCTTCCATCGACCTCATAGATGTACATGGGGTGTTCGTCGATCGAGAAAATGAGAGATTTCAAAGCAGCCGCACTGATGAACTTTAAGCTCACCCAGCCGGCGTTGCCATCGACTTCAATAATTTCGTGATTTCCAGTGGTTGGCTCACAGCCCCAGTTGACGCCCTGAGGAATCCTTGTCTCATCGTGTCCGCCGAAACTTCCCTGTGTCTTATAGATATTTGGCAAGCATCTGGGAGAAGATCCATATATGTTAGTATATTGAACAAAGTTTGATTGAATGTTGCCCCATTTACCCCTTGTCACTCAAAGGCGATTGATCAATTGCGGTCTTGAGGTAGTCGAGCTCCACACTGGAGATCTTCTCACCACCGGGGCAGTAAACAGCTCCGCGGCCGTTGACGAGGACACTATCCATGCAGCTATTCGATTGTTAATCATGATCAATTCGGAAAAATAAATTGCGTACTTACAATACACTGTAACCACTTTCTTCCTGGATCTTTTGGTATTCTTCGAAAGTCAAATGATCCCAATCAGATAGTATGATCAATTTAGGATCTAACTCTGCCTTTTGCATAGCCGCAATGTCGGCAGTGTTGTTAGAAATTAGGTGAAAAGGTTGAGGGGTCTCAGGTGCCGGTCTTTCTTTGGTTAGCAATTCAACGTGTGAAAAAAAGACCAGATAGCTTACTCAATCCAGATTGGGCCGTAAAGGCCATCCATCATCTCAGACCGGCCATGTGAGTGGTACCAATAAGTTCCATATTGTGTAGCCTTCCAGCGATATGTCCAAGTGTTACCAGGTTGAATGGGCTTTTGCGTCAGCCCAGGAACACCATCGGACCATGGAGTTCCCAGTTGTTCAATGCCGTGGAAGTGGATGGATGTATTGAAGGGTAGATGGTTGTGAACCGTGACCTGCGTGATGTTAGCTTATTGGCTCTCACCTCATAACGGATTGAAGGAAAAGGTACCTCCACATCATCGCCCTGGTGAAGCCTCAACTCCGGACCAGGGAATTGCTTGTTCATGAATACCATTTCACGAACATTTCCATCAGGTGCACCTTTTTCCCAAGTAAGGTCCAAATTGAAGTGAACTAACTTGGCCCATGCCATTGGGCTCACACCCATGCTAGCTAGAGCTAGCAAAGTCTTGAGGGGTGCCATTATGTTGGATGTACCCAGATCACCGACTCATGGGATTGATATGATCGAGAACTTGAATAGAGTTAAGGCTCAGAAAAAGACGGGAAGAATGAGGAACGTCGCCTATATCAATCAAAAAATTCCGAGATGGAGTCTACAAAATTCTATCCCTCGGGCAACATGTAATTTAATTTTGTGGGATGTTGGGACATTATAACATGCCGATAGGAACTTGGAGCTTGTTTCCCTGTAACCCCCTGTGTCGTCCAAAAGCCCACAGTAGCATTTTGCATATTTGACAAACGCCACAGATTTGAGAGGCCCCGATACGTTGTTTGGGAAGTTTGAATCGGGATTCCAATGAAGGTCAACTCCTTCGATTGTATGGAATGTTCATGTGGCTGATGAATAAAAACATAGTACAGTTTTCCGCTTGCGGCTGACAGCGCGGAGTGGCTGGACGGTAAGAGGGCCATTCGGAGGCCGGGCCGAGCTAAGCGATAACTTTATAATTCATTCATTCAATCAGAAGCGCCAGAATGATACTCTTGACTAGGAATTTCCTGGCGATTTGCAGTTCAACAATACCATAGGGCCGAGCCAAATGTTTTGATGTGGCTGAACATTCCGAAGGAGTCTGCGGCATGTGGGTTTGGCCTTTTCCGGAACGTATGCGCCTTTCGAAAGGAAAACCCGATTCCCAAAGATAAACAAGCAAATTCGACCTAAAAAAAGGCGAGAACCCGAATTAGCTCGCAAGTATCGCATTTCCTTGAATCGTCGAAATTGGTCTCTTCTTTAGCAAAGCGGTGGAGTTGGGAAGAGAGGAGGGTAAATATCTACTATAATTCAGCCAGCCACTGCTCTCAATAAAAAGCGCATTTGCACACTAACTTCAAGTTCCCTGCTTAGGCTTTACATACGTCGCTCCCAACCTATCTCAGTAGAAGATCTCCGAGCAGTCGCATTCTCCAAGGAGTACCTAGGTAACATGGTGATCACAGCCAGATGGCCAAACTACACAGCAACTATCCCATCATATTTCAATTGATATTTTCAGGCACTAGGATCGTGCACGGTGTGATTGTTTAGCGCCGGGCGGGGGTGATCTATGGCGCATGGCCCCCAATAGTGGGGAGGCGGGTTGTTGCCAGGGCCATGGTTCCTGGTGACAACCATGGGTCGGGGAAAGCTGTAGAATATAGCCATATTGATAGTTATTACATGGGAGTATTGATAGATATATGTAAAAATGAGTTCAGTGACTTGGTAAAACTATTTAATTCATCACTCAGAATAAGTACTCTCTTATTTTTTTTCTCCTTTGTTCATCTCTGATTTCCACGATCTTGAATCAATACCCTGACAGCGCACGGGCCATCTGGAGGTAAACAGGGCATTAAGCTTATCGATAAGACACACTCCTGTCCGCTAGTCCCGATTGGGCCACCACCGTGTAAACATTGAACAACAAGCTTCGGGTCTCACCGTCTGAACTGCCTTCCTCTTTGTCTTCCTTCTCAGCCCTGTTACTCACTGGTACCCTGGTTTTCCAGGAACAGCATATTCCTCGGAATCTGCAGACGCTTCTTTCCCCGTTTTTTTTTTTTAGTGCATCATCGAACATGTCCCTTGCCTGAGTCATCCTAATCACTGTGGCTTTGTGTACCTTTGAGTCCCCCTCCGCTCCCGAACCTCAAGCTGGTCAGGACCAAACAACAACATCGGCATTCCATCCGTGGGCCACCTTTGCCGCGTTATCGAATCACGCCCAGAATCGCGCTTCCTCAACCAATCTTGAAGTTACCTTATATACGCCCGCGTCTCCTGTCCACTTTGCGCCCGCCCGAACAATACACCATCGATCGCGATGGCACCCAATGCGCCTCTGCTGCCATCGCGGTTCCCATGCTGGTGCCGGGCAGTTTATTCCTGGGGAGGAGAGACAACACGGGATCTAGGATTTGTCGAAGGTGATTTGATCGAATGTCTGAACGCAGGAGACGGGCAATGGTGGATGGGCCGTCTGCGTCGTGATAAGCGGGCAGTTGGTCTATTCCCATCCAACTTTGTTGAGCTCATGAGTGAAGATTTCGTGCCAATTAGCCGTGATACAAGCCCAATGGTGCAGGCAACTTCATCGCCGATCAACAACCCTACCTCCGCGCCCAAGAAACAGAAAACAGTGTTCCGTAAACCATTCCAAGCACACAAGGAAGCCCTATCTCCAGCTTCGAATCTGGCCCGGAGCAGGTCCAACACCCCGGTTACAAGTTCAGTTCCACAAACACCGCCTCGAGACGGTGGAGGTACCCCCAGAAGCAAGCCCTTGCGTACACATGCATCAGCAGTCAAGAACCAAGGGTCCGTCTCTTCTCGGCCTTCTTCTGTTTCCTCCAGACACTCCTCGCGCGGTCCTTCACCACGAGCATCGGTAGAAACCGAACGACCACCTTCAAACATGATGCCTCGCGGAAGCATTTCCTCTTCGCGGCAATCCTCTCGTGAAGTCTCACCATTTCCTCGGGAATCGTCACCTATGCATCGCGAAAGTTCCCCGCTATTTCATCAAAGTTCTCAATCTAGACGTGAACATTCCCCGTTGCCGCCTCGCGCAACTTCTCCAATGCCCCATAGAGGGGGCTCGACGAGCAGTTACCACGCTCCTTCCATGCCGCCCCACAGGCCAGTATCACCAATGTATTATGAGGATCCCCGAATGGCTCAGCCTCCGGATTCTCCGATGTATCAACCGGAACCTCCTATGCATCGTACGCCTTCTCCGTTGCCCCATCGTGCACCTTCGCCCATGTACCATCAAGGATACCAAGGATCTCCAATGCATCGTGCGCCTTCTCCGTTACCCCATCGCGAACCTTCGCCGATGTATCATCAAGAACTCCCAATGCATCGTCAGCCATCTCCATTGCCGTATCGTGCAGCGTCTCCAATGTACCAACCTGAACCGCCGATGCATCGCACGCCATCTCCATTACCCCAGCGTGCGGCTTCACCAATGTACTATCCAGAGCCCACAATAAATCGTGCGCAATCTCCACTGCCCCATCGCGCGGCTTCGCCAATGTATCAACCAGAACCCCCCACCCATCGGCAACCTTCGCCTTTACCATCACGCTCTGTTTCGCCCATGCCCTATCGTGCATACTCTCCAATTCCCCCAGATAATTCTGACATGGACACGGAAGAACGCGACGATTCTCCCCCGCCGCCGCCTCCACCTCCACATCGCGTGGCTGTCAATCGAGCACAATCACATTCTCCACAGCCACCTATGCATTCACCAGCACAGCAGCGTGGCCTACTACGATCCCCGCAGCCTCCAACACATTCACCAAAACCCCCACGTTCGCCTGCTCCTTTGAACATGAACGATCGTTATGTGATATTCTCCCGTACACCGTCTCCCGGGGCAATTTCAACGCATTCGGCCCAGTCAGATATGAATGGAAACACTCCCTCTCCCCTGAGAGACGCGATGGAAGATGTGATGACCTCACTAGAAGACATGGGATTGCCGCGTGAACCGCCTTCCCCATCGCCGCATCAACCTCCATCACCTTCTCCTATCCCCACATTCAATAACCCGTGGTCGGCTGATGCTTTGGAAAGTATGGATGAAAAGACGCCTACCGCGAATAGGCGACGACCTCTCACGTCGTTGGGGTTTGATGGATACAAGCAGCCCCATCGTGGGGAATTAGTTCATCGGAACAGTGCATACTCTCACGACCATTATATGGATGGCCCCCCTCAGTTGAATAACTATGTACAAAGAATGGAAAGTCGCCTTCGCCAATTGGAGGATCAAAACCGCCCAACTGGAGACAATGAACCTGGAAACGATGATCAAGCTCCTCCTCCGCCCCCTCCAAAGCATTCCAGCCATCATGCACGCCATAATTCGATCCCTGCCCAATATCCCCACGTTCGAAGCCGTCGATCTGGACAAGACCTTAGAAATGATAGGCTGAACCGTACTTTTACAAACAAATCCAGCGCGACAACCTCCACTGGCGTGCAAAGCGTTGGCACCGACCTCACAACAAGCACAGACAAGACAAGCCAAAGTTTGATGAGCGGGGCTTCTGCGGGAGGCTTTAGTGCTACCAGCGCTGGCAGTTATGCCAGAAGAAATGGTACAAACCAAAGGCCAAACACAGCAATGGATACCATTCGGTCTCGAGGCTTTAGCGATGCTGGAAACATGGACAGGCCAGAATCTCCTATGACAGGGGTGTCTTATCATTCCAGTCATAATACCTCTCGCCAGGGAGCGTCTTCCGCTATTCCATGGTCATCTAACGATCATGATGCGGGTGACTCTGGTGGTGTGTTTGGCGGTCTCTCAACCCCCAAGAGCAAAAAGCAAGGCTTCTTTAAGAAGATTTTCGATTCGGCCAAAACCGGCGCTGCTAGTGCCCGTAGCAGTATCTCCGTCGGACGCAGTGGCTCTCAATCTCCAACTAAAGGAAGCAGGATGGTAGATGCTGTATCGCCTCTTCTGACCTCCCACATGACCCGCGACTCGGCTAGAGACACGGAAGTCAACACGAGTGCTATTGACTGGGTTCAAGTTCGCCGCGATGTGAACCGTGCATCTTCACCAAGTCGAAATGAAAGAATTGATAGGGCAGAGCGGTGTCAAATGATGGATCATCCCGTCATATATGCTGTCGAAGAGCTCCATGACACCGCTGAAGGCGATGAGAGCATTGATGGATCACCGATCAGCGACCCGACAAACTTCATTGCTGGCAATCTGACCCTCGTTGACAAGAGTGCGCGGTTCATCAATAGTGTACCGCCGATGACAAACCCAACCAGCTTAGCTCAAGGCTATATTTGCCGGCCTTACAAGAGCGATGTTCAACGCCTTCGGGCCATCTTCACTTGGGTTAGCGAGAAGATCGCCTGGGAGGAACCTGTCGATGGACTTGAAGTTGACATGAAAAGAGTATTGCAAGCCAAGCGCGGCAGCCCCCAGGAAATTGCTATCTTGGTCAACGATATGTGCACTGCTGTTGGTCTTCACTCTGAGGTGATCTTTGGATTCTTAAAGAGCCCGGGTGATACACTAGATTTAGAAAGTCTGACTCGTCCTAATCATTGGTGGAATGCCGTCCTTGTTGATGGAGAATGGCGTATCATGGATTGCGCATTGGCGAATCCAACCAACCCTCAACGGAGCAAGTTCGTTACCAACAACTCCTCCATTGCAGAATCCTGGTACTTCCTGGCACAGCCACTTGATATTTGCTATACACATGTACCACTTTACCCTGAGGAGCAGCACATCTGTCCTCCCATCTCACCTGACGTCCTGTTAGCTCTCCCGGCCGTGTGTCCACAATACTTCAAGCTCAATGCCAAATTCCCAGACTACGATACCAGTTTGACTCGACTTGAGGGACTGGAATGTATGCAGATTTGCCTTGTTGTGCCCCCGGATGTTGAATGCGCCGCCGAGGTGGAAGCCCCTGCATTTGCTTATGACGCAGATGGTGACTTCTTTGAGAGCGGTGATATTGTGCGCAAGCGCGCTCTAGTCCAGCCAGATTGGTTTAACGGTCAAAAGCGCATTACTGTCAAAGCTGTCCTACCCGGCGATGAGGGCCAGGGTGTACTGAAGGTCTATGCCGGCAAAAAGGGCTTGATGCACTCCAGCAAAGATATCCCTCATCCGCTGGCTCTGGCTCTCCCTATCCTTCACACTGGAGAAAACCCGCCTTATGATTTTGTGCTCCGTCATCCGACGCCGCATGCTCAGCGTCACGATTTGTATATTATGCAACCTCAGTGCTCCCGGTTGGCAGTCAACAACACCTTCGTTTTTGGCGTCCGCCAACACCCTGCATCTGCGCAGTCTTCATCTAAAGATGATTTCCCTACACACGGTCGTGCCTCTCCCTCGGTGTTCAATCGTCCATCCAGTGCCCTCAGTATGGTCTCCAGCACTGCAGGTGCATCGACTGTATCAAGCGCCTCAAACGAATTCTCTGCATCGACTTCTGCTATCTCATCTACCCGATCAGCCAGTGGACGGGAGAAACCGGCTAAATTGGCAATACAGTCTCCTTCTGGGAAGATCCTGCGTCTTAGTCGTAAAGCCGAGCACATGATCTCCCCCAACAATCCCTCCGATTCTATTAGGGATGCTGCGGCTGAGGGTAGTGTGTGGGAAACAGTGATCAAGATTGGCGAGCGTGGCACCTGGCGTGGCCTAGTCCTTGCTGACCGCGTTGCGCGGTGGTGTGTCTTCTGCGAATGGGAATGTGTGTAATCATTCTGTTCTTTGGCTTTTAAGATTTGAGTAGAATCAGCGACATTGCTTTTGATTTATTTCCCTTTTCCTTTCTCCTGTTGCATACCGGCCTATTTCTTTCTCATTTTGTTCGTTTTCTCCTTCCCATACTGGTATTTGCATCAGGTCGGCTCGGAGCATTGCATATACTGCATCTCATGTTGGTTTCCTTGCTATACATATGCATCATTCTGCGCCTCCTGATTTATCTGGTGTTTGGGTGTTCGGATTAATGGCCTATTTCAAGAAAAAATAAATTTGAATCAATCAACCATATTCATGTTGAAAGCTTCTTTCTCTATATGATACTCTAGATCTATACCTCTCGCAATGCGCTTCGTAGTAGAGGAGCCACCTGTTTTCTGCTTCCCTTGACATCCTTCTGGATGCACAATCGTCTCCAGATGCCTTCATCTCCATCCAGCGTAGATCTGATTTCCTCATCAGGAATATCCACGGACTGACCATCTACAGCAGACCAATTCACAAGCTGAAGCTGATCCGCATTATCCATAAACACATTTATCCCATCCACAATAAGTCTACCATCACCCATCGCACTAATAAAAAGCTCTCTAGAGAAGTCGCCCTTATCCGACGTAAACGCCGTCATAACAACAACAGCATCCAACTCTCTCCCCTCGGAAGAAGCAAACTCCCGTACCCCATCCATAAATTGCTTCGCGCCCCCGGCCTTCTTAACAATCCACCGTATAGGCTTAACCGCCGAACAAAAACCAACAGTCAATTTCTGACCTGACCGCGCACTCTCGCTCCACTCCTTATAATCCCGACCCAAAACCTCCTGCAAAGTCAACCGATCAAGACTATTAACCTTCGCCTCAAAAATCTTCGAAAAGAATTCCTGCTCGTTCCACTTCTCACTTCTCCCATCATTTTCATCAGCTTTAGCAATCAGCTGCCGTAGAACATCCACGGCCTGCAGATCTACATCCGTAACCTTGTCTTTCGCAGTCAAATTAGACGTATCGATAAGTATTGGTGCAAGCGCCAGCTTTGAAACCTGCGCCACCTCAAGTTTAGATGACGCGGCCTCGCTTGAAGCTGCAGAAGCCCAAATGCCACGCGAGTGCATTTCGTTCGTGATCAAGGATGCACATGATCCTGGCCCTGGCTGGATAATGACAGGCTGCCCATCTGGAAGTTTGTCTGCTGGTGGCATGAGATTGTCATTTATGTGGTGGTCAATACAGCCCACGGCGCGAAATGCTACTCCTTTCAACGCGGCGCCGAGGGAGCGCCTCCCTTCCGCACCAGGGGCGGTCGCTGGTAAAGCATTCCAATCCACTAGCGTGACGTCCGCATTTACATGTTGTGTTTGTGTCTGTCTATCACGTAGCCCCTGCGCAAAATCCGCGACCGTAATGATATGCTCGCGTAGAAGATTCCCAGCAGACTCGTAGGAATCCTCGAATCGCTCATCTGGGTTTAAAGCGGGGAAGTTCGTTGAGAGCCAGAGAGCCGTGACGAATTCTGGTCGAAGACGAAATAGCTCGGGGCCTGCGGGGACATTGGAAAGGTTTAGGAGAGGGATGTGTGGGCGGGGTGTCTTTTGTGGGAGCCGGTTGTTGGCGCTGTAGGCATAGATTATGGCGGAGATTATGGAGTCGAGGTCTGCGGAGGGGTTGCCTAATACGTAGATGGGGGATTCGGAAAGAGTTCCAGAGAGAAATTGGAGGTGGATTTGGCGGGCCTGTCGGAGGAATTGGAGGGGTGTCATTGTGTTCAAGTTGTTGGAGGGACCTCGGGAGTTGAAGCTTGGAGATTAATGTTTGCGGGGAGATTGAGTCTTAACTATTGTCGGTCTGGTAAGCCAGAGAGCGCCCGGAGAGAATAAGACAAATAGGGCCACCAGTATTAGTAAACTAGTATATATCTCATAATGTACTCAATTTTATACGTGGTGACATTGTTATTCTGCTTCAAAATGATGACTTGAAAATATTACATCGTATGCGAATGCGAATGCGAATGCTAACTTGCTATAGAGCTAAGACAATGACACAACACATCCCCTCTATTCTTGTATGGTAAGTTGCTGCACATTATTAGGCAGATTTATGCCAGCCTCCATCGCTATATCCTGAGATTTCACACTCTTCCAGACCTGAATGAGACCATTAAGGTAAGCCTCATACTGGTCACGACCATCACCGGCAAACTCCGATGCAAGATAGACCATCTCATCGACTGTCAACTCATTATGGTCGACAACAGAGATGCATAGAATATAAGCTAGGACATTCTTATGGGTGAAGATCACACCCTCATTGGTAAAGTTGTAACGGTAGTTGAACATGTCTACTCGAATAATCGCATTGCTAAAATAGGCGGTTAGCATTATCGAATTGGATGCTAAAGAACAGATACCCCGATAGATACTCACTGTTTGATACACACGAAGAACTTTTTATCAAAGCTCTCACCCGCAGAGTTTTCGCCGAGGATCTGTTTCAATCCAGTCTTCACGACAGCTTTGAAGCCCTCGAGAACGCCCTTGCTACCTGTATCCGCGACACCGAAGAAGGCATCGACGGCCTCATCGACACCAGGAGAGCCCTATACCATATTTAGCTACTGAGATCTTGAGAATATTCAACATTGACTCTTTTTGAAGTTTGACGCTTACCTCGCTGCCCGTATCAACACAGACGGATCTTTCAAAGCGCAATGCACGCTTTCCGGGGACACTTCTTTTAGCAACGGAGCCCGGGTCAATAAACATCTCCATGAGCTCAGACTCAAAGGTATCCAGTCTGACGTCAGCCAGCTTCATAAGGATATCCAACTGCTCTCGGGCCTTGGACTCCTTCTCAGCCGAGTTATCGAGGAAGTTGCTAATTTGATCTCCCATTTTGATAGTGAAGAGTACGTGTGTTTGGAGATAAGATTAGTATGCTATGAAGGAAATCTGGGTCTAGATAATAATGCAGGACCCCTAGCCGTCTTTTTATAGAAACCCTTGCCACCTCTTGCTATAACTTCTGGATTGCAGCTAGCCGCTCGAAATGCCCATCAGGGTTGAAGGTGCCGAGGAACAATGACTCTCAAAGGCCTGTTCTCTGCCCATCACATCGCAAGTTTGTCACATCAGACTAACATCGCACTCGAGTTCTAGTTTCGGTTAAATCCGAAGCAATAAAGAAATCGAATAGTCACGCGAATGGTCAGCACAGGATGCCGATCCGAGCGCAATGCCGGAGAACGGGCGGGGCGACCATGAACATACGTGAACTATAACTATAGTAAGTAGTGGACTGTAGGTACCCGTATCTCCGCACCCCCGCCAAGCCCAATCTCATCAATGGATCCCACCTTCCGCCTCCAACTGCACTTCCAAAATTCACGAACCTATTACACAACCTTAACATCCCGCCACAATGTTAAAAACCTCCCTACAAGTCCCCGAAAGACTCGCCCAAATACCTCACTACCCAATCCTCTATTCTCATCCTTCCCCAATCCACCCTCTTACAACACTCACATCGTCATCCCTCCCCCACCACCCCCGCACCACATTCTCCAAAAATCTCCATATTTACCAAACGCGAAGACCAAGCCGCCCCTCTAGCTTGCTCAGGGAACAAATACCGCAAACTTGAATACATAGTTCCCGACATACTTTCTACTGCCCCAAAACACGGCCACCATGAATACCACCCAAATGACAAGCCCTTACCAGGTCAAAGCACAATTCTCGTGACAGAAGGCGCAATTCAAAGTAACCACACCGTGCAGGTTGCGGCTCTCGCCCAGAAACTAGGTCTTAAGGCTTTGGTTCTGTTGCATCGTGGGACGGGTGGGGGACTCCGCAATGCGAGTGATAAGGCCTCGTTCTTGCGTACGGGCAATGTCCAGATAAATCGGCTTCTTGGGGCCGAGGTGCGTGTTTTGGATGAGGGTGATCCATTATCTGGTGATGCGGACCCGGTACTTCGAGAATTAAGTGCGAAGGGTGAGATTCCCTATTGGATTCCTGGGGGCGCGAGTTTACATCCGCTTGGTGGGCTGGGTTATGTGCGTGCGGCGGTGGAGATTGCGCAGCAGGAGGCGGAGATGCAGCTTGGTGGCTCTGGGAGATTTGATTTTGTGTTTGTTGCTTGTGGAAGTGCGAGTACAGTTAGTGGGTTGATTGCAGGGTTTAAGATGTTGGAAAGGAGCGAGACGCAGAAAGGATTACCTCCTAGGAGGATCATTGGTGTTTTAAACTCGCCAACGAAGCCGAAGGGGTATCATGAGGAAAGGGTGCTTCGCTTTGCGAGACGAGAAGGATTACTTGTTGGGCTTGATGCGGACAAGGATATTACTATGACGGATGTACGGCTTGAAGATCGGTATGTGGGGACTGGGTACGGGGTTTTGGACGCGGATACTAGAGTGTCATTGAGGAATATGGCGGAGAAGGAAGGCGTTATCTTGGACCCGGTTTATACGGCCAAAGTAGCGAGGGCAATGCTGCAATGGGTGCAGGAGAAGGAAATCAGGGACTACGCCGAGAATCATGCCTTGAAGCATGTAAATGTGCTTTTCATGCATACGGGTGGCCAGGCTGCACTGGGTGCATACGCGGATGTAGACTAGGAGTAAAATGATGATAGAGTAAGGTCTGCATTCAACTAGTATTACATTGCGACTAGCAAGCAAAGGGAAGAGGAAAACAGAAATAGAAGCAGACAGCTTTGGTCATCAGAAACATAGCCCTTGAAGTGGCATATAACATAGAAGGTAAAAAAAAAACAGAAGAGAAGAGAAGGGAATTATCAAGAAAAGCGCTAGAAAAACTCCACGGGCTCGCCTGGCCCTGTTACCCTGTAAGACACCTCTTGTCGAAAATCAATCCGAATTCGACAGACGAGTGAGAGATAAGAATATAGAAAAGTTTTCAGGAAAGGAAAATACAAAGACAAGCGGACGGAAAGTCGGAGAATAAGAATACTACACAGAATCTGGCGTTGCAGGTTGCTCCTCCTGTCTGGACTGCGTGTCACCATTTCGAGGGACACTTGTTGCTGCTTGACTCGGAGGCTCAGCAGAACTGTCATCCGGGGCGGAACTAGAGCCATTGACATTCTCAGATTCGACGTGTTGAGCATCACCACCTGCCGCATTCTCACCATTAAGAGATGGAGCCCGGCTACTCCCATTGCTGACATCGAGCGCTTCAAGAGCCTCATTGGCATGACTGTTTTCCATAGTCTCCGCATCAGGGTCAACATCTTGATTGGTAAGATCGGCAAATACGTCATCCATGTCTTGACGAGGACTGCTACTGACAAACTGAGGGTCACGATCAAAGCGAGGCGGGCTGAATAAGGATGGCTCCATGCCTTCCTGAGGTGTGGGAGAACGAGGAAGGAAAGAAGGCGACTGCGAGGCAGCACCAACAGCATGAGGTAAGAATGCAGATGAGGTAGGCGCAAAGGCCGGTGTTGAGTCGCTTCCCGGGAGAGAGTAGTTGGCAGAGAAAGGATATGACGTGTTGTTATTTGATTCGGACATGGGTGTCAACGTTGGCTCGTTGGCGTTGGATGGGTGATTGTTTGGAGTCGGAGGTGCTGGCTGCAAAGAGGGGGGTCGGTATGGAGTCGTCTGGGACTGAGAATCAATAGATTTCCGCTTTGCAGTCATATGCTTTATGCGGAGATGTTCGGGAAGATCTTCAGGCCGGTCAACACCAAGCTGAGCCATGATTTTTTGTTGCTTGGTAGGACGAGGTTTGCGAGTCGACAGGGACTGTTCTAAAATGGGCGGTGCCTGTGGGGCAACAGGCGCCCACTTATGGATCTCTTGTCGGAAGAAGTTGGTTTCATAGGTAAGTAGGACTTCCGCGCCTTCAATTTTTCGTAGATAAAAGATCAACGTAGGCACTTCCTCGGTAGTCGTACAAGTAGCATTGGTGAAGCCTTGTAGAAAATCACGAAACGAACTTGCTTGATTAAGAATGTTGTCCAAAACTTCCTCTTCATCCGGTTGGAAGGGAAGACCTGCGATCTCAGCTTGCCAATCCAGTAGGTCCTCCAACTTGGGACGCGCCGCATCCCGAGGGATCTTCTGACGCCAATCACATATCGGACAGGTATATTTGTCAAACTCCTTTACTTTGCCACGCGCAATCTTCAAGCATTTCCCATGGTACCTGGAAAATGTTAGCGAGACATGCCTCGGATAAAAAGAGTTAAGTCTAGAGTTAGCAATTTGACTCACCATTCATGACAGACTTCACATTCAATCATCATTCCCGCTTCCAATCGTCTACAAATGCAGAATACATCTCTCTTGCGTGACTTTGGACCCCAGACAGCGGTATTAGGGGCTTCCAGTAACCCATCTGGAGTGTTGTCTCTTGAAGAAGGTTCCACCGGAGGACGATAGCTATCATCCAAATCGAAACAATAAGAATTTCGCTTCGCCACATACTCCATGTGAGACTTGAGAATGTGTAAGGGAGCGTTAGCCTTGCCAAATAGCTTCTTGCCCTTTCGCATCCAGTCTTCATGGCGTTTCTGTTCACGTTCCAGATCGATCGCACCAATTGGGCGGCTGTTGAGATGCTCCAGGGACTCCGTGAGTTCACGGACGTCTTTGTAGCATGGTCGGTTTCTCAAGTCGGGATCCCTGCTTTTGTCGTACAAAGTTTGAATTCGTTTTTGTGCCTCTCTTTGCTTAGTCAGGATAGCTTCTACAGCAGCCAAGGTGTCAGGGGTGACGGGGACACGAGTTGCCTGCGCAGAAAGAGCTTCCAACTGTTGATAGTGAACGGCTTCAACAGCCATCAATTCCTTGGCTTTGGTTTCCCAGGCCTCGCCATGTCGGCCATGTTCCTTGAAATAGACCAAAAGCTCATTGGTGTCGGATAGGCCGAGCTGATCTCCACTTGCAACAAGTTCCTGACATTCCTTGAGGGTAAGGTATTGGTCCTTTTTGCGAGCGGCCTCCTCGGTCCATTTCATCTGTTGCCCAATTTTCTCCAGGTGTTCCACTTCCGGTATTTCCACGTTGAAGTTGCGGCCGGATTCAACTAGTTCTTCAATATCCTGGATCGTTCGGACATGCGGTTTCATCAGGGCAACGTTAACATCCTGGCGGAATTTCTCGATTTCGCGGGTTTTCTCTTCCAGAGCCCCCATCTGTGGACAGTCGAAGGAAAGTTTATCAGCCTCTGCCAGTAGGGCGTAGATGTTCTCCACTCTGCGGACTTCACGGTCACGATCGTCCAGCTGCGCCGCCTTGGTACTAGTCTTACGCCATGCTTTTTCGTTTTTTCTGCGGTTTTGCTGCTTCCGGGTAATGTAGTTGTTCGCCTCCTCAACCCATTTATCGCAACGCTGGACGAAGGCCGCAAGGTCTTGGAGGCCAGGCAGGTGGTATGGGATTTTCTCACCTTCACTGAGCAAATTGTGCAGAGCCTTCAGCTGGGGCTTGGGCTCATCCGCCAAGGTCTTATCGAGCTTCTCCCCCCATAATTCGGGAATTTTTGCCCGTTCATGAACTCGTTGAACTGTCGCTTTGAGTTCCTCGTCACTCGCACGGTAGCGCAGGGTGTGACCAGGCCCCAAAAGCTTTTGTTGGGGGGACTCACCGCAGCAGTCATGCGCTTCCACATGTAACAAGCAAAGAGTTTTGCCTGACTTGTGGCAACGGAACTGCGTAAGGTAAGTGTAAGCCTTGCAATGCTGGCATTGGTAATCATCCTCTGGAAGATCTTCCTCCTCAACTACGAACTTAAGCTGACAATCACCTGAGGGGGGGCTTGTGCCAATGGCGCAATTATGGGGCGTCTTGTCGCGGTGCTGTTTCAAGAATGTTGCTCGATCTGCCAGTTCTCGACGACAACTTCGATCAAGTGCAGGTGCTAACCATTTAGCAGTGGTGATTGAAGTGTCTCGGGCAGCGGCTGTGAACAACAACTCATCATGGGAAAAGCATGGATGTCTGCGGAAGGTTTGTAGGCGCTGCACTCCCTCAGCACCCCAGGGCTCCCAGTCTGCAGGAGCAAAATTGACTGCTTCATTGAAGTTGAAGCCATGGTTGAAGCCTGCATGATATGCCTGAGGAAACGTAAGAACAAACTGGCCGGCTCTTTGATCTGTCGCATAGACGTTTACACCAGCTTTCCGAAGTTTGTCTGGTGGCATCAAGGTGACCAGCTGGAAGAGAAGATCAGGCTGTCCTTCAAACAGTTCTGGAACGGCATCACGCATGGCAGCTTCGAATGCTTCGGCATCAGCTCCGGGAATACCATACCACGTTTTAGTGGCACCAAAGTGCTGGTAATTGGCAGAGTAGGCATAATGATCTTCATTGTGCCAGCAGAAAGTCGAGAAGCACATTCCTACATAGACCCAAGGCACAGTCATACCGGAGATATCCGATTTAATGTGACGAAATAATGAGTCGCCGTAGAATGGAAGAACGTTCAAATTCCAGGGATTGGAGGAATAAGAATCGAGCGGATTTCGCTCGACAGTTGGGAATCCACTGCCATGGGTAGTGGAGTGAATATCAGCACCGTACTCAACCTCAACTGTTTCATGCAGATCCACAACCAGCTTCCAGAATTCGGCTTCAACGTCATCTTCAGTTTCACGTCGGTGAGTATTGAGAACGGGATCAAATGGCATCTTCGAAGCGAAATATCGCTTCTTAAACTCGTTGGCTTTCTCTTGGAATTGTTTCAGTGAGTAAACGCCTCCATCTTCGAACCCAAACTCTCCAGTTCCAACCAAGCATTTAGGGCAGTGCCAGTCATGATCGGAAGGAGCCGTAGTACTTGGGTCGAGACAAGCCGTATGATATCCGAGTTCACAGCTATCACAAACGAGGATAGGGGAGCTTTCGTCCGATTTGCCGCATGATTCGCACTTCTTATTAAATTTAGTCATCGTAGATAAATAGTCATCAAAAGAAAGATTGCTTACCTCTCCAGTATTTTCTCCGCCATCTTTACGCGGTTTGGGGGCTGCAGGGCGAAGAAGAGACATATGCGATCCTGCTACGGTCGGGGCCATATCTGAATGCATGTATTAGCCCAGTCAATAAAAAGTGAATAATAGCAAACAAAATACCCTTTTTAAGCCGTTTACTACGCCTGCCAATGCCACCATCGTCACCATCGTCACCATCGTCACCAGGAGAGGCACTGTCATGACTCATTGCACGCTTCATAGGCTGGCCAGGTTGGCCATTTGGAATGGGTGTTGAATGCGCCGGGTGCTCAGCAACACTCTTTGGGGTTGATGTTCCATTCTCACCCTCGTGCTTGATGGCCGGGGCATTGTTCATGGCAGCAAACCCCGGAGACTGGGCGACGGCAGGAGAGTGATGGTTGACAGCTGTGAACCCGTTTGCAGCAGCATTTACCGGAGTGAAACCAGTAGGTAAGGGACGGGAATTGATTGTCGGCTCGACTGATGGAGTGGGACGATCAGCGGGATTTTCGACTGGAGTACTCGCAAGTGGGGCCATGCGTGGCATTGCCGGGGTTTCATCGCGTAGTTTAGAAGGAGTGCCATTTTCTTCGGGCATCGGCCTCTTGGTCATGGGAGAGTTTCGCGGAGATGGGGTGAAAGGACCACCATGTTCCATCTCAAGTTGTTGCTGCACACCAGGTTTGGCTCGAAGGAGGTACTCCTCGTAAGGCTGCAAATAACGCTGATAGGAGTTCTTGAGTGAGGTCGACAGCGAAGACATGATTTTGCCGCTGTATCCGAGGTCACGACCAATCTCAGCCCACTTTTTGGTTTTGCACACTTGCTCGAAACCGCCTCGAATTTCAACGGCCTTTTTCAACTTGTAGAGATCGAGGGGGCGTTTATCCACACTCGGTAATCGGCTGTAGTTCGTCCCGTGTTGCTTGTGAAACATGGCGAGTCCATCGATATAGTTCATGTTGGCACGGTTTCCTGAATCAAAGTATAGATTAGAACCGCGCTGGGGGGAAATGCCACGGGCAGCAGCATCTGCTGAACGCGGGGCCATACCTCCTTCCACCGAGTTGAGTTCCTGGCGGCGAGTCTTAAAGTGGAATCGCTGTACAAGATGTCAAGTCAGTGACGAGTCTATAGCATAAGACTAAATAACTTCGCAAACGAGGGGTGGGAGTCATCTCATTACGCCCGAAGATCGAATGGAGATAGAAGAAATCCAAATAAGATAAAAAAAAGAATCAAATGAGAGCTTACTTCAGTGTCAATCGCAAAAGGTGGCTGCCAGTTCTCTGGAGGAATCACTCGACAGATGCCATATTTCCTGCCCTCGGGTGCAATTTTCTGGATGTAGGCCACGGGATCCTTGAATTCTTCCTCGGTTGGGCGAAATGTTGGGGCCTCGGGAATACCATGAGGGCGTATGCGCTTCGATGATTCACGGGGTGAATTGGCTTGTCCACGCCGTTCAACCGTAGACAGGTCCAACGGCGCTGACCTTCGAGCGCTCAAGGGCACATTATGGGAATGCGACGGGTGGGTGCTGGATGAACGGGTTGGCTGGCAATTTATCGACGGCTGACCAGCCGTCGAGTTCACACCGGTTGAGGCCGGGGCCACCATCTTTTCTCTTTATCAAACTTATGAGAAACCGAAGGTGGGATGGGGTCCGGGGTGTGAACACCTTAATCGAGTACCGAGGGAAGGGTTATGTGCAGCGCGATGGGCGCATTGGAAGGGTGACGAAGGGAATCGGAGAACAAGGGCGGGATAGATAAGTTTCGTGAGAAGCGTAGAGATGAGAAGAATTCGAATGCTTCGATTCGATATTAAAATTGGAGGCCGAGGGTGGTTTTGAAAAGGGCGTAATAGAACAATAAAATCAGATGGGCGCCAGAGAGGGGAAAAAAGGCACCAGATGAGCCAAAGCCGAAGGAAAGGAAAGGAAGGATGGATTTGATAGTGGAGGAATGGGGATTATGTGCATGAGTTGTTGCGTCGAAGTATCGTCGAGGTCACCTTTGTATGGGCCACACATATTAAAGGAACTTGATGGCGACTCGGGGGATCGTCATGAAACTTAAAACGGTACGGTATGGTTACGGCCAGGTCACGATGGATTCCACCTGGGGCTTTTATCCTATTTTAAGCATGGTGCCTGGGCCTTGATATCACGAATATCTCGTAATAGATGGTATTATAAAGTACATAGTGGGACTTTTCGGACTTCATGTGTAATATATGGTCATATTCTGTAATCCGAAGCCAATCTTCAGGTAAGATGTGGTAATTATACCGTCACTAATTGATCGAGGCTGCAAACGGGGAGATGCATCATACGGTGTCCCGATTCTTTGATGGGATCAAGGATTTTCCCGAGTTCAGGCCCGAGCGTTCTCTTATTGACTAGGATTTGGTGAGTTCGATTCTTTTTGTGATACATCACGGCATTCTGACCATCTATGCCGCATATCATGTTTATTTAGATGTGCGGTTCAATTATGATTTTCTTTAGTCTGATATCCATCAAGAAATGACTCTATGTGTTAAATCCGTAATTTAAATCTACCTACTTTATTTTGACAACTCATAATTACTTCAAGTTCATGTGATCCATAAAAAGCCACCTAGGCGTTTATTTATAATTGGAGATTAGGAAATTCCTGCACTGCAATTACGGGTGGACGTCCCATCAAGCTAAAAACTAGATCAAGACGATCGGCCATGCATTGTTGGGGCCAAACCACTACAATACCACCTTGCAGCGGACAAATACAAGTGTGAAAAAGAACACGGAACTCCTTCCTCCTTGGTATTCCCACCTACATAACATGAATAAACCCCATAGATCAACTAGAAATTCCTGATGTGTCATGTGATCTATATCCCGACGCGCATCCCGACAATAATTTTATTTTAACCCGCTTTCCATCTCATTGAAATCAAATGACAACAATGGAGGTGCAGAGTGAGACCCGGCCAATCCCGGCCTATTACTGCTGTTACCTTCTCCGCTCAACCATCCGACACGCCTCACTATATATTGGGTCCACGCCTAACCCGATCAGGCGACTCTCGCAGCACAATGGAGATGCTAAAGGCGGAGCTAAACGAACCTCGCGGGATAAATTACGACCATGGGAAATGGCGTTAGTTGTGGAGGGGTTTATGAGTAGAGTCGGTGCTCTCCAATTTGAGTATGTCCTCACATCGGATTTACGAATTTAAATGGATGTATACATTCATTCATATATTTGTTCACCACCTGATAATACAGATTTAGATGGGCATGGCAACACCCAGACAGAACTCGACATATTCATCCGGATAATGATGATCATCCATCGCAATCAAAGGTAGTCGTGAACCCTAGGACTGGCAAGACGAAGCCACGGCCCGGTCGTTCTCGAAGATCCTTAACGGCCCACCTTGAAGACCTCCACGAGCTGTTACGATCCACCCTATTTTCTAGCTGGCCACTAGAGGTGCGGTTCTTCTGCGCAGATGTTCATCGCGTTTGGAGGGTATGGAATGATCGCGTGAATACACCCTTTCCTGATAGTAGGACTATCTTAGACGGCGACTGCCCGTCTTCGCGCGGAGATACTGCTAGTAACCGAGTGGGTAGCATTCAAAATTTGTCAGTCGATTATACAAAATTTGAAAGTTACCTCGAGAAGTCAATGTTTATCTTGGACGATGCGGATGATCTACAGTGTCAAATTTGCAAAGAAGCAGTTGTACCGACTGAGCAACAGATCTTGGTTTGCCCGCATCAGTCATGCCGAGGCACGAATCATCTATCATGTCTATCTACCCATTTTCTCGAAGCAAGCGGTGATTTGAATACCCTCGTGCCGAAAGAGGGCACGTGTCCGACATGCAAACAAACCGTGCAATGGCTGCTCATCGTGAAGGAACTAAGCATCCGTAATCGAGCCGAGAAAGAAGCTCGAATTATTCTGCGCCGGAAAGAAAGACGCGAACGAAAAGAGCTGGCCAAAGCTTCAAGCACCAAATCCAAAACGTCACCCACTAAAGCTGCAAGTGCGCGAGATGTTTCCGTCGAACCTACCGCATTAATCGAGAGCGATCCTCTTCTGGATGACGATTGGTGTGAGAAGGTAGACTTAGAATCGGACACTGAGTTCGGTGACGGACTACATAGTCGGTCATCTCCACCACCTAGCAGGTTGGAGATCGTCATCGAGGACAGCGATTGGGATGATGTGGAAGTCATAGAATGATGGGCGTGAACCATTCAAGACTTGGGGATATTTATATTAATATCCAGGCTATTTTGCGAGGGGTCCCAGAGTCCCCAGCGGCCCAGTCGCATCGAGACGTCCGATGCAGTTTGCCACGACACTCTGAATATCAACCGATACCGCCTCCAATGACTTCCCGGCATCAATTACCTTAATATCCTCTTGTCGATCGAACAATGAGCGGAAGAGTTCTCGCACCCGCGTCTGCATCGTCTCATTCTCATACCGCTCTGCTCCATATCCACCGCGCTTAGCGGCCTCTTCCGCAGGGATGCTGAGAAAAAGACAAATATCAGGACGGGGTAAACCGATCTCGGGTAGCCATGCCCAATCGAGGGAAAGTGTGGGGTTGCCTTTGGCGGCCGAATAAACAGCGCCGGAGTAAGAGTAGCGATCTACGATAACAGTAGTACCGCTCGCGATATCTTGCTCGATGCTCTTGGCGAGTTCCCAGCGGTTCGCTGAGAAGAGGAGGTGGATGGAATGGTCGTCTTGGTTGGCGGAACCACGTAGATAGCTATCTATGAGCTGCCCGATAGGTGTTGTCCTATCTGAACAAATATTAGACCAATGATATACATACTGGGTCACTTGATAGCTACCTGGAAACCTGATATATTTCACTGCATTGCCTCCCTTTGATAGGTAGTCTCGCAACATCTCACATTGGCTTGATTTGCCCGCGCGATCAAGTCCTTCGACGACAATAAGTGCGCCGCGTCGCGTCGACGCGCTCTGTGACTGACTAGTCATTGTGAATTGTCGGTCGTAGATATGGGGTGAATTTGCCACTTGGTTACTTGGCTTCAGTGAATATTTGTGGATTTGCCGAATTTGTCGCTCGTCGGGTTTTGTTCCTCAATTGATTGATTGATATGTCCTTTTCAAGCCTCGCGTCAAGACCGAGGCAAGTGTGCCCGTCCAGGATCCACGCACGGCAACGTAAACCTCAGCATGGTGGAGTCCTTTTCACGTGATATATCTTCAATGATTGGCTCTTCTATAGTTAGAGTGGCTACATATCCGCTCAAGCTACATGTAGAGCTATTTACAGAGCCAGTTCTGCATAGCGAAATGAGATTTCTACAATCCCTCAACTATCCCGGCTCTTATAACTTCATTTGAATCCGTATTGGAGGCAGTGCATGAGTTTTCAGCTTCTTAGCAGCCCCCGTTCTCGCTCACCGCATATTGTTCGGATGGCCTGTACATGCACTCAACAAACCTTTAATAAGTAACGTGCTTTTGTATAGGTGAATTGAACGAAGAGGGGTAGAAATCAGTCTCGAGGTCACGATTTCGCTATATTGATTGGTGCTTTACCGCATAGCATGAAGATATTGCCTTGCATTACAGAAACGAACAGCTCGCTTGTTTTGTCAAAATTATCCACATGATAGGCCTCTTTGCCTTCGGCTTTTCTTGCCTCGCCAGAATACTAGAAATTGCGTCCCATGGCAAACAAAAAGTGCTGACGTGTCAGCCTTTACAAGCCTAGCCACACGATATTTGGCAGTTTTCGGCCCTGTGATTTTATGTGATAGGATAGATACTGCATCCACTATGGCATTGTGTCCCACTCTTCAGGTGGGAAGCCGCGAACTGTTTCGACCCATTGGCATAGACAATGCATATGCATTTGAAAAGTGGGGGAGCGGAAAGAGACATAGTAAAACAAATTTCTACGACTCTTCAGCTATGATGGATTGATATTTTTAGCCCCCGACTTAACGTATTTAAATCGTTTTGTCTGCCCTTTTCTGCTGACTCCAGAAACCTCGGCGCGACCAGTTTTCCAAGGTTATGTTATCATGACTTCTATTTCAACGACGAACAGCCTGAGCTTGGGCGAACAAGACCCCTTCAAGCAAAAACTTGACAAATATTTGCACATTCTTAGTCTTTTTGCACTCGAGAAAGTATTATTTATCATGTATTACTATTTTCGAATTTGCGCCTAAGGACTGACATTCTTTCCACAATATAGTCATGGTATCCCGATTTCAAGAAACTTGAATTGACCATCGAAAGTTTTTCCGAGAATCCCAAGCCATCCGTCACATTCCGCTTCAAGGTAATTGAAGAATTATGTGGTGAAGCAAGAATTCTACATGGTGGCTGCGCAGTTCTCCTGGTTGACGATCTTACAACGGTACTTCTTGGGGCGATTTCGAAGCCCGGGCTATTTTCTCGCTTTGGTGCGAGCAAGAGCCTTGTCGTCACATTTATCAGGCCACTGAAGCACGGCGATGAAGCGAGAGTTGTTTCGGAAGTGGAATATTTCGGCAGTCGGCGTGCTGTGTTGAGGGCAAAGCTGTACAGAGTGGAAGGAAACGAATCAAAGCTTTGTTCCACACTGGAAAATGATAGGGCGAACACAGATCCCCCGATGCTGTCGAAGATATAACGTGATGTTGGACATGGATGCGCTTTCGATGGTATCTCGCAGTATTTTCGTTGCAATTTCAAAGGCAAACCACTAATGTTGTCCATAACCCAAGCCAGCACGTCTTATATGATACTATACATATGGGAAAGTCTACTATGGACATGTAAGCTAATCACGCTACTGTTCAATGACCAGCGAGCTGATCAAATACTCGTTACGAAGAAATTTCAATGTTGATATTATGCTTCTTGCAGTATACCATGTAGCCCACCAGCGTATGGGATCATTTGCTGCTGCACGAAGGATCTAGTCTCATGGGTGACTTCATTATACACTCTCCAAAATCTTCTCAATAACTTGAAGGTCAGGACTAACTACCATGTCCTTATGATTCCGATCCAAACAAGTACCATCTTCTGTATAGTCAAATGCGAGGGGCATAAGGTCCATATTCCCAAATCTCTTAACTTGATCGACCATAGCTTCGCCTTCCACACTGGCAGCTGCAGAGATATAGACTAATTGAGAAACTCCTCCAGGTTGGCCCTGGGCTCTTCGGTCTTTGGTTCCCATCCCAAAAAGGGCTTTTGTTCCGACTTGGCCTCCGTAAGAATGCATGATAGCCACAACTGAGCGGCCGACATTAGGACATTGGTCACAATGTAGTTCCGAATGAATTATGTATCTGTGACTAAGTCCGCGGTCGGAGATCGATCGCCATTCATACTTGGGTAACTATGGAACATGTACAGTAAGGCCCTGAGATTTTCACAAGTCGCAAAACTTGCTATGTGCCGGCGGTAGGTGCCAGGCTGCGTGGATAATGACAATATCAGGCTTAAGGATGGCCATAATGGGGGTTTGAATGATAGAAGCTAGAAATCATTGAAACGGACCAATCATCTTTTGGTTTTGGATGAGGAGAAGAAAGTATGTAAAGTTAACGAAGAGATTCTTATCACCGAGTATAGGTACCCCGCCAACTGGCTACTAGGCGTGTCGGAGGCTCACCACAAATCGCCCGGTAAACCGACCCACTTTTTTCCATGTCAACCTGAGCTTCTTGAAGTGGACCGTTCTCTGGATTTCGAGAATTGTCAATAACCACGACGACCATGAGTTCCGAGTCTTCCCAGCCCCCCGAAATGACCTTCAGTGTCCTGGGCTCTGCCGCCCCTGTCATAGCGCCCCGAGTCGGTAAATTGGCCATCCCCGGCCGCAAAGCGATATCCACGCCGCACTATCTGCCCGTCACATCGCGGGGCGTGATACCCCATATTTCGAACGACAATGTGCGCAACGAAACCTCAATCAACAGTTTTTACGTTGGATTGGAAGACTGTATGTGCGCTAGTTCGCGAACCTAGCCTTCCCCTTCTTATGTTCGTTTTCTTCTTAGCATCAGCAATAACTAACACGCGCCCTCTTGGACCTGCTCAGTCATTGAAAAGAGTCACAAGTCCCCCGTATATAGGATACCCATTGAAGAAAATGAGTCGCGTTTGCGGAAATTCATGTGCACTCCTGCCGACATACCGTTAATCATGGGTCCGCGCCGATTCCCTGCTATTCCCTGCCCACCTGCCAATACCGAGACTTCAATCGCGATCTCTACATGCGACGGCTACCGCCAACTATCAGCAGATCACTATCTAGATGCGATACATAAGCTCACGCCAGACATTATTGTTGGACTTGCGGATATGGTGCTCGGTAGACCGCCTGGTAATAAGAGACGTGGGAAGATGGTTGATCGCACACATGCATATACCCGGGATGCATTGGAGCGACTATACAGCACGACCGTTGCAGAGGACAAGAAATGCAAGGCAGCGTACTTTGCTCCTATCTTGCCGCTTGAAAATGCGCAGCAATCGCTTTACTTGGATGATTTGGAGACTGAGTTCCGTGATCACCTTTCTGGATTGGCGCTGTACGAGTCTGCTTCTCTTTCTTTCATCCCGGAGTCTTTGGGGGCTCTGCCTAGACTGCTTATTGATGACCCGCGTGGGCCCCACGATGTACTGCGTGAGGTCTTCTTGGGTGCAGATCTGATGACTCTACCCTTTATTGGGAACTCGTCAGATGCGGGCATCGCGTTTGATTTCACCTTCCCGGCTCCGTCTCAAGAAGAAGGGGAAAACCCCTTGGCTTTGGGAATGAATATGTGGGAATCTCAGTATGCTAGGGATGTCTCTCCTCTACGCGAAGGCTGCGAATGCTACGCTTGCCGAAAGCATCATCGGGCCTACTTGAATCACCTATTGAATGCGAAGGAGATGACTGCGTGGGCCCTTCTTCAGATGCACAATTTCCACGTCATGGATCGTTTCTTCCAGGGCGTGCAAGCTAGTATCCAGGCTGGCACTTTTGAGCGGGACGTTGACGCGTTCAATCGTGTATATGCCTCAACGTTACCTGAGCGAACTGGACTAGGTCCTCGGTATGATAAATCCGCATTGATTTGATCCTTTGACCACGAGAAGCGATGATTTAACTTAACATAAACTAACGTTTCATAGACTCCGTGGCTACCAACTACCGGCTGCAGGACCCAACGAGCCCCGTCGGACACCCCGTGTATATGGTCGTCTTGAGGATGCTCTTCAAAAGTTTCAGGACTCTCAGTCCTCCATTGCGACCCCAGATACTGACGCAGAGGGCCTTGAGAAGCATGGGTTTGCGGAAAAGATATAGCTCCGTCTGCGAGAGCCCTTTTTGGTGACATGAAAAGCTCAGCGAAGCATTTGAGTTGGCGTAATTAGCTTTATTTTCAAAATGTTGTTTATAGGTACGAGAGTCATGAAGAGTAATGATATATGACTTGTAAAAGTTCTCGTCAAATTTCATTAAAGTAAGCATAAATGATGTGTAGAGCTCAGCTTCAGTTCCCCCCGTCATCCTTTTGACTGCGCGCGCTAAAGTACTATACAGGATCCCATATCTCATGATACCATCAATCCTTTTCAAATATCTAAATAAATACAGTCTCAGTGTAGCTGGAACAAAAACAAAAGACAAATTACAGACAAGAGAAGAGAGCGGAGAAAGAAAATGAAAGACAGCAAAAGATAAGATTTGTTGCAGGGTATATCCAGCAGATGCAAAAACGAGGCAATGTTTCTTACTCCTGCGTCTCACCCGCCAACGTGCGCCACATCCATTTAACTTCATCTTCCTCCTCCTTCGAGCCGGGTTGAGTACCAGCACCGAATTGTTGTCCAACGACACAAACAAGCCAAGCTTGCTTCTTAGCAGTGTTCAGGTATTGCTCAGTAGGCGAGTTGCGGGGATAGATACGACGCCATTCTTCCCAAATACGGAATGCCTCCTCACCCCAAGCGCGGAAGCTGACCTCTTCGATAATGGTAGGTGTAATGATTTCCTTACCACGGAAGACACCCCAGGTGACAGCGTTGGCACTTTCCGGGTTGCCGGTCAGCTCATCAAGCTCGACATCGGCAGGAGGCGCAGGTGACGATGACTCATAGCCGCCCTTCTCGTTTGTAGCGAACCATGCAAGTTTCTCATCGCCATGCTTTTTGAACATTGGCTGAAGAATGTTCTGGTAGTCATCATCAGAGCAAAAGAACTCAACGAAGGGTTTTTGGAACACGAAGCCCTCACGTGGAGGACCCCAGCCAAAGATGTGGTGATCGCTGCGGACACCGTTGACAGCGGGCTGGGAGGCTAATGTCCACCAGCCACGACTATCAATAAGTTTAAGAAGCTCAGGGCGAATGAGCTCTGTCTCGGCGTTCAATGCGTCGGTACCTTCTTCGGCACCACCTTCAGACCATGGGACCATGTGGAGTTCACCGGAGACATGGCGTTTGAAAATAGTGTTGATATCGGATTTATCGACTGGATGACCCCATAGACGTCGGGCCACTGCGGAGGTGACATGAAGAGAGGGACCGTAACCATCAATTTCACCAAAGGCGGGGGAGCGGGCATCACCCCATCGGCCGTTGGGGAAGTCATCCCATGTAGCTTCTCTGCCCAAAGAGCCAAGCCCTTCAGAGATTTGAAGAGTGGTGCTGCGGTTAGGAGGCAAAGCAGGCATTCCTGCGCTATCTGCGAGAGCCTCATGTGTCGAACTTCGAGATGAATCTTTACCAGATAGCCTGTCAACAATGACACGGTTGTGGGGCTGCGAGTTGATCGAGGAACGGCGTCTTCCCTGAAGAGCGCGGGTTGGAACGTCATCAAGAGACACAGTACCATCGAAATCAATAGCGGAGTCATCCTGGTTAACGGAGAAAGGAGAAATCAAGTCGCATCGCTCCAAGATGAATGACACTGTCTTTTCCAGATTGAGGGTATAGAAGTGGAAACCTCTTGGACCTGGGGACTTCAGATCTCTGATACCTCCAACAATTTCACTGACTATATCAACACCAGCACGCTTAACGGCGTCGTCATCATGTTTCAATTCTTCAATCCGCTTAGCAATGGGATCGGGAATTGTGACATGGCTGAGCTTTGTCACACGAGTGAGAATTTTGTAGCTGTGGATGGGCATCAGTCCTGGAATGATAGGGATAGTCTTAAAGACTCCGGACTCGTGGTTGCGAAGCATATTCTCGAACTTTTGATAAGCCTCCAAGTCATAAGTAAGCTGTGTCATAATGAAGTCTGCGCCTGCGACAGTCTTCTCAATAAGGTATGGAAGATCACGCTCGGGATTCTGAACATCCTGGAACGAATCGGCAGGATGACCCTCAGGGTATGCAGCAACACCAAGACAGAAATAATCGCCATGCTGCTTGCGAATGTATTTAACCAGATCCACGGCGAACGTGAAGTCCTTGTTGCTATCGTCCTCTCCGTGCATGTTATATTCCTCGCTGCGAGGCGGGTCGCCACGTAAAGCCAAAATATTCCGGATACCCAGCACCTTAGCCTCCTCCAGTGCCATATCCACCAACGCGCGGCTCATGTTCGTACATGTCAGATGCAATACTGTGGTCAACTGCAGTTGACGCTGGCAAACCTCCGCCAGCTCGAGGGAGCGGGCCGCGGTGCTTCCGCCTGCACCCCAAGTGACTGTGACGAAAAGCGGACGCAGGGCCTGGGCCATACGCTCAAGACGCGCAGATAAGTTTGCAAAACCCTATTGTAGTCACAATAGTTAGCCCATGATTCATCTCTAGTTTATTTTTTGTACTTCATTAACGAAGTACTTCATGCGCGGGGTTACCCCACCATGCGAGTCTTCGGCGGGAAGAACTCCAGCGAGAAGTAATTTGCGTCGGGCGGCAAGGCCGCGATCTTCTCTGTAATTTTCTTCTCCATTGCGATGGGTGTATGGAGGGCAATGGGGGGATGATGCAGAAGAAGAAAAAGAAAGAGTTGGGTAGAAGTGGACCGTCATGGATTCTTCAATAGGCCGCGCCCGGGACTTGGTGATCGTCTCCGGTGCCGATGGCGGGCAGCCCACTAGCATGAATCTACATTTAGAGCTTTTACTTCTATAAAGTATGTAATCATCTAGTTCCTCTTTTCCAAAATACTAAAAAAAGGATATGAAATCCCCTGATTCTAAATACTAAACGAGGTTTCCAGATAATTTCCGGATTCAAGATTTGCCATAATCAGATTGATTGGAGCTAGATTACTCAGCGCCGTACGAGAGCACGCGCTTGGGAGATCAACTGGATGTGCTTCCCTAGCATTCATCCCTCGGAGGTTCTCATTGCCTAAGTCGGTCATTTTATCCTGCATATTGGAAAATTCACTTCCCTTGGTTTTCGCAAGGGGCCACCAATCATGAGATCGCACCGGCCGCAATGTCTTTTTCGCTTCCGAATCAATGTCGCGCAAGCTAGAACTCCTCTCCGACGAAACCTTTCCACACCTCAAGCTTCCCCGACACCTCCCACGCCAACTCCGAAAGATTTCCGGTCTCGATTACTCCGATTCAATGACAAGCTACCTCGCTTTCTCCGCGGTTACACAACACCTTTACTAGGAGGTCCAATAACGCATATTACGTCTTTTCTGATCCTGCACGAAATCACCGCCATTGTCCCATTGTTTGGCCTAGTCGCGGCGTTTCATTACGGCAATTGGATGCCAAACCTGGCATCAGACTCTGGAGAAAGGAATGCATTTGACGAAGGCGCTGCCCGGTTTGGGCGATGGTTGAGGAAAAAGGGCTGGGTTGAGGAGTCGGATGTCCAGGACGTCGCGGATCATGAAGTCACAGCGTCTGAAGGCTACAACACCAGAGGGAGGGCAGGTGTGCGGCTAGTGCTCGAGTTTGCGACGGCCTATGCTATTACAAAAGCTTTGTTGCCCATCCGCATAGCGGGAAGTATTTGGGCGACACCGTGGTTTGCAAGGGTCGTTGTCAAGCCCACAACCCAGGTTGCAAGGCGGTTGTTTAGGCGTAGTTAAGACATGACTACTAGATGTTAAGGACTTTAGGTAGAATGCTCATGAATCACATGATCTTTGTATATTGTTTGTAAGGTTCTCGGAGAGATGTCTTTTCAACTATCACATTTTATTCTGCTGGCAGTCGCGAACAAACACTCCTCAAACCCAAGGCATCATGGAAGACGAGTGATTTACTCGTAGACCCACTTGGCCTGGGCGGAAGTCCACTTGAGGACCTCGGAGGGAGTGAACCAGAGGGCAATCTCCTTCTTGGCGTTCTCGACGGAGTCGGAGCCGTGGCAGACGTTACGGCCAACCTCGATGGCGTAGTCACCACGGATGGTACCGGGGGGCGGAGTCAGCGGGGTTGGTAGCACCCAGGAGGACACGGCCGGTCTTGACGGCGTTCTTACCCTCCCAGACCATGGCGCAGATGGGGCCGCTCAGCATGTCTAGCAGTTTGTTAGCTGGGATTCATTGAATGAACGCTCGGAAGCTGCGAGAACTAACAAGAGACGAGACCCTTGAAGAAAGGCTTGGTGGCAAGGTCAGCGTAGTGCTTCTCGAGGAGCTCCTGGCCGGGGGAGGTGAGCTTCAGGGCAACGAGCTTGAAGCCACGGTTCTCGAAGCGAGAGATGATGGGACCAACGAGTCCACGCTAAAGATCGAGGTTAGTCAGTTCGACTCAATTGCTGTGATTTGGTGCTGTAGCGCATGGTCTACATACCTGGACACCATCGGGCTTGATGGCAATGAAACTGTAGCAAATTCATTAGCTTCACCGCCAGGGAAGAGGAGGGGTAGTCAAGTAAAAAAAGCGCAAATGGAAAGGATTGTGAAGGTAAGAAGTATAAGAAAGTGGCATTGGGCAGAAGAAGTATGACTTACGTCTGCTCGTCGGCCATTTTGATAGATTGGATGTAAAATCGGTGGATCGGCAAGGGATAAGAGGCAAGAGAGAGGAAGAGGGAAAAGAGGGAGAATAAATAGCCGTGCCGGAGGACACTAATCCGGCCACCCCGAATTAGTGTCCCCCACCGTAATGCAAAATATCACCGTAATGCAAAACACTTTCCCGCACGTCTTCTTCCCTCAATTATACATCCTTAACTATGGCCGATTTCTATGAAAATGAAGTATTTCGTATGGAAGAGGCTGTTGGATATGCCTCTACCCTCAAAAAGCCAAATTTGACGCAGATCGCGGAGGAATATGCTATTTCGTATTATACTCTGTACCGCCGAGTCCGTCAAAAATCAACGCCCAGAATTCAACGAAAACCACAAAATAAGGCTTTAAATGACGTCCAAGAGAAAGCTTTATCCTTCTGGATTCGATCATTGGATGAAGCTTTTATCCCTCCGACACCAAATATTATAGAACAGTGGGCAAATCTGACTCTTGCCCGATCGGGAACATCAGACCGAACAGTCGGAAAAAACTGGGTTTATCGCTTTATTCAACGTTTCCCGGATGTTGATTTTGAGATGAGACGACAGAAGGTTATAGATTCAAAAAGAATGAGCCACGAAGATGTTGCTATTCTAGAACATTGGTATGATTTATTAGACAAAATTCTTGATGGTGTACCAGAAAGGCTTGTCTATAATTTTGATGAAACTGGCTTCCAATTGGGCCAAGGACAAACTCAGAAAGTCTTTACACGTCATAAAACAAAGATTCCACGTCTTGCCGGTGAAGAACATGGAGAGCGAGTTACTGTCGCAGAATGTATTGCGGCTGATGGTTGGAGAATGGAACCCCTCGTTATCTTTAAAGGACGCCATCAAATGGAGGCTTGGTATGATACCAAATTACCTGAGGAGTGGATGACTGCAACTACTGAGAAAGGCTATATGGTTGATGAACTTGCTGTGCTTTGGATCAAAGAATTTGACCGTCAAACGCAGCATCGCGTTAAGCAAGGCGAGCAAAGAATTCTTTTAGTTGATGGCTGTGGCTCACATCTGACATTTGAATTCTTAAACTCTGCTGAAAAAGCTGGTATCAAGATCTTTGGTTTTCCACCAAATAAGACAAATTATATTCAACCTTTGGATGGTAAGCCATTTTTGGCTTATAAGGCTTATTTTCGTCAACAAAATAACCTCATTTCACAGTGGGGTGGGGGTCTTACAGCAAACAAAAACTCATTTCTCGAAGACCTTATGGGCTTTAGAGATAAAGCTTTGACACAGAGAGTTTGCCGAAATGCGTTTCGAGAACGAGGAATTTATCCAGTCAATGCTAAAATTGTCTGTCAAAAACTGGAAGATGCCCTTCCTCCTATCCCAGATATATCAATTGATCTTCGGGATCAAAAAACACCATCACCACCACTGGAAAATATACTATCTTCAAGTCTAGAGAATACACCTTCAAAGACTACAGAAGACGTCCAGAAACGCCGCAAAAAACTAGCTCCCTTAATGGAATTAGATAGTATTACACCTCGGCAAAAACGGACGTTAGATCAAATACTTACAGAGATGGATTTCCACGTTCAGGCGATTCAAAACGCATCTTCTACGATCGCAAAAATAGCCCAAATCCAGGCCCCACGGGCTAAAAAATCTACCAAACGGCGATTATTAAACCTCAAAGATGATGGAATTTTACGTGTTAAAGATGCAAATCGATCTATTGCTGAGCGACGTGCTAAGGAAGATGAAAAAGAGGATAGACGGGTGGCCAAAGATTTTAAAAAACGCTTTGGATTTGAACCTTCTCGACCCTCAACAGATAAATCACCTATTGTGTCTTCTACGCCGATTCTTGGAGATAATGGTGATATAATTGCATATCAAGATTCATTTAGTATTTAGTTTAAAAATTGATGTTTTGTTGCGTGTTTTGCATTACGGTGATATTTTGCATTACGGTGGGGGACACTAATTCGGGGTGGCCGAATTAGTGGCCGACGGCACGGCTACCTGCGAGTTCTTTTTTTGCCCGCGATTGGTGGATTGGTGGGGCACGCTGGCCTAGACACCTTGTGGCCTGTCTGCCTGAGGCCACAGCTTGACATGTGGTGGCCTCAGGTGTCTTACCCCAGCTCTCCACCGTCTGGCCAGGCTGGAGCTTCCGGACCATCAGAAACTCCACTGCGGATGCAGGTCATCATCCTTCTCGACATATTACGCTCAATCGGAGATTGAAGGGTGTCCGGTTGCACTATTCTCTGCACATCATGGCCCGGAGTCGGCCTGTGTCCGGTTGGACGCTATTCCTCTCTTTATTTGTCCTGATCGGGTGCATTGTTGTCCCCGGCTGTGAGTACCCTCTCTGTCAACATACCTGTACGAATTTGCTGAGGTTCCTAACTGACTAATTGCGTCTCAAAGTGACTGTCAAACACGAAAACTTCAAAACATGCGCCCAGTCCGGGTTCTGCAAGCGCAATCGTGCTCTCGCCGATGACGCCTCCGCACAGGGAACATCCTGGAGCTCTCCGTACGAGCTTGACTCGTCTACTTTACAGTTCAAGGACGGCCAGTTGACTGGCATCCTGATTAAAACCACCAGCGCAAGTGATAAGCTCCGCCTACCTATTATTGTTTCTTTTCTGGCATCCGGCTCCGCACGCGTCATCGTCGATGAAGAAAAACGCATGAAGGGTGAAATCGAAATTCGACACAACAGTAAGGTCAACAAGAAGCGATATGATGAAACTGAGAAATGGGTTCTTGTGGGTGGCTTGGAAGCCAGCAAGTCGGCTGCGTTGAACGCGGAAGCTGAGGCTGGTTTCACCAAGGTCCAGTATGGCCCAGGTGACAAGTTCCAGGCCATCATACGCCACGCCCCTTTCGAGGTTGAATTCCAGAGGGATGGACAGACTCATGTCCAGCTGAACCACCAAGGTCTGCTGAACATGGAGCACTGGCGCCCGAAGGTCGATAAAGAAGGAGACAGCGAATCCGGTGAAGATGAAAGTACTTGGTGGGAAGAAAGCTTTGGTGGAAACACTGACTCGAAGCCTCGTGGCCCGGAGAGTGTTGGAATTGACGTAACCTTCCCCGGTTATAGTCATGTCTTTGGAATTCCCGAGCACGCGGATTCTCTTTCCCTCCGCGAAACAAGGTAGACCACCACCTAGCTCGTTTTGCGTGACCTTGAACTAATTCTATTTTAGGGGCGGCCCTGGTAACCATGAGAACCCATACCGCATGTACAACTCTGATGTCTTCGAGTATGAGCTCAATAGCCCCATGACTCTATATGGAGCAATTCCATTCATGCAGGCCCACCGCAAGAACTCCACTGTTGGCGTCTTCTGGCTCAATGCAGCTGAGACCTGGGTTGACATCGTCAAGAAGCCCGCTTCCTCAAACCCCCTCTCATTGAGCGGCAGCTCCAAAACCAACACTCAAACTCACTGGTTTTCCGAGGCTGGTCGAATTGATCTCTTTGTCTTCCTTGGACCATCGCCCCAGGATATTAGCAAGACATACGGTCAGCTTACAGGTTATACTCAATTGCCCCAACATTTTGCAATTGCTTACCACCAGTGTCGCTGGAATTACATCACTGATGAGGATGTGAAGGATGTGGATGCCAAATTTGACAAGTACCAGATCCCATATGATGTGATCTGGCTGGACCTTGATTACACGGATGACCGCAAGTACTTCACTTGGGACCCGCTTACATTCCCCAACCCTAAGGGCATGCAGGAGAAGTTGGACGAGTCTGAGCGTAAGCTGGTGGTTCTAATTGACCCGCATATCAAGAACAAGGATGATTATTATGTTTCCAAGGAGCTTAACAGCAAGGGCCTAGCTGTTCAGAATAAGGACGGTGATGTATATGATGGTTGGTGCTGGCCAGGCTCTTCACACTGGGTCGATTGCTTCAATCCTGCAGCATTCACTTGGTGGAATAGTCTTCACAAATTCGACAAATTCCAAGGATCGCTGTCTAACTTGTTTATTTGGAACGACATGAACGAGCCGTCTGTTTTCAACGGTCCGGAAACTACCATGCCTAAGGACAACATCCACTACGGTAATTGGGAGCACCGTGATATCCATAATGTCAACGGTATCACGCTTGTGAATGCTACATACCAGGCATTGTTGGAGCGCAAGAAGGGCGAGGTCCGCCGACCGTTTATTCTGACCCGCTCATACTATGCAGGTGCCCAACGCATGTCCGCCATGTGGACCGGAGACAACCAGGCCACATGGGATCACTTAGCTATATCTTTGCCAATGGTTCTCACCAACGGCATTGCCGGGTTTCCTTTCGCCGGTGCTGATGTTGGTGGCTTCTTCCACAACCCAGACAAAGAGCTGCTGTCGCGATGGTACCAAGCTGGAATTTGGTACCCTTTCTTCCGTGCTCATGCTCATATTGATACTCGACGCCGTGAACCTTACTTGATCAGTGAGCCCCACCGAACTATTATCTCTCAGGCTATCCGCCTGAGGTATCAGCTTCTGCCAGCTTGGTACACTGCATTCCACGAGGCCTCGATCAATGGCACGCCAATCGTGCGTCCTCAGTACTACGAGTTCCCCGATGATGAGCAGGGCTTTGCTATCGATGACCAGCTGTATCTTGGTAATACCGGTCTCCTAGCCAAGCCCGTGGTGACTGAGAATACACTCACCACTGATATCTATATCTCCGATGGTGAGAAGTATTATGACTACTTCGATTATACCGTCTACCAGGGCGCAGGCAAGAAGCATACCGTACCTGCTCCCGAGGATAAGATTCCCCTCCTGATCCAAGGCGGCCATGTTATCCCTCGCAGGGACCGCCCTCGCCGCAGCAGCGCTCTTATGCGCTGGGATCCATACACTCTCATTTTGACTCTCAATAAAAACGGAGAAGCCGATGGCACCCTCTACGTTGATGACGGCGAGACGTTCGACTATGAACGCGGCGGCTACATTCACCGTCAATTCCAGTTCCGTGACTCTATCCTCTCATCTGAGGACCTTGTAGCCAAGGGACCTAAGACGGCCGAATACTTGAAGACAATGGCCGGCGTGACGGTGGAGCGCGTTGTAGTGGTTGACCCACCCAAGGCTTGGAAGGATAAGAGCACAGTTACCGTCATCGAAGATGGCGCAAAGGCTGCCTCCACCTCCTCGCTCGAGTATTTTGAGCAACAGGGTAACAAGGCATCGTACGCTGTTGTCAAGAGCCCGAATGTTGGCATTGGAAAGTCGTGGCGGATAGAATTCTGAGAAGTTTTTCATTCTCGGAAATGATATACATGCAGCAATACATTGTCCTAACACCCATTGATGTGATAAAGCAGATTTTGATAGCATACGAACATCGTTTGATTTAGTTCATTCCTTTTTCCCAGCCTTCTAAAGAGTTCTAAACAGACCAAGCCTTGGCCTTGCACCGTAGATCTATACCAAGTGTCATTGAGCCGAACGCCGAAAAAATGTCGAGTGCGAATCATCTCAATTATCGTTCCATTATCGTTTCACTGTCATTCCGTTCTCACTCCACCATCATTCCACTTCGTGTCTCTCTGCGTAAACCCGGCATTTATTCGCTTCGTCGTCCTCAACCTCCAATAAAAGTGTCCCATTCCTAGACACATACCAGCCCACTGAGTTCGAGCCGATACTTTCCCACACGCCTTGGGCGTAGAGGGAGGAAGCCGGATTTTCGGGATAGTGATTGTTGAATGTTTCCATGATTTTATTGTTGGCTCTCTCCAGGGCACTGTAGACTCCCTCGATTATAAATTCCGACTCGGCAGCGACCATCTTTCTTTCGTGAGCGACAATAAAGACCGCGAATAATTTATCTTGTGAGGCAACACTTTCTCTTTCAGCCTCTTCATCATGGGCCTTCTTGACTTCGGCTAGTAGCTCTTGTGGAAATTTGGGTTCAACAAGCGTATTATCGGCGTATTCCATCATTTTGACTGATGATGTTTTCTTCGTTCTGGTTCTTCTTCTTTTTCTGGAAGTAAAAAGAAAATTGTCGAGGGGAGAACGATTCAAATGTTCTTTGAGCTGGAGATAGTACACCATCCTATTTCTGCAAGTAGCAAAAAGAAGCCCAAGTCAACAACAAAGAATGACGTGAAAATAGCATAGCCTAACACTCCCTAATGGACTGCTCTCAATCCGATTCAATACATGGTTCCTAACCTAGAAGTACATCGTTCCCCAAGGCACATCAAAACTCAATATATGTCCATTCCAAGGATTATATACTAATATTTCCATATATTTTACATTGCATGACTTAAATTATTTACTCCTCATCAACTTGAAAATCATTCACAGAAACGGTAATTTCTTCCCCCTCTTCACTCCAAGCTGTCAACCTCAAAAGTCCCCTCGCATTCACACTCCATTCAACCACATTTTCACAGTCTTCCTCGGCATTCGCAGTATGAGACTCTGCCACAGTTCCTGATTCAAAGAAATTGGTCCAGCCATCAACCTGATCAAACCAGTCACACGCTTCTGTCATGAACAGATCCATTGCCGCGTTGTTGGCAGCCTCGAGATCTTCAAATATTCCACCACCCCCGGGGTTGGACATGGGGCGGTTGTCGTCGTGTATGACGGCAAACTTGTATTGGCATGGCTCGTCTGTTTCTGTGTTGTGATGTGCTGCATTCACTCTTTCGATGATGGATGGGGGGTATTTGTTGGCGCCGTGGGAGGCCATTTTCTTTAAATGTGGGGGTTTGGGGTTGAAGTGGATCGGGGTTTCTCAGGATGTCGGGGGTTGACAGATAATTGATATTTTCTGAGATCGGAGGGTTTCAGAATTGACTTTTGGGAGGAATTGTTGGAGCTTGGAATTGAAGAAATGTTTTGGCCGAGCTGAACCTCCTGGTGGGGCTCGGAGCGGCTAAGATTGAGTTTCTACTGCAGGACACTCCGATTGTCACAGCAACAATCTGGGAGTAAAGAGTTAAGAGTGCCACTTCTCGGAATCCACATTGTCTTCAATTATGCAACGTGCTTTCCCTCACAAGTATGTATGGCAAGGTAAAGAGCCTTGACAAACCAAGTTTCGCTTGGCAGAATCGTCAGAGCGGCCTCTGTATCACTCACTATGTAGTAGGAGTTCTGCTAGCTAGCTCTTTACTATAATGACCAATGATATGCCTGGCTAACGAAATTGTAACCTATGTTATACATATGCTGGAATATTCAGCCTGATCGTTGTTATTGTAGGCTCAGTAATACTCGCTGGTCAGACCTGAAGGGCCTGGCCAACTTCGGCAGGGAATATGAAAGCAGATGGTCAAGGATGGCTATGACGACAGGCTGAAGAACATAGATCATTTTGAACCAAAAATGGCCATGTGTGTATGTCTCGCCTTATTTTGTCGGCTAGTCCGAGTCACATATGAGTTTTAGCATGGTGGAATGTTATTACTTGGCTCCTTGTCAGCATTGAGCTCTTGCTCCCATGCTTTCAAACTTGTCTCCAAGATGCTGTAACCCCAGAAAAGTGATGGATTTTGATTAGTTGAATTCAAATATTCTATTACCGATGTATCTCGTTTATTCGAACATTGAATTTTTGGGGGGTTTTGTGGCATGTCTCAGAATACACAATTGGGATCCATCCTTATACTCCGTCGAGAACTAAGTATGTCGAGCTAACATTTGAAGCATTTAAGGATCTATATTAGGACCCTGGCGATCAAACCTGAAAATTCTCCAAATAGATGAGACATGTTCATCAGTTCATCGTTGATATATACATCATCCTACTTATCATCCCGAAATACAAGGCTGGAGATTGGTATTTATAGCTTGCCCTTTTGCGTGATGATCGACAGGGTGCTGACATAATGGGGGCGAGAAAAAAGCCGCTTGCATCTCGTGGGCCGCGTTGGGGCTGACTGGTTCTCCCTTTTGGTTCCCCCCATTCTTGTCCCTGTTCCTTGACCCCATCCGAGGTACCTGGTTGTCGCTCGCTTTTGGATTTCTCTGAGATTCTCGCCTATAAACCTCCATTCAACTCAATCGATAAAGTCCTCGTTAAATCGTTGGATTTTATGTTCCCCGTAGGCCGCGGAACGTTTCAACCCGCATCATGAATGTCATTCACCTCGCAATTGAATATGGGGCGCCTGTTTTGTTAGTTGAAATTTCTTCAATACCATAGATCGCGAATCAATGCTAATAATTATATCTTTATAGCCTCATCACATCGCCCCTTACCTCCTACCTCGACCAGATCCTCAGCATTCATCGCTCGAGGAGCTCAGCGGGGTTTTCACTCGACATTCCTCTGATCATGCTGGTCGCGTCGATCTTGAAGTAGGATTCCCATCTCCGATCTCACCAAATACATATCCTGACTCATTGCTTTCTACAGAGTCTTCTATTGGTGGGGAGAATACTATTCTAACGCCCTCCTGGCGCAAGCCGTTGTCATGATCGGCACACAGTTGGTGTTACTGAAAGTGGCACTGGACAACCGACCGAAATCTGGAGTCGAGCACACACCCTTCAGCGGTGCTGGTGCCGGCGGATTCCCGCGGCCCTATGCTTTCTGGCAATGGCGCAACACTCAGCCGTAGGTTTCCCGGGCAAATGAAACAGCGCGTGTACAGGATGATACTGACAAATTACAATCTAGATACTGGATGACCATGGTATACTTCGTCGCCGTTCTATTCGTCCTCCACATCACTCCTCTCTCCAACATCCCAACCTACATCAGCATCCTAGGCGCTGTCGGTCTCGCCGTCGAGGCCACTCTGCCCATTCCTCAGATTCTGGCAAACCACCGTGCTGGCTCATGCAAGGGTTTCCGTGTCTCTGTCTTGGCTGCGTGGCTCATTGGTGATACTTGCAAGATGGGTTATTTCTTCGCCAGCTCGGAGCCCATCCCATGGACTTTCAAGCTGTGTGGTATTTTCCAGTGTATCTGTGACTTCTACTTGGGTGCCCAGTACTTCCTTTACACCCGCAACAATGGTAAGAAGCCTGCCGGCAGCGACCGCGGAGAAGATGAGCAAGAATTGGTCGAGCGGGAAGGAAGACACGAGGAGGAGGATGAGCGCTGGGACGCCGGCGAGAAGGATATTCGCATGACTTAAAATAGTCGCTTTCTTGTTCCTTCTTTTCTGGTACATATATTTCCTGTAAATAGAGGAGATCCATCCAAGTCATAGCGACTATAGATTTGTAATAATTCGGAATGACACGACAACTTATACTTCAAATTTCTTTTCTATGTGTAGATAGGAGCTTTTGCTTGGTTTCTCTGAAGTAAGTATTGATACCTTTACTATGCATATATTTCAAGTTAAAAAAACAGTTGCTTAATCCTACGATCCATCACTCAATCTGCTCTACCTGAGGTCCCAATTCCGTCTTGACCTCTGCCCTTGCATTCTCAACTTCCTGCTCATCCATCGCAATGAAACGAACAGGCCGTTTAACCTGAGTAGCCTCCTTATCTAGGAACACCCAGAAACGAAGATCCTCCTTAAAGACAGTATCAATGTCTTCGAGCTTCCTGTTGGCAGTCTCCGGATAGAACAAGAAGATAATTGGAATAGAAAAGAAGTTCAAAAATGCCCAAATAAGATAGAACCTCCATTTGAGATTCTGGATTCCAATTGGGGTAATCTGCACAACCATGTAATTGACAGCCCACTGAGCCGCTACACTGGCTGATGATCCCATCATACGCATATGCAGCGAGTTGATTTCAGTGTTGTACAGCCATGCTGTACCTTGCCAGCCTACCCCGAAGAAAGCGTAGAAAAGGAAGATCATGGATACTGATGCGGCGCCATAGCTGTATGTCTGTTGGCTATCGTCGCTCATTTGATTCGCTCGAATTAAGAGCATGAGAACGAAATAGCACACGAAACTTCCGGAAGATCCTAGTATATAATGTCAGCATGAAACTTTTGAGATAAGAAGTAAATAGTGTCTTTGCGTACCAACTAGCATTGCTCCTCGACGACCCCATTTATCAATCAGCATCATACCCAGGTATGAGAAGAAAATGTAGTGTATGGAGTTGACGGCGGTGAGTAGTCGAGCAAGCTTCTCCTTTAGACCGACGGAATTTACCAGGACAGTGGGTAGGTAATAGGATGTAGCGTTGATACCTGATAGCTGGACAATGATTTGGGTTCCCAGACCGAGAAAAAAGCGCCTCAAGGTGCCAGGTCCATTTGCTTGACCCTTCAGCAGCATCTTCCAGGACACTTTATTTTCCATATCTGCCTGATATGCGTGTAGAATCTCATTCCGTTCCGCAATAACAGTAGGTGAATTGATAGATGCTTCCTTTCCTTGAAGATGAGCCAGCACGAAATCCGCTTCGTTGATTCGGTTCTTAGAAATCAGCCATCTTGGAGAATCAGGAAGCCAAGGTGCCGTAGACAGAATAACTATCCCGAAAAGCAACTGCAGCGCCAACGGAAAGCGCCAGTTAACACTTCCTTCAACGTACGAAAAGCCAAAGGTAACCCAGTTGGCTAAGCAGAACCCAGCGACGTTAACGACCAGGCCCAATACTACCAATTTACCACGCCAGCTGGCTTTTGTTGTCTCACTCTGCCAGACGGGGCAAGTTGCTGTATTCAACCCATTACCGAGTCCTGCAACTAAGCGTCCGACGATCATATGTGGGACGCTGTATGCTGTGATCTGAAGTATGGCACCGATCATCATCACGACTGTTCCCCAAATAACAGCGCTTCGTCGACCAAGCCAGGACCCAATAGCGGATCCGGCTACAGCACCGAAAAAGCACCCGACATCATAAAGTGATGTGATGGTACCCTGCATATTGGCGTCAGGATTGCCCATAGTGTCCAAAAAATCTTTCGTCACAATGATACCACCTGGTAATGCCAGTGAGTCAGTATCAACTCTATAAATGTCATGGATTGCTTTTCACATACTGAAAACAGCCTGATCGTACCCGAACAGGGCCATAGCTGATGTACAACATACTGTAATCCATACTAGAAGGGATGTACCCCTGCAGCCGAGGTAAGGCCTCAACATTTTGAATCACTGCTTATCGAAAGTTCAATCCGTAGTAGTATTTGAGAGTTCCCTGGCCGCGGCATATATATACGCAAAGGAGAAGAACATTCGAAGGAAAATTGTGGAATTAACTGGATCAAAGCTCGGGAAGGCTCCTTTTGAAAAGTTCTCCACAATTCCCCAGTCCGGGGAACATATTAAGATGGCGCGACGCGGAGCTGCAGCACCCGCTGTGGTTGGATAGAATCCTAAGTTCTCCTCAATTGTTGCCGATCTGGATGCGTCCTTACGGGAAAGACACGGACCGACGAGCACTGAAGCAGCGCAAAGTCGGCAAGAAGCCGAGGGAGAAGGGTAATCGGATAAGGTGTGGGGCAAGTATACGATGGAGTAGTACGATGACATGCGGAGATCTAGTACTTTCATGTACTAAAATTGATTAAAAATTCACATAAAAGAGGACGAGACAGTGACAGCCCAGCTTTCTAATAAATCGCATATTTCAACCACAGAATATCGAAGGTCGTAGAACTCTACTGGGAGCGCAGACTCGTGCACTGGAGTGCGATGTTCCGCGACGGCTGTTCGAATAACGGTTTCAAACAATTTGGCTAGACGCCAGCGTTGGCTGCAGATATGTAAACTATACGCCAATGAGTGCAAATTGACCGAAACATCGGCAAGCAGACACTTGGTATGAACTGTGGAAGTTTGTCGACAGTTAGTATAAATTGTCTTTATGGGAGACTCTGGGACATAAGGGATATTAGGACGTACCGATATAGAATCGAGCAGCTGTGAATATTGGAAGAACTAAACAAGGGCTGCAGTTTCTGAGCTCGTTGTCTTCCATTCGTCGAATTTTGGCAGCCATATTTTCGCACGCGTACATGCAGCGGTGATTAGCGTACGGCCACTGGGAATACGTTAGTTCAGCATGGTATTTCGTAAGATCTCGGATGAAAGACATACTGGCTCTGACTCAGCTCCGATTTCTGGAGGTAAGGAAGTCTGTGATTGCAATAGTACAATCACTGCCCTAAATTTTGTTAGCGAGTGTAGAGCAACTAGGCGAGTATCTATAAGGGTATGTAAGTCACTAACATATTGAGAACACAATTGGTCAATATAATAAATGGTTCCATCTCAGCACGGGCGTCCAGAGGGTACTCAGTGTTAATAAGTCTGAAAACTGAAGCAACGAATTCTTCCCTCCAAATGGTGAGTCTCTCATCAAATCTCTGGGCAGCACTTTGCCATTCCAGCCCACCTATCATATTACCACTTTCTCGCACAGTTTGCTGGAAGTTATGTACGGCCCCGAGTTCAATTGTGCATAGATTTATACACATGGAAAATCCAGAAGAGTATCGTAGATTGTGAACAGGTACATCTTCCCTGAATGGATTGTCTAAAGCCCAAGCTGTCTCGCTCCCTGGCAAATTGACAGTAGCAGTGATCGGAAGCGTGGCAAAGGGACTAGTTGAACCAAGAGCAAAAATGCTTTCGAGCATTTCAGTTGTCCAAAAGGCTCTAATCCGCTCCTCTCGGTCTATTGCTGGGTTGATCGCAAATGTATCGAATGGTTCTGACGAAAGCCGGGATATTTGAGCTTTCGTGACACCTGCAATTGTTGACAAGCCAAGCCGCTGTGACATTCTAAAGTAACTATATATCAGCATCCATGGATATATTAATTGTATTTTAAGCTTCATAGAACAAAAAAAACCGATCTATGAGCATGATTCCGGGGTCACCTTTTGCATATGGCGATTAGATGGCCGCACTCTGACCATTTCCCTTCGCCCCATGTGAGCATCGCTAAAATGAGCAGAGCCTGCAAAGAAGAAAATTTTGAAGACGCCATCGCATTTAGAATGACTTCTTCATGTAATTTTTTTGAATGCGTCTGCTTTTGCTCAGTAAGCATCCCTGGCATATCCCAGATAGTGACTGCCATGATTGCCTTTTGAATCAATGTCTGACCCGGCAGCGTAGTCGAGAAGGCATTGACCACAGTTGTCCGATGCAAAACAGGAAACCAAGATTGGTAGCTCCGTAGCCATGACTCTTGTAGTTCATATTCGAGAGTCTCTTCAGTAGGGCTTCCTAAGGTGACTGGAGCATAGGCGTCGTGATTTAGACGGGGGTCGTCTGGCCGAGGAACATGCACGCGCTCCACATTATCGTAACCGACTTGAGGTACCGCTGAGACGATAGATGATTCAATATTTGTTTCAGTATCAGAATGCGCCGGTTCAATATGCCGAGGTCGCTCGTAAGATAATTGGCCCACTACCTCGTCCATTCTTCTCTCTAAGTCGTCTGCAGGCAAGTCAGTAATAGCCAAAAGCTATAGTCTGGACGGAACCCTTTACCGACACGCTTCTCCAATTGAGATACGTAGCCCGCTCTCAAGCCCGGCCGATGATCTCTTGCCTTGTATTGACAATCAAAATTACTCTTTTCGCATAGTCCGCATTTTGGACGTCGCCGGTCGCATGCAACCTTGCGATGTCGGCATACCAGACAACTAAAATTTTATCCTCGAGTTAACAACATAAGTACCAATCAGGTCACAGTACTTACGCCAATTTCTTTTCTCCTTCGGGCGCCATGTGGTTGTTGTGCATAAGTTCAAATCAGGAGCAGAAAATCCCGGTTCCGTGTCAGGGCCGATAAAGGCGGGCATTTGCGGGGATATCCGAGTCCATCCCCACAACATGACGGGCGACGATACATTGATAGCGTCCAGCGGGGGAAAAAAGGGTTTTGACCAGCAAAAGACTAAGATACCGGTGATACACTAACAGCCGCCATACTTTAAGTTAGTAATATACTCAGATTGCTGTATACCACTATATCACGATTTCTGGTTTATATAGTTAATAACGTACAATAAACGATATAATAACGATTCAATTGCATTACCATTACATCGCCGTATGTATAGCTATAAATTCTTCTCCTTCTCCTTCTCCTTCTCCTACGTCTACTCCTGCGCCTACCCCTGTAGCTGTGATATCTTCTTTCAAGACTGGCTAGGTATATAATCATGTGTGTAACCTGTAGTTGACTGGGGTTGCTAGGGTTCTATATATTTTACTGTAGTATGGCCATGTATCAAGTTAATAAGGAGTTTACATTACATATAACGGTCTGCTAGGCGGTACTAGGCGGTAAAAATGCTAAATTCTGATTAGCCCCAAAAACGTTTTTTCCCCGCTGGACGTTATCGTCGCCCGTAAACATGCGAGCCGCGCAGTAGACGGACCGACGCCGTTGGTAACATTGGAGCATCGCTACCCGATACCTTGGAAAATTGGGACTCGTGAGTTAGATCGAAATGGATTTCCCGGTTTTTAAGGAACCCGGAGGAGCCTTGCTCACGCGTTTACTCATCTGGGTTTTGAAAGTCACTTCAAGCCGCTAAACTAGAACGACAGAAACTATGACTGTCTCCAAGCTCAAAACGCCCGACCATATTGATCGATTGGCACGAAAGGTCCAAGGTATGAGCCAGAGAGATATGAGATCAAATCTGTGAACATTAATTAACTAGCTACTAGCACTGATCAAAAATAATGATGCCAGTCATCGAGTTTTGATCGGAGTGTCCGGTATCCCGGGGTCAGGTAAAACGACCCTTGCCTCAGCCGTGGCGGAACGAGTCAATCAATTGGAAGATGCGAATAAAGATTTTGCCGTTTGCATTCCAATGGACGGTTATCATTTATCAAGGGCACAATTGGCAGCGATGCCAGATCCTGCCACTGCAATCCACCGCCGTGGTGCTGCGTTCACGTTCGACGCAGAAGGGTTTTACAAACTGGTGCAGTCGCTACGAAAGCCAAATACTCCAGAATCCCCCAATGTCTATGCTGCGAGCTTCGACCATGCTATCAAGGATCCAGTGGCAGATGATATCGCCATCTTGCCAACATCTAAAGTTGTGGTTTTGGAAGGTCTCTATCTCGGCCTGAACCGAGAGCCCTGGAGTTTAGCTGCCGCGCTGATGGATGAACTGTGGTTTATTGATGTGGATCGAGAAGTTGCACGCGCGAGACTAGTCAAGCGTCATGTTACTTCTGGGATTGTACCGGATATTGCGGCGGCCGAGCATCGGATTTCTAGTACGGATTTCTTGAATGCGGATGATATTATGGAGAATCGATTGCCTGCACAAGAGCTGATACCCGGTGGTTAAGTCGAGATACAGTCATATAGAATTATGAATGGCCGGTCTTAGTGATACCATTGAATGAAGACGAAATTGAATCAAATTTCAGGTATCATAAAGCTGAATACACATTAGGAATGAGTTCTAGCACGGTTGTTTGGTGGAATTGCTTAAATCTGTGGAAGCTCCCCGCTTCGGGAAATGATGGAATGTATAATCAACTGCCCCGCGATGAACCGCGTCGCCCCACACGATCACTTTTCTTCAGCAATCAACCCATAAACTGCTAATATACACTACACAATGGCTTCTGTACCTACCATTCGTATCGGATATGTGCCTGGTATGTCTCCGAGCCACCTAATCGGAGTTCCTAAGCTAACATATCTACTCCGTGCAGAGCACTACCTGACCCCACTCCATCTCGCTTTGCGATCGCAAGCTGTTGCTTCACTCCCATTCAAGGTCACCCTCACCCCCTTCCCTTCCGGAACGGGTCATATGATCACCTCACTCCGCGGAAATGAAATCGACATTGGTATTGGTTTGACCGAGGGCTGGGTAGCTGGCCTGGCCGGCAAGCAGCAAGCACAAAGCACCGGTGATGGAGGATATAAGGTTGTTGGTCACTGGGTGGACAACCCTCTCAGATGGGCTATTGTCACCGGTCGCAACCGTAACGAGACCAATAGCGTCTCTGACCTGAAGGATTCCAGAGTTGGCGTCAGTCGTCTTGGAAGGTAAGACCCCCGCCAGGATATCGCCCACATTCTACTGGGGATCGACAAAGGAATGCGTAGAAGAAGGATTCACTAACGATGGACGTGTCGATAGTGGCTCCCACATCATGTCTTTTGTCCTCGCTCAACAACAAGGATGGAAGTCCGACTCATTGACATCTGTCCCATTGGGTCCCTTTGGCGCGCTCCGGGATGGCGTCACTGGCAAAGATGAAGCTAAGCTAGAACAAGCACCTACTCCCACAGCCGAGTTCTTCATGTGGGAACACTTCACAACCAAACCATTCTTTCACCCAACAGCGGAAAAGCCTGATGTGCCATTAAAGAAGATCGGCGAAATCTTTACTCCCTGGCCTTCTTGGATGATCGTGGCATCTACTGCTCTCTTCCCTAGCCCCGAAACCGATGTGCGGCTCATGCAGCTCTTCGAGGCTTTAGACATGGGAATTAAGGAGTTCGAGGCTGATACTGATCAGGTGGTACAGTTGCTGGGTACCGGTGAGCTTGGTTGCACATACATTGAGGAGGATGCCACTGAGTGGCTGAAGGATGTTAAGTTTACCAGTGGCGTTCGCGGTGTAGATAGTGGAATTATTAACGGCGTCGTGGATGTGCTCAAGGTAGCAGGTGTCATTGATTCTGAAATGGACAATGGCGACGCTATTAAGCGGGTCATTGGTATTCCTCGATAAGTCTTTGCGCCAATTTGATAAAAAGTCTAGAATACGTCAATAGTGCGAAGAATATACAAGATGTACAAAGATTACACAAAGCATTTTTATTTGGCAGGCATTTGTTTATGCTTATGAAGTGATTCATTACTTAGTTCTCGACATCGGAACTTCGGCAGCGAAGATTCAGAAAGGGTTTATGTACCAGTCTCAATGTCAAGGGATCCTATTTGTCTCAGATCAACCGAGATGAAGTGGAGCCACTTGGTTTGACCTCCTTGTCCATTGAAGGATATCCTTGCGAGCTAATCTTCCCCGATTCTTCAAAATTAGCAATTTTACAAAATTTTAAAATCAAGGTTTTCAAAACAGAACACATTCTTAACTGAGCCCTTTCACTTAATTTTTCATCAGTTAATCCAAACTTGATTCTCGTCTCTGTATAATAGCGAAAAGGACAATTTTGAGTTCTTAGTGGGGCGTTCTCTGATTCATGGGGGGTTTGGACCCTGAAGCCAAGAACTTGGCAATCTTTAGGGCTGGATAACTACGACGCTACCTAGAACTTTTACTTGGCAGTCAAATTTCGACCTTTTTTTGGGTTAAAGTCAGTTAAAATAAGTGATTACAGAGCCTCGTAGAGATTGACATCCTTCTTTCCCACTTCGTAGGTGCCCCGTTAATCATTGTGATAGCCTCGAGTTGCATGTCACGCCCGTGCAGTATGTATCGAGTGCATTTATTTTGTACACTCTTATGCGCTTTTGCATGTCTTACTTGGAGCGCAGATGACTTACCAATCTACCGACCCAAAGATGTCGCCGTGGTGCCCATTGGCTCGGTATTTATAGCAGATGTCAATATTGGATTATACCAATTTACAGGGTCGTATGTCACTTCTTATTGCGCCAAGTTGATAGTAATGATCAGGACCGCTTACCTTTTACTAGATACTATAATGGTACTACAGCCATGGACTTTCATTACAAGGCAGATCCGAATTGTGAGAATTACCAAAAGGATGGCACAATTACCCAAAAATTCCAAACTGTTTTTGCAGTGGTACCTTCTGCCAGCAGCAACAGTACCTCCAATCCCGTCAACGTGCTCTGGACTCTTTGGCCGCAAGGCTACGACATTGCCTCCGACAACGAATGGGAGAATTTTCGAAACGTCAATTCATCAGGTGGGATCTATTCTTATGAAGAAACTATGAAATGGTATATGGCTTCTTTTAGGTAAGTCCAATTCTCACCGTCTCACCGTCTCACCGTCTCAACTGTCAACTGTCAACTGTCAACGCAGAAAAGCTAATCAATTTGAACATTTCAGTGTCCTTGGAAATGAATCTCATATACCTGAGGAATTTCCAATATCAATATCCGAATCAAAGACCGATTATTACAATGCTTCAGCTTCAGACCTTGCAAATTATACTTTTTATCAAGATATCGGATTTTTTCCTTTTCGCGCCTGTAATGGATCGGGCATCGAAAAAGGCGTTGTCGGCATCGGAAATCTACCGTGGATGGCTGAGATATCAAAGTTTGATTTCCAATTCGATGGGAGTGGAGCCAATGCCACTTATATGGCCCCCGAAGCAAATTCTCTATCCAAATACCATTTGGCACTCTATGCATTCAATACTAGCTTTGCACTTCAGGGGACCATGCAGCTGAGCATGACCGCGTCTATTGACCCGTGGCATTCGGATATTCTGGTCGGTGGTGAGGACAAGCCGTCTTGGAACCTGACTGTGGGATATGATAAAGATTACTTTGGCTATCCTAGCTGCGCAACTGCTAACTTATACCCTTATTCAAGCCAAGTGGCTACCCTGGTGGTAGTGTTGACATGGACCACTTCAAGTTTTATGCCGTTTTAATTCTGGGATTATGTTATATAAACGCTACATAACTATATCATTCAGGGACGTACATACCTCGATTGACATGCATATAATTTAATTTCATGATATGATTCATAGGTGCAAAATATAGTAATTACTTTCCGTCATGTATCTACTTACCGTATCAGAGACACGGGGCACACGGCAGTAGGGGATGCATAGATTTCTTTTATATGCGAATTGAAGATTCAACTTCAGTTTAGACTTACCCCCATGCGGAATTAAAAAATGATTTACGGAACAGTAGTAAAGTTCGTAGCCGTCCAACCATGAAGATTTAAGCTAGTGGAATTTCAAATGTTCTTGAGATCGTCTGAAAAAGACCCTCTTGCCTTGAATTCTCCCATTCATAGCTGAAACTAGCCTGCAAATTGCGAGTCTTCCTCTCATTCCTCCTGATCTCGATGAAATAGCATATGTCCGAAGTAGAGACTCTACTCTGTGAATCTTGCATGTAGATGATCCTTGAACAACTCCAATGTCTCCCTTGCTCCGTCGCAGTCTAGTTTGATGACTGTGGTCAATGGCACATAGTTGGCGATAGCTTGGAGATATGGAAACAGCCATGAGTGCCAGATAGACAGTTCCTGGGCTAGATCCATATCGCTTTCGGGTCTTGGGCTCACAGTTGGCTGTTCGAGAATAATGTCCAGGGTTTTAAGCCCTTCGGGAAGCTCAAGCCAAGCCCTGTTATTTGGTATACTGGTCTTGTAGGAGGGCCCGCCCTGGGCAGCAACTACCACAAGATGTCGGATACGATGTCTGAAGCTTGTGGTAAAATCAAGCTCCAGAGCTTCGTCGCCATATTGATCTAGTTCAAGCACAAATGTATTTTTCCGTACAAATGTGGTAGGCATTCCATAATGACTGCTTTGCACAAGCACAGAAGGTTAGCGACTTATCAGAGGCTTAAGAAGCTAGATTTTTCGGAATGTAGCTCTCCGATATTCACTATCAGACCCCCTGGAAGACACTCTTGATAAATCATTGTCCTGATCTCAGATGGTAAATCCAGAAAGCCCACAGTAGACTTTTTGGCATCATTCATAGTTGCAAGGTGGAACAACTTGGGGTTGCGAGCAGTCGAAGGTGTGATGTCACGGTGGGAGCAAGTTGAAGCTGCGATGTGGGAAGTTCGAGATAAGATATTGCAGGGTCAGAATTCGAAGTGGCAAGATGGGATATCGAAGTCGGGATTTGATATATATGATATTAAAGGCCAACCCCTAAGCTATGAGTAATTTAAAGTCAAGTGACAAGAAAAACCCTTTATTGCGAATAAATACCTGTAGTGGTTGCTCAGCAGCGCCAGTCCCAACGAGGAAGATTGTGATTAATACTAAGAGCCTTCTATATTAAAATCTCCAATTATAGTAATTATGAAATCTCCGTGATGTTTTTTCGATTTCTATATTAAAATCCAGGCCCATCCCCTTTCCTTCCTGTTATTTCCCCGTCCATCCTCCAAGATATGACAATATGTCGTGAATGGTAACGACAAGCTTTAAAGAATCCACGAACCTTCAATGATCAAATGTTTGAATGTTTAGACGCGATCACGCGTTAATATTCTATACGAATTGACTGAGAAGAGAATAGGGAATGTAGAAAACAGTTTTTATAGATATAAAATAAAATAATGTGGTCTATGAGTAGCTTGGCGACGGTTGCCACGCATTCTTGAATAAACTTGAAGTTTCAAAATGCGAAAATCACAGCGATGGCCCAGTAGTGCTAGGAAGAATATCCCGCAACCAAACTGCCATCATTGCAATCATCTCTTTGGTACAGCTATGGCCTGTATTTTCTTGTACAAAGAATTTGATATCCTGCTTGGACCCTTCGGGGCTTTGCCGTCTAGCTTCAACCCATGTATTCGTATATCTGGCTGGTACTAGCTTGTCATGCAATCCATTGCATAGAAACAAAGGTACGTCGGTCGGGAATTCATTTGAAACTTTCTGGTCGTCTTGATGGACGATTTTAGCCAAGGGCTCGGGCCATCGTCGTTGCTGCTTCGAGTTCATGAGTTGTTTAAGCTTTTCGTAGTCGAGAGTCTCATCGCCATTTACGGCGGTCGGGTCGATTCCGAGACGATTCAAAAGTAAAGTGGAAAGACTCGGACAGCCGACTATCATTGCGTATCCATGGAATTGGCCTGGAGCGATCAAGGAGGCAATGCGCCAAGCAGTGTGGCCACCTAATGACACTCCGTACATGATGTTGTAGAATCGGTTAAATTGGGGTAGATAAGCAGGAAGATAATCAAGTACCAGCTTGAAATCTTGTGCTGATCCAGCGATCATGGAAACTATGTCCATGCTAATGTCATGAATTAGTATTTGGATATGGTCAAATGTGACGATTCATAGCTTACGCATGATTCTCGTTGCCGTCTTTCCAAGTTCGATTGGCACCGGGATCGACCTGATTTGAAAACTTAATATTTATAGATCGAAAAGCTTAAATTTGAAGGTACTCACCTCGCGATCTCCATGATTTCTCATATTCATTGTGACGGCAATGAGCCCGACCGATTCGCCCTTTCTTGTGTCGGTCCGATACCGATGTAAGATCTCATGGGCCATGTCTTCCATGACACGGTAGGTCCTGGTCCGGTTGTGTGCCATATATAAAACTGCGACTTCGCCAGAGAGGCCCTCCGGTGGATTTGAGTTAATCTCATCTAGTCCGTATACATAGAGTTTCAACCCGCCAATGGCTAGCTCCGTTTTGCTTGAGCGGGGCGTGGTTGCCGGAAGAGAGAAGCGAGGCTCGAGGCCACTTGCATTTTGAACGGCTGACATTTTACACAAACTCGTTCTATGCAGGTTTATGACAGGTTTAAAGTACTATCCCTGCGAGAATCCTTTATAACCGGTTCAACTGAGTATGATTGGTTTCAAAATTTGCATTGATCGGCAAGAATAACATAATTACCGAATGGCCCGATATAATTACCGAAACAACCGCACAAGTGAACCGAGATATTGCCGTTCCCCTCATCATATCAGACTGTGCCGGTTAAAAAAGTCCATGATGATTGGTGTGGCATTGAAGCTAGCTACATGGTGCCCAAGCTCCTGGTTATCCTTATTAGCGATCGTGCTGGGCCAGTCATGACCAATTACCGAGTCGTAAATCAACCCGACCAACCCGCGAAATCCGAAAGAGTACAAGACTGCATTTGATGCGACTGGCAATGTTCTGTTGCGTCGGTTATCCAACAAGTCTCGCGCCGCCCATTCCTGGATAAAATGTGGAATAGCTGGTAGACACGCGTTTTTCCGTTCGCCACCCGAGTATGAGATAGTTGTATCGTTCCCACCGTGGAACGCGAGGGAAAGGGATATCCCTACGCGACGGATTGCAGGGATTTTTCACCGTTCTGGCCATACAGGGTAATGTGTCGACGTAATATGCCCCCGAGACTGGAGCAAAGGCTGCGATACGGCTAGACATTTCAGCATCGCAGGCGAGAAGGTTACAAAATCCTCCGCCATCTGACTTTCCAGTTGTCCAAATTCGTTCTGTATCGATGCAGTACTGCGAAAGAACTTCGTCCAGTATATCGTGCGTAAATTTGATATCATTTGTGGTAATACCCGGGACGCCTTGCCATTTCATCTAGGATCAAATTGTTAGAAATAGTTGGTAGAAATAATGAATTATCTCTGATAAGGTCCCCCTTACATCGATCCCTTGCGGGTAAACCACGAAAGCCTCCGTATTGAATTCAGGGTTTGTGAGTTGGTCAAGTTCCAGTTGATCCTCAGCCATTTGGTTTCCACCATGATAAGAAAGAATGATAGGTGCTGGAATTCGTGGATGGTAATCAAGCGGGATGGATAATAAGTAAATGCGATCTATCCCATCGCTCGAAATTGAGACATTAAGGAGATCTCCCCCGGATTGTTGTGGGGCAAGATGCATGTCTTGGCACGTCACACCTTCTACAAAAGTAAATCGTAGAAGAATGAGTATACTGGCATAGGCTAGATTGAACATATTGTTCTGCTGTATCTGAAGTATAAGTGCTCAAAAATTCTTGCATTAGAGCACTGTTGCGCCATGATCCGTTTAAATAGGTATTCCGCAAGGACGTACTACGACAATCTGGGCTAAGCTTACCCCAGGTCCCATGCGTTCCCCGCAAATTAGATCGAATAGTTCGCGGGATTATGCCGGAGATCGATTTGAAAGCATATGTATTGAATAGAATTTGCCGGTAAGACCTTGCGGTGACGCCTGTATGCTTACTAGAGTAATCCCTGACTGCCGAGATTACGACACAGCAAGGATAGCTGCGGCATTGGCAGACCTATCTCTCCACAATGGTGTGTAACATTGGATATTGCCGGCTATTCATTTTAAACTGGATTGGGTAACTTACCTTGCGGTAGGATAATGCAGGTGGATCAACTTGAACTTGTAGTAGTACTAGCGCAAGGGGTGAGTGGAAATTCGATGTTTATTGAAATTTTGAAGGCCATGGATTCACGTTTAGACATGAATGGCATTAGGATTGGAAATTGAAGTTCAAGTTGTTCAGTTAAAAGAGATATACGATGGCAATATGTTTATCATGACTATATAATCTCCTCATAGCACATATCGGAACTCCTCGTTCTGCATATCAGTCAAGTTCTCCTCAATCGAATGCATATGATTATAATCAGAACCTGGTCTGCATCTCTTATCCCTCTTCGAATTTTCTATACGCAAGTAAATCCAAGACAAAGACGCAATTACCACCACAGCACATAGGCAAACAAAGCTACCGATGAACCCAGAGCGATACAGAGGTCCTGGAGAAGCCCCAAAAATGAGTGGGCCGATGATATTGCTGACGCAGTAGCCGGCAAACGTGGAAGCGCTGGTGGCAGCTTTTTCTAGTGGCTGTTAGATACCCAGAAAAGCATGAAAATGGGAGGATATAATTGAAACACTTACTAGTATGGCCAGCAATATTAGAGGCGGCCAGAGAAACGGCCAATCCACCAGCAGCAACCTGCACGGCAATAAGGAAGATTCCTGCAAATAACAGGCCTTTGTTGTTTCGAGGTCCAAACCAGCAGATCAGTGTTCCAGCAATTGAAATAAGGGCACATATGATAATGCAGAGATAACGAGTGCCAGGACACTTTCGCGTGACATAGCCAACAATCAAAATAGATAGTGCTGTAAGGGCACCGATGGGACATGTTAATGCCAAAGATTCAAAGTGGGTGTATCCAAAACCATTGATAACAATTGTTCCAAATGTACCGATCGCTCCTGAGGGAACGCCCGTCAAGAGAATTATCAGTGTACAACTGTACATCTTGGGGTCCCTGAATGTTTCAAGGAATTGTCCCTTGTCAAAATCACGGGTAATAGTACCGGCCTGGTTTCTTTCAAGGCGAGTAAGCGCGATGCGGCGTTCGAAATCGTTCAATCCTTTGGTCGTGTGGGGGCTATCTGGAAGAGTGAAAAATAACACGACTCCCCAAGTAGTGGTTATGGCGCCGAGAACCAGGAACATAGGTTCCCATGTGGCGAGAGAGCTATGGATCTGGCCAAGTCCATAGTTGATCAAAGGTGATATAGCGGTAGCCACTCCAACGCAGCAGTACCATAGCCCAGTACGCAATGCCTGCTCGTCACGGGTCCACCAGAATGTGACTAGCACGGTGAAGGTGGGCGCAACGGCGGATTCGAGCATGCCGAGCACTAAGCGAACCACCATGATGCCAGCGTAATTGGTGCAGCCAGCAGTTGACATTACCACTATACCCCAGAGGAACGTGGAAATCGCGATAACTCGGGATAGGGGGAAGTATTGTGTCAGGAACATCATCGGATATGTGCCCACCAAGTAGCCAATGTAGAAAATCATGGAGGCATTCGAATAGCGTTGATTATTAGTGATAGCCGTCCCGTCCGCTTCGTACCCAATCACTGTAGTCAAACCCAAGTCGTCGTTGAAACCGAATTGTGTCGCAGCACTCATAATTCCTTTGTCGTAGCTCTGCAGCATATACGTGAACATCATAAGGGGGACGATCCTTCATCAGTTAGTGTGGGTATCGAATAAGGCGTGAATTGAAGGGAGAAATACCAGAAATCGAGCTTGCGAACAAGTTTTTTCTCATCCTTCTCCGTGAACTGAGCCTCACCCTTTTCCATCTCGTCGGTTTTTTCAACCTCTTCGAGGCCGGGTTTCTCGACGTGTCGGATAGAGTCATCCATCTTTAAGAGTATATTGGTCAAAATAGCGATTAAAGTTGGTATCATGCGGTCCAAGCTGACATCCTGTCGGTATTTATAGACCGCACCTATGGAAAGATCTACTCTGTCAGCTGTCTTCGGAGATTTGCCTTCTTTCCCCAGATTTCGTGGTTTGACCAGACCAGAGTTTGTTTAATTGCCGAGATTGCCGGGTGGAGCCGGTGCGGGGCCCCGCACACTCATAAGTCCAGAATTTTCCCGACATCCCAACCGCGGCAATTTTGCTCCTCCACTCCACCTGTATGCCATCAAATGCAGGAAAACGCTGAGAAAAGGGTGGGTCGTCGGTCGCGAGTTGCATGCAAGCCATGCAATCGACGCAAGGTGCGGTGTGATGTGACTCAAACAGGTGTTCCATGTACCAATTGCCAACACGAGGCAGCTGTTTGTGAGATACTGCCGCGCAAAAAGCACAAGTGAGTGGTCACATTATCCACATTTTTTCGATAAATATTGATATTCTTCCAAGGCCGCGCATGTCCAGGGCCGCGATCACGAGGCCAGTTTCTGATGAACTGGAGATTCCTGATAACTCCGTTGACAGAGCAACTGATGCGACGACAGACATCGACGTTCTACCTGATGATAGCGCCTGTTCCTATATTGGTAATCATATGTGCCTCATATAAAGAGCGAACAAAAATCTAACATGCCTTTCAGGTGACACGCGCGGTCCAAGACAATCTGTATATGAATTATGCCATCCGGGTGTCCCACAGGAGGCCTATCAATCACCCTCCACCATTACTCCTCATAGCTCCTCGGGAAACGCGACAGTACTTCAAGCTCACGAAATAGAATACATACGCAATGAAGGCGGATTCTCACATCTACCGTCCGATGTTTATGATGAGCTTGTACGATGCTATTTCCATCACGTACACTTTTTTCTACCTGTTGTCGAAGCACCAAAATTCTTGAATGAGTACATGCAGAATGGAAGCCAAAAAGTAAACCCTCTATTATTCTGGAGTATGCTCCTCGGCGCAACCAATGTAAGACTTTCAAAAGTGCCAAATTTACAACAAAGACTAACTGTCCTAGTATGTGGACGCAAGTGTTCTGCAACGAGCTGGATTCGCGTCCCGGAAAGCCATGAAGAAGGCTATGTATAAAAGAGCCAAGGTACGTCGTATTTACGCTTTTCCAGCTGGCAATGGACGCTGAACCATAAACCAGGCATTCTACGACGTTGATCGGAGTGCAGATAAACTTCTGCTCATCCAATCGGTTCTTTTAATGAGCTTTTGGTACACAGATGCGCAAGATCATACAGGAGCATCGCATTGGATTGGGATTGCCACTTCTCTAGCCCAGGGAATTGGTCTCCACCGTTCTCCCTCTTCACAAGACAGAAACAATACTCAACTATCGTCAGAAGAAAGACAAAGCCTTGGTCGACGGCTTTGGTGGACGTGTCTTGTCCGGGATCGATGGGTGTCTCTAGCCAAGGGTCGACCAATGAGAATCCATGATGAAGATTGCGATGCTACTTTCCCTTGCGCAGATGACGTTTTGCACGAACTGCAACTTCTTCCTGTGGAAGCTCGACAGAAGTTCATTCCCCAGGACATAGAGTACCTTTCTGGAATGTGGGTACAGCTTGTGAAAACCAGTGCAGTACTTGGGCGGATCCTAAGATCGCATTATCGACTCAAGAGACCTAAACCAAGTTGTGAAGAGATCGATGCGTTGACTGCGGAGCTTCATAAATGTCAACCGACATCAGCAAATGCGATGTTCGCCGCAAGTGACATCGCTCTAATTCACGAATACCACCTGCAGATATTCTATCAGTACGTCAAATGACATATTCTAATTTTCCTTTGAAAATAGATATATCTAACCCGTGGCAGAGCATGTGGTACGGTTCTTCATCGACCTTACGTCTTGAATGCACCTGCCTCCTTTCCTGAGAACTCAACAGTCTCATGGCAGATACTTGCACAAAATCGTGCACGTGAAGCTGCTTCGACCACCAATCAAACACTTGAGAAGATCATTGAGCTGGATGTTGTCAAATCAATAAAGCCTATGTTGTACGTTTTCATTGGTGAACCAGGAATGCAATATGACTGACACTCCCCAGCATTACATCTTTGATTCCTGCCATGCAAATTCACCTCTTTGATTGCAAATCTGGGAACTCGCTCCACGCAAACCTTGGGAAAAACAGGCTCAATCTTTGTCTGTTGTTCCTCGACAACCTACGCGACACCTATTGGAGCGCAGGTGTAATGTACCGACTTTTCGACCGCGCGCAGTCTATTTTAACTTCTCGCAAAAGTAACGACACCGAAAATACCGCTCTGCAAACCCATGATGGACTGTCCCGCCTTCAATACTCTGAAACCCACCAACAATACAATGATAGTCTACCAAATGCGATAATATCATCAAACGTCGCAGATTTTGCCCCAGGTAATACTGAGCCCGACGTGCTTGCTACAGATAGTTTTGCGGGCGAAGTTGGAACTAGCGGCTACTCGCTGGACTTTGATGCTCTTGAGCAATTACTCAGTCCTGGGTTTGCATTATCAGACAGCTATTCCCAAGGGTTGTATAACCAGTACAATGGGAGTGTTATCAGAGATCAACTGTCGGCAAATCTATACAACCTTTGAGCCATCAGGTATTAAAGGTCTAATCAAAGTTACAGATAGCTAGACCCGGAATTATCTGAAAACACCAGGTCACATTGAAAACTTCTATTACCGAATCTTCCATGTTACTGATATTTTAGATGAAGGTGGGTTGCTGCCTCAAGCACCCACGTCATCGTCTACATCTCTCACTCCGTAGCTTAGTTCCTGTATGCATCATCACTACCGTTGATCCTTCCCATACCCCCTTCCTATGATATCATATCCTAGATGCTCATTCAGACCCTTATTATATGACTTATTTGAATAGGCGTCGATAGTGGGGATCTCGATGACTCAGCGATAGAAAACACCCAGGTGTGCACAGCCCAGGAAGTGACTCAGAGGTCAAAAGTTCAACCCAGTGTCTAATTTATAGAAATATGCTCGACCTTCTTCAAGTCAACCATCGGATGATAACGTAAAGGTATCACCTTTAATATTAAAATCGCTTTCAAGTACATACCTCGTAAGTAAATCATCCCTCGTTATGCTCATCAGCTGAGGCTCAAGGCGCAACTTAACATTATCAACCCCTAAAGCTTCGCATATACTATCAAGATGATAAGGATGCCACATATTGTTCGAGCATCATATAGTCCTTTTTGCTGAAAGACTGGATAAAATTTCGACCATGGTTTCTCCATCAACATGGACAAGAGAAGTCCAGATTTCACTTTTTTCCTATGGCCATGCCAACGGCCCAATTGTGCAACAGCACAGGGAAACAAAACGTCAAAAAACCTTACATTACAATATTCGACACTTACCAAATCCACCGCGCCATCTCCGAGTAAAAGTAACCGGCCTTTCGCGGCGACTGCAGAAAGAATTCCTCCAAAATAATGATGTTGAGGCATTGTTGGTAAAAGTCCAAATAGATATTCTCAACGCAGTGAAAGACGCATCTGATCAACTTCTAAGTTCCGATATGGGTAATGAAGTTGAAGAAAAGCCAGAAACAGACCAAAGATGCTTTGGCCTGAACGCCCATATTGACGAAGGGGCTGCCTTAGAAGCCCCAGATATCGATGTAGCCGTGACAATATGCTGCGAGGAAGGCCATCATCGGAGTGTTGCGTTTGTTGAGGAGTTATCCCGGAGACTCGCTATATTCAAAAATGGAGATGGCTGTTCTCACTATTGGCAATTGATTGTGAACGTGGACCATCGTGACATTGCAGATTTTGAAGACGGGGATCAGTCGCAGAGCCAGCGTAGGCGCCCAAACAAAAGTCAATCAAAGTCCAGACAAAAAGAACGCCAGCAAAGAGGACAAGGATATAAGATGAAGTTTGAAAACGATGATGCTGAGGGCTAGCCGCTCTAATATAAATATAATGATAATCATTTTCATTAATTTATATGATTCTACCGGTACTTATGAGATCATTTGATCATTCTTTTTGAAGAGAATGCATATTCATCTCGTTTCTTTTTGTTAGATCAACATCAACTTTCAGGATTGCACTATTCAAACCTGTGTTAGTGAAACCCAATTGTCCAGATCGCCCCTAGTGTATTGTAGTTTTATTATAGATACACGCATCTCAGTGCATAAATTCCATTCAATACTGTTTTGTTCTGTTTTACTTTACCGCTATTGGCTGTGGGACGCGCTTGAATGGAGTCAAGCTCCCAGGTGCATGCATGTCCGAACCCTGTGCTCCATTGAAGGGGTCCCTAGCCGCCAAAGATGCTGAATTGCAGCAGGGAGCAGGGGGGAACATCATGGTCTCTCTAAAGCTATCAACTTCAACAGCATTTCTTTTTCCGGTCGAACTGCTCAGGTATTTAAATATAGCGACCAAAAAATCATGAGTCAAACCCCCGGGTTCAAATGTGAGGTTTTCCAGGGATTCTTGCTGATTATCGGCGGGACAATCTGTTTCCTATACGGGCTTGAATCTGGCTCAAGTGGACTCATTGCCTGAAATTCAGCCACAGTCATTATTTTGATCGTTTTCGGTGCTCTTATACTGGCTTTATTCATGATTTGGGAGCGAAATTCGCCAGTAACCCGATGATCCCAATCAGAATTTTTCAGCGCAGAACCTGCCTTGCCGCGTTTATCGTTTCCTGTCTACAAGTTTTTGTATACATCTCATTCGACTTTTTTCTTCCACTATACTATCAGGTGATTCTTTGATTTAAACCCATTATATCTGGCGTGACCCTCTTCGCTCTGATTATCCCGATGTCACTTGCAGCATTTGGTGGAGGTTTATTCGTTCGAAGGACTGGATATTACCTTGCAGTTATATTTGTGGGCACCAGTCTCCTCACACTAGGCACTGGACTTTTTGCATCATTTGACACAAATGTCTCTTGGCCCAAGATTATTTGACTTGAGCTTATTGCAGGTATAGGAGCGGGTGTGCTGTTCCAAAGCCCGATGATGACATTGCAAAGTCATATCCAGCAGGAAGACACAGCAGCAGCAATGTCGGCATTCAGTTTTCTTCGAAATCTATTCACTTCAGTTTCGATAGTAGTCGGAACAGTCTTGATTCAGCACACAATTGGCAGTGGTAGTTTAACAACTACAATATCCAAAGACAATTCAGGTGCCGTACGCAGAAGTCAACATGTGACGGGACTGAAGAATATGTGGATTTTTTACACTTGCGTGGCGTCTATTGCAATTCTTGCGGCATTCTTCATCAAATCCGAAGGGTTAAAAAAAGGTCATCAAGAGTCGGTTTCAAGTGGTGAGCCTGCTACAGATTGACAGACTCGCGCGGCCTAATGTGGATTCACCGTGCTGCTTCCCATTTACCACTCGTTCAAGAAACCTCTGGATTAAATAAATGTAAATACATAATTAGAAATACACGCATGGAAATTTATCAATTCAATGGAGGTTTTGAAATAAGTCTCTGGAGTTCCTTCATATAGTTCAGACATTCCCTCCTTGGATGCTGATTCTGTACCAAAATCTCCGTCTCGGCAATGACAACGTCTTTCGTCTTCCAATTTTCCAAAATGATTTTGACATGCAGAAATAAGCGATCCAAATCATCCAAGTTGGCTAGTTGGGAAATTAGATTCTTGAGTCCCTTGGATTCTCTTGGCCTAGAAGTTCCTCACAGGCCCATAGCTAGCAAATTGCCTCGGGCACATTCCTAGATCAACTGCGGAATCCCCTGACAACAACACTAGAATGCGGCCAACCCTGCCGACCACGCAACATAATCCAATGCGAAATACCAAAGAAGCTGTTTCTGGTGAATATCCCGTGCAAAGCCCTCTCATTTCCGCCCAGTGGCCAAGATGTCAGTCCTTGTTAATGGAAATCTTGCGTGGAGACACAACCATACCACGCCGCTTGGAGCCCCAATGACGCACGCAGGAGAGGCATTTGTTTTCCTTTGATGGTATGTGTATGGAAAGCAAAACAACTCCATAAATTCTATTTAACCTTGACCCTAGTTGTGAGCCGCTTTCCGGCTCGTGTGCTCTAGTCGATTGTTGTCTTTCTGGGTCGATCTCCCTGTCATTCATTATTATATTAACTCGACATTTAATACTTAATTTTCTACCGTCATTCTTTCAAACCTTCACTCTTTATTTCTTTCAAAATGCGTCGAACCCAGGATTATCTTTCCTGGTCGGTTTTGCTTGCTTCTCTGGGAGCAGTCCAGGGAAAGCTTGACTTGACCTCTGATAAGAACATCGCCGTCTACTGGGGTGAGAACTGACGATCATACTCTCAAGAGTATTATGACTAACTAAACATCTCATAGGTCAAAACTCGATCCAAGCAGCAACAAATGCTGCAGATGGACAACAACCGTTGGCAGAGTACTGCAAGAGTAAGTGGCCGCAGAGGGTTTTGGCATTAATTATGGGGCTAATGAATGTCTGACAGATGACGACATTGATGTATGATGAATGTGTAAAGACAAGTGGGTGCACAGCTAATATGAACCTAGGTCATCCCAATGGCGTTCGAGATGATGATCAACGGCCCGGGTGGAGCTCCAGAGGTTGATTTCTCTGTGGACAGCGAGGACTGTGAGGTTTTCGAGGGCACACAGTTGAAGCATTGTCCTAAAATTGCGTAAGTTTGACAACGAATAGCGCCCCGGCCGAACTAACACATGGTAGTGAGGACATTAAGACATGCCAGGAGAAAGGAAAAACTATTCTCTTGTCCATTGGGGGCGCAACTTATAACGAGGGTGGCTTCAAGTCAGATTCGGATGCCAAAGATGGAGCAGCGCTCATTTGGGAAACATTTGGACCCAAACAGCCCGGCTCCAAAGCTAAGCGACCATTTGATGACGCTGTCTTGGATGGCTTTGACTTTGATTTTGAGGCCACTGTTTCACACATGGCACCTTTCGCCAATGAGCTGCGCGCCTTGATGGACAAGGACGATAGCAAGCAGTATTTCCTAACTGCTGCTCCTCAGTGCCCGTATCCCGACGCTGCAGACAAGGAGTTTCTCAACGGTCCCGTTTCTATCGACGCGATCTGGGTGCAATTCTACAACAACTTCTGCGGTGTGAACAACTTCAACAAGAACGAAAAAGACTCCAAGTACAACTTCGAGGAGTGGGACAACTGGGCCAAGACCGTCTCTAAGAACAAGGACGTTAAGGTAATTATGGGCGTCCCAGCCGACACTACTGCCGCCAGTACGGGCTACGTTCCAGCCGACAAGCTCGCCGATGTTATTGAGTACTCGAAGAAATTCGAGAGCTTCGGCGGCGTAATGATGTGGGATGTCAGTCAAGCATATGCAAATGATGGCTTCATTAACAGCGTGCGAAAGGCGCTTGGTGGTCCTGATTCCGGTTCGTCGTCGTCGTCCAACTCGGCGTCGACCACGGCGTCTGCACCTTCGTCCACTAACTCACCGAATACCTCGCAATCTTCCAATGCACCCGCGTCCTCGTCCTCATCTTCCTCCTCTTCTGCATCTGGCTCCTCACAAGATGGTCATGACCGCCCAGAGACCACTACCGCTACCGAAGCTCATCCCAAGCCAGCCAAACCTACCAAGCCAACAACAACAACAACAACAACAACAACCGAGCAGACCGATGCCAAGCCGACCAAGCCTGCGCCAACCGAGAACGCTACTAACGCAGAGCCTACCAAGCCAAAGGCCAAGCCGACTGAGAAGCCAACTTCTACAACCAAGGCTAAACCTGCTCCAGAGCCAACTGCCGAGCCCTCGCCTAAGCCTCCCGCGGATGACGATGATAGCTCCGATGACACCAATGATGATGACACGCCCAACCAGCAAGCTGCGCCTAACGACAACGATACCACTGGCGTTGGCAACACAGACAATGACAGTGATAAGCCCAGTGGGCCTCTTAACGACCTTCTTGGAGGCAATCTCTTTGGTCTTCTGAAAGGCCTTCGTCAGGCCAATGGCCCTGTGACACACGGTCTCACACATGGTCTCAAGGCTGGTATCAAGGATGGTCTTACCAAGAACCTTCGCCGAGCCAACCGAATTGGATACAACTAAGAATGCGCCGATATTTCACTCAATGTATCTCTTTTTCTGAAATGTCAGGCTTATACCATAAGACCCTCTTCTATTTTGAAGACCAAAGGGTAAATTCAGCTGCATCATTGATTTTCTACTACCATCTCTACCCATCCTTTATATTGATGATAATCAGCAAAATCTTTCCATTTTTGGATCACACTCTTTTGACTATTGAACTCTGACTATGTACTCAACTTTCCTTATGATACCCATAATTCATAATACGTGCACCTCAAATATGCCTTCATATTGTCAACCGTAGCCTGTCATTTTCAGATATCCTCCAGTGCCGAATGACCACATACATGCAGTATTTCGTTTATGCATTGACGACAACATAGTAGTTCTCCCAAGTTCCACTGTTGGTGCAGGAGCCGTTGAACAGCCCAGCGCTCTCGTGGTATCCACTCACATCACTGTTGACCAGACACTCGCTGTTCTCAAAAAAGATAGCTTTCCACCAATTCACATAGTACTCGGAATCAGCGAGGATGGAGCAATAGGCATATGTATCGCCAAGAGTAGTGCATGTGTCAACGGCATCTGATCCTGATGCAACAAGGGTGCCATCATCGCACTAAGTATTTATAATTCGTCGTCAATACTCTGTGATCCAATGTATGTGATTCGTGGGGGGCTTGAATGTGATCAAAGATACTACTCACAGAGTCGCCGCAGTAAAGGGCCCAGTCGGCGCTTGCGACGGAGGCGAAAGTCAGAGCCAAGGTAGCGAGATACTTCATGATGCAGGTTTTTATCTGTTGATTTTCCCAGTTAGCATCAGAATACACATTGCCAATCCTGATATCACTATATTGCGGTTTGATCAAGTCTTTGGAAACCTCAGCCTGTGGAAAATTCCCGGACTTCCACTGCAAGGCTAGTCTAAATATTTAGCGACATACCAGGTAGTAACTTCTCAGTGAATTACTAGTTTATATGATGGATATTCCTTTTGGCAAATGGGATTCTTTCAAAACGAAATATGTACTCAAGCGAGTCTAAAGTGGGCTACCTATTAGATTTTATAGTACACAATTCTGGACTTATCTCGAAATTATCTTGGGGGGGGTTGCAATATGAATCTCATCCTTTGCCAAGAGCACCACCATATCATGCAGAGACAAATATGCCGACTCTAGGCCCGGGAAATCCGATTCAATTCTGTATGTATACCTACGAATAAGTTTCACGCTAGTATAAACCCACCACCAATCACTCGGGCATGTTGTCCTAGCTAAAACCCCTAAAATCTCACCTTCTTTATTGCTAGGACCTTTCTGGCAAATGGAGGTGTACCAAGTAAGTCTAGATTTGTAAGATTATTCGGGGTCTATACTTTTATGGGTATAGCCTTAGCCCCCCAGTTCCCATTGGGCCATGTTCCTGTTGAAGGATCACTGTTGCTTCAACCAGTGGCGCCAATTGACCCGCAAAAAACACAACTAGTTCTTACATTTTCTTCAACAATAATTGTTTAAGAAGGGTAGAAATATGAACCGGATTTCTGCAGATGTTTAAGCTTATTCAAGGGCTGTCAAAATTTTCGACAAAAGGCTGGGCATACTGTTCAGGGTTTAGTGCGCCACGCGTCCCCGAAGCTAGCTACTAACGGACTTGGGCTAGGGGAGGGGCGGTGGCCCCGGGGGTTGTCAAACATGCACAGCGGTTGAGAGTTCGATAGGAAATTGAGGCTAGCTAGTTACTCAGTTTATTACGCTATGCTGAGAAATCAGACTACTTCGGACGTGGAGATATTATCAATCCTTCAAGAAAAGAATACGCACAGCTAAGGTCTTGATCTAGAGAACATGCAAATAAACACAGGTAATTTGAGTGGCAGATTAGAGTATCTTAAAAAGAAGATAGAAAAGTAACCAAAAGATCACAGAAAGATTAAAAATAAATAGAAAATAGAAAATAAAAATCACCCTTTGCTACCCTGTGTTTTCCTCTGGGGGCTAGCCATAAAAACGTAAATCATTGATCTAGTTTGGACGGATTTCGAGAAGGAAGGGAAATTTGAAGATTATCCCTTGAGCATAGCAACCTGCCACCTTGGAATCCAGGCATGGACATACTCATGGATCCAAATTTCTGGCCCCTTTACTCCACATCTTCTTCCTCCCTGCTTGCAGCCAAGTGGTAGCGACCGGGTGGTTTACCTTCTTCCTCGTACTCAACGGTCAAGCGAGCCAGATGACCAAGAATATTTTCGATCTTGATGTCGCCCTTGCTCCGCTTTTGGCGACCGAGATCATCAAGCCATTTTATTCTGTTGAGAATGAAGTAAACAAGAGCGATGACAATTTCAACGCCGAGCGAGTAGCCCCAGATACGCACAACGGTCACGATATCTGTCCATCCGTTTTTGGTCTCAACGAATGAATCCTTAGGGTTGGTCTTCATATCCTCATTGGTGAACCAACCAAACAAACAGAAGATTGTGGCAAGTATGTCGACTCCCAAAATAGCAGTGACAAGCTGTAGAGATGGCCAGGTATCGATCCCCCGTGTCACGAAGATCAGCCAGTTTTCCGTGAGCGCTACTTCTAAGAACAAGACTTCTTGGATGGATCCCCAATTCTGAACAATACCGCCCGACGGGAGGAACATGCTGCCGCGAACAACCCAGGTACCTAATGCAAGAAGGAAGCCAAGCAGCACTGAAATGAACCAGATTTTGGGAAGCTGCCATTCCACAGGGCGAAGTTCGAAGGATGCATGGTCGTACGCCACAGCAACAGTAGCGAGATCGGCAAAAAGAGCCAAGAAAACGATAAGCTCAACACGAATACTTTCGTTCAGAATAATCATTGATGTCACGAGATAAACTTCCAGATGTAAACAAAGAGCAATGCGGTATTGGATGTAAGCCTTCATTCGGTGAAAGATTTGTCGTGCGACCTTGATAGAGTCAATGATAGTGGACAAGCCAGGCTCAAGAAACACGATATCTGATGCTGACTGGGCTGCTTCCGACGCTCCTTCAACTGCGATACCACAATCTGCTTTCTTAAGCGATGGCGCGTCGTTCACTCCATCACCTGTCATGGCCGTTAAATGACCTCGCTCTTGAAGCATTTGAACCACTTGATATTTATGTTCTGGGAACACTTCAGCAAATCCGTCGGCTTTTTCAACCAGGTCACCGGCCATAGCACCACTCAAGCCTCCATGGATTAGTTTGTCGGAGTTGTACACTTTTGTGCCCAGAGCGAGCATTTTGCATGTTTCCTTCGCGATTGCAAGTGCATCACCTGTAAGCATTTTAACACTGATACCCAGGTTCTGTGCTTCGCTGATTGTCTGCGCTGTATCTTCACGTGGCGGGTCAAACATAGGAAGCATCCCGAGAAGAGTCCAATCTTCGTTGTTCTTTTTGACAGCCACGCCGAGCGAACGGAAGCCTCGGTGGGCAAATTCTTGAACTTTGGCCTTGTAAAGATCCGAAACTGTCTTGCTACAATTGGTGAGCTTAAGTACTGCCTTTGGGGCACCTTTTGTGCAGGTATAGCGTGTTCCATCGCAGGTTGCAATAGTCACAATACGTTTGGAAACAGGGTCAAATGGCGTGAATTTCTCCGTTTGCCAGCCGCGACGTAAGATCTCTCGTGCTCCGGGGTACTGCCGGAGGGAGAGGATGGTGACTTTATCAATGGGATCAAGCGATTCGATATTGTGCGAGGATGCGAGCACAGCGACAGCAAACATCCAATCGACATCGACACCTTCGGCCACGTAAGGGTCTCGAATACTCAGCTTATTGGCTGTCAATGTTCCAGTTTTATCGGAGCAGAGAATATCCACACCCTGTATAATATGTTAGTATCCACAGTAAAACCAAATAAAGGAAGGAGTTTCATACGGCCAGAGACTCGATCGCAGTTAGTTTCTGCACAATTGCCTTTTTCTTTGCCAGGTACGCAGCTCCGACAGCCATGGTTGTAGTGGTCACCACCGGAAGACCAACGGGCACGCCGATAATCAGCAAAGATAAAGTGAAGTGAAGCAATGTTTGTTGTCCGGGTGAAGCAATAGGGATATGACGGAAGAAACCGCCAATCCACGCAGCAAGGATCCAAGCCATAACTAGAATAAGTAAAGACGTTCCAATGTTATCCATGACGACTTCGAAATGGCCTGCACCCTTTGCAGAGGCTACCATAGTCGCAGTACGTCCGACGAAAGAAGTTTTAGCGCCAGTCTGAACAACGGCATAAGACTTCCCACGCTTGCAACCTGTCGTATAGAAGATCACATCGCCCATGTAGCGGTCCACGGCGAGAGACTCCCCGGTGATTGCGGAGTGGTCACAGGCTAAGATAGGATAACCACGACGGCGTGATTTCTGCTTCTCGTGGTGCTCCTCCTCGACATCATCATTTTGCCCGTCTGCAGCCTCTTTTCCTTGTCCTTCTTCATTCTTTTTCTCCTCTTCGTCATCGGATTCGGACCCGCCACCGAGCATGCCTTGCTCTTGCAACTGGTTGAATTCTTCCCAGCCGTGGGGGTCTTTGAAGTCGCAAATAACTTTGGCATCCGCAGGGACTACTTGACCTTCACCAACGATGATCTAAACATGGTCTGTTAGCTGCAATATCCAAGTATAAATGAATAATGGGTAGGGGTATCGACGTACAACATCACCCGGGACTAAATCTCGGGCGAGTATCTCTTGCTGGTTATTGTCTCGAATAACAATAGCTCGCATGGCAATGTCTCCTTTAAGACTTGCGACAACATCGGCAGCTTGTTTTTCTTGATACCAACCGACAGCAGCGTTGAGACAAAGAATGCCAATGATGACACCGAAGTCGACCCAGTCTTCCAAACCTGCAGCCAACAAAACAGCCAGCTCCATGACTTCAAAATCAGTTAGCATGAGCCATCTTTATGATATGAAGAGAGACTCACCATAGAGGATAGGACCACGAAAGTAAGACAGAACCTTAGCGATCGGGTTCTCCTTCTCAGAGACCAATTCATTCCAACCGGAACGGCGACGACGATGATTCACATCTTCGGTAGACAATCCCTCTCGAATATCGGTAATGAGCCAGTCATCAGGGTATTTCCCGGCTTCATCCTCAATATTTCTAATGCGGACCCTGCGCTTTTTCCATGGCGCATACCAGATTCGCTTCTCTTCGACCTCGCCGTCGTCTTCCTGATCTGCACCAGCAGTTTGAAAAGTAGAGACGTATTTGACGAGTTTTCCGTATTCATCTAGCTGAGACCAGTCTTCTTTCAGAGATGCTCTGGAGATGCGAGAGCCACGACGACCGTCAGCTCTCTCAGTATCGCTCTGGGCCTGGGTCTGGCTTGCCATATTGGTAATTTAAAACAGCAAGAAAGCGGATGAAAGATGGAATGCTGCTAAGTAAGGTGGGGAAAAGAGAAAGAAATAAAGTGCAGTGCAGTGCAAGACTGGGAGGGGTGAAGCAAGAGACACGCTGCAGGTGAGGGTGAGAGTAAAAGTTGAAGACAAACGGTACAAAAGAAAGAGGAAGAGCAGTGCTGCCTATCTTCCCTCACACCAACAACTGAAAAGCACAACACAAACAAATCTACTGAGCAAAGAATTAGTTCCTTTCTTTTACTTCGAAGCTTATAGAGTAGAGCAGTTTTTTTAGCCAAAACCAGCTACGAGAAATTTCCTTTCCAGTTTCCCTACACACTGTCAATCATGCTGACGTCGATACTAGGAACGCGACAAGCACAGAAAGAGTAATTTGACCCCTCACCACATGCACTCAGTACCTGAACAACAATAAACGAGAGGTACCGGTGGCCGATTATTCGAATATTCGACGAATGCTTGACGGATCTTGACGTATGAGACATTGGTTAGAGCTATCCGAACAAACGTTCTTAGCGGCGGCCCGTTACTTATAACCTTGGGCAGACAGTGCGACCGACCAGTACGAAGCCATGCTGGTATATTTCCCATGGTTAAGCGTGAATGTTCCATCGGCAAGGCCCCGTGGAACAATGGTATAAGCTTTTTAACCTGTGGATGGAGCACCTACAAAACAACGAAGTTGTACACCGTTACAGACACTGTGGAGATGGGAGATCGCCCTTTAGCGTACCCGGTCTCTTCCGCGCCATTGGCTGCACTCGGGACTTCCGGGACTGTTTAATCCCCATAATACAACAAACTGGATTCAAGCGATTTTCTGGGTATTTTTTGTTAATTTCAACCTGGAGGCTTATGTAGGTCCGATCCTAATCAGGCCAATACATTCAGTCCCTAACGTCGTGGACACCGCTGATACCCGACGACAAAGCCTGGAAAGGCCAAAGGTTTATTGTTTATAGCGCGCTAGAGTTTGCAGGCTCTGAATAATAATTTAAATGTTCCACATTTTCCAGCTATCTTTGAGAGTATATATCATTGAAAATAAATATTATTCCATCTATGCACCACCATGCCCATCTCCAATAATCATGATGTATAGTGCCTCGAACTTCGCATGCTTATTTGGCCCTAATCTCCCTAAGATAAACACCCATATGAATGTGGATATAGATACAAAGGTAATTCTTCTCACAATATAAGCACCTTTAACCCAGGATCGATTGAAATCGCACCTTCGAATTTGAATGTCGTGCAACAACCGTGTTCAAATGTTCAAGGCCTCAACATCTACCTATAACAGCTACATAACCCGGCAAAATAAGCCTAAAAATTACCCGGCTTCTAAGTCCGCAGCCTTTGACTACTACAAGAAGGGAAATTGAGACCAGGGATAGTTATGCTACGGTGCCTTAGCTTGTTCGCGGGTATCCCAGGGTTCTCGATGAACAACCCTTGGCTCAGCCAACTTAGCAGATTCTGTTTTCCTTCTGAGATTTTTGGAGAAAGAAAAACAGAATGAAATTGTAAAAACTGTGGTTTTAAGTATCTCAGAATTTCAGACGAGCCGATCCATTAGTACGTAAATATTGTCAACTTGAAGTGCGTTTCTATACTTTGACAGAACTACAATATATATTCCTCTAACTATCCTTTGCCCCGGTGATACATAGCAGCCTACTCACGTGAGAAAGGTGGACTTCAGGGCATTGACCCGACGGGAACAATCAGAAGGTATTATGCATTCTATCTATTAACATTGAAATCTTCAAACTGTTCGAAGGTCATTGCATAAAGTGAGGTGGGATGAGTGAGAAAAGTTGATGGGGCTATAGACCCATGCTTAGCTACAGTATGACCGCCGATCGACGGATGCACATTTATCCGAGGCCGATGTCCCGACAGAAAACAATTAACCAACAGTTGAAGCTTAACCTTGAGATATCGAGGACACTTACCAATTTCCAGCCATGTCCTCCTTCGGTGCTGTGCGGCCCATCGGGGCACGCGGCATTTTATCTTCATGTCACCTACCGCTACGTGAAAAGTCCATTGCGCCGGCTTTTCAAAGTCTACAACAGGTCCGAGGAATGAAGAACCAGAAGAACAAGTCCAAGGGCAAGGCCGAAACCAAGTCAAGCAAACGAGGACCTCTAGAGTTCACACAGAGGAACCTGAAGGATATGGAACAATTCGCCCTGTGTGATGCTATGCGGTATGTCCTATGCGAAAAAATACTTGAGACCCAAGTCATTTGGATGTTCCCCCGTTCGGCTTTCGCTAACAATCTCTTCTTAATAGCTATCTCCGGGCCTTTGAGATCGGTCGTGAGCGTACAGCCTCTAAATACGAAGTCGCCATCCGTATGCGAACAAGGAGAGATGGTCCCGTCATCCGAAACATGATCCGATTCCCCCACGCCGTCCAGACCGAATCCCGCATCTGTGTCATCTGTCCGCCCGGATCGAAGCATGCAAAGGATGCTCTTGCTGCTGGTGCAGTGCTTGTTGGAGAGACTGAAGTTTTCGATGCTGTCAAGGCTGGCAAGATTGAATTTGACCGATGTTTGGCTCACCCCGAGAGTGTGCCGGCATTGAACAAGGCCGGACTGGGACGAATCCTTGGTCCCCGTGGTTTGATGCCTAGCGTGAAGGCCGGTACAGTTATTGAAGATGTTGCCTCCCGTGTGGAAATGCTTCGCGGTGGTACGATATACCGTGAGCGTGATGCTGTCATTCGTCTCCCGATCGGTCAATTGGGATTCTCGCCCGAGCAGTTGCGGGACAACCTGCGCACAACAATTGAGAACATCAAGAAGGAGTGTGCTGGACTCAACGATCGTATCAACAAAGAAATCCATGAAGTGGTATGTGAACCGGTCTTATTCCTCCCAGGTTCTCTCTCTAACATTCATGATTACAGGTCTTGAGCTCTACCAACGGCCCCGGCTTTAGCCTGAACGGAGAGTTCAAAACTGACGACTCCCCCGAAACCTCTGCCTTGACTGGCGTGTAAAATACCTCTTGTTTCATGTTCATTTGGCGTGTACAAATTATTATTTTGTTTTATTAGGATTGGAAATGGTGTATCAATGTATCACTTCTGTCGAATAGAAAGACTTGTAAACCTGAGCCTGAACGCCGACGCTGTGTAACCCATCTAATATCTTGCCATTGTAGTGATGGCAGCGAATCTATCTATATTTTGAGATTCTTCAACGCGGCCACTGGGCTGGCATCCTCACCCATTAGGTCGTAGAGGCGCAACACAGCCATAGTTCTTGCATCCCGCTTTTTACCAACATGCTTGGCCTGCTCAAGCGCTGTCCTCAAATCTAGAAGTACAATTGACTTGATTTTTGACACACGTGGCTGTTGAGCAAGTAAGAATGGATGTTCCTTGCCCACTGTCGGAGCGATCGAGTTTAAGAACACATATTTCTGTACATGTCGCTCCAGTCGCTTTAGTGACACGGGTGCTGTTCCATCTTCCAGCTCTTCATCGTCGCTCTCGTCGCTGCCATTCCCATATAAATCAGACTCGGCGTCTGATTCGTCATCAGCATGCTTATCGGAGCCTGACTTGTCTTCAATCATCAAACGGTGTTCTAACTCTTCGACTCGGTCCGCATAATCCAATAGGTTCTTGCCAATATCCGCATTGGACCGAAGTTGTCGTTTCTCGTTTAATAACCCCTCGACCTCCCTGCGCCGTTCTTCAACTTTGTCACGAATCGATTGTACATCTCGTCGGAAAGATAATAAGCCCACTTTTACACCTTCGACCTTCTCCTCGCCGCCGCGCAGTACAGTCCCCAAAGAAAGAAAGTCTTGGTAGTTTTCATTGACTAGATCTAACAGCTCTTTGTTGAGTAGCTGCTCTAATGATCGCAGTTCTTGTCTTAGATCTTCAAGCCTCTGATGACGGTTTGTCAAGGATGAAAGGAAGGTAGCCGGATCGAAGTCAGGGGCGAGGAATGACAGTCGAGATAATGGTTCGGGGAAGGGAAGGTCAGTTGAATCCGCATCGAAGTCCGAACCCGAGTCATCGGGGTCACCAAACTAGAGATAAACGGTCAACTAAGGAATAGATCCATTCGGGGTTCAAATACACCAACCTTGAACCGATTCATGGTGTGGCAGATCTCAGAGAGGGTTGGTACCCGACGTAGCTGTTGAGTGGTGGACGCTCAAGAGCCAACCGTGTCACAGGTCTTGGCATCTGTTTGGCCGCAACTTCCTCTTGTCATGCTAAATCACTTTCAACCCTTTTCTTTTTCTACAACTTCGAATTCGAGGATGAAATCTTTTGAGTCACTACACGCTCAGATATTGCCAGCGCATCCAAACTGTATGCACCGTGCATGCGCCTTAGATGCACCTCTCCTCGTGAGTGCATTGTAGACGTGTACTTCCCCCACCCTACAGAACATACCCCGAGCGGGGTTTCCCTCGGCCTGCTTGTCTTGCATTGGAAGCGTGTCTTGGATATATCCGCATTGGCGCAATATGGATTCAGACACGTTACCTATCCGTTGGGACGGTACTAGACTATCGTCATCTCCTTTTGCACGACATGGATGGCCCCGATTATCTCCGTCATATGCACCACCAACAAGTGATGCAGGCCCCTCACGCCACGCATCCTGGCGAAACAACGAATCTGCAACAAACGAGTCAGATCTAACATCTCGATCAACGTCCCTGCATCAGACTAACGGAGATTCACGGCGTTTGCCCCGAAGAGATCGGCCCATTAACCCTGCTGCCTCTAGACAGTCGGACGCTGTACCAACACAGCCTGTCCTTGTCAGAGCGTACTCCGGCAATGCAGAGGGCTCGTCCACAAAATCTTCAAATATGCCTCCCCGCCGACTGTTTCCATTCAGTAACTTGAAAAGCTCGGCTCCCTCGCGTCCATCGGGACCACCGCTTCCCTCAGACAAGGACTTCAGTATCGAAAGTATACTACAAGCTATCGAGCCTGATATTCGTGGAACCTTAGACTCGATCGCTGACATTTGTGGTCGGAGCAAGTTCAGTCTTGCGAATGAATACGGCAGCCACATCGCTCCTCTCGGTGAGATACGAGCACCACCAGGTGGCCTTGTGCCCGTCGAAGAAGCGACCTCGAGTGACGAACGACCCGACGATGACGTGGTGATCTTTGACGAAGACCCCAATATCATGGAAGCCGGTCATGATATGCACACTTTCTCATTCTACCGATATCTTGAAAACCTCCGCAGAGCCGCGTCAGCTTTGGAACGAAATACTGGCCCCAGCATACCTGGAACGGCACAACCAGCTTCTGCGCACCCTGTGACAGCAAACAATACCCCTATTAATGTACCTGAAATGAACATAGGGAACTTGCCAAACACTCGAGAGTTTGTTTCAAGACCGAAGCACTCGGGCAGAGACCTACTAGCGAAGGCCACTTCTGGCTCTGGTGAAAATGAGTCTCTAGCGCAAAATGTGTCGACACCTGCTGTGGTTTCTGAGGTCCATTTGGATGCTCAGGCCAATGAAATCCATCCTCCACGCAACGTTAAAGCTCCCGCTATGAATTCCTCTGCCCCTACCCTGCCAAACCAATCTACCTGGCAGGCACCAGACGTCATTCGGTCGCTTCTTAGTTGGCTAAAATGGAGTTCACGAATAGCTGGGCCAGAAAACCAGCATGATTTACAGTCGGCCGAGAGTCGTCTACGAGCAATGCTGCAACAGTCTGCGGGAGATGGCACACTTTCTCCAACGATTTAGTTAATCGCCTTTCCGGATGGACACGACACCCCTCTCAATAATGACTCACGACCAGTAATTATGATTATTATGTTAACGACTGCAACGCCTATTAACGATTACACGATTGCCCTACGTTTCCGTGTTTATTCTTACTATACACAAGTTCCTATAACCCAGTTATCCATTCAATGAACGCTTTTTGCTGGCTTTGTATTCGCCTTCCGAGTTGTCATTTATAAAACCAGAGTAGCAAAAGCTATAAAAAACGCCGACATTAATGCAATGCAACAGAAAATCCAACATCGCTCGAAGCCAATGACAGATGATCCTTTCCAATCACTCAAGAGATGGGGAGGCCCTCTCAAGATGCCGCAGTCTGCTGTACATGGCCAATGATAGTCTTCGCGAATCCCTCAAACCGGGAATACGACCATCCCTCTGGATACTTCTCAACGAGGGGCCTATCATCAGGCTCAGCAGGCTGAACCTCCTCTTGCTTCGCTACACCGTCGCCCTCCCCCTCTTCCTCGTCCTCATCATCACTAAAAGGTTCCATCTTCCCTTCAACCAACTCCCCAAACTTCACGTCAACAGGAACCTTCCCTAAAAAGGGAATCCCAAGCTGCTGTGCCATGACCTCTCCACCACCACTCGAGAACAAATTACTCACTTCCCCGCAGCATGGACAAGCATACCCAGACATATTCTCAATGACACCAAGAACAGGAATACTCGTTTTGACGCAAAAGTTTGCTTCTTTGCGCACATCCGACGTCGCAACAGCTTGCGGCGTAGTAACAAGCACTGCACCCGTCAAACGGGGGAGATTATTCTGCGCCGCAAGCGCCGCATCCGTCGTCGAGAGCGTAAGTAATTGCTCTGCTAATGCGATATGTTCATCACTCGTCCCGGGTGGTGTATCAATAAGCAAGTAATCTGTCTGACCCCACGAGACATCCGAAAGGAACTGGCGGATCATCGCTGTCTTCTTCGGCCCGCGCCAGATTACAGCGTCACCGCGGTCACGAAGGAGAAAGCCTAGAGACATGCAGTGAAGTGCACCACGGGGCGATGGCGAAGATGTAGCATTGTGTACCGGGACAGGTAGCCAGCCTGAAGGAGATTGTGTAATTTTTGCATCTTCGAGACCGACTAAGCGGGGGATTGAGGGGCCTGTAAGGTCGATGTCCAGGATACCGACGGATTTGCCTTGGAGGGAGAGCGCAAGGGCTAGTTGGAGGGTTACGGAGGATTTACCGACGCCACCCTTGCCGGATAGGACCTGCGATCGGGCTATGTTAGTTATTTATCTTATGAGACATCGTGGCTTTCGTGTTTGGCGTGGTGCATATTGCGCCGGTGTTATCGATAAGGTTTTGCGATGAGGGGCAAGATTTGGTTTTGGAGGGGATGGGCTTTTGGTGTTTCCTCAGATAAGGTTGGTAATTTGTTTTGTACTCACCAGCACTATATTCTTGACACCGTCAAGAGGCATTTTTGGTATAATGGTAGGTGAAATAGAGGCAACAGTGACTTCAAGAAGAATGAACAAATGGTGTGGAGGTCCGATGGTCGGATGCTTATCAATCTGGCTCTGACTAAAACAAGAGCCGTGGGTGGACGGTTCTAGCTCCTAGTTAGACTTGACTGTTATACTCTAAAGCTACGAGTCGCTAGGTCTTTTGAGTATGAATTTTAATTTTGTCAATAAAATTTATTTTTTGTTATGATCCAGAGATTCATCACTGGGCTTCGTAGAGATCGCTAATGATGTCGAAGTTGTAAATCAACAATCTAGCATTAATCACCGTAGAAATCTACTTCCCCACCAACCTTCCTTTTGGAGATCAACCCAACCGAGCGAGAAAAGAAAGATTAATGTTATCAAGATGACTATTTCCACTTCTGGACGACAACACCACCACGCTTAAAGTCAGGGAGATCACCAAGAGCAACCTCCCAATCATTCAGCTCAGTGTTTGGGAACGTAGTCATTAAAACCCATTCGCGGTTGGGGCCATCCGGAGTGTGGGATCCGACGAATGCGTAGACCTCACCAATAGTTGAAGTGGTGTTGAAGCGAGAGGTCATGCGGGTGCCATCTCCAAGTCGAATCTGAAGAGTAACGGTTGGTTGCGACTCATCCACCTCAGGTTTTGATTGCGAGCTGGAAGCGGAAGAGGCTTGAGGATCGGCGGGTGTAGGAGTGGATGCTTGACTCTGGAGGCCGGGACTCGGGCTGCCCAGACGTTGACCAGAGCCGGAGAACGGCTTGTACTTCGATTTTGGTTTCGTGTATTTCTCTTCATGTTGCTTAAGCTCTACATCGACTTCCTGGCCTGCTTGAACGTTCATGATGCCAAGCGGGGCACGTCCCTGTCGAATACCTTCCAGGATCTCCGCATTGCGGGGGTCATCCGATCTGTAAAGCTCGCCATCATCAACTGAGAATCCATCAGCCCAGAAGTGAAGTGTTCGTTGAACACGCTGAGCACGGACTGGGGCAGGGCCAGAGGGATCTTCGATTACTCGGCTTGGGGCGTCGTCACCACCGAGTGTACGGGCAGAGCCTGTGAAGTGAGAGGGCCGAGATTCAGATTCATCAGAGGGAGGGGGCTGCGCTCTATTCAGTTCGTTGTCAGCACTTGAGTCGTGCGGGGAACATGCGCCAGAAGAAGACCAGGGTAAGGTCTAGGCCATTTTCCAGGCTTACCTTCGAGCCTTCTCCAGGATCTTCTTTTTCAAGTCATCGGGGTTTTGTACAGCTAAACCAGACTTCTCACCTCCGGCAAAAAAGTCCTGGTCAACTGAGCCACCCTCATCAGAAGAATCGCCCCCACTTGTTGATGCAAAGTCGCCCAATGTAGCAAATTTCTTCTTGGGCGCTGAGCGCTTCGCTGCCGGCGTGGGGCCAGCAGAAGAGGATGAAGCACCTTCACCCCCCAAAGATCGGCCTCCGCCAGATGTTCCTTCAGCCCCCAATCGCTGCCCACCAGCTGGGTTCGTGTCTGATAGGGCTTCGTCTTGCTCCGCAAAAAAGTCAGCGACGGCAGCTTCGATGTCTCCGTGGTTGTTATTAAGGTATTCTATCGCCTGTGAATAAGGAGTGAAAAGAGTTAGAGGTCATGGCGGTTCAAGTAGTTTAAAATCAATATGCGATGCTTACATCTGATGCCTGGACACCAGTCATGGCACAGAACTGAGCCACGATTTCATCGTGCTCTGCGGGGTAATGGTCCATATTGGAGCTGGTTGCACGGTTTGAAACAGGGATCGATGCGCTATCGAATGATTGAGATGCTTTGCGAGATCAAAAGGGGTGTTTTGGCCAGTTAGGATTTATGAAGACCCGTGTTATCAAAAGAAACAGGCAAGCTAAGTTGGAGTCTGCAGCCAACAGCCGGAGACAGGTACGTCACTGCAATTGGTCAGCCGGATCGGAGGATCTTCCGTCCTTTCTACACCTTAGGCATAAAAGATCTATACAAACAGCCTGATATAGAATGAAGTGGGCCATAAACCACCGTGATATACGCATAGTCAAAACTGAAGATAGTCTATGTTGGGAAATGAAAATTTAGAAGCTCACGTGTCTAGTAGAATCATAAGATATGTTAAATATCTATGCATGGTGAGCTTCTTCACTCATTTTTATCGTCGATCGAGCTAATCACGCTGACATAATACATACCACCGCGACATCAGTGCATCCCGTGCCAAACTGTCGATTGATCTTGAAATACACCCCCTCGATTGATGTTTACTCAACACTTTCCTTGTTATTTTCTCTCTAATTCCCTTGAATCGAAATAACATAAATCCGACATGGCTTCCGAAAACACAGACTCGCGAGGCGACCTCTATGACTCCGCCATGACCGTTCCCTCCGACTCGGAAAACTACTCGGCCAACAATGAGATGTCCTCCTCTACCTCCAGCTCCCCTATGATCCTTTACAAGCCCCCGACTGTTTGGGGTATCCTCCGTGGTGCCGCAATCAACCTTTTCCTTCCATTCGTCAACGGTCTCATGCTTGGGTTCGGCGAACTCTTTGCCCATGAGGCCGCCTTCCGTCTAGGCTGGTCAAACACAAAGGTACATCCTGCGAAAATGTCCTTGTTACTCTGCGAACGACAATGCTTACCGTTTCATTTCCTTTAGATCTTCCCAATGTACCGTCGATCCCATCCCGTGGGGCCTGGAATCGAGATTCGAGAAGACCGCAGGCGGACCACTGCTGGTGGCTTGAGGGATACCACTTCTCTTGAGTGAACGCCCTTGACTTCGTTTTTCAAAGCAACCTCGTTGGAAACGGATTCCCAATCAAAAAGTGAAAGAGCTACATTCTGTTATTTGTTGGGTAAAAACCAGGACATGTTTGATGGGATTTAATATGTGCATTTAGGCTAGGCCTAGATGTAGCGCTTGTACATAGAATATTGTTTAGCGGAGTTTGGCGAACTAGGGCATGCATTTTCCTGCTCTTCTCTTAGATTCCCGAATTAGCTATACCATTTATACCACTTATCAATGATCATACAATCTTATACCACTTACTATCCCCACCCAATATGCTCCAAGCCGAGAGTCGGGTGTTTATTCACCGCTCTCCGCCCGGCAAAAAAAAGTCTCCCGAAGACACCGCAGGGAGTTCGGCTTCACCTATCGTCAATCATTGTCTCGACTCATTTTCCGCCACGATGATGAGTGCTAATGGTCTGAAAGGGGCCAGTGCAGCCGCTGCTTTTGCTCGGCAGCGGCTTGCCCCTTTTCCCGGGTCTTCTCGATCGGTTCGTTACCACTACAACGCTTTGTCGTCGCATCGGAGACTGACTGATCTTTACAGCTCTCTACACTACGCGCTCAACGCGTGCGCATTCCCAATTCGAGGGGTCAATTACCTTCAGGGCTTTCCAATAATGTGACCCGATGGGCAATGCCTGCCGTCGCTGGCGCTGGAGCCATTCGTTTCAACTCTACTACTCCCAGCCCCGAGCCAACTCCGGAGACCGCAGCCGGCGAATTAGCAGACATCGACCTGTCTACCGTCGATATTTCCAAGATCCCCGAACATATTGGTTATTTGAAGGAACTTGGCTTGACCTTTGGCTGGGGTACCTCGACCATGATGGAGTGGACCCTGGAGCACATTCACATGTGGAGTGGCTTGCCCTGGTGGGCCAGTATTGTCTCTTTGGGTCTTCTTGTTCGATTGGCGCTACTTAAGCCATCGATTGATGCGTCTCACCAAGCCGCTCTCAATCACAACATCAAGCCTTTGACCGGTCCTCTTAGAAGTCAGATGCTTCAGGCTTCAAAGGACAGCAACCATATGGAAGTCGCGCGGACAAGAGCTCAACTCCAGGAAATCCACAAACAGCACGGAGTTTCTATGTGGAAGTCCTTTCTGCCAATGATTCAGGTACCATTAGGTTTCGGAATGTTCCGAGTTATCCGTGGCATGACCAGTCTGCCTGTCCCAGCTTTATTAACCGAGAAGACTCTCTGGCTATCGGACCTGACCTTAGCGGACCCTTACTACCTTCTCCCTGCTATCAGTGCATTCTCCATGTACTTGACTTTTAAGGTTTGTAGTCTTTCCAATCCCGTTTCACAGTCAATTTCGTTAACTAACAACCCCGGGAACAGAAAGGAGGAGAGGCCGGCATGACAGATCTATTTAACACCTCAGCGGGCAAGAGTTTGCTAATTGGACTGCCGTCAATTTCCTTCGTTTTCATGAGCTGGATGCCAGCCGCTCTTCAACTTTACTTCGTAGCCACTGGTGCCTGGGCTGTTGGTCAGTCTCATATCCTCAACAACAACAGCTTCCGCCGACTTATGAAGATGGAAATTGCGCAAAAGTCTATCAATACTACGGAGTATGAGGACAGCTTGAAGCAATTGACAAAGCGCCTGCAAGAGGATCGCCAACAACGACTTCACGAAACTACGGAACAATTCAAATCTCAGGTTGATCCTAAAACTCACAGCTTCATTGACCGATTGATCAAGGGTGGCAAGGACCATTTCAAGAAAGTGAAGTCTGAAGCCAGCGATAAGTTGAAAGAGGTCTCTGGCAGCGGTGCGGCTACTAATGCTGATGGCTCGCCGGCAGCGAAGCCTCGTCTTACTGATGCCCAACGTAAGGCAGCATTGAAGGATGAGGAGCAGCAAATGGCCTGGAACAAGGAAGAGCGCGAGCGCCGCAATGAGGAGCGCCGCTTAGCTTTCAAACAAGCTATGAGCAGGGACAGGAACCGGGCGAAGCGCTCATACGATAAGAAACAGTGAGCTTCGGGACGGTGGCGTTGCATAGACGTGTACAAACTGTAAACTATGGCGTTTCACTTCGCATTTGTATTCTGATATACTTCATTTAGGTTTAGACACAAATTTTGGATCATCTTGTTCAATTATCAGTATATTAACTCCATATTCAAGTTGGCTAATTTAAAAAATAATCAATTTCCAAGGTTCCTGGCACCGTCGTAAGTGTTTTATTAATTCTAAGCAGTTCATTATTCTCTATTATTTTATACATATTGATGATGGATCATCTCAACTCAGCTCACTGCCGGCAACCTGTGATAAGAACAGACCAATCACTATCTAAATCATCATTGAAATAGGCTCAAACAGTCTGCATAGGAATAGAAGTAGCAGGTAAAGGCAAAGACTCCTTCTCGACCTGCACAAAAACCGCCTTCTCAAGTCTAGCAGTCATCCTCGCGCAAAAAGGATCCACATATGATGTCCAAGCCGCTGCAAAAAGATAGACAAGCGCAATCCACACCGGAATACTAATACCAACAACTGCCGGTGATCTCAAGGGCAACCAATCGTCCCTCTCATCGTCTGTTCCTGCCTCCCCGCCATTCCATGGTTGTCCACTAATCCCGTATAGCATCCAACAGAGTACAACGCGCAGCATTGTACCGTGAATTAGGTATACAGCGAAGCTCTGCTTACCCAGCCATAGTAGTAGGCGGTTAGCTAGGAACTCTTTTGTCGAAGGGGAGAGATATATAGCTAAGATTATCATATCAATTGCCAGGGCTGTATAGCGTTTGCCAATGTCCACGTCTGGGGGGAAGATGTATTTTGCGCTTTCGAACATCATGTTCGACCATGTTGCCCACTCCGGGTGTTCGCCTGGGTATGAGGCTATTAGCAGCCCTGCTATTGCTAGCGGAATGGTTATGGCTTTGCGAAGATAGTAATGCTTTTCGACCCAATTTTTGAAAGTCATGCTATATGATAAATCGCTGAGTAGCATGCCGTATACTGCTTGTGTTTGGAAGGTTTCTAGATGAAGGAGTTAGTTTCCTCCTTCCTAGCCCTATATCAGGTCTGAATCCGAAATATGTATACGCTCAACAGTCCAAACTTACCAGTATCTTTTGCCGCATCCTGGTGGAAATACAATAACATCCCAAGATAAATCAACATCCGAAACCGAAACCTCACAAACATAGTCGCAATGAGCAAAGTATAGACAAGCATCGATGCCAATAGCAGTGGTAGTAGTGCCCACTGATGGTCATCATACGCCATATACCCCGTCGTCCAAGTTGATAAAAAGTTCATTCCAAGTCTGCCAATCTCTTTCCAGAGCGAGTCCTCAAGTTCCGGCGCCGCATACCGACACCACCAGCAATCAGAACGATTAGCAACGATAAATCCTCCAAGCTGCGCCACGATCCATGAAATAAATAAGGCGATTGTAGCGGGGAAGATTAGACGCGGGGGTCTTCGGAACGCGCTTTTCGCAACTGTTGTGAACGCGCCTTGGATATCGCCTGCGCGTGACTGCTTGATAGGTTTCAGGGCGCAGACATAGCCGGTCAAGAAGGCGAATATTGTTACGCCGAGTCTGCCTTGCCAGGGAATGCGTAGGATGGGCCATTGGAGGAGACGGGGTGGCGTTTGTTCGTCGTCCCGGGGAGAGAAGAGGTCATAGTCCCATGCTCTGGCGAGGTGGGTGAGGACTACTAGAAATGATGCTATTCCGCGGAGGCCCTTGATATCTGATATTAGTGACTTGGTTTATATGTGTTATTTACGTATTCCGTCACCTACATCGATCCATTTGACGCTTTTCCGGGGGTCACCTTTTGTAGATGAGTTGGACAGTTGCCATTGTAGAGATTGGGGGATTTTACCCCGTAAACGAGTGTATAAATGATATGATTGAGAGAGTGACATGATATATTCGAAAGAAGGAAATAGATTGAACTGGGTGCATGTAGTATTTAGAGACTCAGGTTCAACAGAACACTAGGAGTAGACTGAGAATAGGGCATTGAGTCCCTTGCCAAAGACTGGAGCGCTGGATCAATATCCAGGAAGTATGTATCAAGAGAACAGAATAGGAAATCAACGAACGAAAGGAACTGAAGGGGGACCGACTGTCAAAGGGGGAAGTTGAGATTAAGAACATGCCATCGTGAAGGCGTCATGTTCTGAATTAGACTACCTCATTCACAAAATCAGGGCACAAACATATCCAGAATAAAATAGTGCCAAGAAAGAAGGGATGTCAAAGAAGCTATCTTTTCAGGAATTGGGTTGGACTAGGGGATATACACAGCGCATACCTTGGCAGGCGAAATTGCGACATCCATGCGTGTGTGCCTATCCACGGGCTACAATGAGTGGCTCAGAAATTCCCGGAGATACTTGGCAGTGGTGGCATACTTGAATACACATGGAAGGTATTCGGTATGTGAGATGCAGGAGGTGGCTGATAACACTTACCAATAGAATGATAAAACGATGGGGAGGGTTGCCCTTGCAGCAGGTAGGAAAACCTTGGAAGTATTCATACTCATTAGGCAATAGATCATCCAATGATCAGCCCTCGATTTTCTAGCTGCTTCGAAGATCTTTCAGAAATCGGTAATGATTATTTCTCCTCTCTTGCCAATGCATAGGGTAAATAAATATAGAAACCTTGGAACCCAATGTATGAAGAGGGGACGGGCGGAGCGCATCAACAGTTTGAATCCTCGCACAACCATCTATAATATCCTGGTCTTTTGACTAGGCTGATTGCACCACCCGGACAGTAAAATATCTAGCAGTCGCAAGTTTGTTGTAATCCTCAATCAAGGGTAAAGGGTCATATCTGTGCTGATTGTGCATTGCCGCAAGGGCTCCAGCAATGACCCCATCCAGCCTTTCCTGTTGAAAATACTCGTCTTCCTTTCTGAAAAATGGAGACGCAAATAGGTACTCGTATCTTATCAGTATCAACAGTCTCATATGCATGCATAGTCGACATTGTTGAGGCCTATCACGAAATAATCATGGTTGACCCAGGTATATGATCCTGGCCAAGCAACAACACATTTAGTAGATTGAGCGGTTTGCATGAATTCAGAATATCCCACGTTGAATGCGTATTAACAAACACATCGCATGGAATTTCCTGGGGCGATAAAGGTGTTGCGAGTATCGCTGAGGAAAGTTCGAAGGGTTGTAGAGTGCATGTCTGGGGAAAGCTCTATATGGTGTGTGCTAGCGGCATTTCGGCTAAACAGTGATATGGTGGCTTGAGTAGTCCTTGCCATCTATAAGACACCTCAACGTTTATGCTAGAGTATATAGTATCGCTTGAAGTCTCCCGTCTATTAGGTTAAGGAAGTATTTAACCGAATGAATGAAGGCAGGCTCTATATTGAGGCTGTCGATATCATAAGAGTACACTAACATTGATACAACCAAAAAGAACCCATTTGCCACCCATTTAACGCCATGGTATCGAAATTTTCTATGCCATAAATCATGAAGCAAATCCCAACAAGTATTATGCGAGGAGATTCCCGAGTTCCAGTCAGTGGGGAAGTAAGCAGTCTAGTCGACTGTATGAGATAGATAAGAATGAAGATCAAAATAAAAGAAACGGGAGCAAACGAGGTTTGAAAAAAGCAATGTCCTCCCCAAGAAAAAAAAGAAACGCCGACGCAATGAATATAAATGATGTCTTCTTGTCTCCCATCTTAGCGGAATAGTCTGCGTCCGCCAACACTGCCAGAGTTCCATGTAAATGCACCTTTCACGCCTAGATTATCCATACTAAGTCCAGAGAAACCGACACCGCCCCCTTCGCCGTCTCGCTTCGATCGTCGCAATGCTTCACGCAAGTGCGCTGGCATCAGCTGTCCGCGATGGGGGTTAGGTGGAGGGCGGAATTCCCGTCGCGGACGCCTAGGTACCGGACTGGGTGCCGCAGAACTGGAGTGACCAGGAATAGGAGATGATGTAGACTTGAAGTTGCTGATAGGATTAGGAGAAGGTTTTGATTGTGACGGGTCAGGAGATTCTTTCTTGATCCCATTGCTCATCGGAACAGGCGTTCCTGATGGTGTCGGCGTAGCTGGTTTCGACTGTGCAGCAGCATGGGCATGGGCTTCGGCTTTGATCTGTGCAGCTTTCTCGGCCGCGGCTTCTTCAGCATCAAAGGCAGTACGGGCAGCTAAGTCATGTGCATCTGCCCATTCAGCCTGAACTGTTCGCGCTTTTTCAATCATTTCACCCGCGAACACCTTAGTGAAACCATTGACAGTAGTCACCACGCTAGCTGGGACGGATTGCGAGAGCGCATGGTTGACGATACGACGCAGAGATTCTTTGCGCAGCTTCGCCCGCTTAAATAAATCATATCTTTCAGACTGAAGAGGATTGAATGCATCAACGAGGATCCTTTTGGAGAAAAGAAAGGTTAGTGATCATGAACATGGCAGCGTAGAATAAGGAGAAGTGGACATACGCAAGATTCTTCTTCTCAGCCTCCGTATCTGTAGCTCCTTCCTCCCGACCCAAAAGCTCTCCCTCGTCATCATCGTCGTCTTCGTCGTCCCCATCATCACCTCCTCTTCCACCGCCGCCTCCGCCGCCGCCGCCGCCGCCCCGTACAGAGCCCTCCGCATCCGCGGAGCCAAATCGACCCGCATCACCGGTCTTTGTACTCATAGCGTCATCACGGTCGCGCTCGCGCTCCTTATCAGCCTTGCTCTTCCGCCCGCGCTTCTTAGACCGCGCCGCAGAAAAAACGCCATCTGCGCTCGTTCCACCAAGACTCCCAGTATAACTACCCGTTACGCTGCCTGCATCGCTCGTTGGGCCGAAGCTGCGCTCCGAAGCATCGAGGTTTGCTGGGAATGAAGTCTGCCGGAGAGGGTGCATGCGCTGCTTTTTTCCGGTGGGTAGAGAGGCGGTCGAGGAGATGGAAGGGCGTTTGAGGGGGTTGGTTGGGGTTTGGTATGGTGGTGGTGACGACATTTTGGGAGAGCTTGATAGGGGATGCCTGAAAGGGTGTGTTGTTGGGAAGAATTCCAGGGTAATGATTATAATACGATTCCAGGCGATGAGGAATTATTCACAGATGATGCGCCTGGGAATTATCGTGTGGGGGTGAAGTGAAGTTAAGAAACTCGCACGCGATTGATCTCGAGTTAATTTGATCGGAGATGCAACTGCTAAGTCCATGGTGGTTGACCGCCTGCCTTTTTAGTAACATATAGTGAACGCCTAGAACCTCTCAAAGAACTGAGGATTTGTAGTCAACGCGAGATTAGTAAAGGGTATGATCAGGACTTTTTTGGCATTCTATAGATATATAGGAAATAAAGCTTAAGGTCTTTTCAAGTCTAGCCTGATAACTTGCGCGTCGACCTACATGAATATGAATTTTGTGCGATCATCTCGCCAGTCTGAACACGGAATGATATACTGGTCTTCCAGCCAGCAGTTGATGGTTCCCTAATAAATATTGGATGTCTGTCTAGAATCTAAAAAGACAATAAATATTGACGATATAAGAGCACCAATAACCGCATAGCTACTCAGTGGGAGCAGGATGTGACCATTGCCTCTTAAGAAATTAGACTCAGCTGGAAGTGAGGCGGGCACTTGAAGATGTAGAGGTCATAACTAAAATGAAAATAAAGCGGGGGAAAGGATTACGCAGGCAAAACTCAATTCGACTATGTGAAATGAAGGATAGAATGAGTAATCACAGAAATAATAAAAGCATCGCTGCACCATAGACACAGAAAGATACCGAGGCGCTTGAAGCATATGAATGCAACGCTGTGTACTATGAAATGTACTGCAAGCCAAAACGGAAAGAGACGTGACTAAAAGAAAAAGATGCAAAACGACAACGGCGAAATGAAAACGATAAAAAATAATAATAAAAGGCCGACTGTGCAACATCCCAACGCATACTTACGAGCGCAGTCAACGGGAAGTTACGGACGAGAGAAGGGTAGGCCAGCAATGCTAGACCTTAGAACTTCTCACCAATCCGGGGTGCCCCCCCTTTCCAGTCGTTGCGCTCGTAGTAGCGGAACACAAGGTCGTATCCATTCAGGTCGTGGACAATACGGTCCACGCGACGGTAGCCTTCAATATGCTCGTTCTTGGGATCGCGGCGCATAGCTTGACGCTGCGCATGCACTTCGTGGAAACCACTGGGATCGCCGTTGATCTCGTCAATGCTAGGCTTAGTTTCAAACAAAGTAATGCTGAAACGGCCAGGCTTGAAGATGTCAACAACTTGCCGAATGATGTCGGCAGTTGTCTTGCCATTCTGCGAGTGCGGTACATTGGTCTCGAAAGAGGCGTACGAGCAGTGAGGCTCCGGTGTCACATGCACGGTGAAATAGTGAGTCGGAGCCTTGCCGTCCGGAGCAGGTACGACACCATTGGCTGAGAAACCGCAGGGTGTGAACAAGTACGCATCAATACGCGCATCTGGGAACTTACTCTTGGGGTACACATCGGAGAGGCCGCAAGCGTCAGAGACAACGGTGCCAAGAGCATGACCTTCGGTGGTCAACTCAGGTGGCAAGACATGGTCACTAGGAACATCGGGGTCATCAAGGTTGGAGCCATTGCTGAAGACATCCACATGCTCGATGCCATCATCCTTGCCGGAGTTGTGGTACTTCTTCTCAGCATCGGCGGCAGCGTTGTCCAGATAGAATTGCTTGGCATTGTCCTCGTCCAAGTCAGTCATTAGGACCTCCAAAGTCTCATCGTACTCGTCACAGCTAGCAACTGGCGCATCCTTGGGAAAGCTGATAATCTTAGTCTCGGTTTCATTGAAGCTGATTTCTTCCGCAGGGCTGGCGGGCGGCGTAAGCATAGTATGAGGCTCAGTTAGGTACAAGTACCAATGCTCTCCATTCATTTTGCCAATCATGTAGGCGCTTCCATTAAGGAACAGCTTGTCCATATTGCGAACTTCATCACGCCAGCTGCGGTGGGGACCACGTTGGCGATCAGGGAACAAGTAGTTCTTGCGGCTATAGAAGACTCGATAGGGAGCGGCAGCGACTGTGATACCACGAGAAGGCGGGGCAGTCGCACGCGGAAAGCCTGCAAAAAGAGTGGCGATTTCCAAGATGCGAGGAAGGCCTGACAGAAGAGTCGTGGTTCCGCACGTTTTGAGAATTAACTTGTGGGGCCAGACAAACATGCTAGACTCAGAGAGGAGGTATGCATCCACATCATCGGAAGATACCACTGAAAGAACTTGACAATTGACAAGATCCAGCATATCCTTCCAAATCTCAGCCGGCACTTTCTTCAGGCCCTCCGGGCCTGCAGTACCGAGTTCATTGGCAGATGGGGCAAACCACACCTCTAACAGCTTCTCGGGGCCTTGAAAAACAAAGTTAGCATAATATTCCAAATAAATAATATATGATATTAAAACAACCACTGACCTTCAAAGGCATTTGAAGAGTCGAGATCCTGAGTGGCCTCATAATTGATGGTAAGTGAAGGCGTCCCGGCGAACGAGGACGGCGACTGGGTGTAATTCTGGGGAATGCCGACGTAAACCATCTCCGGAGAATTTATGCAGCCGAGGCTATTGAACTTTCGTGGAGAATATTGTTGAATGGACTGAGGTAAAGTTGTGACGTGAAACCGACCACGGGTATGGTTGAAGACAAAAAGGCTTTAGAAGCACTGTCTACTTACCCAGACGAACAGGGGGCAATGCCCGTCTGAGAAGAGAAGGCCCTTGGACAAAAAAGAACTGGACAGACCAGGCAGTGAGGGAACCCTTAGACTTAAAGGGCTGCTAAGGGGGCAGAAAGGCGAAGGAGAGGAAGAAGATGGTACAAGGAATATTGACTGTCAGTCCGGTACCCTCGCTGGAAGATACCGATACCGATCAAAGTATCGGGTCTAGCAGACGAGAGTATCTGCTTTAGGAAAGAGGTATTGAGAAAGAGTTGTTGTGGGTGTGAGTCGCGTTATCGCGGCCTGGTACAATATCACAAGTCAGCGAAAGGTTTCCGAGGGAAATGGACGGACAACGCAAATTGGGGAAAAAAGTTAAAAAAGAAAGCCAGCAAAAGTCAATGGTGCCGAACTCAATGAGACGTATTCAGACATCACTCAGATATCACTCAAAGAAGAAACACAACAAAAGGTTTATTGTTTCTGCCTTGTTTGCCATAACCAAAAACTTGAGGTCCGATTGGGCCGCCACGATTGAACCGAGAGAAGAGAGATAAAACATACTTAGCAGGCTTAGAGAGAAATCGCAGAAGATCCTTTGGGCTCATGAAAGGCAGACAAGGAAATTCAGCTTAAAATTGCACGATGTCGCGCGAGGCCACAATCATGAGCATGAGCAGAGGGGGGGGTTGAAAGTCGATCAAGACCAGTCAAACTTGGACAATGCCCGAGGAGTGCCCGAGATAAGAACAATAATGACTCAGTATCGAAATGGACCGAGTCTACTTCCAGTGTAAACACAAAGAAGTGTTATGGGGGTTGTTTTTTTTTCAGACCTCAAAGAGGAGGGGCAACAGTCTGGTGAAAATTATCAGTGTAAAAGAGGCGGTTTGGTTGGTAAATGCGCGATTTTGTCTGTGGGCCCGTGTTGCTGTGGGGCAGACGGAGCAAAATCTGTCTGACATCAGGGAACAAGTCCTATTAGTTTCTTGGTATTCAACAAGTCACCACGCCGCTGCATTGGGACCAACAAAAGATGGGGGGTAACACACCGACAGATTGGCAATTGTAGGATCGAGTAAGATCGTCGAGAACGACGTCTGAAAGGTGGGTTGCAGAAGAAAAACGCTGGAAGTAAAAAAAGAAAAAACAGTTAATCTGGGCACGAGGGCGGTAAGGCCCAGCAGAACCCTGATGTAACTAATCCAAATGCAGTAAGCGCCAAGGATTTTCGGGATCGACAGGGAAAGAAGGTACGCTACGGAGTATACTAGCCCCTCATCAAATACCCCATCTTATAAAGAAAGAAAGACGGCAGAATTTCTATCAAGAGCCCTGGAAAACAGGTGTATATGTATACATTATACATTAAATTAAATGCATTGATATACTAGAAAAAACTCGTACCTATTTTTAAATGTTAGTAATAAGAAGCTTGGAATATCAATTGCCGCCCTCCAGTCAGCGGGGGACTCGAGTTCGATTCCCGATCGATGCATATCTTTTTTTTCCCACTCTATCTTCTGGACTTCGGGTTAATTTTTCTTTTTACCCTCGATATGTTTTTTTATTAGTCAATAGGGAAAGCGATATTAAAAATAGGTGCTAAGCGGCTGCGGCCTCTTGAACACATATGGAAACCCCCTGGACAGCGAACTTACCAAAACTTCCAAGGTACATTACATCAACTTGAATTGATAGAATAGAACAAGAGATAGAGCCCAAGAAGATGGTATCGTTGAGAGAATCAATGAGAACTTCTAAGGTTGCAAACAAGGATGAAAACAAAATATATTCTACATTCATAGGTGATATGTGGTGCCAGTGGTTATGCGATCTGATCTCCAGGGCTCATGTCAAACTATGTTTACTAGTTTATAGTATGAAACCAAGTTAGTTGAAAGGGTGCATCGTCTTGTCAACTTGAAGATGGATACTTTTCTAGATCAAAACATCAGAAATTCAATATGTAATAGGTAGCCCTAGAGATTCAGATTATGATATTAAATAGCCCTGGTTTACTTCCAGTACATGACGGTATCTATTACAATAGCCGGAGAATTACACACGTAGTGGGAAGCCAGCCTAGTAACGGAGAAGGTGCTTAAAAACATTTATTTAGAGTGCTCACACCTTAACCAGGACCAAAGCTCCCCAGATTAGTGAAAGCTTCGTTATCTGTCATTGCGCTAGACATTTAAGGATCAAATCCCGCCCGTTTCCCCAGAAATATGCCTGTTTCATAACGCCATAAGAATCCAATCTTGACAATCCTGCTGTACATTTTGGACAAGAAAAAAAAAACAACAAAAGTAAGAATGCTAATGATCAAAACTATCATGCTTCCAAGATTAGGTGGGCCAATCGAATTTCAGTAGCCTCAGCAAGCTTGGTAGTGATCAGGCTACCGATCTTCTCATTCAATTGGGAACGGAGATCATCACTCATGAATGCAGGATCTCCATTGGTAAGCGATGTTTGACTGTCACGGAGAGAAGCCAGGACAGCAAGCAAAGCAGTAAGAACTCGCTCGGCTGCAGGTCTACGAGCAGAGTCTTCGAGACCTTCGCTAAGTAGATCGGAGTACAAGCGAAGGTTGCGGATCATAAGCACACGAACGGCATCGGCACCACCCACGGCCTGCATGCCAATCACTGCACCATAATGGGTGTTGAAAGGTTTGGTGGGATCTAGCCAGTTCTTCAGACATGAACGCACAAGACGGGGCTTGAGCATATGAGACGAGTGGGAGTATTTGTTCGAGATGAAACCAAGAAGTGTAGCAGCCAGGTCGCGAAGAGCGAATTGGTCAGTCACATCAGCTGCTCCACCAAGTTGGCGACCAATTAAACAAGTCAGAATAGCGGGGACTAAAGAAGCAATCTGCATGAAGTTAGTAAACCAAATGTCGCAAAAGTGAAGACAACTGAGTATACTTACGTATGGGTCAACGTAGAGGGACTGGTTCTGGACGAGCGCCTCGGCCATGCGCATCACCTGAGTCAAGACAAAAATATCGTTGAGGCAGTGCGTGACCTTTTCGGAAATGAATTGGACGAAATAAGGTACCAATTGGTGGAGACCTGGGTCATCGTGTAAACTGGAATAACCCGAGGTTCGGTAATCCTCACTCGTCTCATCCAAGAACGCACTGCAGACCTTCTCGAAATACAATGTCAACTCCTTGGATAGCACGTGCTTGACCAGAGGCTTCACTTCCACATCGCCTGTACCGCTCATTGCTGCTAATGTGGAGTTGGCATTGGGGCCCTTCGAGACTAATTCGAGGTTTCGAGAGTCTGCGGCGGTAGGATTTTGAGGGATCGACGGTTGGACGCCTTCAACAGCGAGCCAATGGGCTAGCGAAAAGGATTAAGTGAGATAATGGTCGATAAAATAAGGTTGTCGGTATTCTTACCTGTGAGGGATACTTCGCGAGGAACCTTTGGCAACGGGGCATTGATTAATTTCTCAAAATCCACCTCCTCATCGTCAAGGTAGAACAACGGTTGACCGGGGCCAAGTGATGCTTCTCCAAAGCGCAATGGTCGGAGGGACTCGTATCCATAGAGGGGCTCTAGGTCCAGGTTTCGGAGAGCCTGGGAGATATCTTGTGTGGTCAAAACAGTGCGCTTTCCATGGCGCATGCACTTGAGAGCTTCTTCCAGTACTTGCGCGACTCGATATTCCACATCGCGTGAAAGGTTCTCCGTTACGTCTGTACTTAGATTTATGAGGCCAAGCGATTCGGCGACATCGCGGATATTGTCTGGGTTCCAAACAGACGACATGTTGAAGGATTCACCGGCCAGGCGTATGCGGCTAGGTAATTCGTCGCTAGGCTTAGCGTGAGACTTCTCCGCGTCGAAATCAGGTCAGGGCGTCGATGGTGCCTGACGGGGTTGGATTAAAGGATGAAGCTCGGGGTACGGTAAAGCTCGGGTTTTGCGCGCGGTCAGGCCTGGTGATTCTCTTGCAGATGTCCCGTTGCACGTGAGGCGATATTTTCTCACAGATATCCCATTCCTTCAAATATCTCAGTACTCGAAGGGGATTGAATAGAAATTTGGTCGCGGTGAATGTGTCGCGAGCTAGAGGGGGCATTGGCAAGAAAGGAAGCTTGTCGATAAGGAAATGAATGGGTGCGCAAGTGGTGTCAATGCATCACCGTATAACATTGTAGATGAGATGAGAGACTAGCAAGTGCATCATAGTACGAAATTTGAACGATTATCATTCGATTAAGCCATTATTCTGAGATTACTTTCATTATTTACTTAAAATTTTGTTTAAATGACCATGCTTTTTGATTAGGAGCTAAATAAACATTTTGGTCAAAAAACAATGAGACATGAAATGGCTAAAACGAGAGGGCAGACTTCGGGTATCACAATAGACTAGGGGATCCAAATCAGCGCGCAGTTTACTTGGCTTCCTCGGCACTCTCAGTGGGCTTAGTCTCCTTCTTGGCTTCTTCTTTGACCTCCTCCTTGGGGGCCTCCTCCTGCTTGGCCTCTTCCTTTGCGGGCTCCTCCTTAGCAGGGGCATCAGTAGCAGCAGCAGCTTCAGTGACAGGCTCAGCAGTTTCGGCAGGCTTGTGATCCTTAGTCTCTGCCTTGGGCGCCTCATCCTCAACAAGGGGAACTGAACGCGCCTCATCCTTTAGCTCAGCGCCCTTTCCACCGTAGTTCTTGGGAATCTTCTCGGCAATCGCAGCGGGGAACTCGCGAGCGAGATTGGCTCCGTTCGAGATGGGGTGGAATTTGCGAGTGGTGTTGCGACTCAAGATAAGCTTCATCGCTGAAAACATCCAGCCCATGATAGAGGGGACGTTGACGAAGAACTTCTCGCGCAGCAGCTCAGGGTAGGCAGTGGAGAAAACATCAATGGTCTTCTTGGTGGCAGTGCGCACGACAGGATCCATGCGGAGGAACTTCACATTCATATAATCGTGCACCTGGATCATCATATAGGGATCCTTCTCGCCGTCGTAATCGATGACTGTGGTAGCATCCTTCAGCTTCAGGTCCTGGACAGCGAGTTCCATAAGGGCGGCACGCCACTTGACGAAGCTGTTGTATGTTAGCGCGTGTTCATTACGGGCATTCAAAAAGAGTCGTATAACTTACTCGTCAGAGTCCGAAAAGGTGGCGCTCAGATCTTTGACGGCACCGTAGATATTCCAAGTAAAGACGAGAGGACGACCATCCTGCTCGTAGGTTGTCAGGTATCCCAGACCACCGTACTTGCTGGTGCTGTACTTTCCAGAGTTGATAAGCTCCAGAGGGTTGGTAGCCTTGCGCCATTCCAAAGCTTTGCGAAGCTGCTCCTCCGCAGCAGAGAGGTTGCCCTCATTTGCGCGCAGGAACTTGATCAGCACATTGACAGTGGGGATATCCTCGCTATCCTTTAGAGTCACTCCCCACATTTCAGTGTGACCGGTCTTAGTGAGAATCTCGGGAAGGTGCTCGAAAAATTGGCCGAGGGAGGGAATGCTGGTCAAGTACGCGGGCTTCGTCTCCTCAGGCTGAGCTGGCTCAGGCTCGGTAGTAGTGGCCGCAACAGTCGCATCTTCGACAGGCTTCTCCTCGTTTTTGGCGGATTCAGCTGCGGGTTCAGCTGTAGCGGGCTCTTCGGTCTTGGGAGCCTCCTCTTTGACAGCTTCTTCCTTGGGACCTTCTTCGGTGTTATTGTTGTCTGTCGCCGAGGTAGCAGGAGCTTCAGTGGGCTTATCAGTAGCCACAACTGCCTCGCCAATCCGGGCAGGCTCGGGGGTCTGTTCAACAGGCTTGTGGTCTGACATGATGAATTGTCACTGTGATGGGATCAAAGAGGGAAGGATGGAGAAGAGAAAAGTCCAAAATAACTTTCAGGGGGTAAAAAAAAAGAAGCGGCAGGGGCTTAGCTCTCTTGTCAATAAAAGTCGGGACCACTTATCAATCGTTGGCCCACTTCTTGTCCCCACCTGTCATCCGGCCCTGCACGACATGAGATATAAGCAGGCAGTTATATGTATAAGTAAAATCTGGAATTGATAAACATGGTTAAACATTGACTACTCATATAAAATATAGTAACTAATGACAGCTAAAATGATGGTATATACCTATACTGGTTCATAATTAGGTTCATTTGGCTTCGGAAAAGACATCGAAGTGATCGGCAGGGACCCGATCCTAACCGTGGAAAGTCTAGACCTTGCAATCCCGGCAGGTAAACATGATGCATCAACTGGCTTTGCTTTTTGTTTTTATCCGGCGTGCAGATCAAAATCATTAATAGTATCCATTCATTTGCACGAGCTAGAATGATAAGTCAATATCAATGCTCGAAAGCTAATTATCAGACTTCCAGCTGATGCTCTTAAGTATACTGATAGCTGAAGTTGGGAGGATGCGACGGAATAGACAACGCGCATGATGGAGGCCAAATCATTACAGAGAGCGGTCACATGTTACCATGCAGAGTGGGAATGTTAAAAGAGGCATATCCCCCCTGATTCCATACCATGGCCAATTCTAACATTCCATTCGTTCAATAGATACAACACCTTTAGATCACTCTTCTCCACCGGTTCCGCCGTCATTAACTTTCACACAAAATGGTGCGGCCCTTGTAAAGCCATCGCGCCCCAATTCGAAGCGCTGAGCCAACTAAATGACAACACATGCTTCATGAAGATCGACGTCGATGAAATGCCAGATCTAGCTGCAAATTTTGGGATAAGTTTCACGCCGACCTTTGTGGTATTGGGAAATGGCTTGGAACGCATTGATAAGCGCGTGGTTAGGGCCGACTCCAGGGCATTGCAGGCCATATTTCAGGCCTTTAGCAACTCCATATACCGGGATCTTGAAAACTCACTGGGATGGATTCGCCTCTTGCGCAGCGATGGTCGCCATGATAGTACTGAGTTTACTCTAGTTCATTACCCGATCAAGGCATTATTGTCCATTAGATGCAAGGCCTTGTCGTACAGATGCGGCGAAAGAATGCCTACGGACTTTACTATTCATGTGAACAATCGAGCTATACAAATTTCCGGGAAAGTCTCCGAGGCACTCAATAACATGTTCTGACTTGGGATCTTTGGGCCCGGACTCATTTGGATAGATAAGATGTGTGCAATAAATCAGGATAATGAACAGAGGTTAACAATCAGGTGAAGATGATGTATGAGATTAATACCCAAGCCAACCGCGTTGAATTTTGGCTAGGACCTGACTACAACAACACGGCGAGCCTAGCGATGACATCTTTGGAAACCATCGCTTTTTTTGCCCGTGAGAGAGGATCTGCATATCCCATACTGGGAACTGGGAACAGATGAGTCATGATACTAATCTCCGCTACTATCTCGCCCCATTTCATGTTATGTGGGGAACCATTTCTATCCTCCATCATAGAAGAGAAGAAGTCATCAAGTTTCTCGCCTGCTACAGACCGCTGCAGACGTGTTGTCACGCGATTATAGATAATTCCATTTCAATCAGCGTCTAGGCTCCACATACGACGATAAGCAGATGAGACCATTTTGCTGACTCGCTTCAAGGTGGGGAACCAGTCGTATGTTCAGACAAGTTGGTATGAAACACGGCCTGTGGCAATTGCAACCTTAAACTCTCATTCCTCCAGATTCTTCAATGCATAAGCACTCGGAAGAAGATTTCTTTTCCGAGCATGATTCTTTTTATCCACTACATCTGCGAGGTGGGAATGGGAACCTGCTGTCAGAGTAAAAGCGATCCTTTACGCAGGCTGTGCCGTGTCAGTAGATGGCTTTGAGAGCATTAAAATCGGAGTAGGAGAGATAGTTTGACCGATGCGAACGACTGGGTGTTTTTTATGAGCTTCGTATAAGTATGGTAAATCAGATATGCCATTGAGGACCTTGGAAGTATTTGATAATAGGTAATATGAAGAAGTATGAAACTACCAAGGCACCTAGCGCGATATCGTACATCTTGAAAAGATGAATAGAATCGAGATAAGTATGAATAATGATGAACCTTTAGTTGAACTGGAGTGCGACGCATAATTGTTGTACTTATGTATAGAAAATCTTGCTCAGGTGATGACTGCGGACAATATAACCTTCTTCAAATCCATACAAGAGCTTCGCCAAAATCTTACAACTGTGGTTTAGCGTTATGAAGATGTGCTTTTGTACAGTATGCATAAAAGAATAGCTAATATGGCTCGACCGTATCCCGAAAAGGTAATGATCAGCTGCCGATATTAGAGGGGCCATCTTGCACGAATTAAGGATCAGCACGTCAGCAAGTGAGATCATTAGTATGTCAAGCTGCATCTCCAAGTTCTTGTTTCTATGCATAACCTCGTTTCGTTTTCCCCGCTTCGCTTCTACTTACAAGTCTGGGTTTGGTAGCGCTCGGCGAATTTACATCCTAATCTGGTTAAAACCATATCATCACCTTAACCTTATTTGACACTTTTTCAAATACAAAATTCAATCCAACAGTAAGCTATTGGTGAATGTCCTCCGGGTTTAAATCGTCTACCCAAATTACATGGAAATGATGATCAAGCTTAAGAGATGTTCCCCGAACTTACCCCGCGGGGTCAACTTCTCCGTATCTAGACTAGACAGCGGACAGGCTTATACAGGAGGGCTATCCTAGCCTAGCACAGCCATTATTGGGCTGCTTCTGGCGGCTAGATAAAATTAATCTAGGAGTTTGAGAGATTTTTATGACGAAAAATCATGCTTCGAGAGAAGCCTTTATGGCCACCACCACAGGCTGCCATTTTTGGTTGTGCTTATCTATGTTGGCGTGTGGTTGCTCTATCTACTACTTCGATCGCTTGTAAGCGTTTAGCTCGTTAACCCTGTTGCATATACCCGGAGGCTTAAATGCACTCGTAGTAGTGGCTTTTACGAGGTATCCTTTGGCCAATTCTTTACTGAAATTATACGGCTTTTTTTTATTGAAAATTCATTTGAACATATTCTAATCTCCATTCTAGGACCTTCAGAAACCAAAAGAATATACGACTGAAAGCCACCAGGAATTTAAATGAGTCACGGGTAAATGATACTCCATGTTGGGTCGGAGCTCAAGGAAATGCACCATGAGCCTCCGTACTTTGAATCGGTTGAAACTCGCGTGGACGGCAGAGGATGTCCAGACAAGCGAATGCAGAGCTGGATCTGAGCGGGAGGAGAGAAAGACTTCGCTAGGGGAATATACAGGATGAAAACGCAGGATGAAAATCATCAATACAAATACGTCTCAAAAATGGAGAAAATTGGATCAAACGCGTTGCACACAAGATCAAAATCCACTCAGGCTATTGTCCTCCGGCGCGGAACTGCTGAGGGATCTGAGGAACAGCGGGAGGAGGACCGGGTTCGGCCTCGTCTTCATCTTCTTCCATCTCATCCAAAGTCTCGGGGTGACTGTAGGTGACAAATCAGTAAGAATGTTTTGAGGTATATTTAGAATATTAAATTTGGGGATACTCACGCAAGTAAGTCTTTAATGTTACTCATCTCATAGTGTTGCTTGCGTTGCTTCTCAAATATACGGTGCTTTTCCCTCGCCTCTTCCGTGGACAACAGACCATCGTCGCCGTCCTCACCGTTGGCGTCGCCGCCAACATGAACATGTTTCTCACCCTTCTGAGACTCATTGCTCATGCTGCGTTGACGGTAGATGCGTGGATCTTCGGAAAAGCCAGTGACTGCCTGTTGAGCCGCTTCCGATTCACCGAGCTCGAAATCGGGAATGTCATCCTCCGAGACACCCTTCTTGTGAGGGGCCTTTGGATGATCGAGTTCGTCAACCATGATATCCTGCGCATCGATCAAGCTCTCCTTAGCTTCTTCGAGGTGCATCTCGTCTTCATCTTCGGCCGGGTCGTAGTGCGGGGCATAAGGAGTCTTCGGCTCGTCAATCTTCATTTTTGCGGTCCGCTCTTGCTCAGTTAGATAGAGGTTGGCTTCGTCCCACTTCAGGCGGGGAGAGTTCTCGTCGTGGTCACTTGTAGAAGAGTGTCGGCGGTCCAAGCTACCGGCCTGGGTATTAGACGAGGAGCGACGTCTAGGGCCGGCATTCACCAGAGTGTTTTGGAGAGTAAGTTCCTTTGTGTCGGCAGTCTCCGGAATAGGCGGAATAGCGCGGGGAGGGCTGATCGATTCAGTGACAGGCACGTTTTGAAAGGAGCGAGAGTTCTTGAGGATGCCTACGATCAAAGAAAAGATTTGTGGTTAGTACGGGAGGGGTTTTTTTTTCATGGTCCAGCTCACGGGTCTGAGTGACGACTATATATAGAGAAGCTGCTTACTTTTAGGCCGGGTGTGTACATCGTCGGTGCTGTGAGCCTTAGCTGGCATACGCTGTGTAGTCGCCATGATGGGTTGTGGATTATGGAAGTTGTGAAAGTAAATGTTCCGTCCGATTTTCAAGTGGACGTGGAGTCAAGCTCTTATGGAGGGGTAGATTGGGTGGGCTATCCGCAGCGGTATCAGATGAAAGGAAAAATCCCGAGTCAGTGTCGCGGGATGCAGGCACGCGAAGCCACGAAAAATGTTATGGTTGGTGGGATCTTAATAGACAGGGCTTTTCAATAAGACAAGGAGTAAAGTGAAGTATGAATTAATAGTCATCCGAGGCATTTGAGGTCATCTGGGCAACTATTTGATTCAAGGGCGGCACGTGGGGCTTGATGACGTCGGGTGTCTGCAGTCAATGTTGCTGCCCAGGCGATGATTGATGCCTGATTAGTGCCTTGGAATGTTTATTGGATGCCTTAAAGTAGACACCTTAGTTGACTACTTCCCCGTTCTCTCTGTATATAATTGGAGTTTTGAGCCTCAAAAAACCTTTTATCATTTTGAAATTATTCTTATAGCCCTCTCTACGTCTGTTGTATTTCGGTAATGATAATCGATACTAGAAAATGGGAGACCTTTTGCTTCCATCGTTTATGTGGAAAAGAACAATATGTCTCATCTCTTGTATCTAATAAAAACGAACGAAATAATTTCTATCTACAAATCGAGCTTTAAATGATGAGGGCTTCAACCTTGCTAATTAGACAGCCTTATAACTGAATCAGCCTTGGGGGCCTAAGCCATGAGCCTCACAACTTGAACATCACGGATCTTCGAAACAAACCCCACCAACCTAATTATTTTAGAAAATCTTGACTCATCCTATTCTACTCAAACTTAGCTCCCATTTCTATAACACCCATACTTTTCAAATATCTCGAGTCACCAACACTTTTGCCACCCAAAATGCCCATTCCAACCCCCCCGCCAACCAACAACCCCCCACCAAAATCAACCAGCTCCAACCCCTGGCTGATCGTCCTCTTAACAACAGCACCACTCCCCCAAGAAGCCCACGATTACCTAGAAGAGCGCCTCGACCCAGTACCATACCCAGAAGAGAAAAAAGAAGAATTCGAAAAATGGACCCCAACCCCCTCAAACCTAAAATACATCGCAAAACAATCTCCCCACATAGACAGCCAAGCAAATCTGTACGCCCTCGCGATAAAAGTCCACCGAACAGGCCGTGACGGATGCGTAGTCGTTGATGAACTCTCAAAACGCCAACTGACAGATACATGTCACCATGGCGAAACGAAGCAGCCTACTCTTGTCTTTATAAGTATCTATGAGGATCTTTCTGCACGCCATGGAATCTCTATATGGGCGAGACGAGACACGGCTAAGTATGAGACAGTTCGTCGGATGTTTACGAGGTCTAAATACAGACGCGAGCGTATGGCTGTTGTTGTACCTGGTGTTGATCCGTCTACTGAAGCTGTTTCTGAACGCGAACTATGGGCTGATCCGGGATTGGAGCTTCGGGATCCAGAACGTGGGCTTTTTGAAATGAGAGAGTTGGGATCTTCATCTTTATCTGAGATTAAAGATGGGGCTGAGGTTGAGATACAAACGGGCTGGGATGAACATATTCAAGCTATCACGGATGCTCTTTGGAACTCTCGTCTACCTAGAGAAATCATAGATCAGATTGTTTCTGAATGTGATTCTGGTCCTGGGACTGGAATCCTTGGTCCTCTAGTTCGGGATCCTAGGATTCCAATGTGGAAATATCTCCCATCCGATGATCACTTGGTGATTTTTCTTCTTTTTCCAACGACAGAAGATGCTTTCAACCGTACAAAACAAGCTGTTCGATCCGCCCTGCATGAAAATGTACCTTCTGTGTCATTCGAGTTAATCCGATTGGAAGACCACCGTCTCAAATCTAGAAGGGACATCATGTCCTTCTGGATAGAATACCATCGGCACTACGTTGCGTTTCGAAAAATGGGATATCCACCTCTTCACCTGCTCCTAGAACCAATACATGATCATAACGATAACGGCTTTGACCTCTCAACACCATCATTTGTGGAAATTATCTCTCGATATAGATCCACCGCATGCGCATCAAGAACAACACTGGGGAAAATCATCAATACCCACGGTGACAGACTTCGAATCTTACATTATCCAGCTCTACAAAAAGAGAATATCTCCCACCCCGATCTACCATTCTACTATACATCTGCACCCTGGCAAACAACTGGACAGTGGACTAGGAAGTGGAGTCCGGCGTTCTATCTTACGAATCAATTATCCGAGGACGAAGACGCTGATATTCGAGAGGAGATACGCCTTCCATTTGGACGTGATAGTAGGGGGTGGACGGATAAACAGTGTGGATTTATCAAGTGGGATCGAGAAGAAGATGGAGGTGTAGAGGATATTTGGGATATTGTGAAGAGGGTACACAGTGAAGGGCTCTTTGGGAGGGGATATGAGATTTTCTTCTGTATTGATTTGCAGTCTTCGCTGGATAGCACTGTTATTCTTGTTGTGCCGCAGTATTGGAACCCGGGGAAACGGTGGGATAAAGTGAAGGATCTTCCTTGTCCGAGACTTGTGGGGTTTGATTATGGTAGGATGTTGGGACGAATAGCTCATTCGGAGGGGTGTTATGCGAAGTTTGAAGGGATGGTAAGACATGATTTCAAACGGTTTCTGAGGTCGGATATTCCTGTGAGGCATGTGAGGCCTGATGTCTTTGATGATATGGATGGATCTCTTGAAGCCGGTGATCTTTGGGGTGTATTAGATATCTGAAATTAATAAATACAATGATTGTCATGAGCTTCGACGTTGTTGTGGTTTATAGACAATCCAGTATATTGGTATTCATGTAATTAGTCCAGAATAATAGGCCGCCCGGTCTTTCAATGCATACAGGAACGCCGTAGCACGCCTATCCTACAGCCGTGGAAAGGCTTCTCAAAATAAACAGTCAAAGTCAAGGTAAAATGAAATCTCCTCTAACACCAGATAAGGCCCGGAAAAGGGTATCTGTATATGCAAAAGCCAAGGCCTGCCTCGTGACGATAAAACCAAGTACCAGGTAAAAGGTATAAAGGGAAAAAGGAAAAAAAGAAGAAAGGAAAGTATGATGTAAAGATGAATAAAGCAAGGGCCCAAAAATGATGAGAGATAGAAAAGGCAAAAATGGTCAAAAGAGAGAACAAGTAAGGAAGAGAAAAGAAGAAGAAAATAGAATAAAATATCAAAAATGATGTGCTCATGCAATAGATTCAAACTCTTGTCGCTCACGGAGCCGATTACGAGCAAGAATGTCTCCTCCACTGGCAGATAGTTGCATCCAGTGAAGAGCCAGACACATACTTTGTGGATCTGACTTTGAGTCCTTGCCACGCATATACATCATCTCGGCCTTGAAGGTATCGCGAGGACGAGTAAGTGGTAGTGTTACGCGTGGAAGAATCTCAGGATGGGTGAGGTAGAGGATAGCCAGTTCCCGCTGGGCGACTGGGTTTCCTTCCTTGGCAGTGACGATCCACATCGCTGCTGCATCTTCGATAGTATTTCCAGGGCTAAAACGGGTATAGAAATCTGTACCCGGTGGTCGATGGCGGCGCATAAGCTCTTGTGACACAATGCGGTCTGCAATCTCGACCATGCTGTGGCATACTTCATCCTTCAGGCTGAGTGCAGCAAGGCCAAACTGAAGGAAAGCCGTGGCTTGGTCTCCATTACTCAGCTGGTCGGGTGGGATGAATGCAGAAATAAATTGAAGATCTCGGAACAAGGTCTTCGGTTTAACTTCTAAGATCAGGTCGCGCAGAGTAGCCACGATTTTGTCTTCAGATGGAGTAGGGAGGTCTGACCGTCGCGAGCCACATGTGACGGACTTGGGTGGGGACATATCCGCCTGAGTACCCATGGGCAGTTCACTCACTGAGAAGCTATGGCGAGCAGCTCTTTGGTGCGGCCTGGCACTAGCCTTTCGCGCCCTGTTGGCTTCAGGAGATGCCGCGCGGACTTTCGCGGAAGGCGTGTCTTGAGATGAAATCAACGAGGCTATTACTAGCGAGCGCAGATCTCGAAGCGCAGTAAGTTTGACGAATGGATTTCCATGTCGCGAGAACACTTCAATCAACCGATGGAAGACAGATTTGTAAGAGAAGGGTATGTGGCTCTCCTCCTGGGTCGAGCTCCGCCTGCTATCGGGATATCCATCATTGCTATCTGAATATCCCAAGGCAGGATTATCATGCATGCGTACACGCCCATTATGGTTGTCGAGAGACCTGCTCCGTCGACCCCCAGACGACCGGCGTTGTTCACGAAGATATTTCGATCGCTCATCATAGTCAGCGTAGAATTTGTGCACCGCAGCTCGCTTCTGCATCTGGACCTTGATACGGTTTTGGTGAAGTGTATTTGTGAACCACGCATCTGTCTCACTGCCGCAACTCCAAACAGGAGATCCTAAATCACTGAGTAAAAGGCTGGTGAGAGTTTGCCGGAGATTATCCATGAAGGCAGTTTTACCCTGTGCTGCTTTGCCTTGGGACTTGCGTTCATTGTGGCGAGGTTGATGGTTTATGCTCTTGCTGAACATGGAGGGGGGTCTAGAGTATGCACTTGAAACACTGGCAGCATAAATAGGGTGACGCTGTGTCTTGGACCAGAAAGTACTCAAGGTATCGCTGGTTGCCGTGGATATAGACGGGGCACGACCAGGGGACCCTGCGATGGAGCTCATATCCATAGAAGGCATATCTCGCTGGGGTCGCCATTTGTCTGAAAGCAAGCTCTGGATGGATGATTTCCTGCTCAGAGAGGGCACTCCTTGAGAAAATCTAGACTGGGACATGTGCATTGGATCCTCGCTCGCAGTCGTTGAAGGACGGGGTGTAGTTGGGATAGATAAACCAGGGAAGGAACGAGCGCCATAGCTTTCATACCTTGCTCGCTCCCGCTGAAATAGTTCACTGGCCCATAGCACTGGTGTCTCGGCCATAGTCTCACCCACCAAGTGATTGATGCTAGTTTGTACCTCGTAGCAGAAGCGGTGAATTCTTTCCTCGCCTTTGCAGAAGTTTTCAATGCCATGGTGGGATAACCATTTGCGAGTAAGCTCAACTTGTTCGTCAGATAGCTTTTTAGGCCCACCCTGACTGCTCGGTGCCTTCATCACATTTATCACCTGTAACTCGGGTTTCTGGAATATAGACCCGCCTATTGACCGGGCTGTACTGCGTAGTCGTGGCTCTTCGGGGAGGTTCATCAAGGGCCGTGCAGAGTTCATTGTCTTGAGAGCCATGGCAACATGCTTGGCCTCCTCGTACCTCATCGAGTTCTTGACGTCTGTCATATACCATATCTTGTTTCGGACCTTGGACAAAGTGGCCATTAGGTTCTGGACTTGGATTTGCAGCCTGCGCAAACTATGGTCCAGGGCTACGAAGTCTGTTTCACAGCGTTCGACAACCACCCGTGATTTTTTTAACGAGCGAATGCACAGGTCGTGCATTGGGGCAAGAATCCATGAATCATCTGCGACATCCGAAGAAGTAGAGAGTCTTCCCTGGCCCTGCTTAAGTTGCCGCGTCACGTTCCACCAGTAGTGAGCTCCAACAAAGTCATCATCATGCGTAGCAGAAGTCATAGCCTGATTAAAGCGCTGCTTCAACGACTTTGAAGTCGCCAGTGAAGGTCTTGAGGGGGAGTCGTAACTGCATGATTCGTAGGCATGGTTTTCCTTGACCAGGCGGACTATTGCGGTTTGTAAGGCCTCATAGTTCTCTTCCAGACCAAGATTCTGGGTATCCTCGTCACTATCGACCACGGATGCTTTCGATGACCCGGTTTCACAAGCAGGAAGCAAGCTCCAGGTAAGGTCCCGGCCATCCTTAGCCACTGAGAAGATTGTCCAGTATTCGTCGGAAGGGTATTCCAATTTTGAATGCTCACTCGGTTCGTCCAAGTCAGTCAGCTCGAATCGGATCCTGGCAGCCGTTTGCGAAATATCACTGTCAAGAGGAGATGTAGAACATGAGTCTATCGAGAACACGGACGAGGCTGAAGTTGACTGGAATGAAGAGAAATTTTGTGGGAACAGAGCATCCAAAAGAGTGTTCACATCGGCGGCTGATAGCAAGAGGAAAGTCGACGGATTTCGACGTGAATTTGAAGGTGATTCAGACATGGAGGGCTTTGGCGCGACAACGTTTTCAAATCGACCAAGCATGTTATTGACACGCTCCTTAACTGAGTGTCGGAGAATCGAGAAATGGTGCCTTCAATGATGTTAGAGTATGAAAACTTAACGAGAAGGCAAAACCTACATGGAGCGCAATGCAGCGAAAACCTGAGAATACGCCCGCAAGCCGACCTGATTGAGCAATTTGTCTCGCGCATCCTTGCGAATGTGGAAATCGAGCAGTAAACCGTGTGTCTGTAAAAAGAGTTGATCGTTAAAACTAGTTCCGACAAAAAAAGAAATCTCATACCTCGGGATAAGTCAAAGCACTGTAGAGGAACTTTGGAAAGAACCACTGCAAAAATAGATATTCCAGAAAGCGACTGCGAATGTCAGGGTTATCAATTTTCCTTAAGACGGCCTTGGCAAACTGAAGGACGGCACAAGGGAAGCCACTATCTGGATCGTCAAGGACACGGAACAGCTCATCCACGGCAGAAATGAAGAATTCCTCTGCGACATCCGTTCGTAATGGATCCAAAGGCTCGGCAAAGTCCAATCCCACGGGGGCATCTACATGTTCCAAGAGGAAGGCTCCGGTTTGCAAGATATCCATGAGGTACAGTTCAAATTTGGGGCGTGCTTTCCAGTTACTACCAGCAGCCCAGGAGGACAAGATCTGGCTAATAAGAGGATGGAATTTATTGCTTCCAGTGGATATTAATTGTGCACAGACAGAAGACCAGGTTTCCATGCGTAACTGGGCTTCCGGTGTTTCGGGCTCCATTGGGGCGGCATAAACGTTATAAAGCAAAATAGAAAGTGGATCAGTCCTCTCGAAGGCATAAATGTGGTCCTTGTATGGGGCAGACTGGGCCGAATTGCGATTAAATGAATACTGACCCTGATGGCGAGGAGAGGAAGACGAAGAAAGAAAAGCCGGGTCATTGTTATCCAAGAGGGCTGCAGGTGTGGTCAATACGGCCAGTTGGGCTGAGGTAAAACTGCAGAGACGATCCACCAGGAACTGTGGGTTAAATCGAACCAGTTGTAATATCTCTAACAGATCTCCTTGGGACTGGGGGCTTAATTGATGAAAGAAATCCGAGGAATGGTCCAAATCGGCTTCCGGGGGAGAATCCTGGCCATCCGGGGATTCACAATGGTTGCCATATCGGTCGTTGGAGACACAGACACAGGATTCCTGAAGATCATACAGCATATGATATAGCGCAATAAAATTGGCCTTGTCATCATGTTTGAGAGCTTCTACAAGGCCTCGCTGCATAGTATTTCCAATACGGATCATACGCGCGGAGACCCCGATGGAAACCTTGGTTGCGCGCAAGCGCTGTTCCAACCGGCTCCTTTGGACTTGTTTGCGCTGGCTTTGGCGATACTTGGTCGCAAACTCCTCAAAGGAAACCTGGGGGGTATCATCCTTGGATATGGCAGGCATCATGGGAGTTTGAGTTGGAGCTGGACCCGGAGCTGCGATTGGTAAGTTGTCGCATCTAGAAGATGGCAATACCACGGGTGGTAATATCGCAGTTACAGGTGCAGCTGGCAACGCTGCAGGAGAAGGAGGAAGAGGCACCGATGCGGGATCTGCGCAATGCGACGGATCAGTCTGGAGAAGGGGAAGTCGCATGGCTGCGAAATGCGATCAGATTGGGTCCACATCAGGCACAAAAAACAAACATAGTTGAAGATCGAAAAAGAAAATATTTTGCGATAAAATAGAGAATCAAGAATCAAGACACAATAAATAGAAATATGGAAACTATGACGCACTGGCCTGAGAAGCTATCGAGGACGAATAATCCTCGTATCCCACCATCTTGTCCGGACTCGCGCCAGCGAGCGGAGTGCACAGTCTCTCGGTGCCCCTGGCCACGGGCGGATCCTTATCGCATGGCTCTATCGCGGGGTAAGGAACCGGGCGGTGTTGACAGTGTTCCGACAAATCACGCACCCGGTCGGAGGCAATAGAGAAATAAGAAAAACGATCCAGGATGAGAGATGGAAAGCGTGTTTGGGAGGGGGAGAAGAACAAGAAGAGGGGAGTTACGTTTTAGAAGGAGGGGTTGGTGTGAGGGGGGAGAGAGAGAGAGAGAGAGAGAGAGAGAGATGTAGTGAAGAATAGAATAGTATTATTCAAGCGCCGTTCATAAGGAAGCGAGAAAGCGAAAAAGAAGCGATCACGACTCGAAGCGGCCAGTTGCAGATAGCAAGGAAAGTACTGTTACCTCCTCATCCTCTCCGACCATGCACGCAAGGGTTGAAGGTTGAGTACCGAGTACACGGGCAACGATGCGTTGGCAATGCATGCAGGAGTGAGGTGGACAGCCCCAACGGACCCCATGATTCGCTCGCCGCCCTCCTTAGTTGTTCTGCGGAGTCAGCTTCTGCTGGTCGAGGATGGATCACTCGGTGGCCAATCGTAAGGGGAACAAGAACCTGGGAAAAGATGATGCTGGCAGTGCATGTAGTGGGGGAGGGAACATTTTCTGATACATGATACGTGATACGTGTAGATGTGTGTCCACGACATACACCTGGTACTGCATTTGCCCTGCTTGTCTACTGTTGGCTGATCTACTATGCAACCCCCAACAACTACCACCGGACAGGGTACAGTCCTCTCGACTTATTGGTTTGAAGATCCTGGATGATCCGATCTTTCTAGAACAGCTTAGATCGGTTTCAGTCTACGTATTCGCGGTATATACGTGCAGAAGAAGAGAAAAAGTAAAAAACAAACTACGGTGGATCCACTACAAAGTCAAGATCGGAAGACAAATAGCCATGACAATATGAAAATGAAGTAAAACAAAATAAATTCCCACAGAAGAGTGGATGAATATTTCTCTCATAATAGACATCATAACAACAAGAATCGAAACAAATGCTTTAGGACATCATTACCCAGGAAACACCGAACCAGAGGACCGAACACCGTAGTCATAATACTTATAATGCAACAGGCATGTCAAATCAAACAAGATCATCGTCCAGACCGTCAAGATCGTGAAAAATCACAGATCACCGACACACCCATTTCTTATCGGCTTCCTTTTGACCCACACGTACAGCAACCTGATCTAACGTGGCCTTCAATGTATCTTTAGACACCTTAGGGAATCTACATGCACAGCACAAAATATTAGTCTCACACTTCACCAGAAATCTTAAAATAAAGAGAGGGGCCGGAATTGGGGGTTGCAAACATACCGTTTCTTCAAGATCTCAACCACTCCAATCTTACTCAAGTCACTACCCTCAACCACTTCCTTGAATTCCGTCAACTGTTCGGGTGGAAACGGTCGGCGGGCCTTAGATGTAGGTGGCGGCGGCGGGAGGCCATTGCTGGTCACGCCTGCATCAGGACCAGGAGGAACCCGGAACATATCAAGAGAACTACCCGGCTTCTGCGTTGCCCGTGCTTTCTGCAAGGCTTGTTCTGCAGTGCGGGGTTTTTGCCAGTACACAGTTGAGAAAGGGTCGATGGGGAACTGTACAGCATCAGAGATCGTTTCAATCTGATACGTTTTTAATTCCTCATCAACACCGTCCCCAGCCCACTGGATCCCACTGCAGTTCGGTTCGAGGTCACCGACAATCAAACGCCGCTTGCCTCCCGCCAACGCATCATCCTCGTCATCCAAGAATCCGTCCATCTCATCCTCGTCTTCGTCGCTTGCTTCCTCTTCCTCTTCTGAATCTAAGTCCTCGCCCTCTTCTGGCTCTTCCCATTCGGCTTCAGAATCATAATCGTAATTGATTTCGGGTATTCCACGACGGTATGGGTTGCGACAAACTTTCTTCGCGATGTCCTCAGGTACCGCTCTTGTAAATGTGCCTTGATAGGCGGGACGAATGTCCTCGCCAAACTTCAGTGATTTAATGGTGATCCGGCTTAGCTGATCGAGGGGCTCCTTCACTGCTTCACTACTAACTTTATTCCCTGGCTGGTTGGCGACATCGCTCAAAGATTGCATTCGTAGTAGGATTTCTTTGACGGAGTTGACAATGCGGCCGCGTTTTCGACGATAAGGAATTATATGAAATATTTGTGATGGACGGAGTGGCTGCGGCTGGGATGTATGGTCTCCGGAGTTCAAAGATATATCAATTGTGTGTCGTACATGTGTTAACGCATCGGCGTCGCGCTCAAATCGATGCGGAGGAGCAACAACAGTATGTGATTGTAAGAAGAATTCAGGAAATGTTTTGGCGTAGTCGGATTGGGTTGGTTGAGAGGCGGTTGAAGCTTCATCGACCTTGGAAGCAGCTTTATTGGGGGATGCTGGGATATTTGCGGGTGAAGGGGGGAGTTGAGGTTTCGCGAAGAACGAGTTAAGCTTAGGTTGTGCCTGGTGAAGAGGTCAATATAAAAAACTCCGCGAAAATGGAGTGAAAGAGTCAACGACCTCAGGGTAAAACACATACTCTTTCTTTCTTAAGCTTTGCCTCTTCCTTCGCTGCTTCTTTCGCGGCCTTCTCCTCTTCTTTGGCCTTCCTCTCCTCCTCCTTAGCCTTCTTCTCTTCCTCCTTAGCCTTCTTCTCTTCCTCCTTGGCCTTCCTCTCTTCCTCCTTGGCCTTTTTCTTCTCCTCACGCTCGGCCTCCCGCTTCTTCTTTTCTTCCTCCTTTAACCTTTTTTCTTCTTCTCGCTCCGCATCGCGCTTCTTCTTCTCCTCGTCCTTCTTGGCCTTCTCTTCTAGCCGTTGACGCTCCTTAAGCTCCTTTTCTTGCTGTTTAAAGTCTTTTGAATTTGGCGAAAGCTTACGCTTTTTCGCGGCCATATCAACCTTCACAGGTGATCCTTGAGGTGTTTCCCCGCCGGTATTATTAACAGTGGAGTCACCATGGGTGGGTGCCAATACTGGTCCAATATTTTTGAACGGAATCACAACCTGGGGATTCAAATTGCCTGAAGTGGGCTTTGTGTCTTGTGAGTCTTGCGATGGGCTCTTCTCTATATTTATCTGGGATGTGGGATCGTGGTTCTCTTGATTCTCTCCAGTGAATGTCGTCAATGCCCTCTTTGGGCCAACGGAGGGCAATGCAGCATCGTCGACTTCGTGGATTGATCGTTTTCGGGTACTGGAAGAGGGTGATGAAGGGAAGGATGGGGTCGGTGGTAATGGTGAAAGACTCATTTTGGAGGCGTCCATCAGGCAACTTTGGGCTTTGTTACACCTTTGTCATGGGAGGGAGCGCTATTTTTGGTGTGTTATCGGTATTTTGTCGATAAATATTGCTGTAATGAAATAGTTCCCTTGAGGGACACAATGAATGAATGTTGGTGTTTATTGGAGATGTGGTGCTCCGCTTAAGGGTGTAGCGTAGTGCGGATTGACAAGGGACGCGTTTCATTAATGGGTTCGCGTCCGCGTTCCTCTTTAGTGTGGCACACGCTTATGTAACAAATTGACACCTCCATCAATTTTATAGATCCAACATGGGATGATAACCCCAGTATATTCAGATAGAAAGAGAAGAAGACGGACAATCTATAAAAAAATTGACTAGCAAGGTGACTCAATTGTTTTGATGCCAAAGAGCCTCGCTTTCAATATAAAAGCATCAAACTCTTGTAATGATACTATTTTGCAAGGTGGTAGTTACAACGTATACTGAGAACTCGAGGTCTAGATTCGGTGCATTTTAAAGTTCAATCAAGCATTTAGAAGGGGAGTTGATAATGTATCCATTCAGATAGGAGCTATGGGAATAAACAAGGCCGGAAAACCGGAAGGCCGGATGCAATGGTAGGAAAGCAAGCAGTGAAGCCAGGCAATCGGTCTGTCAGATATCGCTAGGTGACATACTATCTCAAGGAAAGTATGATGGGAAACTTCATAAAGCACAGAGATAAAGTAAAAAGAGGAAGAAAGTAAAGGATATCGACATGATTTCCAGCACTATAGTCAAGCCGTCAAGGCCTGTTGAGTACAGCTGGACAGAAAGTATCAAGGAGGTATTATGTGCAGCGTCGCAAGAAGTAATAAAAGAGTCACTTGATCGTGGTAACAATGAATGGAAGGAGCAGAGAAACGAATTAAAAGAAGGAACGCTGCGTCATCGAGGAATTATACAGGCCTCGGGCTGTTCTAATCGCTAAGATCAGGGTTTGCCACGAAGAGTCGCACGTTGGTCATGGAAGTAGTCCGCTCGTCAACACTACCCCGTCGCCGTAACTCGTCTGCCTTCTTGGCCTTCTGGGCTGTCATAACAGCTGCATTGGGGGCCTCCATGTCGCCCACTATATCTTCATGTTCCTGTTCACTGCTATGCGTAGTTGCACCATCATCCTTCACAAGTGATGAAACTCGGCTCTTCTCTTCTTCATGGATTTCTGCCGGGGTATTCTCCGAGACATCTGGTAGATCGCTCTTCTCGTTGGGAGGCGTACTGTTACTACCCATAGTCTGCTGGCGTTGGTATCCACTGGGGTACCGGTTACTTCCAAGGGAGCTGCGGCCACTACCAGTGCGGCGATGCATTCCTTCGGTGCTGTGAGCGTCATCATCTCCGTCGCCGATTTCATTTGCACTGAGTCGTACGGGAACTTTTGCACCAACCAGGTTGGAAGGTGAGAATTCCAGACCCGCTTTACCGCCGTGTCGAACCTTGCTACTGGTTCCTTTGCGACCCGCGCCATGAACTTCAAGATAGGCTCTCTTCTTGTCCCGCATCGCTTGCTCGCGCATTCGAGCATCTTCTGGCTGTGCCCGGTCGCACCAGACGGTCGCCTTTTGCCGCCTCATGAGGGCTACATATCCAAGTTGGGAGTTCGCCGAGCGGTTAGAAGCACTTCGTCGGATGTCTCCTGAATCTCCTTGTGGCATGACGTTTCCGGTCGAATTTGTAGAGGTTGTAGTGTTGGACATTCGTCGTCCTGGCGGGAAACCGGCTGGTGAGCCCATATTCTGTGATGCCATGGTAGATGGGGGCGGTTGCTGATATTGCTGATGGTGATGCTGTTGGGATGTCTGTCCGTAGGGAAGCACGTGGGAGGAAGTGGTACGAGAGCGACTATGGGTGGTTGAGGGCGCAGCGGCGTGAGGCGCAAGGTTCCTTGGGGCGTCGTAAGACTGATAGGGATAGGCATTTTGAGCATTGGGCATAGGTTTCCGAGGAGGGGGGCCCTGGTGCATAGGGATCCGAAATTCAGTCATGTTGGGCAGTACACTTCACACCAAGCAACCCTTCACTGATGACTGCTGCTGGAATGTGGGCGGTGGGTATATCTTTTGACCCGATCGTAGTAAGATCCCCGAGGTAGGGGGTTGGTGGCAGGGTCTTTTAAGGGAATTGAATGACTCGTGAAAGCCACTTTCGGGCAGGAAGAACGTTCTCTGGGGCTCCGATGCGCGCGGCTGACAGGACAAGCGATCTGCGGGTTTCAGCGCCTTCTTGCAGTATGAGCAGCCACAATGTTCAAGTGAATTAGATTAAATCGCAGAGGCCTTTATTGAGTATCTGGGGTTTCCTGGAGTGCCAGCCAACAGAAAAGAATCCAATGGACCGGAGACAACGGAGGTGGTAGGAGCGAATGTGAAAGAGTTGCGGGTGTGGATCGGTTTCGCAGACGCACACACGGGTGATTTCCTTTTCGGTACTCAATTGATCTGCAGCCTTGCAGGGTTGAGTGTAAGGGTAGATATGTTCAGAATAAATAAAATGGCAAAATGTCGACAAGAACTTGGTCGTGGGGGTTGTATAAGGGGAAAGAGGAATGAGATAGGGAGGGGGGAACAAAAGAGAACTTTGACCTTGGATCAAGTAATGTGATTGGCCAATACAACGGAACAGGACGGACCTGATCAGGACTCGTGCCGTCAATTGGTTAGTCGAGTCCTGGAGTCCTTTTGGGGTGGTAAAACTAGTAAAGCTAGTAAAATCATGGGCAAAAAAGAAAGTCCAAAAAGTCAAATTTTAAAAAAAGCTAGGAACAATGCTGGAGGGAGAGGACTCAGCCACATGAGTGAGGCTGGTGACCCAGTTTTATTACATGGAACGTTTCATCGGTTCTGTAACCTTGAATTCCTGATCAGTATTGATGATGACAGAGGAAAAGATGGAAAATGGGGATATGAATGACGATTACAAAATAGGATTTGCTATAGTAAGACTTAAATTCACTCATGGAGATTCCATCTCGAGCTAAACGAGAGAGAAAAAGCAAATATCAAGACTTTCCCCTCAAGATACGGTTCTACTAACCGAAAACCCCCTAGCGGTTCCTGTCTAACTCGTAATCTGAGCGGGACCTTACGAAGGAACCGGTTTTCACCAAATCATTCCCTGTCTTCACCGAAAAGGCTTGGTAGTAAGGATTAGACGATTAAGCGACCAACAAATTCAACAACCTTGACCTTGAAAAAATCAGATGAATACATGACTTATTACAGGTTTGCTTCCCGACGAGAGCGGGAGTGCGCAAAGGCGACATGTCCATACTCCCGGAACCCCGTGTTGTGCTCCCGAAGGATGATTGCGCGTTGCCGGAAGTGCTTCGTATGGTGGTACGAATCATGGACCGCGATGCTATCCCATCCCACATAAACGACATATGATAGCGTCCCCTCAACAGGCTCCACCATCCACCCACCCGTTACCCCAATACATCCAGGTACCGTGGAGACAATACTGGTCCATAGCGCCCACGTTTTCTCCCATCCTGCGGGATCGGGCGTCAAATAAATGGCTGTCCCTGTCACTGGGGCCCCGTGCCCAAGACTCTTGGGGTTTGGTGAGAATTCTGAAATCATGGCATGGCGCACCGTTAGCGCTGTGGCGCTATCAACACCTAGGATAACCAAGTTTTTAACAATCTGTTGCCAATCATGCGAGGCGAGAAGGGCGTAGTGCTGATGAAGACTGTCTCGGACTATATGGATATTAATCAATAGTGAGCTATGCCTTGCTAATGCAACTATCGATTTGAATTCGCAATCTCACCAATATGGAGGTGTACTTCTCCTGTCTTTTCGACATGACGTCCCCAATAAAGACGACGGAACCCTGTCCATTTCTCAAGAATATCCAGTACCTGGGACCATTCTTGGCCCTCTTTAGTAGAAAGGTTATCGATCTGAACTTTCTCCTGAATAGGGAGAATGATCATCTGAGTGGGGACTGCCGAGCGTGCCATATCGAAAGTCTATGCTTGTTCAAACCACAACCTCAATAGAATCAAATATAAGTTATTTTCGTCGAATTTCAACTTCTATATACCACGTTTCATCAAGTTCAAGTGTTAGAATGGATTGCCGAGGGCCGATGACCGCGGGTTAATGAGTACAATGTATAGATAATGCGGGGTATAGGCTGGCTCAGATGTCAACATACTATACCAATTATTGGCTGGACGGTCTGCTACATGCATTATTTCTGAGCATTATTGGCATGTCTATGTGTTCTGCAGAGTTATTGACTTGGCCCTTAGCTGATCGGCTACATAACTCTTATTAGTAACGTCAGGCCACAGTACGTTCTGAGCTAAACCTTGGAAGTGGCTGAAATGTCTCCAATAGCCGAACACGCCCTATGTATGCGTTGTTGCTAAGCAATCCGTACCTCTCTATAAGCAATGTCGCTCAGACTTCAAAGGTGCTGTGTTCGTAACACCGTGACACCGTGACACGGCCAACCGAAGCCACTATATCTACGGTGATATTTGCCGAGCGACGGTATACATCTACCGTGACATCCCACTAACTGCATTGGGTAAAGAGCTGTAGGTCAAGCATCGCTACTGCAATGACTGCATATTTTCCTTAGAGCGCCCAATATACTGGGCCCAAGACCGTTCAATGAGATATGGACATGGTACTTCATGCTCCCGTGTTTGTTACGCCAATTGGATACCGCACCAAAAACTACCGGAGAGGCTGCGAACCAACCCTGAAATCAGAATGAGCTGAGCCTGTCAGCGCTGTGGTGTGTTGGTAAACATTGGGGCCGCCCCGAAGTAGACTGCATCGATTTTGCAGTGAACATTTTGTGAGCTGATCGCTAGGTACCTGAGACTGTTGACCTAACGGAGTCGTAGTCTAATTAGGCGACCAAGAAATCGACTTCAAGACCCAGGGCGGCAGAAGAGAGATCGACGACTAGTAAGTGCGATCGATCTTGATACGCCGGTAGTTCCATCTGCCAAGGCCTCGATATGATAGAGTTCGTATCCGTCAAGAGTATGAAAAAAAGCAACAAGGGATTTTCGGCCGGGCCGTTCGTATAAAGACATGATTCAATATATTCAAGAAGTGCTGGCTTCTGCAGTTATACAATCATATAAATGTATCGCCCAGTAACCTATTAGTCTACTTCATGCTCAAGACACGCGGGATAAAGTCATACAATTGGTGCGTTGACTCCTGCTATGTTTACTAGTACCGCAGGGTATCTATATTTTCGCTTCCAATTGGGTCTTCATACTGCAATTTGGTCTCAAGCATATCCTCTCCAGGGCCGTATACTTGAAACTACAAAGCTGAAATTCAGATACATCTCGTAGGGCTGTTGTAATTTACAAAACACAGCATGTAAGAAATACCATGCTGCGCCACAGCCTCGCGTGGGAAGGTGGTACTCGGTGGAGCCGGAATGGGAAATTTGTTAGTCATGACGTCAAGATGTTTCAGCTCTTCTGGTTCAATACTGTTTCATCACGAGAACAAAAGGAAGAAAGGGAATTCGAGGAACGTTCCTGGTGACGCATGGAGTAAGAAGGGCTCAGGTACAATTGGTGGTTGTACTCGCATTGAACTAATCGGTGATAATCTTTACCGCGTTCGGCAAGGACAAATACCACCACTGCAGGTGGTCTACTTTACAAAGTCAAAAAATTAAATATCTGACGATAAGACATTGGAGAAAAATATGTACAAACCCCAGCCAACGGATAGCTGAAAGATGGGTCTCTCTGCGGATCATGTCTCACAACTTCGCCCTGCCATCCGGGGAGACAAGTGCGCCGTCTTTCCGAACCGAAAAATCTTTGTTCACCTCCCATCCCACCCATGTCCGAAGGGTATCCTCGCCTCCATCTCCAGGCATAAGACCTCCACCAGTCCAGCCGCCTTCATCCGCCTTGAACGGGTGAGCAGGCGTTTGAGACAAATGAACAGCGGGCCGTTGGTCATATCCCGCCGCTTCGAGCTCGCCCTGCTCCAAAACAGGCGTCGCACAAGCATCGGTCCCATCAAAAACAGCCTCCCACTCTGCCCGCCTCTTCTCCTTGAAACGACGAGTGAACAGTTCCCTCAGGGCAGGCCAATTATCACGATCTTCCCGGGCCGGGATCTTCTTCGGATCAAGCTCTAACCCTTTTAACAAAGCGGCGTAGAACTGCGGCTCCAAAGCCCCAACAGCAAAATATTTCCCGGCATCCTTTGTTTCATACGTATCGTAATATGGACACCCACTGTCCAACAGATTCTCTCCCCTCGGCCCATCCCAAGCGGGAGTCTGACGTCCAAGTCGTGGCATAGTAGCTAGATACGCCGAGCCGTCCACCATATTTGCTTCGACCACTTGCCCACGACCAGTATGTGTACGAGCTATCAATGCGAGGACGATCCCAATGAAACACATGGCGCCGCCACCGGCAAAGTCCCCGAGAATGTTTCCCGGGGCGAACGGCTTATCGCCTGCGCGTCCGAGCATAGATAACACGCCTGATACGGCGATATAGTTGATGTCGTGACCGGCCATGTCTTTGTATTTTCCATCGCGGCGGAACCCAGTCATACGTGCGACAATTAGGCGTGGGTTGTGTTTTAAAAGAACATCCGTTGGAGACAGGCCGAGTCGCTCAAGGACACCGGGCCGGAAAGGGTCAATTAGCACATCTGCGTTTGGAAGAAGGCGTAGCAGAACATCCTTTGATTTAGCGTCGCGTAAATCGAGAGTAATTGAGCTCTTGTTTCGCGTCAATTGGTCGCCGCTGATAGCTTTCGGACGGTCTATGCGAAGCACGGAGGCACCGTAGTCGGCTAAGAGGAGACCGGCGAACGGGCCTGGGAGTGAAGTTAGGATGGGGATTTCTCGAGAATATGATCTCAAAACATGCCTGGTGCTAGACCAGCTAGCTCAATGACCCGAGTTCCTTTTAATGGCGGGGCGGACATTTGGACTTTTTGCGATTAAGAAAAATGTTGGCCATGAAGTGTTCAAGTATTTAATAAAAGGCGATCCACCCGTTCCCCGCTACCGAGGTCCGTAGCCTGCTTGTGCGGGGGAGCCGAAGGAGGTAAGCTTACGCATCTGATCAGTGATATACAGCCGATCTAATGGGCTACAATACAATTTATTCCCTTAAATTTTGGGGAGACAGACTGATCGATGAAACATTTGAACATAAATACATAAAAAGCATAAAAAGCATAAAAAGCATAAATTTACTGCGATCGCCAATCAATCAACTAGTCAAAATGTTTCAAAATCAAACATCAGAAAATTTTGGATCATTTGTGTATTCAACATTGGTAACCTTCACTGATTCCGGTTTCAAATCAATATCCTCGTGTGTCAGGCTTTAGCCTGGTTTAATAATTGGCAATACTGGCTCCCAATAGTATCATCTTTATCGTTGTCTCGACGATACGATAATAGTAATTCAAAATTGTGACGATATCGCATCGTGAAGAGCTCTAGATCTGTGACATGTTTGGAATTAAAGATGTGGAATATGGGCATCGTGTTAAATCATTAAGTTTGCTATGCAAGGCTTGGTATCAAATAAAGTAAGAAAGAAACAAAGAAAGAATAAACAAAAATAGAGCTTTTTCTCTAGACCAAAGAGACAGAAACAAAAATCCGATTTCCCCAATGCCTGTCACCAATGCCATGAAAGTTCTCACCCACTCAATTATCATCATCGTCGGAGTCGCTATCGAAAGCATCCTTTACAAAGTGTCCAACTTTTTAACCTTGGCCCACAACCCATCATCGGAATCAGACTCAGAGTTATCGCCATCCTTATCATCGTCCCCCACAAGACCCTCTGTTGTATCGACAAGCCCAGCTATAAAGCGATTGTATGAATAAGTATCTATGTCAACAGGCGATATAAAATAATCACTCACAGAAACTATCTACAACTCCTGCTCCCATACCAACAACATCTCCAATGCCTGGATTTTGCCCTATAGAATCCATAGAATTCGTCTGATCATATGCCGTCGGTGCATTGGAGGTTGTGGCCATTGGAGCTGCAACAGCTGAGGTCATTGGTGATACTTGTGCGATATCTGGGGTGTTCCAGGTACGCTCGCCGGTTTGGCAGTTCACGTAGTAGTATCTCTGGCTGTTAGGGTCCCATCGGGAAACCCACGGAGAAGGGCCGCCTTCCTGAGGTGGGTTTGAAGGGCCTTGGGATCCGTAGACAGGAGTCGGTTTATAGGTCTGATAAGCATGGGTACGTTGTTGAAGGGGGTCGAAGTCAGCATTGCAGCCAATAACATGGCTTTGGCTTTGTCGTTCTTTTCTGTGAAAGAAGCCCATGTTGCAAGTCTTTGGATGGATGTATTGACGAGCTTTGTGGTATTTTGGATATTCCAAAGGAATTGTAGAAGGATGAGTCGAATATACTATTCGAGTTTGAAGGATTTGAATGCCATCTTATATGTTCGGTGATAAGGGGTTTTCACTAAAAATATCTATCAAGTTTAGTCTAAATTATAAATTATTCATGGATGTAATAGATCTACATGATTCTGGTTTCTCATCTTCACTTCTCATGGGGCCACGGCTCATACCTAATTAAACCTGTTATCCAATCGCCATCTAGAATTTCGAGTCTGAGCTTTACTAAATATTGCATCGGGTCTATAAATTCAAGCATTGAATGGCCAATGTTTCTTTTTTTCTAAATAAAGACATTCGATTTTTCCAATACGGAAGTGATGGACTATGGGGGCCGCGAGCCTTCTCAGCTATCTTCAGCCCAACCACAATATTTCTTCGCAGGTATTACTTCAAACGGGCCGGTGATCCACTTAGCGTACGACACCAACAACCTCGCGACCTTGCTAGCTAAGCATTTCGAAGGTTTGAAGACCCATTCGTTCAAGAGTTCTCGTCGTTGCAGGACAAAGTACGCTCTATTTCCTGATGCCGTATAAACATAATCTACCTAGCGATGTTGAGTTCATGTCTTTCTAGGTTTTTTACTACTGCGCTTAGCTTAGTCTAGGGAAACAAAACTCTGACATGCGCAAAGATAAATCCCAATGTCTATTTAATCAATTGCATCCGTTCTTAACCCCTAATGTTCAGCCGAGCTTTTCTCCGAGTAGAATGACAATCGATGCGACCTAGGTCAAATTTTACATCTAAATTTAGGCTGTGAGAGCTTGTTCTATTGTTAATTGCGACAACAATTCTAAATGGACAAAGCGTCTAAATTACCCGCACCCCACACCGAATATCACCACGGAGAATAAATTTTGGCTCCATTTTAGCTGAGCTCACGAAACTGCGCTCAGATAATGTCAATTAGGTTAGCTTAAAGTCTCAGGTGATAATTTAAGGTGATACGGCTATCTCTTTACCTTAATTATTGTGTTATGTTTATATATTCCATGTTTTATACCAAGTTTGGCTTTGAGATGTATACTCGATCGCAATTTCAAAATATATTTCCGTAAACCGTCGAGCCAAAAAAGTTCAAAACACCTTAAAAAAGCGCAGAGAACATACAATTAGCGATGGAAAGAATGAAATAATACGATAAAGATATACATTTGCCTCGGAAGAGAACTCGAAAGTGAAAGTGGACCTATCATCGCGTGGAGTTGATATTCATCCACCCGGAGATTGAATCTATCATGAACTACTACCCACGGAACAAAAGTTCTGAGCCCAGGAAACAGTGAGCCTGGGGAATAGCTAGAACTTCCCTTCAAGTACATGAGTTCTACCCGAAAGTGCAGTAGGCAAATTGAATGAACTCTTGTTATCCTATCATTGAAAGATTTGACTTGATCTTCCCCCGAATTACCTGAAATTGCACATGTGATGTCCGATGGGCTGATTAGTCACGGTATACCAACAGCCTGCATCAATTTACATGTTTCAACGCTGAGTTTAAATGGGCCATTATGGTATATATTTGGTGGATGTAGAGGTTCCAGACGTGGGTGGAAGCTCGCCTTCAAACTGATGGATATACGTATACGTCCCGATATTTACGAATCGATTGTTTTGCAAAGGGGCTTAGTATCATCAAGGATGGCAGTCTCATAAGAGAACTTTGTCTAGAGCAAGAATAATCCAATACTGTTTGACCACATGGATTGTCAGAAATCCTCACCAAGACGACCTGGTATCGTCAGATCTCGCCCCGCTAAAGAGCAGTGCAGACAAATCCCTCTATACTCATTGTCAAGAAAAAGGAAAAGCCCCAGAAAACGGAATATTGAGTGAGTATCCACTCCGGATAGAAAATATGGAAGAAAAAAAGGATATTTTTCATTTGGCTTTCATCACAATGCGCCTGGTTGATCCAGAAAATGGTAGGTTGGGCCTCATTTTTATAGAGTCCTTCAATATCAACACACCGGCGCCGTTAAACCACCATTGCAATATGAACCTTGACCCCCCCACTCGTAAGAGATCACTTAAGCCTTGTTCTGGACAGCCTCACGACCCTTGGCAATGCGCGCAAGGAGAGCCTCACGGTCCTTGTCGATGTGCAGGTTGGTGATGACCAGGTTGGAGGGAGAGAGACCGATGGGAATGCTCTGGCCGTTGGTCTTCTCGCGGACAACACGCTCAACGTGGACGACGTACTTCAGACGGTAGACGGAGGTGATGCGGCCCTCACGACCCTTCTGGGAGCCACGGGCAATGGTGACGGTGTCGTTAATGCGAAGGGGAACAGCGCGGACCTGTAAATTCTTCAGTTAGAATCTTCTTCCCTCTCATTCTTGCTTTCCTTGAATCCGTCTGGCCCTTTCTTGTCCGTGTTGATTTTTGCGTCTTCAATTTTTCGATACCCCATTTCGGCCACACCCGGATCAATTTCAGAATTTTCTTGGTCGGATGAAACGTACGTTGTACTTCTTCTTCAGCTCGGCGGAGAGGGGAGCGGACATGCGCACACGGCGCTCGCTGGAGGGAGCAGAGAAGTGAGCCTTGCGGGACTTGCTCCGCGAAGAGGCGAGACCTATCGGGAATCGATCAGTATTTGGGAAAAGGCGTTGGGCGAAAAGCGAGGGAAGCACGCACTCTGGTTGCGAACAGCCATCTTGATGGAGCGTCCTTGAGGTGGTCGTGAATGGGCTCAAGTGCACGGGTTGTCGGTGGTCGGTTGAGGAGGACTCTTTAGCGTGCTGAATATTCGATGTGGGTTGTGCGTCACATGATGTGCCGCTTGGTTAGGGCTGCGAAGTAGGCATTCATTGGCTGGATGAGTGGTATCCATATTATGTAATCTGAACAGGGACACCGCCTGCTGCAGAGGCTTAACGTTAAGCCTTGGTGCCTTGATGCCTTAACATATGGACACAACATTTCAAATTGACACCTGAACCAGTTGACATCTAGACTGTGGAGGAATGCAACAACGCTTGTGATTGGCCCATTTATACTACTTGTTCAGCCGACCGACTAAACAATTGATGTGGATGAAATTGATATATCATTAATCAAAGACGAAAGAGTGAGAGTCCTTATGATGAAAGTGGTAATGATTTTCTTCCTTGTTAAGGAGATGTTGTATAATTTTACTGGTCAATGTAAATGCTTCTGGAATATTTCCGGAATATCGCTTGCCTTGGCATAAACCCCGTTGAAATGTTGATAAAATCCATTGAGAAACGTTTAGGCTATCTCTATCGATAGGTGAAGTACGATCAATAGGCCACATGATTATGGATCACAATTGTTCCCATTTGAAATACTCAAAAGTAAAGAAAATATAAGATAAATCACTAAACAAGCTAGATATGAAACCAAATCTAGATTGCCAAAGATCAGATATTAGAAGAAAAAGTTGCTAAGATCGTAATGAGACATTTGGAAAAGTTTAAACAAAACTCCAGAGTATAAATAACTCGCCGAGATGGTGTAATATGAACAGACGACGACACCAAAACAGCATTTTACATCAAGAGAGCGGAAATAACAACAGCGAACATAACGCTGAAGATATTAATTATATCCGAACGAGAGCCAGCGGCATTGAAGGCTGGTGCGATTCCCTCAGGTGTGGAAGTGGGTGCACCCGAGCTACCAGAGACAGTGCTCGTGGTAGTTGGGTGGAAGACAAATGACGGGCTGTGGCTGGAGGTAGAAATTCCACCAGCTCCAGGAACCAGAGCGGTTGAGGTGGGACGACCAGGAACACCGCTGGAAGAGCTGGGCAAAGTGGGGGTCACAATCGAGGCAGGGGCGGTGTAGGGCACGGTCAAAGTGACACTGGAACCGGTGGGTCCACAGCTCTCACAGAAAGAGACAGTGGTAGTAAATATCTCGGTCTCAGTTGACTGGACGACAGTAGTCTCTGCTGATGGGATGCCGGTAGTCTCTTGCTGAACGGCGGTAGTCTCTGTAGTAGCCTCAACAGATGACGTGGGGTTGGGTAGAGTCAGAGTAACAGTTGTCGGGGTCGCAGCGCACTGGGTGCAGACAGTCACAGTGGTAGTCCAGCCCTCGGGGACAGTGGCGCTAGTAGTGGAAGCCCCAGATGGAGGGTTGGTTACAGTAGCGGAAGCTGTGGTAGCGGTCTCAGGGCAAACATAAGTAGTGTATGTGGTCCAGATAGTTGTGAAGCCAGTAGGGCAGATATCAGTGTACGAAGTAACAATGACAGTGGTGATTGTCTCTGGAGCGGATGAGGCAGGAGCAGAGGTCACTGAAGGCAAGGCAGTGATGGTAGTCTGAGTAGTGCCCTTGCCACCACTTGGCTGTGGCACACCGGTCGCACTGGACGTGGAGCCAGATCCAGCGGCATTGGATGTAGAGCCTGATCCGATAATAATGGTGCTTGTTTCAAGGATACCAGAGGAGCTTGAAGAGGCAACAGAAGTGACAGACTTCGAGATCGAGCTTGGTAATCCTGTTGACTCTGAGGTACGAATGAGCGTAGAGGTGGAAGACTGGCTAGACTCCGGAACACTGCTGGAAAGACCAGAGGAAGTAGGACGGACAGTAAGAGGAGTAGAAGAAGAAGAAGAAGAAGAAGGAGAAGAGGAGCTGGAAGATGAATGATGGGGACGACCGCTCGGAGTACGAGTAGAGTGAGGCCCAGTGGGTGTATGGGAGCCCGAGGGCTTCCAGCTTGAGTGCACATGCGAGTGGGAGTGTCCGTGTGAGTGGGAGTGCGCATGCGAGTGCGAGTGGGAGTGCGAGGAGTGGGTCGCAGAGCTTGAAGTGGTGATCGAGCTGGACTGGACGGAAGCGCTGCTTGAAGGCACCGACGAGGAAGTATGGGCTGGCAATGGGCTCACGGTACGGGTGATGGTCAAAGTTGGCGAGGCAGAGGAAGAGCTGGCAACGACCGACGAGCTAGAGGCAACTGAGGAGCTAGAGACAGCAGAAGAGCTAGTAGTGACCACACTGCTAGAAGGCACCACTGTGGAAGAATGAACCGGTGTAGGAGTCACAGTGGGAATGGTAGATGTTGTCGAATGAACCGGAGGAGGGCACAAAAAGTCAAGAACCTCCTTCATCTGCTCACAATAGGTCCATCCTCTCCAGTCGGTGTTATTATCGGAATATGTAGCCTCCCATAGCATAATACCACCAAACTCAGGATACTCGCTCACGTACTCAACCAGAGTGAAGACTTCGGCCGACTCTAGGTAAGACTCAGGGCTAGATACACTGGCCGCACCAACAGCTGCTGGAAGTCCGACAAAGAGTTTGGCATCGGGGTTGGCACTGGTCTTGATGACATTGACCCAACCATCAAAGTCAAAGCCCACGGTTCCTGGCAAGGCCCCAGATATGAAAGCACGGGCATAGCATGCATCTGTGTTATAGAATTGAACCCAAATGAAGTCAAAGTGGGAGTTTGAGATGGCATCGCTGAGCTGCTGGTCGGGGATATTACACTGAGGAGCACCTGAGATGTAGAAAGACTCGAGGGGATACTTGGCATAGTGGCTACGGAGGCGGTTGATCATTGCAGCGTATCCTTGATATTGTTAGCTGGCACTCCGATAGATGATAGAGAAGCTTGACTTACCATCACCACCATCAGACTCGATATCAAAGTCGAATCCATCGAGAACATTAAGCTCAAAGGGACGAGGGAAACCCTCCGCGACAGCGCTGGCATTAACAGGACCGAAGGAATACCATAAGAAATCAGCAAACCACTCGGCGACCTCATCACTCATGTCACCAGGATTTGCCGAGTCACCACCGATAGAAAGAAGAACAGTCTTTCCATTTGCCTTACAGCTGGGGATATCCTCCCAGATCTGATGGCAACCCTTGAGAAGTGATGTACCATCATAGACAGTTCCATCACACTGGTTACCAAAGTTCGAGCCTGGCCAGTCACCGACTTTCTTGGGGAAGACATTGATGAATCCCAAGTTAATGATATCCATCGAAGTCTCCTCGCAGAAGTGGCTCAGGCGAGGCTGGTTAGCACCTTGTCCCTATGAAAGCGTATCAGTGGAAGGCAAACCAAAACCCAAAGACATAGTGGCGTACATAGTAGACAGCAACGTTGGACTGGAGATCCACATCGAGGGCAAAAGAAGCCGACAAAAAGCTGGACATCAACGCCGCAGCGCCGGCAAAAACCTTCACTCCAACCATTATAAAATCGAAAAAGGAATGACAACCGAGCTAAAAGAATGTCTCAAGTAGTGAATGAGTGAAAATGGCTATATAGCACAGTTCGAAAGAACGAAAGGACGCAGACAAGTGCCTGCAGGGTTATCACTCAAGGAGAGAGAGTGGGAGAAGATTTAGGGCATATAGGAAGTTGAGAAATAGGATCTCCTAGATTAAAAGGAAGTGACACCTATCTCCCCTTCTCAGGCACAGGCCTTGGAACGGGAAAATCCGAAATTAGTCTAAATGGGCCATCCGGAAAGCTCGGCCGGCTAATGGATGTACAGCTATGCTATCACATCATCTCATTGAGCCAGGGTACCTGGCTAATACCCTGGTACCTGATTTTTCCTTGGTTTCTGGGTTCTTAGCTTGTACATCGAGTGTCCACAATTTCCACTTTTCCACTACTATACTCCACATGACCCTGCTTGGTAGACGAAAGAAATAATAATAATAATAAATGAGTTATGCTTCATACTAGAGCCTCGCCGCCTGCACAAGACTCCATCATGTACATAGATAATCCATTTGTACATGAGGTAAGTGAATACCTGTTCCTGTCTGTATACATTATGAGAACGGGTAATTACGAGCGAGTATCTTAACGGCTAAAATATTTTTGTTATGTGATCAAAAGAGTCGAACTGTCCACCAACCAGAATGAGGATGATGTTTAGAGCCGCATCAGGATCGCTAAGTTTGCCAAGGATCTCTAGGCTCAGGGTCCGGGCACAGAGCCCAAAATGGAGGGCGATATCTAACCGACCTCGAGAAGCCAATAATCATCGACGGAGAGCTCCGCCACATGGACTATGTGGATATTATAATGCATTTGTGTATACTGTACTCCGTACAGCGTCGCCTTTGTACCATGTTTTCTGGGCACCGTCAGTCTAATCTCGGGAAAATTATGGACCTGGGAATATTTGCAGTTGAACGTGAGATATGTAATATCTCATATCTGGTAGGTATATTATTAAATTCTTCACCTTATCAAGAAGGGGAAAAAAATCCTAGGGAAACCCCATTACAAAAACCGGAGGAAATTAACAGCAACCACGTTGTGAACAGCAGCATCGCAACCGAGATTCTCTTAGTGGCAGAGCTAAGCCTAGTGCCAGCGCTAACTTGAACCAGGCACACCAATCAGCACCCGAATCACTCAACAACACACGGTCAACCCGGCACCAACCGGATCAGCACACCGTTTACCCATCGGAAAGTTCTTTTTAGCCCCAATTTGCCTACAGTTCTTGATCATTTCTTGGCCACCCGGAGTACCACCGAGTAATGTTACCCTGAAAAAAGTGGAGAGATCACAACTAATCTCGCTATCTCACAAGGTACAATTACGATTGTTAGCGCAAACAGCACTCCAAAAACCGAGTCCGCTCACATGTTTCCCTGCTAATAAAAAATGATAAATAAAACGCTGCGCATGCCCCTCAAGTTCCCTTGCTCTACGTTCGCACTAGCTACCTGAAAGGGCATGACCGGTAAATTAAAATTAATCCACACCTAAATTTTGGATTTCCGTCTACGACCTAAAAACTCGAAGCCAACAAGGCCAGAGTGTAGATCTCTATTAAGGAGTCCTCTTTGCCTCCTCGGACCGGTCCCCACGTCAATCTGCGTTAATCTGCCGGTAGGGCTAGTGTAGAATGTTCTTGGCAGGCAACAAAACTTGTTCATCTCGTTGGTTTCCTAGCTTAGCTTAGTACATTCTGTTATCCCCCGAGCCACGGTGCCCTGATCAATAGTCCAGGATGTAGACCCTTCCAAGATCCACCCATACAGCCTCTCGCATCATTGTCGCCTCTGGGGCCAGGCTAAGAAAGTCAATTTTATCCAGGGAAATTCGACGATGGCTATGGAGTGTTAACAGTTTTAGTAAAATTTGAATTAAACGTTGAGGGGCTTTCTAAGACTAGATTTTTTTGGGTTTTAAGTCTTCGACTGGAATTTTCTTTCTCTTTATTGCGCACTTGTTCTTTACTTTCCTTATTTGTTTGCCTCTTTAACTCGTTGCTCTCGTTATCGAAGAAAGAAGAAAGAAGGGAGAGAGAATAGAAAATCTTAATAAGTCCATAGGGTCCAATCGGCTCAGCTGACCAAAAAAACAATTGTACTCGAGAAAAGCCCCAGGATCCTGGATAGTAACCTCGCTTCTGCGCAATTGGGTAATCATCACTTTATATGCTTGGGCGCATCGTCGTTTAGCTTGGGAATCCTTCCACCTCCTATTTCTCAAATACAACCACTCTTGGTGTTGAAGAATATAGTTTACTCTGCTCAATTTGCAGTCATACATACATCGATATCTAGCAAATAACGATATTTTACACTTCGGGAATTCCGAGATCTATGATGCCTGCGCTCTTACAACATGACATTGAACCACCTACAAGCATACCTTTTCTAGATGGCAATGCAGTACCCAGTCAATATATTACCCCTCTAGTGTTTACATCTCCCTTGAGACGAACTTGTATAGTAACAGGATGGTATTCTCGTCAATATAATACCAGCAATGTACTCGCTTTCTTCTAACAGGCTCACCCCTGAGGGGTTGCCCCACCGGAGAGGGGAAGAGGACCCCCGCTGTCCAGGGAATACTGACAACACCAAGAGGCGCCCAGCGTGTGGAAATCAAATACAACGCCACAAATATCCGACATAAGATGGCTGACCCAATAGAGACATTGGAAACAGGCCCAGCGTTCTTTCTCACCCCAAAGGGCCGCATGGTACTGGGCGAAGGCGTCACCTACCGGGCTAGTGATTCTACCCTCCACTGGTTTGATTGTCTCTCCTCTCCAAGCGAACTATACGTTTTGCCAGTGGATCCACAAACAGGAGCTGCGACTGGCCCATCGCAAATAACCCCGCTGTCAGACAGTATCACAGTTGCTGCGTTTCGTCAAAATAAACCCGGCAGCTATGTCGCCGCCTATTACCAAGGCGTCTGCTTCCTAGACGAGGCGACCGGACAATTTGACGTAGCGTGTGAAATTATTCCATCCACAGAGCGGAGCATCCGCCGATTCAATGACGGTGGTGTTGATGCAGCCGGGCGTTTTTGGCTAGCTGAAATCGACCTTCAGGCCATAGCCTTTCCCAATGGAAAAATACCGGCTGATTATGGCGTTCCCAAGGGACGTCTTTGGCGATACGATCCAGATGGAAGCTTGCATTTGATGCTTCCGGGGGGGATTATTTGTGGAAATGGCGTTAAATGGAGTCCGGATAATCGGACGAGTAAGTGACCCTGAAATCACCATGTGTCCCGTACTGGTATAAGAGTGGCCCAGAATGGAAGACTGATTACTGCAGTGTATTTGAATGATTCTTTTGCTATGAAAATAACAGCACTAGACTTTGATATTTCCACAGGAAATGTTTCAAATCAGCGAACCCTAGTTGATTTCCAGGGGACGAACGGCCAGCCAGATGGAATGGTTTTAGAGTGAGTACTATCAGCACGACACCTGAACCGAGTATGGATTTCTTTATTGACTGTGTTGTTATTTAGTTCTGATGGTAATTTATGGGTGGCCATCTATGGAGCCAGCAGTGTTATGGTTTTTAATCCGGAGGGGAAGCTTTTGAGACAAATCAAACTTCCTGCCGTGTACCCAACTTGTCCAACCTGGGGAGGTAAGAACAACGATATCTTGTATATCACCACCGGAACAGATCGTACAGGTAATCCGGATCCTAGTGATGAAGGTGGTCATATGTACATGACTCATGTCACGAATGTCCGTGGAGAGAGCAAGCATGAGTTTGGTGGTTAAAGAGTTACACATGATTTAACCACACATCAAGGTTGTTCTATGCCCTTTCAAGCAGCTCTGAATAGAAAGATGATCCTCATAAAAGTTTCATGAAGACGCCGTAGGAATTGGCTAGCTATTTAATGACAGGTTCTCCATAGGTGTTTCTTTAAGCAAGACTCCACAACCTCAAATTTCGATGCGCGTATAAACACGAAATGGGCATAAAGATAATCCAGAATGTTTTCCATCGGTCAAATCTCTCCCTTTACATTCTCTTTTATTGGGGCTTGTCTCTTCGTACGCTAGTCCCTTGAACTAGTCCCTTGAACTAGTCAGCTAAAGTTTGGTAGGATAGCGTATTTTCTGACAGAAGTGGCCTGGCTTAAGCTGAGAAACTTCATAGCATTCCACGTCAGAGACTGTCAGTGTTTTCATGTGCAGGCCGAAGTGGTCAAATATGAGGCTCCTGGATGCTTTACCTTGTTGTCCCTCGCCGTCGACAGGAGGGCCCCTCGGATCATGTGTTAGCGTTTAAGAAGATTCGGGATAGCAGTTTTGCCTGTCAAATTATAGAAGATAATTCTCGATATAAGGTCTTTTCAATAAAACTTGTAAATTGTCGGACAATCTGTTGTACTAATGGTGGTACGATAGTTAACACTGGTAAGGAGGTGTAGATGTAGGTGTGGTTGTTGCGGAACGTCATCGAGGGATGGTGCTCCCTACAAACCAGACCACACAAAGCGCACCCCGACCCTACTTTGAAGTCCCTCCAGGGCGGCCCTAGGTCAACAAAATAATAGGTTTGACACATTTTGCAGGAATTCTGGCAATTTCGGAGATTTTCACCAGGAGTAGGCGAACAGTGACGTCGGCTGGTCATGATCTACAGGGATGGAGTCACCACACCACGTCTACCAGAAAGAAAGCCCCTACCACTAGCCTGAGAAGTGGGAGGACCTCCTAGTTCAACATTCCATCTGGGCAGCCGATCAGCAGATTGATTAATCTGCCCCGAATCAATGAAGGCCATGGTCGCGGCTGGGATTCTTTCCATGCCCGCCCCTCGGGAGGCACATTCCACCCCTCCACACTCTTTTCGCGTCGACGCGCGACGGAGCCTATGGAAGCTCATTTAATTCCTTTTTTAGTCCTAAGGGCCTGCTCTTGTTCCTTACCATCCCACCATCCACAATTAATGAAGTTTTAGGACAACAGTGGCCGGTGCTTACGGCTATTCAATATCCTACTGCCTCCACACCCCTTCATTAGGATATACTCTTTCGCTTCAGCAGATTTTATACTCGACTGTTCCGGTTATACAGGGAAGCCTGTATAGCGGTCTCTCGCAAGTTGCTTCAACATGTCTTCTGGGTTTTCTGTGGCACCACGCAAAGAGGGAACATGGACTAAACTGGTTATATTTGCTGCTATCTACTGTTTGATTCTCGAATCACTTCTGCAAATGGTTTTGGTGTTATACCTCTATGGAAATGGCAAGGTCGACTCAAAAATGACTGCTAGTTTGGTGCTAGCACTAGTATCGGTATGTCTCGGTGGGTTTCTTATATACAACGCGTTACTAATTTGTTTGCAGTCCATTCTATCCATCCCGTTGATTTCACTTCAGAGCTTGGTCGCCTGGCAATACAACAAAATTGGAGGTTTTGGCCAGCAGAAGACAGTATTGCATAATGTCTGCACTTACGTTCTGAGAATCGCCCTTATGATGTGGCTCGCGACAAGTGTCTCTGGTCTGGTAGTTGCTGCACAGCAGGTGTATTGTTTGCCCGAAGGGACGCATGCGACGTTCTGGCGAGTCGGGATGAGCTGTGCTTTTCATCGGGCGACAGTCATTGTTTCAATTGTGTCATTGTAAGTTAGGAAGACCTAACTTTCAGATGACTGCCGACTAACGAGGAATTTCTAGGGTCACTGTGTGCACACTCTACTGTGCTAGAGAACTTTGTGATCGACCATACGATGTTTCGATCATTGGAATATACCGGCGCCCAATGTTATTGAAAGATGGCAGTATCTTCTCTGGACATAGCTGGGATAGCGACGAGACCCTCAGAAACGAGATCCTAAATCTGTGTCGCCAACATGATGGAAAAGCGGCGGAAGAGCCGTGGAGCGTGGATCCACTGGCCAACAAAGTGAGATGTCATCCCAGTATTCGACACCCAGCTCCAATTTGTCTTCGTCCACAACTTCGAGTAAACACGGATCAAGGCTCTCAATACGGCGAGATTGCCTCGGGAACCACCGCATCTCCAGACGACACCTTCCCTCGTATCTCTCCAGGAGGCCAAACACTGAGCGATTTCTTCTTCCCTATATCGCGAACTTCTACCGTCCTGACAGCTCAGACGTCCAGCGAGTCACGAAACTTGCTCTCGGATTTCCCCGTCCCAAAGGTCCCGGCCATTCCAAAGCAATACACCAGTCACAAGCGAGGAAAATCGTCTCTATCATCTTTGAAACGCTTCTTCCCCAAAAACCTCCCATTCTCGCTGCCTTTATCATCGGATCCTCAGATCCGCGCACTAGCAGATCCAAACGCCGCGTCCGATGTCGAAAAGCAAGTCGTCACGCCATCAATGAGAGATAACCCCCCTGAAGCAGTTTCACAAACTCCTGTTTCTACAACCGTGAACCAACCAACCAACACCGTCACCAAAGAGCAACCTTCAAAGCCCGAGGGCCACAATCGAACAATGACCATGAACTCCGCCGATGCTCCAGAAGTAGTAGTTCAAAAGCCTGAACCAGTGAAAGTCAAACGCTCCCAAACTGCAACAGCCAGCTTCGCCCCAACCCAAATATCCATCCATCACCCACACCACCCCAACTACGTCCCACTCCCCCCATCATCCCGCCCATACTCCCAATCATGTCGAAAAAACTCCTCTCCCCTTCCCTTTCCCACCGACTCAAACACCAACAGGCGCACAAACGCTCGTAAGCTACCAACCATGCACCATCCCGTCCGCAGTACCACCTACCAATTTGATAATTCTATTCCCCGCCATACACAAAGCCAGTACCAGCCGCAATACATCGCTCCTCCAGCTCGGTGGGCAAGCTTCCACACCTTTGATCCCCGCCAAGCAGGAGCTGCTGTACCGCGTCGCAACGATGTCGAGGTCATTTATCCTAGCACCCGCAGGCCGAGAAGCAGTACCAATGGTGGGTTGAATGGGCCATTGAGCTGTATCATGGAGTCGGCTTCTACCCCGCGAGCTTCTGTTGATGAGTCGAAAATGAAGGCTGGAACTCCAGAGCCAACGCGGAATGTCATTGACCAGATGACGTACCGGGGTGCTAATCGCACTAGCTTGAGCTTTTATTAGCCTCGTACTTTGTGAGTAATGCGGTTGTCTGCTGGTCGGACTGCTGTTTCTATTTCTTGATGTTCTTTAGTCTTGGATGCCATATAAGTGTTCATGGAGCGTTGTATGATGGGCGAAAACGGTGGCCTTGTTTATCTAGTGTTGCGTTTGATATTAGTCTCTTGTTTCTTTTTCAGATATACTCTATATACCAGATTCGTCATAGTAATGAAAGATCACAAGTTCTTGAGAAGTTATGTCAACCAGTTAGCTTGAAGTGTGAAGTTTCTAGATTATAGAGTCAAATCGGCCCCTTAGAAGAGACTCACTATAAATCTTCTTTGCAATGTCGTTCAATATAAGCCTGCGATTCGTATTATGGTGGGTTTATTTAGATCCACGTAAAGAGCAAGATGAAACACTCATTAACAAATTTCAATTTACAGGCAGAAAAGCAATTGTACGCCACCATGAGCTACCCCAGAATGCAATGGGCTAATACACAATTGAAAGAAAACAAATCCATATCCATATCCACATCGAGACCAGTCCCGATATAAGACCAAAAAAACCAAAGACGACACGCTGACAATTAGGCCTTTCTTTCCCGGCTTTCCCGGCTCTTAGATCGGTGCTTCTGAGAATACTTGTATTTGTATGCTTGGCCCTGCTTTGTCTCTTTCTTGCCGTCACGATTCTCCTTCCCCTCAGCAAAGGCACCAGGCCCACGGCCCATTTCCTTCTCACCCCAGTACATCATCAATGCTTTGGCCATGCGATCTCGCTCCTTGAGGAGTAGATCAACGCGACGTTCCCACTCGCGCTCTCGCTTGTCTACCGATAAAGAGATACGTTGGTCAATTGCTGCGGCAGTCTCGTCCTTAGCGGCAATAACGGCCTCAAGACGCTTGATCTCTGACTTGAAGGACCTGCGCAGCTGAGTATCTTGGGTGTTTACCGAGGTGCGTAACGTAGTGAGTTCGACTCTAAGCTCGGCTTCGCGTTGTTCAGCGGTAGTAAGAGAGTTTCGGATCTTACGCATGGACTCAGCATGTGAGGAGCGGAGGGTGGAGACCGCGGTAGAATGGGCTGTCTGAAGGCTCATGATCTGGGCTTGGTGGGCTTTTTCTAGGGCAGCTGTGTCTGGAGCGTTGTTTTGTTCTGCGCTAAGAGCGCCGTGCGCTTTGGGTGGAGATGGCGGAGTGCTAGGAGGCTGACCGAGTGCATCTTCTTGAAGGCGAGCGATGGTTTCAAGAGATTCTGCATGCTCCTCTTGTGTTCGAGTCAAGTCATGCTGTGTCTGGTTCAGAGTTGTTGTCAACTCTTGCACCCGGGCTGTAAGGCGTAGATTTTCAGATTCGATGGTTTTAATGAGGTTTTGCATCTCGGTTGCTTGCTCGCGGAGGCAATTAGCTTCAACTTCTGCGGCCCTTTGAGCGCTAGAGGCGTCTTGCACTTCTTGTTGGAATTTCTTCATCTCGTCGCGTAGTTGCTGCACATCTGAACTGGCGGAGAATTTCTCTTGCGTCGGGGATTCAGGTTCGACCTCGGACTCCGGAGGGCCTAAGTCTTTGATAAGATCAAGGATTTCACTGTATGTGCTACGGCTACCGAAGGGCAAGTCAGCAGCCATACTCTTCAGAGCGCTCTCTTGTGCCTCCACTTGAGATTGTACGCGAGTGAGGTCAGCCTCAAGGGACTGGTTTCTCTCTTCCAGGGGTTGATTTTTTGTTTCAAGATTAGTCAGGCGGTCCTCAAGAGCTTCGTAGTCTGTGTTGGCATTGTCCAATTCCGTTTCCAATTTCTCGTTTTCAAGGGCCATATCATCAAGATCTGATTTGAGACGCTCGATCTCATCGTTCTTTTCACGAAGATGCACCTCTTTGGCATGTGTAACATCTTTCAACTTCGCCAGTGTCTCATCCATTGTTGCGTCTCGCTTTTTCAGCTGTTCTTGAGTGAGATTCAGCTGCTGTCGCAAGTGAGAGATCGTCTCTAATCTCTCTGCATCTAATGAGCTTTGTGATTCTTGATTCTTCAGCTGTTGTTGCATATCACGAATCTTTTGCTCAAGGGGAGCAATATCTGTAGGGGTTGCGGCTGAGGCCGATTGCCGAAGAAGGTTCTCGCGCTCATCGGCTTGCTTTTCAAGGGTCTGAATCCTCTCAAGGAGCACCGCTTGTTCCCCACTCTGAATTTCAATGGCTGCAATATGCTCATTTTTAAGCTGCAGCTCAGCCTGAAGATGTCGGATCTGTTCACTCGCCGAGGCTGCCTCTAGTATCCGACTACGGTTCTTAAGAAGCTGTTCATCTCGATCATGGAGTTCCTTTTCGAGCTGCGCCATACGCTCTTGTAAACGTTCTTCTCGTTCTTCTGCTTGATCTCTCCAGCCATTCGACATTCTGCGAGAAGATGGTGACTCCGGGCTTGGTAACCCGTCAGCAGGGTCCTCCTCAATATCTTCGAGTTGAGTTGAATCCTTGGCCAGGGCACTGGTTCGGTGCAAGACATGCGATGGAGTAGACATGTCCACTGGTGGGCCAAACTCGCTGTATTCCACCGAATCAGCCTCCTCTTCGACCACCGGCTGTCTTGATCGCAAAGAGGAATGCCTCAGGGATGTATTGGCCTCGTTGGTGCGGGATTTCCGGGTACTCGACATGCCTTCTCCCATCAAGTATTTCTCCATATTGGCCGTGAAATCTTCCGGGCCACCGACATCAGACAGCCCATCCTCAATATCGTTTTTCATATCTGGAAGCGGGATCTCATCTTGTCCGTCTGCAAAGTTACCGCTAGGAAATTGGCTGAAGTCCAAGGTGTAGTTCGCGAGTCGAGCATCTAAATCCGATCCTGTTGGACTCCCTGGAGCTGAATGGTGTGAAAGACGATGTATTTCATCTTCTGGGCCTTGCTTGTCATTATTATGGTGTTCAGGTTCAATTTCATCGTCATCATCGTCTTCGGGCCCGAAGTGATCGGAGATGGGGCTTTCGGCGCGCAGCGGGGAATCGGGGGGAGTCGGACTAGTCTCGTGATTTGCAGGAGGAGAAGAAGGCATGTAAAGGGGAGTTACTAGAGTCGACTGTCCAATGGTGTCGTGTGAGGTTGGGAAAGGCGACGTGTAGCCAGCGTTGGCCATGGCGGCGGACGCGTCTGGGATGCGCAGTAATGGATGCGATCAAGCGAATGGACCAAAACAGTTTTTGAAATTCAGATCGAGAGGTATTTTCAGATTCGCATGATTTGCGATCAAATCCCGGTGAATAAAAGTAAATAACAATAACAATTTTGCGGGGACTGAGTGAACGATAGAGCTTGAAACAACAGAGATGCGGGTCAAACAAATCGATCCGCGTTGGCCTCAGGCACTCTATTTACCTCCTACCAATTTAGGATTAGACTTTCCCCATCTATCACTCTTACACAATACGAAGTAGATGAATATCCATGGATAAACACAATATACATTTAATTTCATTCAAGTTCAGCTGAATGCTTAGAGTTTATTACATGACGTATCTCATGTGGATTTCCATTCCCCAAGTGCCGGCGGCACAACGGATGGCTCATGGGATTTCCAAGTATGACATGCATGTGCAGAGCCCTCATGGCCGAACTCCGTAGCAGCTTCCTCAAATTCGCGGGCTGCTTTTTTTGTTGCTCGTCCACCTGCAGAAGATATCTCACGCTAAGATTTGGTGAGCATATTCCACGGAAAAAGAAGAGACTGATTGAAATACTCTCATACCTGCTTCACGGGGTCCATACTATGAAATCCACCACTACCTTTCGCTTTCCCGCCTTTTTTCCCACCTCGATATCCTATTTCTTCTAACTCTTCTCTAGGGCGGTTGGCAAAATTCCCTGGGTTCGGATGATGTCTATGCGCGACGGTGGCAATGGAGCGGTGGCTTCCGAGAGCGACTGACTCGAGCCGCAATACTGCGAGGCGAGGCAAAAGAAGCGACATTATTCGAAAGTAATAACAGTTATAAGCTGATAGACTTCTAGATAGTTGAGTTATGTAGTACAAAGTTTTAAGCTCTACGAACGCTTGGGTCATATATAGTTGGCCACCATTGCCACACAGAAGGAGCAGTGTCGTAGATCCTACGTATTGCTACCTATGCTTAGTAGGATATTTAAAGTTAGTAGTAATTAGGCATTCCCGGGTTACTAGCACCAAGGTTATTCTAGAAATAAACTCGGGTCGTCCAGCCATTCGCGAAAATTGCTCTAAAGGCTTTCCCAAAAGCTAGAGGATCCATTGTCCCGCGTTTCAAATGACGTATATTCCGACCTTGATACCTTCCTGATACTTCCGCCAGAGCTTCGACGTGAAATCGCCCCAAATATCTCCCTACTGTCGACTTTCTTAATCTCAGACTTTCTTCAATAGCTATGATTTCACTTTTTGAAAGCAAGCAGTTATGGAGAACGAGATTACCTTCACTTACTAACAGAGATGGAAATTTACAAATGAGATGTGAGAGTGATATATCGTAGTACATAGTCACTGGTATAAAAGGGATCGGCTTGTCGGTCGTTGAAGAAAGCAGTGGCACTACAATGAGACGGTTAGGGAACTTTATCTTATTACTGGAGCTCCTGGTCTCCTTTCATCAGATGGTTACGTCCAATCAGAGAATCTACGTTGCACCGTGGCAATTCCCGAAAATCAATTCTATCAAAATTGTTGTCGTGCTTCTCGGACTTATAATTATGGACAACGCTCGGAACCTCGCCATCCGCTCAAAAATCCCAAGATATCTGTGCTTGGTGTTCTGATAGTGTTACTTGGGTGTCCCACACAATTAGCCTGCCTTCTAAAGTCCTGGAAATTGCTGTTTCTGTTCTTACGGAAGGTGAGTCTACATATATCACAGGAATCAATTTTTTTCGTGCATCCAACGAATATGAATTATCTTTCGGCTATCAAATACCGGGAAAACGAACCATAGTTGATCTGCGTGGCGGTGTTTTGACGGGGTTTGATGTCTTGTTGGAACAAAAGGTATTCATGCTATATGCGCAATCACAACAAGGTCCGATAGCATAGGGTACAATTGGGCAGGCGAACGAAAATGACCCCTTCGACAACTGTTGTAGACGTAAAATCAGAGATTCTAGCCATTTCTGGAGATTTAACGGTGAGTAAGGCATTGAAACTATCAAAGCAAAAACCAGGTCAATTTGCAACACCAGTGGTACTGATTCTGCACAGGATTATAGGATGAAGTCTTTCGCGCTAGGCTCAACTCTTCCCATTTCATTATCGCTGTCATAGTTAGCAGCAAAGTGATGTTTGCTTCGATCAATGTACGATTTACAGTTGGGTAATCTGGCAGGATTACCCCGTCGCAACGATTTCATTTCGCGCAATCTATTTTTATTTGGCCCCCGGGGCGCGTCGGCTTGGGAGATCTGAGGATTTGTCTTTCGCGAAATTTTAATTTTAATTTTATTGTTTTGTTTTTGGTTTCTACCAGACTTTTGCAATGGGTCCACGGGGCCGTGAGGTATAAATAAGATTCAAAGCTGATTGAGCCTCTTTTCTCTGATGTACCCAGCCACTATACGGAGTAATTATTTGATAAATGCTCGGTAATCCCTTCGTCCCCTCATATAATCCTCTGCCAAGAGAAGAGAATTTCGCATTGACTACTCTAATCAGGAAATCAGCCTCACGCCACTGCGGGGACCTCCACTTGGTCAAACGTGCTTGAGTACGCTAACCCGTAGTGGGATCAGATCTACAGAGACCCTTAGGGTCTTTCGTTCCTTCCACTCGAGCTAGATTGCTTCATTGGACAGAAGTCATAGTCTGCCCCCACCTAAAAAATCCTTCTAGAGTTTGCTTTGAAAAGATATTGGCGGGCTGGTGGGCGATCAACCCCCTGACTTTTCAGGCTTGTGGGCTGGGCTTCCGAGATCTGTCTGTCTTTAGCATCCCGATCATCTTCTCCGGCGCATATATTCCCCCACTGCTGGCGTCTGAAGGGGCATTTTTGGGCCGGGATACTCTCATTCTGTACAATCATGTCGACTACAGTAATGCAAACATCCACGGCGGAAGCGTCGTCCACTTTTGTGGCTGCAGACTATACCCCAGGCCCTGATTTCATGGGCTGGTATCTGTCCGTAACGCGTGCGTCATTCCCATCTCAGATGAAACAGGCAAGAAACTGACCTACAGCAGCATCACCTGTAACTTGCGGCAATGGAGGTGTCTACCATACCACCTTCCTTACGCCCGAGGGTTATACAACTGGATATGATTTTGGAGCATGTTCTTATACGGATAACGGAAACTACCCCACGGCCTGCAGCGATGGAACATTGCTATACAACGATGGCGGCTTCGGTGCCTGGTATTTATATCTTTCCTTACATGTGCTCTCTTAGGGGATTGTCTCCTTCCAAGGGTTGAACATAGACTAAATTTTTTTCGTTTAGTGCGAGTTCTCTCACGTGCGGTGAAATCAGTATCTACCCCACAGACCACGCAGCAGATGAATATATCACCTGGGCATACCAATGCTTCCAGCGCGGGGATTCCATAAGCCTCTGTCGCACCCTACCTGCCGAATATGACAAGTCAACTGTCGCAGCTGCAACCACCAATGCCGGCATGAATCCTTCACCATGTAAGTCAGCTTCGATACGTACCATCTATTGTTGGATTCAGTCCACCACGTTTCCCTACAAACATACTAACAATATCCTTGTCAACAGCTGCCACAGAAACCCCGGGCATTACATCTACATCTACATCCATATCCACATCCAGTCCCGACTACGACCCATCCAGCTCCGCCGGCTCCTCCGGCTCCTCCGGAATATCAGGCGGCGCAATCGGTGGAATAGTAGTCGGATGCATCGCAGGCGTTGTGATTCTCCTGTTTCTCCTCTTCCGAAAGAGAATCATGGCTTGTTTTGGTCGCGGTAAACCTCCAGGTGGTGATGATGGTCCATACTGGTCGCCAGTGCCACCGCAGACTGAGTCTGTATCACACACAGATCATTCAACGATGCCACCTTCTGAAATGCCGTCCGAGCAGAATGCAATTCATGAAATGGAGACGCAAATACCCCATGAGATTGGCTCATCAACTTCTCCACCAATGCAAGAAAAGATCGTTCATGAGCTTGGTTAATGATATTCTCGCCATGGATTCATATCAATAGATGCGTCTTGTGGAGTTGAAAATCTTCTTTTTCTTTATTTGATTGGTTACGGTGGATATAGTCTTCATAATACCTAGGTAGCATGGCGTTTTGGATATAGTACATGAATGCGCTCTTTCTTCAGTTTCAATGATTCATCTCATTTCATTCGTAATTTCAGGCTATATGCTTGTTATTTTATCCAACCTTTTTGAGGAATACGTGACATTTCCGAGTGATCGGGTTCTAGGGCAGAATAGGTCCTTGAGCTAAAAGACCCGAGAACCGCGTTGAACAAAATATTTCTTCTATTATTCCGCTTCTTTTATAGGCAAGTCATCTAGATCATTTAATTTTCAATAAGAAACAATTTCATAATCCCATGCCCAAGTATGACATGGATGGTCCTCTTGATCCAAACGAACTGGGCGACGATACCAGAATTGCACCTTTGTCTCGCCCGGTAGAAATTCAACACGGACAGCGTCAATTCTGGCAGTTTCCGGGATTCTTTCCCAACTTTCATATCCTTCAGACTCTATCCTGATCAAGCGACCTAGCACCAGATAGGACTTTGATATTGACCAAACTCCTTGCTCACCACTCCATTCGCTCATTAGCTGCAAGGCCTCTCTCCTGATTGTCCAATCGCGGCATTTGAACGCACAGAAAAAAAGAGGTGCCACGACTCCCGATCTCACCCAAGAGTTCTGCAATGATTCCCGGGCCAAGAGCCCTTTCGCTTGTTCAATCGTACGTTGGAAATGAGATGAATAATCGTCGTATCGCATTTCTCCTTCCTCAAGCCGGTCATCGGCCAGACTTTTGATGAGAAGAACCCCACACCAAACGTCAAGAATCGCAATCGTGTCTTGCTTTTCTTGTGATGAATGGTCGCTTCCCATGAGAATCAAGCCTTTCCATTGTCGAAGCCTTATCAAGACTGCCGAAGGGGTGCTCTCAAATGACCCAGTGACTCGATGAGGTTTCATCTGCAAAGCCAACCATCCAAGGATGAGTAATGCGCCACATGCTTCTTCCGGTGTTTCAATCAGCGCTTCCGATTGATACTCTGCTGTAAGCTGGACAGGATAAGAATAGGTCTTTGGAGCAATACCGGACTCCACAAGAGAGGGCCAATCCAAATGTAATTGGTAGAAGCTTCCAAGAATAACTGTGCCAACGGGGCTATTGTCCATTCCAACCCTTTGCCATTGTTGTAGAAGTTCATAGCCCGCGCGGAGATGATAGCCACCTGCCCTCGCGTCACCTTGGCCGAAGGAGAATGCTAATAGAATACCACAGGAAATTAAGACTGTTTCCATGCGTGGACGTCGTGGAATCTCTGCGTTGAGATTTTGTTGGAGATGCTCCATCGCCTTGTTGCATTGACCAAGAGAGAACGAGGCTATCTGATTAGGGGCTACGCGATTTGTTTTCGTCATGGCGCCCCAGTGCAGCGAACCTATTCCGATAGCAGCATAACGAACAGCAGGCTGGATCTCGCTTGCTTGATGGACGAGCATTCCCCAGAATGCTCTATTAAAGTAGGTTGCATTGCTTCGTGCCGTGACACGGCGGAAAAAGTCTAGAAACCATCTCTCTTGAAAGGTAAGATTGGTCTGACTAGCATCCACTGGCAAAGCCAAGAGGCAAGAATGGGAATTGCTCGTTTTCCACTGGTGTACTATTTGTCTCCTTTCTTCTGAGCTATGCAGCTCTTCAACTGCTCCCGCTGGTGCAAGCTGTCTATGCCTCATTGTCAAAGACCTAGGTGGAGTATAACCCTCGCATACTCGGCCGGTGCTCGTGCATCTAATAAATTCCAGTCAGTGAAAGCAGACGATTATTCACTCGCTGCACACAGGTCGTTCTACCTGGCACAGAAGGGCTTGCCCTCATCACATTTAACTCGTCTTGCTCTATGGATTACTTGGTTAGAATTGAATCAGTGGTTGGATGAGGGTATCCACCTACTTGCAGGTTCTACAACCAGTTCGTACCTTCGGCTTGCTGGCACGGGTCTTTCTGGACTTGGCGGTCGCCTCGTTTTCGAACACCATTTTCGGCCAGGTGAAAGATGCACTTCAAAGAGGCTGGGCTGCAAGCTGCGAGTAGTTAAGTTAACTTTATTGTGCGATGTGCGGATTAGCTAATCTGCGGCAACAGCGCGTGCATTAACCATATGGACAACCTTTGAAAAATTCATATTTGTAGGCAATTCTTTCTCTCAACATCATCAAGGTCATTATTTTCAATAAAGATTGAAAACAGTATGATTATTTTGGAGATATGCTTCACATGATAAATACCCAAGCGGCGTTTTCCTCAGAACATAAAGCAATCATGCTTAACAGCACTTGAGTACTTAGTAGTTTACCGCGAACAGTATAACATCTCTTATTTTCTTTCCCTGATTTTGTATGTGTTTTCTTTGTGTCTTGTGTAGGTAGCCACGAGTTTTCGTGCTGCCTTTTTGTTGTTCGCTCTCTTTTCACTTAAACAAGTTTCAAAACTTGCTAATTACTAACTATATTTTATAGAAAACTGCCATCCTAGAGAGTTGAGATCGCCTAGCGTTTATGTCTGGTTTGTATTTTCTCATCCTAGTCCTGGCAGAACCTTATCTGGTTCCCAAATGGGTCGATGACGCTCATCTCCTGCGCCCCCGCCCCTGGACCCTCTTCAATCCCTGGCCTCATATATCGATAATTTTTGGCACTAAGCTCACGATGATACTCCGCCATTCCACTCATCATTACCCGGATTTGTACACCTGGACTGCCATCCCCGTGATGCTCACTAAGGTGAAGGATCAGGTTTCCTCTAGAAATCTGCCGATACAGCGGTGCGTTGTCATCAAATCGATGATCCCAATCAATTTTGAAGCCAAGGTATTCTAAATAGAATTCGTTTGCCTTGGTGATGTCGAAGATCCGGAGGATCGGGACGACTGATTGAAAATCGATAGCCATGAAGTCTGGTTGCAGGTGAATCTTGTGTGAAGCCAGTGAGCAGTTGATGATCTAGTGGAACTTGCTACAGTCGAGAGACTGAGGTCATCGAGTCTATGGTGGGATATGGTTGAAGGATTTGGGTAGAAATGCGGAAAAGGGTAGGCCAAATTGAAATGAACGCTAAATTTTGGGGAGAAGGGAGCGGAAGCGGGGCGTCGGGGTGGAGAACGGGAGACAGGACATGCCAGTGGGCTCTAAGCAGCGGCCGAGGCTCTTCCGCTGCCAGACTAGAGCATGACATATTCAAATCGGTACTAAGTCTTGCATTTTCAATTATTAAATTTTATAGAATCGATGGCACTCCTCTTTGGATCCCATATCTTCAACCCCCAGATTGGACCTTAATCCAATGGATTAGCGAAACAAAAAGAACATAAAGAAGGGATTCCAAGGCTTTGAAAATTGACTTACCGCTTAATTGAAAGAATTCGAAATGCCGAGTCTGTGACAAAGGAATGATCATATTTGTTGCTCGGCTATAAAAACTTGCATTATAATTATATATTGATTGCTTCGGATTTATTAACCCAAAAAATGATATCAGGTCCGGCTTTAACGGACTTGCTGGTTTTAGAAATCAAGTCCGGGTAGCCAGGTTGAACCCTGGAAATCGGCGGGTGTTTGTCTAAAGATAGTTGCCTAGAATTCGGAATCTACGTGGATCTCCGAGATTAGTACTACTTTAATCCGAAACAAAATATTGGCCGCTGAATAGATCTCGGAGGGTGGCGATCTCGCATGGAAGAACTGCCGACTATCAATATGGCCGGGAAAGATATAAGGCCAAAATCCCTTCTCATTCATCTCAGTACAGCGAATATCAAAATTCTTTGCCATTCAACATGGGTGAAAACCTTCCTCTGACCTTTGCATGCGGGCCTTATGACCGCATGGATCCCCTAGCGAACAAGGTAGTCGAGCCTGTCGGAATTGACCTCAACTTCATTACCATCAATCGCCCGCGAGAAATCTTTGACCGAATGATCCGAGATTTGGAGTTCGATGCTTCTGAAATGTCCAGCTCGGAGTTTATATGCCGATATGCGGCCGGTGAGCGGGACCTTTGTGCCATTCCTGTCTTTCCCTCTAGGGCGTTCCGTCATAGTTGCATTGTGGTTAATTCGAACATCATCTCAAAACCATCCGATCTCAATGGAAAAAAGATAGGTGTTCAAGTCTACACCATGACTGCTGCTGTCTGGGTCAGAGGGATACTTCAGGATGCAGGTGTCGATCTATCTACGATTACTTGGGTTGAGGGAGACCTAGTCAAGCCTGGTTCCCACGGTAATCCAAAATCAGAGCCCCTGCTCCGTCCAATTGATCGAATTCCGAACGAAAGCCCAAAGTCGCTCAGTCAACTCCTCGAAGACGGTGAAATTGCAGCCACAATTGGCGCAGACGCTCCACCGTGCCTCGGACAGGCACCTCATATTCAACGCTTATTCCCGAACATCCGCGAAAGTGAAAAGCAATACTATCGGCGATCAGGAATCTTTCCTATTATGCATCTCGTTGTCATCAAAAGCGAGGTTGTGGAAAAATACCCATTCGTGCCGCGCAGTCTATTCGAGGCAATGAATGAGGCTAAAAATATTGCCCTCCGTTCGATGAGCAGTCTATCTACTTACCGATATATGTTGCCGTTTATGACCTCTGATATGGATGAGATCAATGAGTTATTTGGTGGTGATCCATGGCCTTACGGAATTGCGTCTAATCGCACAACTTTGGAAGCATTGGTGAATTTACTATATGACCAAGCTATGATTTCTCGCCGAATTCCGATTGAGGAATTATTTGCTGGCTCTTATGAATAAGATGTGAACAGAAAAAGTTGCTCTCATATTTAGGAAAAGACATGTCAATCAATCAAAAGCATAAGTAATACGATACGCTTGAAGCTAATTTTAGTGCTCGCCTCTTTGGTATACCAGCTATTGGCCGTTCCCAGAGACCCGGTAGTCTTGCGCAAAAACACATGACGGCGTTGACTGGCTCGCCGGAAAGTTCATATTGAATATTTCCACATAGACAGGATCCCGGAATCATGGTGATGTTTGTAGAGATGTGAAATAATTCTCAAAGGTTTTGGTGTCTTTGAACTGGAGCCTGGGTATGCTTGTTGGAAGGAAGATACGTAAATCAATCCATTCAAGTTTGGGACTTTTGACCCTGGCGCCCCTCCCTAGTACTAGGACTCCTACATATACATCGTAGCTAGTGTGAGTCGTCGGCTGTCGGTTATATGCAAATCAAGCCTTTTGGTTTGTAATTTACAATATCGTGGAGTGAAAGATCAGTCCTAAGTACTTTTGATTAGGCCGGTTCTATGGACAGCACATACCTCAGATATGAGCTTATGGATTTCCGGGGGTGGCAAACCCCGGCGAATGAGCACATACTACGAATTTATAGAATACTTCCTCCCACTTAAGTCTTCTGAATACTCATATATTATCGTGTGATCAAATATTATTCCAAGAATATTCATTTATACACCGAGCTGTGGTGGTGACCACTGCTTAGTCACAATATCCTCGGAGGCACCTGGTCGTGAATGAGAATCTCAATTGAAGAATGACCTGAAGACTTAACATAGTCCCATTTCCAAAAAAAAATTATCTTATAAATATATGTATGCTCAGACCCAAAATCAATTTCGCATACCGAGTTGAACTTGGTTACCGGCTTATCGAACAACACCCCACTTCTTATCCACCGCCCCTGGCCTTGGAGTGCGGACATCTTTCCAAGGTTCTCTCGTCACCTGGGAATGTGTTTGTCAACTTAAGGTACCCCCAACCAATTACAGCATCAAAATGCCTCCATTACCAGGAGGGCTCATTGAGCGCCCGCGAGTCATCCTCTACCATCAGACATTGGTGCCAGGTGACGGTCCATATGTCTCCATGCTACCCCTCTTGGAAAACAATACTGGCGCGACACATGTTATCCTAGCAGCTATACATTTGAATGACGACCCAAACCATATCACACTCAACGATGACCCACCAGACAACCCAAAATTTGACCCCTTGTGGGCCGAAGTACCCCTTGTGAAGCAAGGTGGTGTGAAAGTCATGGGCATGCTCGGGGGTGCAGCGCAGGGCTCGTTCGCGCGACTAGATGGGGACCAAGCGCAATTTGAGCGTTACTATGGACCCTTGCTGGAGATTCTGCGCCGTTACGAGCTCGATGGTCTTGATCTTGATGTTGAAGAGGATATGTCTTTGCAGGGTGTTATTCGACTGATTGATCGACTGAAGGCCGATATGGGGGATGGTTTTATTATTACTCTCGCTCCCGTCGCGGCAGCTCTTATTGGAATTGGAAATTTGTCGGGCTTTGATTACAGACAGCTTGAGCAAGCCCGGGCTTCTAAAATTGGCTGGTACAATGCACAGTTTTACAACGGTTGGGGCCCGGCTGAGGACCCACGGATGTATGCGGCGATGATTGCGCAGGGCTGGTCTCCGCGTCGAATTGTCTATGGTCTTTTGACGAATCCAGGTAACGGATCACAGGGTTATGTCTCTGGTGAAAAGATTAGTCCTGTTCTTGGCGCGTTGGTTGAGCAATTCCCCAATTTCGGTGGAGTTATGGGGTGGGAATATTTTAATGCCTTGCCTGGTGGAACAGCTAAACCGTGGCAATGGGCCACGCAGATGTCTGTCAGTATGGGGTTGAAAGATATGGTCGCCGCTGCACGACAGGTTGCTACACCTGGGGCCATGGCTAGCAGCTTAAATAATTTGCTGCAGGACATGATGAACCAGAGCCGACGATCTTAATGAAGGTGCTTGGAATTATAACTAAGAATTTATTATTTGTAAATAAATGTGCATAGTATCATAGCATTGAGAGCTTCTGTTATGGTGGAGCGGCGGATAACGTCATTCCAAAACATACACACCAATCACCATGGCTAAATACAACATGACCGCCTTGTACTGCGCACCCTTACCCCTTCGAGAAAGCAGAACATCTGTCTTGCTACTGTCATCAGTCATCAGTCATCAGTTGAGTTTCGAAAATGGTATCCCTACCACGATTCGCTGCGGCTACCACCTCGGCCGCGATTCGCGTGTTCGGCTTCATCCTACTGAGATGGGTATGGGTCATTACCTCAACACTTACATATTTCAAATGTTGGCCTATTAACCTTCCAAAACAGATTCCTGGATGGCCATTCGCCCCAATTGTAGTCACATCGTTAGTGATTTACCTTTCGTCGGTCTCATCACTAAGTCAGGATACCCGCCTTGTTGTCGATCGCGCCGACAAGCGCGGCAAGGCTTCCACCAGTACGTATACCGTTCGAACCTTGACTAGTTAGGACCTATGATCGACTGACTGAATCATCTGCAAAGAGCGCACCCGTGACTCCAGTGCGCCTGAACCCAGTGATTCCGCTCTAAAGACCCTTCTCACGGGTCTTCCGTCTAAACGGTCACCATTCTGGACTCGAGTGACAGCCCTGATCAATGTGATTGTGGCTGTCTTGGCGCTTGACTTCTTGCTCAGAGGACTGGTGGTCTATCCTAGTGCCGATGCTGCGTTCTCTAGAATTGGCTATGTGTCGCCAACAACAGCTAACTTGGTCTTTCGAGAGCCCGACACGGCTCAACTGCCCATCGTAATTTCTTACCAAGAGGTGTCCCAGAACCCAGGCAAATGGACCCAAGAAGGCACAGTCTACAAGCTAGACAATACGACCGATTTTGTGGCCAGCGTTAAACTGAAGAATCTTAATCCTGGAACCCACTACAGATATGCGCTGTCGAACAACAAGACAGGCAATTTTGTGACGTCGCCGCGACCAGGATCCAAAGAAGCAAGCCGGATGTCCTTCGTCACATCAAGCTGTTTAAAGCCCAACTTTCCATACAACGTCTTATCTCACCCACTTCGTGTCCCAGGAATAGAGCAAATGACCGAAGCCCTCGCCAAACTACCAGCTTTGCTTAAGCCTTCTTTCATGCTCTTTCTCGGCGACTTCATCTACATCGATGTACCACTCCGGTTCGGCTCATCTATAGATCACTATAGAAGTGAGTACAGACGCATCTATTCATCGCCTTCATGGAAATACAGCTCAGATGATAACACCGCAATTGATCTGCCTTGGATCCACACGTTGGACGACCACGAAATTGAAAACGATTGGTCAAAGGGCAACAAGACTGCTCCCTACCCAGCAGCATCTGACCCTTTTATCCATTACCATGTTAATGCGAACCCGCCTGTACCAGCGAAACCATTCGCACATCCAGACGATGTCACATATTTCTCGTTCGTGAACGGCCCGGCTTCATTCTTCATGCTTGATAGCCGTACATACCGCTCTGAGCCAGGCCAGGATGATGCAACCATACTCGGCTATGCGCAACTCCAGTCTCTTCTGGATTATCTCACCACCCCCGAGCCAGCCGGGGTGTATTGGAAGATTATATCTTCCAGTGTCCCATTTACTAAGAACTGGAAGGTCGGAACAACAGATACATGGGGCGGATTCTTGAAGGAACGACGCACCGTCCTCGAAGCCATGTGGCGCGCCGAACGTGAGCTCGGAGTCAGAATTGTCTTGTTAAGTGGTGATCGCCATGAGTTTGCTGCTACGCGCTTCCCTGACCCTGAACTAAGATTGCCATCTGAGCAGTTCCAGCCTAATACTGCTGGAACCGGAGTGCATGAGTTCAGCGTTGGGCCGCTGAGCATGTTTTACCTTCCCGTTCGGACGTATCGTCAGACCGATAACGAAGATGTGACGCTGAAATATGCGCCGGATGGGAACAGCAAATTTGGACTCATCAATATTGCTGAGATTGCTGATGAGTCGGGCACTTTGGGCCGCAGCTCTGTCCTAACGTACTCGCTTTACGTGGATGGCAAGCTGGTATGGAGGTATGAGCTTAGTGTCCCTATTGGGGGGAAGACTGGGATTGAAACCCTTCTACCTGGTCGTGTGTTGGAGGATAGCTTATGGCCAGAAACGTGGGATGTCCCTCTGAAGGCCGTGGCTGGTAAATTGCCAGATTTTGGAGGCTTCGTGGTTAAGAAAGCAACTGCGATCATTGAAGAGACTTTGGACCGGTTCCAAGGAACAGCAAAGATTGAGTAAAATTAGGTGCCATAGTTCGGGAAATGTGATTATCGTTGCTAAGCTTGGATTTCATGGTATGTACAAAAAAGTACTTTACAAATTAACAAAATCTTCAATCATGTCCACAATTTGTTCGTATTGTAGCTTTAGTATGAGCTTTGAATGTACTAGTGAGATAATTGGACGCCAGACTCCAGCCGAATGCTAAGAAGATGGAAACAACGATAGGAGGATAAAAGAACATGCAAGAAGATAAACCAGATAGTTCTGTATAGAACTACCGTCCTCTGCCACGTCCACCACCACCACCACCACCACCACTACCACCCATTCCACCCATCAAACCACTCATTTGGCTCATCATACTTTGCAAATCCATGCCTCCCATATTTGGCATACCACCAGCTCCACCAGCTCCACCGCCCATCATCTGCATCATCTTGCCAATGTCAGGCATTCCGCCCATTCCACCCATACCAGGCATGCCACCGGCACCACCCATAGCCTGCATGCGCTTTTGCATAGCGGCCATTTGTTGCTCCTTGTTTCCACCTTTCATCATTTTCTGCGCTTGCTGCATCTGTTTCTTCTGACCACCCACACGCTTGGCCATACCAGCCATCATGCGGTGTTGCGAGAGAAGATCCTCAACCTCATGGACAGTCGTGCCACTTCCGCGAGCAATGCGAACCATACGGCTGGGCTTTTCGGTGAAGACTTTGCCGTCACTGTCTAGTTCGGCAACGGTCATACTGTCAAAAATGTAAACCATGCGACGGAGCTTCATTGACCCATCTTCATCGTCCAGACCTTGAGTCAGGTTGGACAGGCCTGGAATCATGCCGCCAAGCTTGGATAGAGGACCCATCTTCATAATGGATGTGATGTTCTCGCGGAAATCACGAACAGTATAGATACCCTCCGCAATGTGCTTATATGTTTCCTTAGACGAGTCGCTGGTGATAGCCTGCACATGGTCGAGAAGTCCAGCCATGTCGCCCAAACCTAGCAACTTGTTGATGAATGAGCGAGGCTCGAAACGCTCAAGATCCATCATATGTTCACCAGTTCCCAAGAAAATAATAGGTGTATGTGTAGCCGCGACAGCAGAGATGGCACCACCACCTGCCGCATGGCCGTCAGTCTTAGTGATGATAATAGCACCGAAGTTCGCAGATGCCTTGAACGCAGATGATTGAGCCTCAGCAGCCTGACCAATAGTGCTGTCCAAAACCATAATAGTCTGATTCGGAGTGACAGCGTCCTGAATTTGAATCATTTCGTTGAACAGTTCCTCCTCTTGTCGGTGACGACCACTGGTATCGACGATAATGATATCAAAGCGCTCTTTCTTGAACTTGGCCACACCCTCAGCAGCCACAACAGCGGGATCCGTTTGAGTCAGACTTCCGTAGTATGGAATCTTTGCCTTGGTTGCGTTCTGCTTCAGCTGATCAAAGGCACCAGCACGGAAGGTATCCGCGCAGACGAGCGCCGTCTTGAAGCCACGCATCTGGTAGTGACGAGCGAGCTTTGTACAGGTGGTGGTTTTACCCGCACCCTGCAAACCAACGAACATAATAACATTTGAGCGGCCCTTCTTAGGGCGGAAGGAGTCGGAGTGAGGGTCAACCAGTTTGACCAGCTCATCGAAAACGGTCTTCTGAATCAGACGCTTCTTGTTGACAGCGGCGGGGAGAGAGGCGAAGTCCACGGACTTTTTGATCGATTTGCGGAGCCCTTGGACGAGCTTAACGTTAACGTCGGCAGACAGAAGAGCTGCGCATATCTCCTTCAGCATGTCATCGAATGCCTAGGCTAGTTAGCATTATGGCTCCGTGTTTTGAGGTTAATGGAATCCAACCTTCTCATCGAGGTTTTCGGACCTAGCCAGGTCATTGACGGCGGAGTGAATCCGTCGCCCTAAATCTTGCAAGACCATGATTGATGAAATGTATTTAACAGTAGACTTGAAAGAGTGTATTAACAGCACAAGCTGAGCAAGTCAAGCGCACCTGGCAAGTGTGGAGGGGCGAGAAGCGGAAAGGCCAAGGAGGCAATGCGGAGAGCCAATCGGCGGGTGGGAGCAACTCACCGCCCAAAAAAAAAGTTGATCGCTAGAAACTCCGTCTTGCTCTCTTGATATTTTTCGTCTACACTTTGATAGTGATTTTTTATTTCACTTTCACCCTATTTTTAGCCCAATATGGTCGGCTCCTATTCGAAAAAACGCAAGGTCCAAGATGGCATGAAGGGCAAGACTTCTCGCCCCAAAAAGTTCCGCAAGCAAGCCGCATACCACAGCAGCTCCGAGGACGAGCAGGACGACGACGATAACTTCACGGCTGTCAACCTCGCCGATTCAGACGAAGAAGAGGGTGGCGGTGTCTCTGTCACAAAATCCAAGGCTCCTAAGCCCGAATCAAAGAAATTGAAGCCTGAGACAACACCTGCGTCGAAACCTAAGACCGTCGCGAAGAAACAATCCCGTGACGACAGTGAGGACGAAGAAGAAGAACATGACGACAACGACGACAATGAGAACGATGACGATGAGGAGAATGACGCTTCTGGATCTGACGATGACGAGGTTCTATCAGATGCCTCTGCCTCAGAAGCCGGTACAAAGCGTCGCGCTGTGTCCAAGCGTAACGACCCTACCGCTTTCTCTACCTCTATCTCCAAGATTTTGGCCACCAAGCTTACATCTGCTGCTCGTGCTGATCCCGTCATGTCCCGAAGCAGAGCTGCATCTGATAAAGTCAACGAGGTCGCAAACGAGAAACTTGACAATGCCGCGCGAGCTAAGATGCGCGCTGAAAAGAAGGAAGAGCTGGATCGTGGCCGTGTCCGCGATGTAATGGGAATTGAAAGGGGACTTGCGGGACCTGTCGCTGAAGATGAGAAGCGATTGCGCAAGATGGCACAGCGCGGTGTGGTCAAGCTGTTCAACGCTGTCCGCGCCGCACAAGTCCGGGGAGAAGAAGCAGTTAAGGGTGAACGCACGAAGGGAACCGTTGGTCTGGGAGAGCGAGAGAAGGCCGTCAATGAGGTCAGCAAGCAAGGTTTCCTTGAGCTTATCAACGGCAAAAAGGGTAAGCCGTTGAACATTGAGGAGGCTTAAAGATTCGCAAAAAGTCCTATGATTCCCCTTGGCATAAATTCGGCGTTGGGCGATTTGTATGTTATATATAATGCTTGACATTGTAAATCCATATATTTTTGATTGGTGTCTGTTTTAGAAATAGTACAGGAGATTTTTCATTCAATATCTTGTCGGCTTCACGCAACACAAATGCAAATAATACAATACAGAGTCCATAGTCCGTAATAATGTTAAGACTTGGGTATAGACGGTCTTCATCTGTTCCTCGTTCCCATTTGAAGATCTACTCCAAGAGAACCTGTTCACCCCAATTATTTGTTTTCCTCGGCGATTTATTTCTGCTCAAAATCGCTGGCCTGCAAGTTCCGTGTCATTGTTGGCAGCTTGACCACCAAACCATCCAAGTCTTTGGTCATGAGGACTTGGCAACCTAAACGGGAAGTCTCGGTCAATCCAAACGCCAGGTCCAGCATGTCGTTCTCGTCATCCGAGGGCTCCTCCATCTTATCGAACATGTCCAGGCTATCGACGATCACATGGCAGGTAGAGCAAGCACAGGAGCCACCACAAGCACCTAATTTGCGAATTAACAGTTAGCGACAGTGAATAATTTATCAGCCAGGAGTATGAATTAAACGGGATGCATACCTTCCATCTCGAGATCATTCGCCTGGGCAATATCCAACAAGTTGTCCCCCTCGGCAACCTGCAAATGTACGCTGGTTCCGTCCTTGTCAACGAAAGTAACGTTGATCCTGCAAGCGATGTTAGAACAGACAAATATAGAGAGTGCGCGCAATGCAGCGGACTTACTCCTCGCCAGGCTTTGGAGGTGTGATATGACCGTGGGAAGCCTGCGCTGTAACAGAGAACGGCCTTTGAGCGATTTTGAGGCCATGCGATGGCGACCGAAGATTATTCTTCACGCTGTGATCCCACCGGTTCGCGTGGGAAGTCGCTCCGATTCTCCGCGGAATTGTCGAACAGAGGTATCGGCGTGATTGAGTCAGGCATACCTCTCCGGAGGCCTTGGGCACTGCTCGACGCAATTGTTGAGTGAATGATTGCCAGAGGGCCATTGTGATATATTTAACAATTAAGAGTAAACAAAATGAGAACAAAGAGCGAATGAGAGAAATTAAGAATCGCAAGGGAAAATAGAACTGGGGCGGAGAGGAGGAAGATTGTCCAATGACTGCAGCGGGAAAAAAAAGACTGACAAAGCTAAAGGCGGCGTCTCGGATATCTCTCTCTGCTTCATTCTCCGACCCTTTTATCCCCGAACCACCCCTCTATCAGTCCATCCAACCATGGCCTCTCGTGAAGGGATTAATCCCTTGCGGCCTTATTACATCCCCCAGTCGGGTCTTTCGCCAGCTACAAATGCGACGCAAGAGGCACCAGCACCGTCACCTTCGTCAGCTCAGGTGTTTGGGAGCTCCGCGCGCGACCTTATGCCAGATATCGACTATTCAGACTATCTTGACTCTTCACCCTCGGTCGCTGATTGGTGTCGAGATGCTATCAACAATTCACTTATTCGATACTCCCAGGTCTTAATCGCGCAACCTTTCGAGGTTGCGAAGATTATCCTGCAAGTCTATGTCGCATCTGATAACGTCGAGGAGGAACGGAGGTCAACTCCGGATGTCGGGTGCAGCTCATACGATTCGGTATGTGTATATGTTCACCACCTCCCAGGGCTCCCTTCCGTTGGAAATTTACATAACTAACATCGGTATCAACAGGACTCGGAATCATCTGACGATGAAAGCACTTATTTCACTTCCGCAGCTCCCACCACACCAAGCCCGAGCACACCACGATCCCGAAAGGGCCGGCAGCGCATCACTGACCGCAGTGGTTACATTCGCGCAGATGCTGCACCGGCACCATCCAAGCATGCCTTGGCTATCAAGAATCCGAGCTCTTTAATGGATGTGCTCTCTCAGCTCTGGTCTACCAATGGACCCAGCTCACCTTGGAAAACATCCAACGCCACATTCATCCATTCATTGCTTCTCCCCACTTTGAATACATTCATTCGCAGTCTGCTCTCCGCCATCATCGGCCTTCCGGAGGAAGACATTTCCTCATCTATGACCGCGGACATTTTGACAGCGTCATCACCTCTCGCCACGCTAGTCCTGTCCTTTGTTTCCTCGTCGCTGGCCGCAATTATCCTTTCCCCCATCGACACAGCCCGTACCTTCTTAATGCTCACCCCAGCGACACACGGCCCTCGCTCGCTCATCCGAGCCATTCGCCAACTCCCAACTCCCAACTCTACAATTCCGTCTCACCTCGTCCCAATCACCATTCTTCACTCCAGTCTTCCAAACTTCATCACAACCGCGACTCCACTCGTCCTCAAGTCGTACCTTTCCATTGACCCCCTCATTAACCCGTCCATGTGGAATCTAGCCACCTTCCTCGGCTCCGGCCTCGAGCTAGCAGTGCGCTTCCCGCTTGAAACCGTTCTCCGCCGTGCACAAATCGCCACTTACACTTCTCTAAGCCTTCGTCAAAAGTCCTCCGGTGGCAGTATCCACGCCGCATCTATCGATGCTTCTGACGTTGAAACTATTGTTCCAACTCCGCGCACTTACCGTGGAATTATCGGCACCATGTGGCATGTCGTTCACGAGGAGGGTGTTAGTTCTTCTCCCTCTGACGCTGAGCGTGCCCGTCACGTCCTTGGAAAGCCTACATCTGAACGCGAGCAGCAGAAACGCCAACAGGGACAGGGTATCCAGGGTCTCTACCGTGGCTGGCGGATGGGTATGTGGGGTATCGCTGGCATTTGGGGAGCCAACCTCCTTGGTGGGATTGCTGGTGGTGCCGAGGACGAGGTCACCATGCGAGGCGGCCACGGCCGTACTAGCGGTGGACGATTTTAATTGAACTTCGTCTGATGAGGAACCACCCTCCCACTGATATGGAATTGGGTAGTATGCTTCATTTCATATTTGCTCTCCCGGCTTTTGCTTTTAGTGACAATTTTCATGTTCTGAAAGAGGAAAAGTACATCCAAGTACCTTTTTTTTGGTTTGATTTACCCTGATGCGCTCATGTTCTTTTTCTCCATTACTCAACTCTCCCCTCCTTCCTTTATTCATATATTATACCCCAGGGAATGGATCCAGGGGACAGACGAACGGCGCCTTTGATTTATTTTACGCCTTGTATAAAACCGAACACTAAATAGCAATCTCCAATAATTTGTACTAGAAAGAATGAGCCATGAATAATTCAACCTGGACATGTAAGAACACATAGATGACAACATATTCATTGGAAAGCCCAAGTCATGCTCATGCTCAAAGATTATACATCGTAAGCCACGAGATTTTCTAGGTCAAGAAAGCGTTCTACAGTAATATATAAGGTATATTGGAGGTTGAGATCATTCCATTCATAAGAAACAATGTGTATACATCACGCGAATTGCAATAACGCTAGCCGAGGAATCCACCAGTTTAGATAATGGAAGATATCGAGAAATCCACCACTAGAAACAAACAAAGACCATGTTCATGTCGGTCGAGGCGTCCATCTAAGTACAGAGGTAGTCTACTGATGTGGAGCCTGGCAGACGCTAGAGGATAATCAAAAAAAAAACGTGTGCTTTTGGGGGGGAGGTAAGAAGACACAGAAGGCTTCGAGGGTTTTTCTCGCATGCCGGAAGGAGGTTGAAAAAAAGAGCCCATATAATGGCACATGGAGCAATCGGGATGTGGGTATCAAATTGCCTCGAAAGGCGTAAGGTAAAAAATCCCAATGCAAGAATGGAAAGAAAAGAGGGGGCAGGGCTAGTTTGTTCTTCATTTCGAGGCAAAGCGCCGGTCGAAGTAACGGAGTACACCCATTACACTTGCGGCCTCGACTTCCAAGGCTGCACGACCACTGCGAGTCTCTGGGGATACAGCTTGCTCATTGGGGTCTGGAAGAGTGTGCAGCTTTGGTAGCCAGGTTGAGATCTCATCGCTTGCTCGAGAGAAGTTAGGGTGGCGGGAGAGGGTGGTGAATGCATCGGCGCAACTCAGGGTGAGCGCATTGGGCGTAGAGGGCTTGGATATGGCAGATTGCGGAGGCATGGAGGGGTTGTTACGCGTGGTCGGGGCGGTGGGGGCATTTCTTGACATGCAGCATCCCCCGTCGGCTCCCTTGCCGCCGCAGCAGCCTCCTCCCGTTGTTGGGGTTCCGCTCGCTGACCGGGAGGCTGCCAGCGTCTTGCAAAAAAGGGTGCTCCGAGGATCGGCAAGACATTGGGCGCAGGTTCCGGGGCCATTGGCACAAGGGTTGGTAGCTTGGCTGATGGGTGGGAGAGTTACTTCGGAGCGGACATCACTCTCAGAAGGAGGTGGTGTGAATTGGGAGATAGATTGGATGGGGGCGAGACGGTTGTTCTCGAAGGAGTTTCGGCGACCACGCTGCTGTTCCTGGGCTGCCATTTCGGCACAGATGCAGGGAGTTCCATCCTGGCAGAATCCACAGGGGTCCACGGGTGGGGAGGAAACCTCGTTATTGTTGTGAGACTGGGAGTGGGAGTGGGAGTGGGAGTGGGAGTGAGAGTGCGATTGAGCGGGGACAGCGGCAAATCGAGCAGTGAAATCAATTTCCATTTCTTCTGGGTCGGGCTTGATTTCGGGCTCGGCGTTCTCACGCTCAGGGCTACCGACTCCATGGGGAGGATGTCTGCCTCGAGACTCGTGAGTGTCGATGGGCATGCCGAAAGCATCTTCGATGCACTGGCAGTGTGAAGAAGAGCAATCAGTGCAGCCTAGAGGCACATTCTCATCTTCTGGCTCGCGGTTTCGCTCAGCATTGGTAGAGACAACGCCCTCCATGCGAGAGCTGCGGTTACGGCGTGGCGGCAAGGGGACAGAGTCTGGCATGGGTGACTTGGTGCTGGGGCCGGACATGGAAGTTCGAAATTCTTTCACGATAGCTTCCTTTGCACTGCGTTCGATCGACACCTCCTTCTCCAAAGAGTGGCAGCGGTCACGCCACCAACCCATTTCTTCGCGGCATTGCTCGACCTCGCGGGAGAGGTTGTTAATTTGCTCAGCGAGAGTGGCATCTCGAATATCGTGGTGGTCTTCCATGTCCTTCATCTGCTCCTCCAGCTCCTGCACTCGAGCCGCCCGTCGCTCGCGGAATGCCCGCTGAGCAGCTCGGTTTTGAGCCTTGCGCTTGGTAGGCGGCGTATCGGTTGCTGGCTTGCGACCGGGCTTGGGGCGTGGTGGAATCACCCATTCTTTCGATGTGATGGAGCCGGGCGTACCCGGGCCTGGCGATGGGGCCACTGAAGGTCTAGCAGCCAACGCGGGGGCCATAGCTAACGGTGCCGTGACCGGTGCAGGCGTGAGAGACACGCCTGTCGTGGCCATTGCTGTGGCGTGAAATCAGTTGAGGTACTGTGTTGGGGTTAGCGGGCACATTTGAGGGGAATCGCGAGTCGGGCGGGTTCGGGTTCACGCACGAGCCGTCTCTCGGTCGGAATAGCGGATGTGCGCTCATGCGACCCAGTAAGCGAGCTGGGGTCCACCCTTGATCAGAAGGGAGGGAGATATTTCAGACAAGAAAGCAGGGTGAGATTGATATAAATTATGCAGCAGGAAGGAGTCCAAAAATGCAAAAGAAAGCTTAAAGGGAGTTTGGGGGAAAGTGGGAGAAGAAGGAGAAGAAAAGGGCGATGATCAGATTAGATCGTTGCTCACATGATGCCGGTTTCGGATGGTCCAAGTCGGCTGTAGCGGGGAGGATCCATATTTACCTTCCTTAACAGAGTTTTCTCGCTTTTTTGGGGGAGTGTTATTATTATTTTATTATTTTAATTTGCTCTACAATTATCTGATCCGTCATGGTGGATGTCGGTAAGCTGAATCAACGAGTGGGCTGACGCGGGTTTGTACCAAATGTATCATGGTGGTTTCTATAGGCCATGGTTTTCTTCGCCAACCGCGTTTATGTAGTATGAGGGGCAAACGGGGAAATCAGAGAACTTCAAATCAGCTTATAGGTCTACACACTATGAAAAAGAAAGCGTCTGATAACGAGAATATTTGCTTAGAAGCAAGCACCTCATCAGTAGAGAAGGAGAAACGAATTCTTGACAAGAGAAGACGGCACAAATGAAATACTTGGACCATGGATGAGCCAAGGACCCGGTGTATGCCATTACATAGCAGAAACGGCGATTCAGCCAATAACAAGGCTTCTGGTGCGTGGAATACGTCTTTCCCGATTGCTAGTTTCTCTCCTGACTCCCAGCGGTGAACCGGCATGGATCGCCGAAGTCTTTCCATAGCGATTGTTTGGTTGAGCCCTAACTGCCGCTCTCGGTCCTGATCTTATCTGATGGCGCTAACCCTGATCCCCTTGATCCACGTTTACGCCTTGATCAATGATGCGACGAGGCAATTGAATTCCCTTTCTTTCCTGCCGACTCACAGGCCAACCCACTCTCTAATTGATTTCTACCATTGGTTCTTCAGTCCAACCACATCTTTGGGTTTTTTTACTCTTCTTGGCGTTCGGGCTCCACCCAAAAAAATTCTTATCAATCAGTGGCTCCCTACTCCGTGATTCCGTACTCTTGACCGGGTGAAGGCCGAAAAGCGGACTCATTCGCAAGCACGGTTCAATTTGGGAAGTTAAACCCTACTATCTTTCGGATCATCGCCGTTTTGAACCGATTTAAGACGCCCTATGAGGGTCCCATTCATCACAATAGCCATGATTCATTCTACGTTCCGCCACAAGTCGACCTCTAGAGTCTGTCTAGGTGGCAATTTTGTAAAAAGAGGGGCCATCGATGATCCATTCCGCTGTTGTCCATAACCTTCCACAGTTTCGCCGCTAGTGTTCCATCACGTCACTGGCAGTTCTTTAACTCAGGCATCTGGGAATGGATGCTCTTTGAATTGTAGCAGAGACAAATAAGCTTAGACATATCAATACTTCGATAGCGCGAGATTATCGTATTAAACTCAATTAGATGCAATAATTCTTCAATCCAGCGGATTGAATTTCTAAAGGAGGCGAAAATTTTACCTTACATCCGGTCCTATAGAGGCAACACACCCGTCCGGCTAGACATCTCCTTAGCTGCTATACAGCCACGGCCCACTATTTACCAAAGACCATCCACAAATGGCTCACAGATCGAGAGGATTAAATCTCTTCTTAGAGCCATAGTGTCCCTTGCCTCTTAACTAAAGACTTGTATCAGTGAACCATTGCCGTTGAACCGGTGGTTGGGCGATCTGCACGCGCTTTGTCTGCAACGAAAAGGATTGGCATGCTTTCCCGAACAAAGTCCGACATCTGCTGGCAGATTTCTTGCTTATGCATTATGCGACCGCTGGCATTACCGTATTTTGATTCCGCGATTGGCGCACATACCGACAGACATGTCCACTGGTAGCCATGTACGTATATAAGGGTATACTTCTAAGATTTTTTCTTCGGTATCAGCTGGTTCTTCCTAAATATAAGGTATTACTTTTCATGTTTCCCTGTTGCTTTTCTTTTCCCTTTATAAAGCATCAAGGGCCACTTCATTTCCGCCCGAGTGGAGACAATAGACAAAGTTTTGGGCCTTGGAAAATATGCACCGTGCTTAAATGGTCATATCGCAACGCGCATAGTCTATTTGTCTGCCTTTGCGTATCTACTTTGGTACTTGTAATAAGCAAAAAGAGGTCAATAGATTATCACAGCCTTGGTTTCGTATCAAGTGCCTAGCTCTGTGAGTAAAGCACTATTATTCATCACTTTTTACTTACTCTATCCCAAGATAGAAAAGATAAAGTTATACCACCATTGCCATGAAGCGACCTTGAGAAATTTAAAAGCATGTTTTAATGCAAGAATGTCTATCTTGTGTGAAGAAGGCTGCTGGAAAGCAGCCTGAGCTCAGTCCCGTAGTGACAGATCTAGGTCTCCGTGGCCCCAAAATGTGGGCACTCCATATACATCGATCGTGCTACACTCGGAAGCTTCAGCAGTACATGCATGATGGTGCAAAGTGCTGCCCTCTAGTCCACAATGCATCGTTCGAATCTTCAGGGGTGTTCACAATAATACCGCCCGAAGAAAGTTTTCGCGATACGATATTATCGTTCTATTGTATCGTCAATATCGCAGTCCCATCGATACGGTGACAATAAAATCGCGACGATAGCGTATTGTGAACAAATCTGTCGAAAGAGTTTTATTCCATTAATAGCATTCTTAATCGTAAGTCTCGTCTTCCGCTTTTCGTCTTCTTTTGCTGCCTTGAGATTTGAAAAGCGGATTTAGCATGTAGCGCCACTTCGAGTCCTAATTACGTCACATGAAGCCATCGGGAGTTGTAGAATATTGAGTATCAAATAAACTTACAAACAGCCTGATATTAATTATTTTTGGGGAATATTAAACAGTATGGAATGAAATGAATCGTCATCCTAGGAACCACTGGTCCGAGCGTGTTGAGTCACTCAACTGATGACAGCTATTGATATCGGTTCCTGATCTCCGCGGCCCAAGCTGTTATCGGCCGGACCCGGCGATAAGCAAGGGGCCCGGATGCCCAGCCTCTCCAACTCCGCCTTTCGTCCCCTCACACGACTCTCCTCTCTCCAACTGCCTTCTTATCCCACCTTCCAAATCTGAACACACTACATATATCAACCATGACCCGGAAACACAACTTTGGTCTTGAGCAGCCCTGGGCTTCCCAGATCGCTGCCCAGCTCCCCGAATTCTCCCCTTACGGTCTACCAGCCCCTGGTGCAGCTCCAGCTCCAGCTCCCCAAGCTTCCAAAGCAGTTGCAGCCGACGCTCAAGTTAACCCCGGTGCCTACTCGAAGCCATACTGCGAGTTTATGACCTCCAACCCGACCATTTTTCACGCCGTTGACTCTTTCTCGAAAGAACTCGAACAACACGGCTACAAGCAGCTCAGCGAACGTGCGGTGTGGACGTCAGACCTAAAGCGGGGCGGCAAGTTCTACGTCACCCGTAACGCCAGCTCCATTATCTCTTTCAACATTGGTAAAGACTATAAGAGTGGTAATGGCTTGGCCATCGTCGCTGGCCATGTGGATGCCCTCACCGCTAAGCTGAAGCCCGTCTCGCAGCTCCCAGTCAAGGCTGGCTTCCAGCAGCTCGGTGTTGCCCCGTATGCCGGTGGACTGGGAACCACTTGGTGGGACCGTGACCTCGGTATTGGTGGTCGGGTCTTGGTTAAGGATGCAAATACCGGAAAGATCGAGACCAAGCTGGTGAAGCTTGACTGGCCCATCGCTCGTATTCCTACACTTGCTCCTCACTTCGGAGCACCTGCGAATGGCCCCTTCAACGCAGAAACCCAGATGGTCCCTATTACTGGCGTTGATAACTCTGATCTATTTGAAAAGTCTGCGACCAACTCAATTGGTATTAAGGCCGGAACCTTTGCTGCCACCCAGCCGGAGAAGCTGGTTAAGATTATTTCCAAGGAGATTGGTGTCACAGATTATAGCTCTATTCTTGAGTGGGAGCTTGAACTTTTTGATATTCAGGCTGCTCAGCTGGGTGGTTTGGAAAAGGACTTGATCTTTGCTGGTCGTATTGATGACAAGCTCTGCTGCTACGCCGCTCATCATGGCCTGCTAGCGTCCGATGACAACAAGTCAACTGGTATCGTGAAGATGGTTGGCATGTTCGATGATGAAGAGATTGGAAGCCAATTGCGCCAAGGCGCTCAGTCGAATTTCATGAGCAGCGTCATTGAGAGAATCACAGAGGCCTTCGCGACTGAAAAATATGGTCCCAACCTCCTCTCCCAAACTGTTGCTAACAGCTTCCTGGTCTCATCTGATGTCATCCATGCCGTCAACCCGAACTTCCTCAACGTATACCTGGAGAACCACTCCCCACGTCTTAACGTTGGTGTTGCCGTCTCGTGTGATTCCAATGGACACATGACGACCGATAGTGTCAGCCAGGGCATCCTGAAAGAGATTGCATCTCGGTGTGACTCCAAACTGCAGGTCTTCCAGATTAGGAACGACTCTCGTAGCGGTGGCACTATTGGCCCAATGACAAGTGCGCGTATTGGTATGCGTGCTATTGATTGCGGTATCCCGCAGCTTAGCATGCACAGTATTCGTGCTACAACTGGCAGTGAAGATCCTGGACTGGGCGTGAAATTATTCAAGGGTGTCTTCGACTTCTATGAGGACGTCGATAAGCAATTTGCTTCTTTCTAAATACAGCGTTCCTATTAGAGGATCGGTACTAGATTTTATTTCGGTTTTACAAGCCTCGAGGCGGGTCTATCTGCTCATATATTCTTGGCTTATCTATGTTGTGATGAATTTTCAAGCGATTGATATTGAACTTATTCTTGTTGCAATACACTATCGTCTATACTAAACTATCCAGTCAGATATTTGTTGTAATTCCCGACTTGTGAAGTAGGTTTGTCCTTTGCGGTTGAGCGCCCCAATGCTTGGTGTCTTTCTGTCAGCTCCGCCTTCTGTTTCTCCGGCACAAACTCACCGGGCCACAAGTAAAATGTTTTGTATGTAGTTGAGCTATATCAGCTATATCCTAGTAATGGATTAACAATTCGGAGGGTTCCCTATTCTCGAATGCTCCGATCAGTTACCTAGCATTGCTCTAACCACCTGATTTGACACCTGAGCAATTGCACGTGAATCTGACCCCCATCTTCTTTATCGAGTTTCAATATACGAAGCACAGTATGTACAGTACTCGGGAAAAAAGACCTCATCTGGCTATTTTGCTGAATCTGTAATTTTGTTCATTTGAGAGACGTCCTGAAGGATCAATGGTCCAGTCGGATGTGCGTCATAGGGCCTCTAAGCCCAAAGTGCGTACGGGTTGCCTAACTTGCAAGTGAGTCCAGGCGTTGCCTCGGCCCTCGCCAAGTGTCTGGCGTTAAATTTAAATATACCTAACAATGATTTTCAAGAGCTCGGCGAGTAAAATGTGACGAATCAAAACAATTCTGTATGAAGCAGGTATTCTGTTCAATACTCATAGGGGTGATGTTCTTACAGTTCATTCGTGTTTAGGTGCATACATAGTCGACGACAATGCCAGGGTTACCAACAGCCCAGACCCCTGATAATAGCTCTTTGACATTCTACAGTCGACCTGAAGGTTCAAATCAACCCTGGTTCAGTTTCACCGAGTATATGCAACCGGATATTACTACTCTGAGCCAGGGAGCTGTTCCGTATAATAGGCTTGCACGCAGCAAGCCTTGGTCATTGCCGCAGTTAGTGACTTCTTCGGTGCAACTGAACAAGATTTGATACCCAAGAATCATATAGAGGCATTAGAGACCATCATCATTTTCAAAGCCCACTTCACAGGTCCTTATATTCTATGTAGGTGTAATATTTATCCTGAACGACAATTAAACAGTCCGTGGAAAAGAAAGCAAACGAAACCGTGGAAAAGAAACAAAGAAATGAGACGAAAAGAAAAGATGGAGTTGAACTCTCAAATAAAGAAAGTGTTGGATGGGTTGAAGGAAATCACTGTCGCCATGATCATCATGATGCCAAGAGTCGCTAACTTTGAAGTTGGTATCCGAGAAGTACACCATGGAGGCTTTTGACTTTATCAGTTGCGCGAATAAGAAGACGCCTCGGATATGTTATGTGAATGATGATGGACATGATCAAACTCATGTTCCTCAGGCTGCCTTGTAAGCTCGGTCACCTCCGTGATATCAGGGACGCCAAGTCCATGAACCTTGTTATCTTTTGACCACCGCTTCCCATATTTCAAGGGACCTGTAGAAACAAGCTCTAGAACTCTCTCCGGATCACCAGAGCCGTACTCAGGATCTTCACCTGGAGCGCCGAGTGTAGACTCATCATTCCATGTTGTCGTTCGCTGTGTTGTTGACATGTGCCCACTGCCATAGCGGCGGCTCCCATTCAATGTAGATAACAGACCCGGGACAAGCTTTGAGATGAGTGGCTTAAGTGTCGGTAAACAAGCACAAATGATGCCGACGTTACATTCTATAGCGGACCACGATGCAGCTCCAACGTTGTCATCTAGTGAATATCAGTATGTATTATTGATTTTGAGGGTGGAGGAATAACGTACAGGTTGGATCTGTTGAATCGGAAATCTTCTTCAAGCTAACGAGACGGACGATGCTGGTAACACACACACTAGATGCAATGTAAGTCATATGTTAAAGCTCCTTTGAGGGTTGAAGTACTTACAATCCACCCAGTGCAAACAGTATCATTAAGGCTCCCTTTTGTCTCTTTGGAATATCAAGTGCAATTAAAGCCGGGATAGGGATGATGAGAATGACCAAGTCGGTGGTGATATGCATGCTAGCATTCGAGAACCATAGCCCAGGTTTGCTCAGACAGAACCCTGGAATTGAGTCGTCCCAGAACTTTGCGACAGGAATACAGTTTAAAAATGCGCTTATGACAGCCCATGTGCCATATAATGCCAGAATGGTGATCATGACCCAGCATACGACTCGCATGCGATGAGTTGGAAAGACGCGAAAATATTGCATGAGAATTGATGCTTTCGCGCACAGGACAGCGGCGTTGTAGAAGGGAATCGTAAGCCAGAATGCCTATTGGAGACAGTATAAGTTAAGTTTCTCTTTCTAATTCTAATCCAAGTATTCAACTCCATATTCTGTTCTAATCATACCTTCATTTGTCTTTCGAGAATCTCTGGGGGGATATCTTTGAGGTGCATCCCCATTCCACTAGTCGCTTCGACAATATCCAGACCCATGAAGATATATGCATTTACCTATAGTCAGGGGTGATCAGCCTGTGATTTCGTTGCTTTTATCAATGGGGTATGATGACTTACAAGAGCAATGACAACCATCCAATCATTTGTTTCCATCCTCCTCATAATCTTGACACGGGTATACAAGCGTAGCCCCACGAAGACAGATGCAAGTACTGTAAATACAACACTGCAGGTAAGGCCTTGGACCCCACGAGAGGAAAGATAGACATCTCCATAGCCTCGCTTGGGAAAAGAGTTATAAGTCTCAGGCAACCCCATATTGGTTAAACCCGTCAATTCGTAGCAGGCACAAAGTGTCGAAGTGTTGTCGAGCGCAGTATCAACCAGATCTTCTTCACTCGTTCGATCCCTGACCAAGACCAAAAGATAAGAAAACAAAAATCATAAAATAAACGAGAGAGAACTATCGGCTTGTAAATATAATCCAGCCAAAGCAGAAAGCAGCAGTCAAAATCGACCACCAAAACGAGTAGACAGAGCGCAACTATCGAGAAAAAACGAGCGATAAGAGGTATTTTATCCACCAGATCGACATGAGGGGGGAAGTGGAGGATATAATACTATCAAATTCTATGCAAAGTACCTAATGTGCAAAATGGGGGCTCAGGCCAGTCAAAAACAGAACCAGACCCAAGAACCAGGAACGGTTGGAGCCGAAATCCACTAGTCTGGTCACCCAGGTGAGCAAGCATCAAGCAGTTCTCCCTGCGTGAGGACTCCTCGCTCCCCCCGAACTAATGCTCCGTCGTTTGAGTGCAAGACAGGATTTCCGTCTATGAGGGCCTAAGTTGCATGTCGGCGCAAGGGGTAGATTTCCCGGCGAATCGGGACACAGATGTACCTTGATGCGATCGATACTTGCATCCTCCTGTTGAACCTAACTGTCTTCCTTTGGTATGCTGTTAATTTTTCCAGAGTTCCTATCATTTTACATTGTTTTGTATGGCTAGGTGTTAAGCAGGGATCCCCTTTAAGTTTCTAAGGTTTCAAACTTTCTTATGGGGAAATTTTCATATCGATTCATCTCTTGTGGGTGAAGCTCTTCGGTGCTATAAGCTTTCTGAGCCAAGTATTTCTCTAAGCTTTCATGTTGTTAGTCACAGAATCCCCCTGGGGTCAGATATCCCAATAGATCACGCATGCGGAGTAGATCTTCTACTCGATTATTGTGCGAGTATTCCAAATCTAAAGAGTTCCATATAATCCGTACTTGGATACTTTCCTTCATCCTATGACAAATCTTGGAGGAATCTATGCTGGTCATTCTAGATTATAGTTTAGCATAGTATAATAGTCCGCTCTTTTCCACATTATGACCAAATGTTAAAGGTACATTTAGAGATAAGTCAGACTCAAAGAAACAGTAAGTGAGATTGTTGCATTCAATTTGGAATAAAAGTGATCTCATCCGTTGCAGAGGATGATCCTCTGACTTCCACGTAGCCCAGTCTACTATACAGTTTCTATAATCCATCAACCTGTGATCTCCCTTTATGACACCATCAACGCGTGAAATATCCAAATCAAGACGCTAATTCGTTCCTTGAAATGCATGGCTGATGCAAGATGAGTATTACAAGAACACACAAAAGCTGGAGCGGTTCATACCATTGGTCATCTCGGTGAATAGTACGAGGTAATATACAGTACATGACGCATTTGCTCTCAGGTCAGGGGACGGACGCTAGACGGCGCCGAAATCCGGATACAGATCGCTTGTGACATATCACCGGCCTGCAGATCACTGTATGAATCTGATGATCGACGCTTAATTCAGATGACTTCCTCGTTCTTTTCCTTTTTGCTTAGGTGGTCAATGGGTGTTACTACTGACCCAAATTAGAGATAGTATATGAGCATTTCAATTTTGAGGTTCAGAATCAAATCTCTTTTTTTAGTTAATAATAAGATCCCACGGTTTGTGTACTTAGGGGCACATTAAGTGATACATAAGCTGTGTATAGCACGGAACACGAGTTAGAAATGATTTGACCTTCAATTCTGTGTGTGCTCAAGCCAATGCATTTCAATGACGTTCAGAACTGATCTCCTTCTAAATATGAACAGAGTTTAGCTGTCAGATGGATCTCAGAGATCGCCAACCGGGCCAACGGAAACCACAGGCCCAGATTGTTCGAAAAATTAACAGGGGAAGTTAATTTTCTACGAACCGCTGTAAAAAGCCCAAAGAATCACTGTACACAGTTAAGGGGTAAATACGAATCAATGTAAGACCTGGTTGAGTCTGTTGGATTGCTTCCAAATTTGAGATTTAAACCTATGTGACTTTACGGTCACACTCGTGTCGCCCTGAAAGATCAACGATAATTCAATTTAGAGGTGCACAGAATAGAAGCTGAAAAATGAACAAAAAAATAAAAACATCTCTCGAGATCATTTCCTGCTCATCTCCAGTATGGGATTCTCCGCTTAGTAGGTGCCACCCCACTTGAAGCTTTGGATTTATCATATTCAGGTACCGCATTTCTGAACTATCAATTGTATGAACTTTCCACGACATACTTTCTTCCAATTGGTTTTTTCAGGTTAATATGGAGTGTACTACTCGAGAATCTCTAGTAGTTCAAGGTAGCCACGACCCATGACATGCTGTACAACTTGCTTGATGTCGTTGTCCATGTGCATTTTTGATGCGTGGGAATAGCCAAACCAGAATAACCCGACATATGATTTTTACAAAAAAAAGTTCCGATGCCATTCTCAGCGATTGGACTATTAGGGGTCACACCAAGATGCGACAGTAATTTAACCGCTGTGGCTGCCGCCAGTATTTCAACACCATGCGGGAACGGGATTAGATCAACATGTTGCAGTACCTCTTTACTGTTTGGTCAGCAGTAACTACCCTCGAAACAGTACTAGCTTCTTCCAATAACATTTAAAATGAATATCAATGACGACCAGCATATATACCGAATAATGCCCAGCAACTCTTGGCAGTCTCCTTCCATTCTAGTGCTCACCCCCTCGCCGCTTTTGCTCACTGAGCCTGATCAGAGCACGCGAACTCGAGTTGGAAAAGAGACATGTAGAGGCTCCTTAGTCATCATCACATGACCAGTTCACGGATTCGTCACGCGTACTCTTGGTACTCTCGTTCCTGCCTTCCCGCCTTCTTCCTTTACATGAACGCCTTCCCAAACCAGAACGCCATGTTGTTATATGGACATGGGTTTCGAGATTCGTGAGTCCGTAAGTATCCATCATACTCCAATTACACGCCATCATGGCTGACAAAATCACAGACCACGCGAACGCGGAGGATCGTGCCCTTATGCCTCCCCCATAAGTACCTCACTCGTCATCCTCTATACGTATTCATTCATCCAGTTCAAGGATGTCGGCAGCATCCTCGGCTTCGGGCCAATTCTCCGAAACTACGAAACTGGAAACACGAAGGCTTGCTGGCAACGGGTGTTGGTCATGCGAAACGACCCGAGTAGATATTTGCTATGTGATCGCAAAAGAAGACACACAGGTAACCCTAATTCGTCTGTTCCTTGGAGAAACATGCTAACAAGTCTCTATTTAGACTGAAGTGTGGGAACAGGCTGGTCTGTTCAAGTTCCAATATAAAACCGCCGCGAACGCCATTCCTCTTTGTGGCGCCTGTCACGCGGAATTTGACTGCGCTATTGACCCGGGATACGTGTTTTTCCCCGACGACCTCCAATACTTCATTGATTATGAAACCAAAGATCAGCAGCGTCGGCAGCGTTGTGCAGCCGAAACCGGTCAGCCTGTCGAACGAAAAGCCCCAACTGCCACCGAATACCTCGCCTACCAAATGAACGCAAACTTGGTTCCGTCTGATGCTGTTGGTGGTTTATACCGCCGCGTGTTTCTCAAGAGATTTCTTCACGGCGGTACAGTTGTGGGCTTGGAGCATCTATTCTCCATGCCCAGACAATGGCATGGCGCCCCCATGGCTTCGATCAGACGTGCGCTTGCGACCCTTGGGAGTCCGCGGTCGTATATAATTGACCCAAGCACACGGGGCGCTCTGGAAAAGTTACGCGAGCTATACTTCGGGGACGAATCACCCAGTCCATTCGATGTTCCCCTTCGTGAACTATATCGATCAGATGCGATTAAATCTGCGAACAAGCGCCATCCAGAGGAGAGAGATGAGGGTGCATCAGGACGGGCCAAGAGGGCCAGGGGCCTGGAGGTGGGTCAGAGCATGGGTCTTACTGAGGACGCAGGATCAACCAATCGATGCGCAGAGCATCCAGACTGGGTGTTAGGGCCGCACATTACAACGAACGAGGTTGTGCGCCTATACGGGCCCTTGTTTTCTCCTACGTGAGGTAATTGCCCACCGATATCGCTATAGCAGTTATGGTTGCTTTTCATTTTTCTTTCCCTTTCGCCTGTTCTCTAAATGTGTTGTGTCGGACGGAGTTGGCAGAATTCCGATCATTACGAGTATGTACTTTTGGTTGGCTTTTATTAGTCATCCCCATATAGTTATAAATTCCTCAGGGAACATTACTAGAATGACAGACTGATACCAACCGTCAAAAGTCCCCTATTGGTTTAGCGCATTACTGGTCCGACATGACCAGATCACTGAGCATAAGCCTGATTGGACTCATAAAAGCGGCGACAGCTCAGATAGGAAAGCCTCACCTGGCAGACTTTATCCTGTCTATATAGGTGCATATCTGTCTGCGAACTGCTTCCCGGAAAGCTACATCCACCGGCGCATTGCAGGAGAAACCACGGGTTGCCACGTGTTTTGACCGCTACTTTACATTTTGGGGAGTATGTGCATATTCAAGTGTTCAAGTTGTAGTTATTTGATATCGAGATAGATTTGAATCTGAGTAAGAAAGCATATGTAGTGTTAAATTCTGGATTTGGGTAAGAATTTATACTCGATGGACCTTGGAAGCGATAAGGCCCGATAAGCACGCACAGACCAACTTTCAGCGAAATTTCATTTTCCACTTTGCATCGCAATACTTCCCCTCCTCAACTAGATCTCGAATTTATTGAAGTTCGCATTCTTTTTCGAGGCCCGGAATTTACTGTGAAAATGGCGGACTCTGTGTCATCGCCACCCAAGCCCGTCCACACAATCGTGTTGGACGCCGGTCCTATCCTCAAAAATACCCCGCCGCTTTCTACCCTACTCAACCAATGCGAAGAACTTATTACTACACGCTCCGTCGTGAGCGAGATTCGCGACCCAGACGCCCGTCAACGCGTTGAGACAATGTACCTTCCATTCCTGAAGCAGCGATCCCCCAAACCCGAGAGTTTCAACATTATTAGCGAGTTCGCCCGCAAGACCGGTGACCGATCTGTATTGAGTCGAACGGATATTGAGGTTCTAGCGCTCGCTTATGAGATCGAGTGTGAGCGCAACGGAGGAGATTGGCGCCTACGGAGTGTTCCTGGCCAGAAGCGTGTCAATGGAAAGCCACCCGTGAAAGAAGAGGAGAAGAAGGACGAGGGGGAGGCTCAGACTGATGGCACTGAGGCTATTATCGAGGGTGTCCAGGAGGCGACAATCTCAGATAATGCAGAGAAGCCCAAGGGAGAAGAGTCTGGCGCATCGGAAGAGACCGCGCCCGTGACTGAAGACGTTGCTGATACCGTGATTGAAGAGGATACGCTGGAACAAGATGAGGAAGAAGGTGAAGATGATGCTGGTGATTCTGACGGCGGAGAATGGATTACACCCTCCAACTACAAGAAGAAACTGGCCCATGATGATGCTGGGGTGGCCTCTACACCTGAGCCGAAGATAATGCAGGTCGCAACCATGACCACTGATTTTGCGGTTCGTGAATTATATCTTCAGGCCAAACATGGAATGCATACTAATTCTCTTCACAGTGTCAAAACGTTCTTCTGCAGATGAACCTTAACCTGCTGTCTACCACCACATTGCAAAGAATTCAGCACCTCAAGTCGTTCATCAAACGTTGCCATGCTTGCTTCCTTACCACCAAGGATATGAACAAACAGTTCTGCCCTCGTTGCGGTAAAGACACTCTCACCCGTGTTTCGTGCAGCACAACTGCCAACGGTCAATTCACAATGCATTTGAAGAAGAACATTCAATGGAATAACCGCGGAAACCGGTACAGTGTCCCCAAGCCTATTCATGGCAGCTCCAATGGAAAATGGAAAGGAGGTGGCGGAAAGGGTGGCTGGGGTACAGAACTTATTCTTTCTGAGGATCAGAAAGAGTACCAACGTTCCACAACGGAGGAGGAGCGTCGCCAGCGCCGGGAGCGTGACCTCATGGACGAGGACTATCTGCCAGGTATCTTGACCGGAGAGCGTAATAAGCTTGGTGGTCGTATCAAGGTTGGCGCCGGTCGTAACGTCAACTCGAAGAAGAGGTAAACTTGAAACGACTTTTGCATTATGGATTTTACATGAACTGGAGTTTGGGTTATACATACAAAAGTCCTTTTATGTCGGCTCTACGCAGCAGACAATGTCCCTGTTGATGATGATGGCCAAATGACCGACTATTTTTCCAACGAATACAAAAGTTTTGCACATAGATAGCACTGAATAGAATACCTCTATGAATATAGTGGACGTTCTTATAGGCATGTCATTGGTAGCTAAAATTAGAGACCGCAGTGCATTGCGCCGGCGGGAATTCGATATGCTGCCAAGAAGGTGATTCTAGGAGATGCATTTCGATAGCCTTTCACTAACGAATCGTTACAGGTTGCGGGGGGTATATAGGGAGATCGCGATGATTTAAACAAAATCATCAACACTGTCCGCGATGTGAACTAGCTTGAATTATAAGTTAAATTGGAAGGAGGATACTTTTCATAGGGAAGTGGGTGAAGCTGTAGCTCGTTTGGCTAATATATTTAACCAGATAGAGAAAGCCTACCGAACTGTATAGCATCTAATAGGTGCAATCAAAAAACAAGTAGTAATTAGTTCTAGGACAAGGTTTCCAACCACATTTCATGTAATGTTTCGGCAGGGTGCCTTGAGTCGATACAACAAGTTCCTCGAGCACCGACGTACAAGCCAGATTTCTCTTCTCTCTTCCAGATAGCAGGCTACACCCATAAGTTATCCACCGGCGCAATGCTAACAAGACAGAGCGCCTGCGGCATCCCAAACACAAGTGACCTGGAAAGGCTCTCCCTGTGTGGAATCAAAATCCTTCACGTCCACCCGCAAGCAAGTCATACACCATTCATAGTGTACTAGCTGTGTGGTCAACCGGATAATACGAGGCATTTAAAAAAGAAGGCTGCGTACATCTTATTTATCAACAAAACAAACACTCCCTATCAAACATTATCCATCTTGCCTTGAATGGTATCTAATCTTTCAAGGTGTCTGCCTCCCATGGATATTGTTTTTCCGGGTGACTCACACGCTTTGTATGCATCTTTTTTTACACATCTTTCCGCTGTGGTTTACACGCTTATTCGATATGATATCTTTTTCATGAGCTGCAGACAGCTCTTTGAATAGAAAGGGAATAATTGTTACGGCATACAAAAAGGAATGATCAAACAACGGACAAATGAATTACCGAGGGTTTCAGCCCTGGACCTCTTACGTGAGGAATACGAACCATGGTCGATATAAAATATATGAATGCTTGGAAGTTGTAGTCTTCTAAGGATTAGTTTCTGTACCTAATTTATCAAAGAGTTCCATCGGATATCATTATTCTTTATCTGCCTAACTCTTTGATGTCAACTTTAATCAACGACTCGTAGCACTTGACAAAGAACCGAAGTAATGCAAACAATAGCCATCCATCGACTGTATTAATAACACCATGCGCCGAAACACAGGCCAAAGCACCTTGTGACCGTTAAACCCAATTTTCCAACTTCATGTTCCTATTTAGACGGCGGGGGCAGCTTCTGTGCATCGTTAGTTTTCTATTTCGATATCGGTGCTGTGTAATTCGGATCATACCGGTCTGCTGGGTGAGCAGGAGGCCGTAACGCTTCTTCAGGGTAACACGGTGACTAAAGACGAAAATGTTAGCTCAACTTTCATTCTTGACATTGTCTTGCTGTTATATTATATTGACATACCGAGAGTACTTGTCATCGGGAGAGAAACGGGCGGGGTGACTTGAGTATATGTGAGTGACTGCAGATATTAAATGACTAGGGAATTCTCAAGCATACGCGGACTTGGAGACCTTGCCGTCAACGACCTGAAGGTAACAAATTAGCAACCGGATATCCATACAAGGCAGCAGGAATGACCAACCTTCTTCAGGGTGTAGACACGCTTGCCATCGGCACCGAGGGTGTACTGAATGTTGGTTAGCGAGGTTGTTCCTGTCGAGATAATGTCTTGGTGTTCAATGGTGATCGCGACTGTCGCTAACGTACCATAAGATGCATTCTAAACGGGACAAAAAGTCAGCAAATGTACAAAGAAGGAGACGCCAATGTTCGAATACAATTGTCCATTTAATACTTACTTGGCGGTTTGGGAGTGTAGGTGGGCGTTAAAGATATGCTTGAGTCGTAATTGCTGGAGGCGGAGGAATTTTTTTTTGACGCCGACGCACTTGGACCGCCCTGCTTAGTCAGCACATGCGCTTAAAAACTCGAGCTTTGCAACTCTGACTTCTTCCCACCCATCGACCTTGTGAGAAAATCAATTCGATTTTCCAACTGTGTTAATGATGCACTGACGCTGTCGTTATGATCAGCTTGATCGGATAGCTGGAATAATTTTTATCGCACCATACTTTGGCCCAACGTCGACACAATATTTGGGCCACAGACCCTGGAGGTGAGTCTTACTGCAGCTTTCCGGAGCTTCAAATTTTTCTTTTCCCCAACACACTTGCCCACCCCCCTCTTCTATGATGACGAATTACAAACTCAGGCAATTGGCACTTTGATTTCTAGCCTTTGTCGATGATAGTTTGATTTGACTACAACGGTATCTGAGAAGACCATCGTTATGCAATTTTTATACTCGCGTATGACCAAGAAGACATCAGCTAACCCTGTCTCTTCTCAGATTCTATTTTCTCTTTTATCAATAAACTCAGTAATCTTTGAATATGGCGGAAACCATCAGCGCCCCAGCTGGACCCGTCGTGGAAGGGAAAATCCCTACTAGGACACCCCGTCCTTCAAGGCCCAACTACAGGGACATTCATCGCTATCCTCTACCCGTCCAAATTCACAATTTTCCATCTGTAATTCCTCATAATCCTCTTTCTCTCATTAGTGTTGCCCTCTCGTATCTATCTTGCTTGATCTCCCCTCCCCCCTCCACAAGAAGTCTATACTGCATACTTCGACAAGGTCACCTCCTCTATCCATGTCACCGACGAGCGAGCAATCAAGGCCTTGTGGCAGATGGGTTTCTTCGGCAAGGGTAATCTGAGTCGAAGTGAGCCTAGCTGGCTGGAGCGTGAAAAGAAACGCAGAGGGTTCTTGGGTGGTAACACTAGTGAGGAGGCTACAAGGAAACGCCGTACGGAACGTCGCGAGTTGAAGCTTGAACGTGCGAGGGTGGAAAAGTTGATGATCGAGGAAAGGCTCAAAGCCGAGGCTGCTGCTCGAGAGTCTGGCTCTGAAATTCCAGATCTAGATGTTTTCACTGATGGACAGCCTCCATCAGCTGTGATGACTGAAAGGTTCTCAGTCAAAAAGGCCATGGATGCTAAATACCAAAGGCAGCAAGAAGAACGCCATAAGAAACGAGAGCAAGAACGCCTTCAAAATGGAGGCACTACTCCTACCACTGATCAGTCTGAGCTTAACGGCAAAACTGTTCGATTCTCTCCCACCGTCCAGCAGCAGGAATCTCCTCCTTTGCCTAAGAATGATGCCGAGGAAGAAGAAGATGACGAAGACATCGTCCTTGAAAATGAGGAGCATCTTCAACTCTCCAACGAGGAGGCTTTCTTCCTGGTGTACACACTCGGTGCATTGCAAGTGCTCGATCGCGACACTAATACCGTGATTCCAACCTCCTCCCTATTCCCACTCTTATGCCACCATTCCTATTTTCCGCCACGCATCACATGCGACGAGGTGCAGTCCGACGACCCTTTCCTAATCTCATACGCTGTGTACCACCACTTCCGATCTCTCGGATGGGTCATTCGCTCAGGCGTGAAATTCGGAACGGATTATTTACTCTATAATCGCGGCCCCGTTTTCTCGCACGCCGAGTTCGCTGTCATCGTTGTGCCTTCCTATGAGCACCCTTACTGGACAGAGACCCAGGAGCGCCGCGACCACGTTGCACAAAAACAAGATAGAAGCTGGTGGTGGCTGCACTGTGTCAACCGAGTTCAGGCTCAAGTAAGAAAGAGTCTCGTTATTGTCTATGTTCAAATACCACCACCTTTATCTTCAGTGGATGACATTGGTGGTGTCCTCGGTCGTTACAGAGTGCGAGAGTTCCTTCTTCGCCGATGGCTCCCGAATCGGAGTCGTGATTAACAGTCTTATGCCTTGCAAGATTATGATATTCTTACAATGCTTTTATCTACCATGTACAACTATGATATTTGGGCTTCAGATACCCTATTCAATACCAGAATTTCTATTAAATTCAAGCATTTTAAGCCAAACTTTATTGATTAACCTAGTAAATGCGTATTCTCTTCAGACAAATCTCATTCAATGTTCTTACTTTGCTGTTGAACCTCTACTTTCGTTCTACCATCACATACATCATGACCCCGGGAGCATCAGGGCACACGACTTCGGCTTGTGCTGGTAATAAAATGAGCACGCTAGTTCTAAAGAGGTAATATTACTGAACTCAAAGTTCTCCGCAAATCACGTGCACCACGCGTTTCGCGTCTTCGATTCTTTTTCACAGTCGGTCTCGATGGATTCGATGCCCCGCTGTCCAAAAGCTTCTTAACTTCAAAATCTTATCATCTAGCCGAGGTATAGTATGGCAATTTCAGAAATATCTAGCTAGACACAAAGGCGGAATAATGGAGACTCAGGACAGCATCGACATTGCCCGTCTGCAACGCGTCGCGTTGGGGCTTGTATGTAATAACCTGCAGCGTTCCAGACCCTCTCATTGGACTAATTTTCATATCTTCAGGAGCACGAACCATCCCAGTCCAGTTTCTTCAAGCCATCCGAATTATCCAAACTTCCCCAAACCCAATCTACGAATTCCAATCACCACGCAACCCCCTCTCATGGTGAGGATTCTGCAACTGCCGACCGATTCCATCCTGAAATCTTCTCCGACGCCGCCGATCTCCTCGATCAACTGTCAGATCCCTCATTGATGAAACAGCATGAAACGGACCCAATGAATTCTACAAGCAGTGAGAACAACAAGACTATCTCAGTCTCCGAGCCATCACCCGCAACGATGGACCCTGCCACCGTCATCCCGAGCGATACCCAAGTTGTCTCACAATCCGTGTACGATAGCATCATTCAGAAAAATGGGGAATCTATGTATGATGCTTCAGAAAATGGGGCAGACGGTGCTACACTTATGACATTGCATAAAGGTGACAGTGGACACATTGATCTTCTCGACGGATTTGATACATTACAACATGACACCAATGTATCACCTGAACAAGATGAAGGAAGCAATTATGATCCAACCGAGTCCTCTCCATTGCCATACCACCCCGAGTTCTTCCCTGAATCCCAGCGCTTCTTAACCGCTACCCCGGGGACTGCTGTGAAGATCAATCGAACCCCACGAACATTGGCCGAGACCCCTAGTCTTTCACGGAATCCTCTCGCTGGAGAAATCGAGTCGAGCGGAGGCTTCATGGGTCTGAGCCAGCTATTTAGAGCCACGCAGGCCCCGTCTTCTCCCCTTGTCCATGGCGTTCAGACAGAAATTCCATCCGATCGTCCATCCCCGAATATTCCAATACAACAAGCACGAGTCATCCATAATCCTTCATCGCCGCTGGTTCATTTCGCCAGAGAATCCTCAGAGCCGAATCTCAACTATATATCTATGAAAGAATCACAATCAAGGCGTGATAGGACTTTGGGCGAGAGATTAACTCGGTCAGCAGATGATATGCAATCGGATGATCCACTTGATCAAGAATTCAACAAAGAGTCCAGTTTCGTCGAGAATGCCCGACGACAGCGGCAGCTAGACGAAGAAGCCGCTGCTCAATTTGCAGCACTGAACGCTCCTGACGGGCTGGATACTTGGGCTCCTTCCCCAGATGGAACTGATGTACACAATGAAAATGCAGGGGCGGGAAGCGAGGAAGAAACGGAACAGGAAGATGAAATTGCTCCACAAGTACCCCAATCGCAAGAACTTGCTCATTCTTCAGAAGAGGATAAAGAAAACTTCAATGGCCCTACTGGTCCTGTGATTGGACATAGCAGTGCGCATGATCGGCTCTCACAGGCCCTAGCAATCGACAGTGGATCATCATCGCGAAACGACACAATACCGCAAAGTGAGGCCAGGACTACTCAACTCGACTCAATGGAGGAGCGCGTTCCAGAAAGCCACGAGGATCAGTATCCTAGCCGATCTTCTCAGGTGATGGTAATGGATTCGCAGCAGTCGCCTCTGCCATCACCCAGGCCTGACAACCATCAGTCCGACCCGCAGCCACAGCCTGATGAGATGGAGCTTGACCCTGCCCCGGTAAATGCTGAAAACGAGAATAAGTCACCTGCCCAGAACCACAAGCGGAATTCGCCATCTCCTTCACAACAAGCAGAGCACCGACCAGATGCAAACGCAAGTCCCCACCAACATGATTTCGGGGCTGAGATAATTAAAAATACTTCATCCAACGAAATCAATCGCCCTCCATCCAGCAACTCTCATAAGCCACAGATGACTGCACCACTTGGGAATAGCTCTCAAACTGGCGATGGGAACAAGTCTTCTTCAATGCCTTCCCGCATCACTGAAACACCTGTTCACCCACGCCCCACTGTTGACGATATGGCCGGATTGACAAGTATTCCCGAAACAAGCCCCAATAATACCGAGAACAATGACTGGGAGGCGCAATCAAATGCCGATGGAATGAACAATGAGGATGACGACCTTCCCCCCATGTTCCCTGTTGGTAGCGCCCATCGCATTAGCCAAGTGAGAGGCGTACAGTCTCGTGCGCTCTCATCGCCTATCAAGGGTTTACAAGCACAAGCACAGGCTCAGGTTCTGTCTAGCCCGAGTGGAAGACAACGTCGTGCGTTGACTGATATTGCCTCCGACTGTTCCCCTCAAGTCGACTTCAAGTTCGGGGACATCTCCTTTGATATATTCACTGCCGAAGACGAGCAATTCAATTCCCTAGTTATTGATGGCTCTCCAACTCGCCCTCGCAAAAGACGACGAGGTAATCTAGGCCAGAGCTTAGGTCCAAGCTTCAACACATCTGACACTGCAGTTCCCGCAACTCCACGAGCGCTGCCTCCGAAGACTACAGAGCCCATCCGTGAAAGTCCTGTTCAACAACTTTCCACTACGCCAGAACAGCAGCCTAAAACTGCTGTGCGCAAGCGCGGTAGGCCCCCTCGTCAAGACAAAAACATCTGGGAAATTGAGAACTCTCCACAACAGCAGATCATACGACGAAGGGGGAGGTATCCCAAGCAGCCGGTGCCAAAAGCAGCCGCGGAGCGCCCTATATCAGTGGAGAAAGAGCAAATTCAAAAGTCTTCGCAACCTGCTGTGATTATCTACAATTCTCAGCAGACCAAATCATCGCAACGCATTCTTTCATCACAGAATACTCAATTGTCGGAGCTGACGGATCTTGATTACGACTCTGAAGACCGGCTTCCGTCAGAAAGCAATGCCACCAACAGTCCCCCGACAACACCACGTGCCTTTACTGCTCCTTTTGAAAAGGTTGAGGTTGCTCCAACTCAGGTTCTTGCGGTGTGGCAAGGCCAGAAACGTGCATACTACCCCGGTAATTGCTTAGGAATACCGCCTAGTCATCCGGACACAAAGCTTTATGTGAAATTTGAAGACAGCGCCCCTGTTGAGGTGATTAAAAGCGCAGTCAAGAGGCTTGAACTGCGGGTTGGGGACGGAGTCAAAGTTGAAATGCGTGGTGTTCCCAAGGTCACCCATATTATCCGTGGCTTCGACAATAAGCTCACCAAAGATGACATCGCTCGTGCCACTGCAAGTGGGTATACTCCTCAAACCGATATTTACGGCTATTCTACATTGATACTCGGTCCTAAACAACGCAAAAGTCTTCCCAGCGGCGGCCTCAATAAGCGGGAGAATCTTATCAAGGTACCGATCTCTCAGATCTATTTAGACACGATTCTTTGGAATCAGCTCAAAGACCGCCACTTTTCATATCAGCCAGAACCAGCCCCCCAGACGGTTGCCTCTCACACTCACACTCATGCCCATACCCCCTCCGAAAAGTCCTCTCTGCCTGGGTCTCCCAGCGCACGCCTGCCTCGATCTACCCAGTCTACAGGCGGAGTATTTGCAGACATGGCTTTTGCTGTCTCCTTCAAAGAGGGTGAGGCTTCCAAGAATCGGATTACAAAACTTATCACAGATAATGGTGGAAAGGTTTTGCATGACGGCTTTACGGAACTATTTGAACCTGCATCAATTCTTCCTTTCGACACACCGCCGAGATTACACGGGAAGTCTACGGCTGGTAGTCACGGGCTACAATTAACACCTTTCGCCGAGAGTATGGGTTTTGCTTGTCTGATCGCCGATACTTACTCTCGTCGCGAAAAATATATGCAGGCACTAGCACTTGGTCTACCTTGTCTCTCAGGTCGATGGGTCGAAGACTGCGTCGCCGCCGGACATGTTATTGATTGGGAGATCTATCTGCTGCCTGCTGGCGACTCAACATACCTTAATGGCGCCACAAAATCTAGAATGATGATACCCACGCCACCTTCGGAGTCTCGCCTCGCCGAGACAATTGGCGCAAGACCCAAAATGCTAACGGGAAAGTCTGTGCTTATTGTAACAGGACGTGGGAAGTCAGAGGAGAAGCGCAAGGCATACATATTCCTCACATTTGCCTTGGGCGCTTCACGCGTTGAACGTGTACCTGATCTTGAGACTGTCCGTGCTATACTAGAATATCAAACACAGGTCTCTCTTCCTTGCAAATGGGACCTGATCTATGTTGACGATTCAGATTATGCTTCTGCTACATCTATGCTGACTCCCAAGACACGGAGAGTCTCCCAAGTTCATGGCAAGAAGCGCAAATTTGACATGTCAGATTCCACGGATGATTCGAAACCCATCGCGATGGTTGTTGGGAATGAGTTCTTTTGTCAAAGTTTGATCCTGGGAAGGCTGTTTGCGCAGCGATGAAAATCTAAATTTATGTATTTTTTAACTTGTCACTTTATTTTGATGATACCAATTCCCATTACAGCGCTTCAATTGCTTGATGCAGCTTTGTTTCAGACAAATTATCCACTTTTTTCCACCGATGCTTACAACGTGAATTCCCATACGGCCGAGCGAAGCAGGTGTTCTCATTAAGATGTAACTTCCCCATGTGGTAAAGAGTATCATTATTTTACGATTTGAATTTGAGCTTTCCACCGAGTACCCCGATACAGTAGATTGATCAATTTCAGGACCACCTAACTATAGAGTTACCTTGCCCAGTCTCAAGTGCATTGCTTGAACAGTAACCACCTCGGCATTTATAAATCCAAAAATTATAACTGATTATTGTGTAATACTCAGGAACTTAATGGGTTCCATCTCCCATCTGTCCAGTGCTGAATTCTCTGGCTATATCTCTCGTAATGCCCGACCTAGTTGTTTGCTTCCAAGTTGGTCTTCTCCTAATTGACAAGCCATGATGAATTCTTTTCCCAGGAATTTTGATATTAGATAGACAATGCCTTTTATGAATGGTAGAGGGGTATCTGAGCAGGCTGCTCCACGTTGAATAAATTTCGATCGGGGGTTTTCTGCTCTACCACTCTCAGGAACGGAAGATATTTGAACACCAAATGCTATGGATGATGTGGTAATATAGGAGTTTCTGTTGCTCATATATATCTTTTTCAGTTATTAAAGATGAGGTATCATATTCTGAAAATTCAATTTGTCTTCATAAACACTTTAAAACACTTATAATCAGTATAAGTGACAGCAGTTTCCAAGGGAAGCCTATGGTGGTTTTGACGCGAAGCAAAGCCGAAATTGTGGGCCATTTAAATGGTACATTTTCATCGCTAGAAACACCTTGATACAGAGAGTCTCTAAGATACTCTGTGGAATAAAGGAACATTCGAGAGTTCTGTCGGAGAGCGAGATAAACTCCGAGATCCCATGCTAGCTTGAAGATTCTTGCAACCAATAACTGAGCTTCAATTTAACACCGTGGTTCATCCTCGGGAAAGTTATTCAATGCATCATACGAGTCGCATGTTTAATTTCTTGATACTGGGCCCTTGGCTAGTCTCGGGAAGAGCAAATCATATTCTCGCCTGATGAGGAAAGCTGTGCTACAGTCTAGCATTTAATTTCGAATATGCGTGCATGTTCTTGGATCTCTACAATCATGGGATGCATAAATGAATCCTAATAACCCAGGATGGAATCCATGCCTGGACTTCTCCTCATCCTAGCAAGTTGAATGTTCAAAAGTAGTATTCAAGTATGCTCCAAAGAACTTGCAATACTATACTTGCCTTGTGGTTTATCTTTCCTTTCTCCTTCGGCTTTTGTGAAGAAGAAACCTTTTATCGGGATGTGGCCATCATAGGTGGTGGCGCCTCGGGAACCTTCGCTGCACTTAAGCTTAAAGAGCAAGGCAAATCGATTATCGTAATCGAAAAAGAAAATTCACTTGGTGGTCATACCAATACCTACCAGGATCCAGGCACCAGGCAGACTGCGGAGTACGGTGTTCAGGTCTTCCATAACCAGCTGGTAGTTAGGGACCTTTTTAAGCGACTCAATGTATCTTGGACCATTGCCATCTTACAAGATGATCCATTTCCTCCGAGATTTCTGGACCCGAAGACCGCTGAGCCGGTTCATTACTCCAGCCCTAATGCCACTGCAGCCCTGGGTGCATACGCAGCTCAACTGGCAAAGTATCCTGACCTTGAACGAGGCTTCTTTCTTCCGGATCCTGTCCCCGAAGACTTATTGACGCCATTTGGAGAATTCTTGCAGAAATACCCAGATATTCAGGATGCAACTTTTATAGCCTTCAGTTATGGACAGGGCCTAGGCGATTATCTCAAACAACCAACATTGTACGTCTTCAAAAACTTCGGGTTGGATATTGTGCGTGATATTTCAAGTGGCTTTATAGTCACTGCAAATCACAACAACTATGATATCTACGCACGTGCAGCAGAGGTCCTTCAGCGCGATCTGCTTTTGAATAGTATTGTCGCTAGTACAACGCAGAGAGATGACAATGGCGTCGACATGAACATCCGAACACCAAATGGGAATACCAGAGTGTTAGCAAAAAAGCTCTTGATCACGATACCTCCAAAGTTGGAAAATCTGGGCCATTTTGCACTAGATCATTGCGAGTCTATTACCTTTGCAAGGTTCAACAACACGGGTTACTATTCATCGTTAGTGAATAATACTGGGCTGCCACAAAACTTCACTGCCTACTCTGTGAGCCCAGATACCCAGCAGAATATCCCTATTCTGCCCGGCGTATATAACGTTGTTCCGACGTCGATTGATGGTGTCTTTGCTATCAAATATGGCAGTCCGAGCAGTTTATCCGATGACTATGTCAAACGCGAGATCATCTCGTATGTCAAAAAGCTGCAGGCCAACGGGCATGCGAACCCGGTATCAGGAGATCCAACGTTTGTGGCCTATGCAAATCACGATCCCTTTGAGTTAACTGTGTCTCCGGCAGAGATTGCTCGTGGCTTTTACAGAGACTTTTATTCTTTGCAAGGCTACCGAAGCACTTGGTATACGGGAGCCGCGTTTCATACGCAAGATTCATCGATGCTCTGGAGGTTCACTGATTCTTACGTGCTTCCGCCGTTGTTAAAATCGTTTGGTTCATGATCTTGGTTACGGTTTCAAATTGCTGTAATTGGATAAAGATCTTGCCCATTGATGTCTATCAATACTAGTAGCTTGTGTTATTTCTTGATGTATGATTCTCAAACAAATATTTGAAGGGATCAGATGCAATTTTGGCTATATAAAACCAAGGACAAGGACACAAGACCTAGCTTACCTACTTGAAAAGATGTTCTGAGATTGGAGCCCAACTTAATCAATTGGTATAAAAGAGATTCAGTTCAAAATGGTACAGATTGAGATATAAATTGTTGATAAACTTAGAAGTTCTTTCTATAATACAGAAACACCGGAGATAAACCCTCATATCGCTACAGAAATCCAAAATTGCTGGATTGCATCATGCACACTTATTTGGCCTTCTTGCCAGCCTTCTTCTTACCCTTCAGACTCTTCATCTGGGCAGCCCGCTCAGCACGAGCCTGTCGCTTTCTCCACGCCAGCCAACGGTTTCCACGATCATATGATTGAGCAAAGACACCAGCCTTCTCAGCAGCACGACCGATAACCCAGTTGGCCTCACGGTACATGTAACCAGGACGGAGTTGAGGGCCGGACTCAGCATCAACGGCGGCGACGGAACCGACCTGGACGCCGTTCTCATCGATGGAAGCAACCATATCAGGTTGCTGGGAGACAGGCACCAATCGTGGGACAGAGACCATATTCAACTTGCGTCGGCTGGGCGCATTGCGCGGAACGGGAAGCGTGCCCTCCTTCTCAAAGACAACACCGATGTATCGTCGTTCTGTGTGAAGTTCGGGATCGAGATAGTACCGGACGTAGCCGGCTTGAGTTGCGTAGATTGTGTGGTCACGGCCCATGGCGCAGTTCTCGCCGGGGAACCATTTTGATCCACGCTGCTTGAAGATGATACAGCCCGGAACGACGTACTCACCGCCAGATCGCTTCGCGCCGAGACGCTTACCGGCGGGATCGCGCGAGTGTCGATTGGCCGTACCTTGGGAGGCGTGAGAGGCGTAACGCACTTGAGAGAATGGGAGGAGGGTGTGAGAGAGAGAAGGTATGGGAGTGGTTTTCGGGATCGCGAGATTTGCGGAGAGGGTTCGTGAAATGAGGGATTGCGGCTGGTAAAGACTCTGAGATGAGCGGATTGAGGGAGCGAATGCCCGTTCCAGCGCCCTTAGAGGCGCCAGAATTCTGGGTTGCAACATTGTTGGGCAATTCGTGGAGAGTTTGGGGTTGCGGAAGTTGAACCTCCGTAGGGGAACTTTTCCTGGAGGCTTGGCGTCACGTGTGTAGCTTGTAAACTGGCTTTATCTATACTTGACCTCCGATTACCCCAGACAACTCACGTCGAATCTTGCTTGTTGCTTCTGTTAACTTAAAGCTTCATGATGCAAGTATTTATTCAATCCCTATGGGCTTTTCTCATGATGGTGTCTGTCGCTCAGGCTCAATTCAACTTTTTCGATCATATGTTCGGGGGCAACCAGCAACAACCAGGCCAACAGCAGGCCCCCCAGAATGTCCCTAGCGACAGCGGTCGGTACCAAAACATGTGGGCTCAGTGTATGTCTCTTGTGCTTCCGGTCTATCAGAATGTATCATTTCGCTAACATATGTCCTTCCATAGCTCAATGCAGCAACTACCTTTGCCCCGGAACTCTCGCATGCGTTAGCTTCCCACACCACTGCCCATGCCCGCATCCCGATGTCGAAGACAAGGTTGAGCTAGGAGAAGGAAGCGCAATTTGCGTGTCCAGGGGAGGCTTCAAAGACGGCGAAGCGACAAGAAAGATTGAATTGGCTCGAAAAGGACTCTTATAAGGAATGACTCTAAATTCCTGGGATCTACTCTTGAAGCATTGGAACTGCATTTATATCCGCTTTACATCAACGCATGGAAGACTTTAAAACGAAACGAAGCACGTTGCCCATACCCGGAGCACATATAAGGAGTCGCATGCGGCATGCGTCTTTGGTGGCCGCGAAGACCCATTAGGCATATGTTCATTGGAACATTGAGAAATGTCCGAAATCTAGATCAAGTTAGCCCTGGAGGCCTTACTATATGTCCTATGCCAATCTTTGTGTCGTAATATCCATGGACAATTAGAGCTTCCTATAAGCCTAGCGATTGCTTTTCTCGTTTGGCTAGAAAGAGGATTATTGTTGAATCAGATGAACAGTCTCTAACATAATGGCTCAACGCTCTTCGTCTGTAGAGTGTGCGCTTTTCCGCGCTTTCTGCCTCTCCCACGCGGGCAAGGCCACTTAACCACATTGAACTCGGATTTTAGGATTTGGTCCACCGTGGGGCGTTCAGTAGGCTCAAACGCCAGCATAGCTCTAAGCATGTCCTCCAACGCACGTAAATCACCACCTGCAACATCCCATTCGCACGTTTGCTCCGTCTCGCCACGGCCCATTTCCCAGGGGCGCTGGGGCAGACACCGGAAGGCGGGAGTGTTGAAACGGCTGAAGTCAGCGATCCGTGACCCATCCTCTTTGAAGAATTTCCACCATCTTAGGGGTGGTTCGCCCAGCGTGTTCACCATCTCGCCGAACATATCATCTCGGTGACAGGAAAATGTCTCGAAGATTGGTCGCTCCCCCAAGACCTCGTACAATTTGACACCTAGTGTCCATATATCAGCTGCGGTGGAATAAATCGATGGGTTCATTGAATAAGTCCTCTGGTGGAGAGTAAAGCGTTGAGGTATAGAGGGTTGGTGAGGGCGTCTGTGCCATAAGAAAGGACGTTCCGTAGTCTTAGATTATGGTTTTTGGGTCATGTAGCTCGTTCGCAGGCGTGTACAAACCCATAGGATCTATGGCATGCAGCGGTGCATGGGGCCTACCAGGCTGTTCATCTAGTCCGAGCTCTATACGGGTTCTTTTGGTTATTTTTTGAATCTGTTAAGAAGTCGTAATTTGTGAAATGATCGAAAATAACGACATTGTCCTTGCGAATGTTTTATTTATTTATTTATTTCTTTTTTTTTGTTGTTGTGACAAATTGACTGCTTTGAGTAAAGAATGGGACTTCTAACTGGGTTGACTTGTAGAAGCTACCCAGCAGTATATAGCAGTTATCTCCGATTAACCCCGCGGCGGCAAGCCATCCGTCATAGCAGAACTTCACCCCGAAATGCCTTTCTCCATCCTTCTACACTCCACCTAGACACCTTAACAGCCTGCAATTCTTCTCTACGGTGGCATCATTTGCCATAATGTGGAGAAGCATAGGACTCCGTCCATTATCCCAGCGCCAAATTCCTGCTCGACTCGCGCTTTCTACCTTGAGAAGCAGAAATGCTCAGCCCGGCCCTCGCGGTAGTATAATCAGGCCCGCAAGAATTCAACCAACTCAAAATACGCCTCAGCCACCGAATTCCACAGAAGACGCAGAATCAACCCCTCAAGATGTCCCGAACCTCAACTATGAACCGTCGCAAAACACTCTCCTCTCCCCAGTGCATCTGCCAGAAGACCCGAATGCGGTGCTCAAAGAGAATCACCCGGCGACGAATATACTGGCAAATTCTGGCCTGGTAGTCCAGCGACAATTGGAGATGATGACTGTCATGGTGTGAGTGTGCCTTTCTCCGTTGGAATCTACATTTCGATACTAACACCGGTGTTTGAATAGTGGCTTCGAACAAGCCAACAAATACGTTATTATGGATGCGCAAGGCAATCACGTCGGATATATGGCTGAGCAAGAGAAAGGAATATCCAATACAATGGCTCGGCAAATGTTTCGCACTCGCCGAAGCTTCGTAACCCATGTATTTGACCGACACGAGAACGAGGTTTTGCGAGTAAGCTCTTTATACATCTCCAGGACGTCTTCTCATTGCTAATATATACAGTTTCATCGTCCGTTCTCATGGATAAACTCTCGCATACAAGTATATGATCCTCTCGATGTCACAACAGCCGCATATTCCTCTTCCTCCGCTGCTCTCCAGAACACCACGCCCGGTTCTCTTGTTTCAGCTGAGCCCTCCTCCAAGGCCCGCATATCATCTCTAGGCTTTGATGAAATGCGAATAGTCGGCGAAGCTCAATCACAATGGGCACCTTTACGACGAAAATATAACCTCTTCACATATCACCAGTCCCCTAATTCAGCGACCGACATGGGCACCGAGTCTTTCTCACTTCCCGAATCGAATCTTTCCAAGTCTCAACAAATGCAGCTCGCTCAGACCTCTAACAAGGGCCTGGGCGAATTCAATCAATTCGCTTATGTTGACGAGCCATTCATGAGTTGGGACTTCCATTTACGCTCGGCCGAAAATAGACTGATAGGGTCTGTGAACCGCGACTTTTCTGGCTTTGCGCGAGAAATCTTCACAGACATGGGTGTTTATGCGCTGCGGATGGACTCGGCTGGTCTTGGGCCCGAAGCTTCGAATAATGAGACTCCCCAACCCACCGGCATGACTCTTGATCAACGCGCAGTTATACTAGCCACTGCTGTCACTGTCGACTTTGACTACTTCAGCCGCCATAGCAGTTCAGGTGGCATGGGCTTCATGCCCCTATGGTTCCCCGGCATGGGAGGTGAGGCTGCCGGTGGCGCTGCTGGCGGCGCGGCTGGTGGTGCTGTCGGGGGTGTTGCTGGTGAAGCCGGAGCAGCGGGGACCGCTGGGGCTATAGGCGAAGCTGCTACGGGTGCTGTTGGTCGAGCTGGTGCCATGGGTGGGATGGCGGATGGTGTGGCAGCTGGTGCAGCTGGCGCCGGCACAATGGCTGGATATGAAGCTATGCAGCGCGGTATTTCGGGTGGACAGGAAGGTGATGCTTATCCTGAACAACAGCCTGATATGAACCAAAGCGCGCCAGGACAACCTGGGTTCTACGAAGACTCATGGCCTGAACAAGAACAGCAACAAGAGGACGTTTGGGGTGAAGAGGACCCTTGGCAAGATAACGGCGGCGGGGAGGAAGGAGGAAGTGACTTTTCTGATTGGTTTTAGTAAAATTCCCAACTCTGTACTATAGATACCTGATACTGTAGCTTTCTAATGTCCAATACATACATTGTATACTACCTACTAAGGAAATGTTTTCATTCTATTTCAGTCCTAATGACGAAATCTTTGCACGAGTATATCTTCTTCTATCATTCGTCATACGGTGGCTGCATGTAGACTATGCCTTGGTTACCTATATACTCCATATCGTGGGTTGTATGACATCAAGTGTTGATAACCTGGAGATTGATCTTAATCGGAAAGCTTCGGTGTCCCCCGGAAAAACCAGGCTTGTTAAGCCTCCAACCAACTTCCAAGGTTTCCTGCGTTTATTTCGTTTTCATCAATTAATCCCTAACTCATAGTATACTCTCTCTCTTGGTGCGATAACCTAAAATTGCCTTCTTTCACCCTTGGGTGTCGCCGTTTTTCCATTTGCACACCCACTTCTCGTACCCCGGGCGGAATTAAACCGTTTGCCACCCCTCAACCCAAGCCAACCCACTTTCTTTCAACGACACCTCAAGTCCCCACACCACGAATTTCCGAATCTCTCGTCCACAGTCCGACAAGATGGCCTCCTCTGTTGCGCAAAAGCGTCTTTTCCATGAATACAAGAACCTTTCCACCAACCCACCAGAGGGTATCACTGCCGGCCCGGTGTCGGAGGATGATATGTTCTACTGGGAAGCTCTGATCCAAGGCCCCGAAGGCACTCCCTTTGAGGGCGGAGTTTTCGCAGCTGAGCTGAAGTTCCCAAAGGATTACCCTTTAAGTCCCCCAACTATGAAGTTTGTCGGGGGCGGAGTGTGGCATCCCAATGGTATGCCCTTTTGTCGCGAATACCGTCGACTCAACTTACTAACGAGATCTCAAATAATCTAGTCTACCCCAATGGCACAGTATGCATTTCAATCCTGCACCCTCCCGGCGATGATCCCAACCACTATGAACATGCCTCGGAGCGCTGGTCACCCATCCAGAGCGTGGAGAAGATTCTTATCTCCGTTATGAGCATGCTTGCCGAGCCGAACGACGAGAGCCCTGCCAATGTTGAAGCGGCTAAGATGTGGCGTGATCGAAGAGCTGAGTATGAGGGGAAGGTTCGCGATGAAGTTCGTAAGGGCTTGGGATTGTGAACTGCGCCAGGGTGATAATGACGAGGAACATGTTTGATGACTTGGCGTCAGTTGATGGGTTCTTGGCTTTTTATTTCTTCTTCTTTGCATGGCTTGGTTGGCAATGAGTTCTTTTGTTTTCGCTGTACAGCTTACATATGCATTCAACAGTTTCAATAAGATCGGATCACGATGTGGTTTAATCCATTTATCATATTAATCTTTCATCAACCCCTAGTGGTTCATATATTCTATATGGTAAATCATATGCATACTTTTCTGCCTTTGGCTTTCCGCTGAGAATTCGCCACTCATACCTGTCGGAACATCCTTCGATCGATCCACCCTTCCAGGCCACCGTCCTGCTCATACAATATCTCTATTTCGGCTTTCATATTCAGCATCAGCATGCTCTGCAACTCCAGACGCCACTCAAGTTCGGGACCATCAACCCCCAAGATCGGGCTATTCTGGAGCATCGAAGCGACTTTGCGGCGGTCCCTAGCGGTCAGAGTAAGAAGGCTGGCATTATTTAAGATATCAGGGTTCATCGCTGCGTCTGAAATGCGAAGGCCAAGATACTGTAATCCCGGGACAACAAATCGTGCGTTCTCATGGAAGTGTGCCATTGATCCATATTTATATGTTGACATGATCGCTATTCCATCCGGATCACCATCGACGAGGGCATAAATGGGTAATGGGCGCCTGTTATCAGCAGATGAAATACTAACCAGTCGGCGAACCAACGCGCGAGTGTTTAGGTCAGGGTAACCTTTTCCCTGGTTTTGTCAATGACCTTGTCAAACTTTTGTAGCATACTCAAGCTCACAGTGATAAGTATTCCTTTTCCAGCAAGGGCCGTTGTGTGGTAATTGTTTCTGGCCAGTCGATGGAAGACAGCCTATATTTCCTTTAGTCTCACAGCGGCTTTGCTATGGAATAGGTCATTTTGGTTTCTTACCTCTTTTTCAATCACAAGAATCCATCTGGTGCCGGATATATCTATTTCATCCTCGTCTTGAAGCCGAGGAATCAGATCATCCTGTTTCGGTCAGGTCCGCTGGCCCTTGGTCCAGAGCAAGCACCATTTCATATCTGACCTGGGAGGAAGACCGAGCATCTAGCACAACCTGTGATTCTTGTCTCAAAATGAATGATCCGGTGATGAGACCCTTCCCAGCTGCTTCCTTTTGGCACTCAACTTAGATTGCTTCGTCGTTCTGAAGATGAAGAGAACTGACCACGTTGAAAGCTGCTCGTTCCACCCCAATAGTATAAGCAAGATCATCCACAACGCCATCCACCACACTTTGCGACCGAAAGTATGCTGGGTCGATATAATATATATCCCTGGAGCAGAACGGTTCATATCGATGCCGACATTTGAAGCTATACTAGCTGCACATGTGGCAACCAGCCCTCCTTACCTCTTCGATATAAATTGTCCCATCCTCATCGCCTCATCGATCACAGTAAGAATTCGAATTATCACTGCTATTCGAGGTATTCAATTTTAGCCGATGATCACATCGCGCGACAGCATCAGAAAAATAGAGGTAAAGCAAGTAGCTGGCAGAAGGATCGCTCATACTGAACCTCCATGCCTCAAACGCAGAGTTTCCTGGCCAATAGTAGGTGCGGTTAGAAGCTTCAGGCCCAACAGCTTCAAGAGCTCCAGTGACGGAATTGATTCTGTATGCCGTAGCATTGGTCCTGCGTCGTAGGGTGACCGACGGTCGACCCACTGACGCTGGCAGTGATAGTTCATGAAACAACGCGCAGAGGGTGTTGTCGATATAGGCGCGAACCGAGGCTTCCCCTGTCACCTCGGTGCCGTGTGCCGGTGTGGCCGGGTATGGTAGTGCCATCTAAGCATTTAAATGCTCTAGAGCAAGGTGGGAGGTAGATAGAGGAGGTTCAAGGTTGGTGAGATTTTAGGAAGGTGCGCCAGCCCGTGACTAGTACTTGTTAGTTCTACATAACACTTCCAATTATTATCAGGCAGTTGTGAGAACCGCGTCGATCTGCTCGCTTCTCTTTGTGTATTCTTTATGTGCACGTATTTAGTGCATTTTTGAATCTAAATCCATGGATCATTATGCATGTTTATTTACTTGCCCGATCTGGTTTACATGGAGCGGGATCAGCCCCCACGAGTCAGCACTTAAACCATATTATTATTACTTACTCGATATCTCAACATAAGATGATCCATTCAATCTGTTTCTCACAAAAAAAGAAAGAAAGAAACTATCAAGTTCGCTTCCACATGATTATGCCTCCTCTCTGTACTTCGTTGTACCGTGAAGCTTTGAGACCGATGACTCAGCAACCCCCCGGAGTTGATCCACCTTATCGTTTATCAACTTGGTGTCCTGCAGGCAGCTTCACTTCCAAGCTTCTCCAATTGTCACCCAGAGAAGCTCACTGGCTGAATTAAAACAATTGATATGACTTCACACATTGGTCCCTGGAGGACTGGGGCCCAAGGCCACCTTAGCTCAGACGACAATGGCGACCCAAAAACCGACTACACCCGCTGGCGGTTGGTCAATGAAGAAGGACGCCAGACATGGCGCTATCTTGAATCGGATGAAGAGAATTCTGCCTGGTTGCAGTCGACTGCCGAAAAATATCATATGGGCCTCCCTACAGTAAGTGCCCCTGTTGTTCAATGTCAATTGCAAGATTTTAACAATTCTCAGGGTCTTCCAATTTTGCCTGAGGCCAAAACACCTCGCCAATCAGCAGAGAATGGACTTTCGTTTTTCTCGCATCTACAGCTAGAGCCTGGAAACTGGGCATGCGAGTATGGTGGTCCTATGTTTCTTCTTCCAGGTATTCTAATCACCTACTATGTGACCAATACCCCTATTCCCCCAGAGTACGCGACGGAAATCAAGCGTTACCTATTTGCCCGTCAAAACCCAGACGATGGCGGTTGGGGTCTGCACATTGAAGCTCATAGCTCTTGCTTTGGTACTTCCATGAACTATGTTGCTTTGCGCTTGGTTGGTGCTCATGAGGACGATCCTCGTATGATAAAGGCTCGTGGCCTTCTGCACAAGTTCGGAGGTGCCGTCTATGGACCCCACTGGGCTAAGTTCTGGCTGAGCATCCTGGGCGTGATGGACTGGGAGGGCGTCAACCCTGTTCCCCCCGAGATCTGGTATGTTTTAGCTGGCCATGTCATTACAATCTTACTTATTGGTGTTTTAGGCTTCTCCCCGATTGGGTCCCATTTGCTCCTTGGCGCTGGTGGATCCACATGCGCCAGGTCTTTCTGCCTATGTCTTATCTATGGTCCAAGAGATGGTCTTTTCCGCTTAATGACCTGACCCGGCAACTGAGGCAAGAACTATATACTCAGCCATATGACACGATTGATTTTGCCAAACACCGCAACTCTATCCACCCGGCCGACAATTACTACCCCAAAACATGGCTTCTCAATGGACTTAACGAGCTCCTGGTCCGCGTCTGGAATCCATTTCTACGACTCAACACCATTACTCGACGAGCTGAGGAATGGACATGGGAGCTTATTCGCATGGAAGATGAGAACACAGACTATGCTGGACTGGGACCTGTGAACAACCCAATGAACATGGTTGCCTGCTACCTCCATGATGGCCCTGATAGTTATTCGGTGCGTCGCCACCGAGAGCGACTGAACGATTATATGTGGGTGAAGAACGAGGGAATGTTAGCCAACGGTACCAATGGTGTACAGGTGTGGGACACCACCTTCATTACCCAGGCAGTCGTAGTAGCTGGACTTGCCGATGACCCTAAATGGCGACCCATGCTCACGAAAGCTCTTGAGTTTATTGAGGATCACCAGCTGCGGGAGAATGTGCCAGACCAGGAAAAGTGCTACCGCCAGCACCGCAAAGGAGCCTGGCCATTTAGTACTAAGACTCAAGGATACACTGTCAGTGATTGTACTGCCGAAGGTCTTCGATCGACTCTTCAACTACAGGAGATGCACGACTTCCCTAAGCTAATTTCCGTGGAACGACTTAAGGACAGTGTAGACTGTCTACTGCTGATGCAGAACCCAAGCGGTGGCTTCACGGAATATGAGACCAGTCGTGCATCTGCCAAGGTTGAGTACCTCAACGCCGCTGAAGTATTTGGTGGAATCATGGTTAGCTATGACTACCCGGAATGCACCACTGCTTCGGTTACTGCGCTGTCACTCTTTAGCAAGTTTTATCCCGATTATCGCGCGGACGAAATCCGCACAGTGAAAGAGAAGGCCGTTCGCTATATTAAGCGTGCTCAGCGCGCTGATGGCAGTTGGTACGGCTCTTGGGGTATCTGCTTTACCTATGCTGCAATGTTCGCTCTCGAGAGTTTGGCTAGCATTGGTGAGACTTACGAAACCAGTTCTCACTCTCGCCGTGGCTGTCAATTCCTGCTGTCCAAGCAAAAAGAAGATGGCGGCTGGGGCGAATCATACCTCAGCAGTGAGAAGCATGTCTATGTACAACATGAGAAGTCTCAGGTGTGCCAGACTGCATGGTCATGCCTCGCGCTTATGGAAGCGGGATACCCTCATAAGGAGCCTCTTGAGAAGGCAATGAAGCTACTCATGTCTCGGCAGCAGGCTAATGGCGAGTGGCTGCAAGAGGCTATTGAGGGAGTCTTCAATCAGTCATGGTAAGTCCTTGAACCTTTCTCAGCATTTCAATATTAAATCCCAGACTGACTTATTCTAGCATGATTTCTTACCCTAACTACAAATTCTACTGGCCGATCCGTGCTCTTGGCCTATACGCTAAGAAATTCGGGAACGACCAGTTGCTGTGAACACACCGTCTTCGGGCGCCCGGGGGGTAGAATCACGTCTCGCCCCTTACTATTTAACCATAATAATAATAAAAGGGCCATAAAGGCCTAGTAAATACTGTCAAGAATACAATCTCGGTTCTCACTAAAGTATCATGATCATCTGCATAGTCCGCATAGCTACGAATCAGTACAAACCTTATCTTGCCTAGAGCCGCATCTCCACTTTATGTAATCAGAAGCTTCCAGCGCGGGCGGAGAAAGCTGTAGAACCGTCATGTCGTAGTGCGGGACCGTCAGGTACATCTCACCGTTTTCTTGAAAGTTCCGCTAGCCTGTACCTTACTTTTCTTCGTTGTGTTCTTTGACTTCAAATACTATCCTCCTACCGAGGGCTGGTAGCGATATATAATCGACACTTCTTTCCTTAACTCTTTTTGTCCCGCCACCCACCTACCACCATCATGAACTCGGCATCCCAGGGCGAGAAAGCCCTTCTTGAATCGAACGCACCCCTCGCGATACAGCATTTCACACGTGCTCTGTCCGAGCTACCACGCGCACCATCCTACTATATACAACGTTCCACCGCCTATTCACGTTTGAAGCCCGCCGACGGCGGCCCCAATCGCACGGCCGCACTGCAAGATGCGGAAACCGCCCTTTTCCTGGCCCGTGAGCGCCAAAAGCGTGAACTCATTCTCTCCGCACAGATGCGTCGGGGCATAACGCTCTTCCAGCTTGAGCGCTACGGTGACGCTCATTATATATTTGAGCAAATTGAAGCTAAGATAGCACCCGAGGATTCAGGTGCAGACAAAATGGAGAAGTTTGCCAAAGCTACGGGAGGCTCTGGTCAAAAGAAAGATGGCTTTACTGCTCAGCTCCCAATATTTATGATGAAGGTTCGCCGGAAGCTGGAGGAGCTCCCTGAGGGTGACGAGAGGAGGACCGTGTCTGTTGATGAGTTTCCTACGGGCACTCGTGTCCCCACCGAAAAGGAGTTGAAGGCTGAGTGGCTGAGACTTAAGGCTGGAAATTCGGCGGGACCTGATAGTGAGCAGTCAGTTATGGCTGGTCAGTCTGCTTCTGAAGGCGCTGTTGCCCCCAAGGAAGCTCAGACAAATGGTGCGGTGGATCAGAAGCCTGCTGCTCCTGTGGCCGTGGCGGCCCCAGAGAAGGTGCGACATGAGTGGTACCAGTCTCAGGACTCCGTTGTCGTGACACTTTACGTGAAAAATGTCCCGAAGGATAAGGTTGAATCGGAATTGAAAGATGAATCGGTGAGTACCCTGTCCCAAATTCATTTTGTCATCTGTACTAGGGACGAGAGACGTAGATTAACCGATGATAGGTATCCCTCCAATTTCCTCTTCCATCAGGCTCTGAATATGATTTCACCCTTGATCCCCTCTATGCATCCATCAACACAGCGGCCTCCAAGATTGCGGTAATGGGCACCAAAATTGAGATCACCCTGAACAAACAAACACCAGGCCAAAAATGGAGTGCTCTTGAAGGATCTGTCAATGCTACAAAATTGGCAGATCGGCCCGCAGCCCCAAACACCTCAACAGCACCGGCTTCTGGTCCAGCCTACCCAACATCATCCCGCCATGGTGCGAAAGACTGGGACAAAGTTGCCACTTCACTAACAGCCAAGAAGTCCAAGGAGTCCAAAGATAAGAAAAATAAGGATGATGGTGATGAGTCTGATGCTTCTGTAGACTCGGATTTTGGTGGCGACGCTGTGGATGGTTTCTTCAAAAAGCTTTATTCCGATGCTGATCCTGACACACGGCGTGCTATGATTAAGAGTTACGTCGAAAGTGAGGGTACGTCGTTGAGTACTAATTGGGGCGAGATTGGCACTAAGAAGACCGAGGTCTACCCTCCAAATCAAGGGTAAATATAGTGGCTTATTTATCTATTTATTTTTGCTACATCGTTACGTTCGGCAATATCTGCTTTTCCTTGAATATCTTTGCTGAGCACATCATGCAATGGACGAAGAAATGAATACATGAACATTCATCTTTAGGAGCTACCTGTTTCAAGATTAAATCATAGGCCATGCTGTTCACATTTTAATTTCTTACGCCACTCATTCCAAAGTGTAACTATAGGGCATAGTCATTATGCAATTGTTTCTCTTGGGCCCTCCTCTTGCTTTCGAGTTATCTTCGACCTTACGCCCCATGGGGATTTTCTCCCAAGGCTCTCATACCCATCTTGATTGACCACGTTCCTTTGGCACGCCATTTGGATCAACCACTAAAAGTCAAAGATATTCAACGCTACAAATAAAAACTAGATATGTCAATGTTCATTGGCCGGCTAAAGCCTATTACGTATCTAACCCGGGGTTTCGTTGAACAAAGTTTTCCCCGGGGGTGGGGATTGTAGCAAAACACAGTCATGGGATATCCATATATGCGTTGCGCTAGTGCCTAATACCGTAAGACAGGCTCTGATCGATTTGAATTGCTGACCAAACTTTGAAATTTGCTTTTCTAGTGTACATAAAAAGTCGAAGGATTTTGGAAAATCTTGTCATCTCACCGAGAGTGGGGCTCAAAATTAAGCTCATAGTCCTTGCGAACCCTAACTTTTACCTAATGCTCCCGACCCAGTTGGGGTCTTTTGGAGTATGCTTGGCACCATCTCTTACGCGGCGATGTTTTTATTACCACACGAATCCGTTATTGGCTTTACGTAGCCTGAAGATTTTAGCAAATACTTCCGATGGTGTCTTGGAGTCGATGGCCGTCTTATTTCAGGGCCATCCTCGCATGGCCATGTCAGCATCAAAACAACAACCAACTTAAACAATTTCTCCCACCAACTTGATTCAAAATTTAAATAAAAGGGACTTATATTATCAACGCAATGGTCCGAAACATTCACATTGCCGTTCTGGATGTCGATATCCCGGCTCGCAAACTCTACGAGGCTCGCGGACTCTGCAGCGCTCATTTCCGTGACATTCTGCGCGAGACAGCAGCTCACCTCAATGACACACGTCTGGATAACGATGATGCCCTCAATATTAATGTCACTGCCTTCGATATCCGCGGTGGTCACTACCCCGACTTCCATCTTCTGCGCGGTGCCGCCCAAAATGAATGGCCTGTACTTAATCCCATCGACGCAATCCTGATCACAGGTGGTTCACCCGGCGTTTACGAAATGCCTGAGTCCCCTTGGATGCAGCTTCTCGAACGATTTGTCAAAAAGGTTTACGCGGACTACCCTGAAGTCCGCTTATTGGGTACTTGCTTCGGGCACCAGATGATTTCTCACGCTCTCGTCCGGGACCCCGAGGACACCGTCCGCGACGTTTATGTTGAAAAATGCCCGCTCGGTAGAGAAGTCGGCATTTACACCGTCGATTTAAACGATAAATTTGTGCAGTCTTTCCCATCTGCTTTGGGATCTCTCCCCGGTGGCCAGCTGCGTATTCAGATGTTCCACGGTGACCGTGTGATGGCGGTTGAGAAGGGAACGCCCGTCACCCTGAGCGAGTCCCCTCCTGTTTCGCTCCCCGCCCCTTGGATTAATATTGGAAGTACCCCTATCTGTCCCATTCAGGGACTTTATAACCCTGGACGTGTCTTGTCGGTCCAGGGACATTATGAGATGGATGCCTTTGGCATGCAGAAGATGTGTGTGGAGTCTGCACCTACTATGGGATGGAAGGAGTCGAAGCTGGCACTATTCTTGGAGCAGGTTGGGCCTGACTTGGAGGATCGGGCTGATGATGCTAAGGCTTTTGCATCGGCTGTTGTGTCCTTCTTGGCTGATCTGCAATGACAGTTAAATGTGTATCTAAATAAAAGTTTATACTATAGACCTCTTAAGTTCAATAATATTTCGAAAAACGCGGAAATCATGGCCTGGAATTAGTGGTAATTGTTGGTGCTTCAAATTTTTCTCCAAGTACCTATTCGTATTTTCTCGATTGACCTTCTACCTACTAGTGTTCGAGGGTTCACTTTCACTTGAGAGCACTCAGTGCGCCACTCAGTACATGCAAGCTTCCTATTATCAACGATGCGCCGACTCGGACTTCTGACCGATTTGAACTTGTACACCAGCCCGTTCCAGAGCGTTTTCAATCGACCTCTCACAACTTTAATATATCGTACATAACGTCTATAGTTCATATCTTCTCCATGTACGTGCGGACTTTCCTAAGTTCCCCATAGAAGATTCGACCCGTTGAATTTCTATAACTTCATATAAAATCGAATCCGTGCTTCTGCAAATCAGTCTGAGTCATGGCGCTATGAAGCTCCTGTTAATATAATCATATATGTACATCCTCAACAATTATTGATCAACGTGTTCTTCGTCAGTGCCCTTTGAATCATCGCGATATAAGAAGAACTGCACAAAGATTGCCATATCCAATAACAATGTTCCAAAGCTGCCAATAAGCCACGAAAGGTTCACCAACACGTATCGCCCGTACAAAGCTGAAGCTTCACCAGAACCACATTTAGCATGGCGGTGGGAGAAAGCACCCACGTTATCTGCGATTGATAGATCTCCACGACAAACAGGTGAATATGCCAAAATAGATAAGACGTATGTCAAGTTTCCAATGCAGGCGAACAAGAAGAACAGCAGAGATACACCGTCAGTCGACTTGCGGCGGAAATTCAATAGAAGCTGGGGGAGTCGAGAACCTAGGTACAGGACGGCGCAGAGATACCCAAAGACTTGGCCTAGTGTATCCATAGTGAGAGGTTCTGGCTCTGAGCTTGATTTCTTTGAGCTTGGGCTAAAGCACCAGCCTACAACACCTGCAGTACAGACGAGGGCAATGGCGGTGATGTTGAATAAGATTTCTTTAATAGTAGAGATACGGCGGCGACGGCGGCGAGCTCGAGCCGCACTCATATTTGTATCAATGAATGGAGTTGCTGGGGATAAATGCGTTCCATCAACCGAGCTGTGTAAGATATGCCGAAATGAGGTTGCGGAATGACGTCGTCCTTGACCGGATGAAGTCGGGCGTGTTTCCCCACGAGACGGTTGGCCATTGCTATCAGCTGAAGAATAGTCGTGGTCGATGTTGCCATATCCATTCGATTTTGGCAGCAACGCCGAGTTCTCAGTTGGTGTTGAGGCTGATTCGTCACCCTCGATTCCCAGCGCACTGGACGCAGATGGTTCTGGAGTCGGAGAGGAAGAAAATTCTTCACGAATGTTGAAACCTCGATAATAAAAGCACTGGCCTAACAAAACGATGTCTGCCAGGGTATAATATACTGCTAGAATGATCATTGTTGGCAACACGCCCTGTAGGACGGCACCGAGGATATTGAAGACATCGCCAGCTAACCAAACAATGAGGAAAAGAAGTGAGAGGCCATCTGCAGAGCCGCGCTTGAAGTTCTCAATGATTTGTGGAGAGAATACTACTACCCAACAAGCAAGAGATATGGAGCTATGATTTGTTAGATCTTGGTCTTTCATATGTGGGGTCTTGCAGATCAAATTCGATAATTGATGACATGCATGTACAGCAAGGGATACAGATGCAAAATACAAAAATAACGATAGAGCAGCCCTATTGAAGCAACATGTAACTCAAGGAAGTGATTATCTTACCCACAGATGCCACTCAGGGCTTCAATGTTCAAATTGGCTGCCTGTGAAGGAAACATGGCGCAAGTCGGATATCGAATTCAGATTAGAGTAACACGAACCCGCGTTGATGCAGAAGGCACATCGAGGTCAATGCGATAAAGATAACAGCACAAAGATCCTTGGATCCACTGTATTGAATATTGCAGCTTTGTACAATTCAAAATACGTCAATTGAAGTTAAAACGAAAAGTTGGAGAAATTCGCGGGAAAAATTGCTAATGACGTCGGACGGTCACGTGGTGCTTCATCTATATCTTGGAAAGTTTCAACATCAAACCCTAGGATTTACACGACCTTCATTGTTCAGGTGGTTTAAAAAATAGTTCGGAATGATTTCCAAGACTATGCAGCCATTAAAGGTACACATGGTTTCAAGTTGGCGATTTACATTGAAGCATTCATAATCATCTCGAGGTTCCAAGGTTGTTGTGGTTGAAAGCTGCAAAGCATATTGATGGCCTATATTTTATGTAAGTAGGAAGAATGGTTTTCTATCAAGGTATAAACTTCATATCTGCGTGAGCTTTGTTTGCCTTTCTCCAATGTAATCCCGAGCGAAAGCGATCTGGTGCTTACCACTGTCATGCATGAACGAAAATCTAGATCTTATTGGCGATTAGTCTTATAGAAGCTCCCGAGGTCCTGGGTAGTCAGTTAGTGACTCATTCTTATCTCATAGACCACGGGGGGCATTTTTTACACCTGCATAAACTTGTACCAACGAAGACCGCTAAAGTTTGTGTAGTTCAAATAGCCATCCCGTCATTTCTAGATGCCGAGGGATCCATATAGGTGGGTGTACCAAAATCTCACGATGATGGCGCATGAGTTCAGCAAGCGTCACCACACCAACTGCGCTGGCTGACATTCTGGAAGAGCCAAGTCATGCTGATGTCAAAATAAGTGTCATGTCGCGCGCGTGAAATGATGCATGCACGTCGTGAGCTCAGCTGACTGAATGCAGGCACCAATACGCAGGCCTATTGTTCAACTCAAGTCTTCTTAATGGTCTCTTTGCGATAATTTAATTGGATACATCCAGACAATGAATTGAATTTGAGTGAAAAATAAATACTATTGATTAGAGCAATTTAGCGGAGTACGTTCCCTGCATTCCAAGCAAATCAGCTATAAATCCATATCTTTCTTTTCACCTATTATGAAATGGCTGAAAGATTACCATCTCCAGGTACCCGCAAATTCAAGACCGTCTCTACATACTCAAAATTCAGAGGGGATTCTTCATCTTGAGCAAGCAGTTATGCTGTACGAATGACATTCTTGATCTGTCGACCATTCAAGTTCACCTCCGAGATTCGCTCCAATTCGTCATCACTGAATCTCGCCATATTTGCCTGCCCAATAAACTGTTTCCATATCTGGCGCCGAGAGACATGATTCAACTGCGGGAAACGGATCGTCACGTGGATTCTAGATTCAAAGGCCGGGTCAATATTTTCGGCGCGGTTCGTAGTGAGGAACATGATACCCTGTTTTATAAATCAGTATTCGTGTCCACAAGATGCCATGTCGTGAAAACATACCTCGTAGTTTTCCAGAAGCCGTAGGAAGATAGCAACCAGTTCGTTTCTACGAAGGTCGGTGCTATCACGGGCTTCCATGAAAACGTCCGCCTCATCAAGTAGAAGAACGGCACCCCCTCTCGGGATCAATTCTAGTGTATCTTTCATCTTTCTTTCAAGTGCACTAGCAGTTGCTCCAAGATCAGCCGCACTTGAAACGTAAAGGGGGACTCGCATCACTTCAGCAACGCTCTCCGCCGTCAGAGTCTTCCCGACACCAGGAGGACCTCTGAGAAACAATATCATACCGCGGCCCTTGCCCGTGATAACATCATCAAAGGAGTCACCGCCTTTAGATTGAGATCGAGTAACAGCAAGGATGAGCTTTTTCATGTTTTGGTCTGAATGAGGTAGGACCAGGGAATCGAAGGCCCGGTTATCCCACACGATATCCTTCACGCCGTCGAGCTGAAATGTGGCCCACCTCTTGTCCTTGAGTGCATATCCCAGAAGAGTGGATGTAGCAAGCATGCGTTTCTCATCATCAAGTTCCTCGCATAAATCAAACGTAACACCACTCGTTGATGGACCCTTGAGCTTGTTGTATGATTCCGCGTCAATGACAATGCGACCTTTGAGATGAAGCTCCACTGGGTTGTATAGGTAGTCAACAGATATAGGACCATCGTATTGTTTGTAATGATATCCCTTGTAACTTTCCCATAGGTCTCCGCGGGCAATAAATTCCGCCCTGTTCGTAGACTGGTCCTTGTGATAAGCAAAAGGAAATGCCGGGAGCGAGGTGACGGCAAGAGTCCCCTCGAAGGAAGGGAATCTTAATGGCCGTCGACTTGTAGCCAAATTTTTTACCACTCAAATCGATGTATTCGCATGTCATATAGAATGCCGAGGGATATGCGCCATCCTCAAAACCACCGCTCTTGAAAATGAAGGCTCGGGGGCGTCCGTCAACAATACTGAAAATTAGATCCCCAGACTCAAAGATGAGATCCAGAGATTCATAAGCAATGACTCCGTTCTTGAGAAGATCCTTCTTCTGAGCAATAATGCTCCCCAGCTCTTCTTTTAAGAGGTTATAAAGCAGGTCAACGTGTGCTTTGATCTCAGGATCTGTGACCCCACTACGTGCCTTGAGCAGTCGTTCCCAACGCTGTACAAATGGCCTGGGGTTCGCAGAACTTCACACGATTCAAGGTCAGTGTCAAGCCACTGAATCCTTCAAACACCCCGGCGAGGAATTCTTTTAGGTGGTTGCTTTGCACAATGATGGATTGGAGCTTGAGGTTCCGGCGCCCATCGTAGCAGCGCTTGTGTCGAGCAACCAGAGCATATTAGTTAGACTCGGAGGTCTCTGAGGGTGGAGGGAGGTCTTTGGGGGGCTCTTTCACCCAAGACGAACAATCGCGATCGCTTTGATAGAGCTTGTGGATCTCGCAAATAGACCCCACAGGGGCATACTCCGTAAAGTCACTCGAGTTGGCTTCTGCTCATATTGATTAGTGTTATTCTATGAACAGCACTAGAGAAGAACATACCGTCCCCTAAATGGCTAGACTCGCTTGAGCTTGAGTACATCTCGTCGGGTAATCGGGGGGGGAACAAAGCTGGGTAGAATATTTGGAGCTGAAATACGCCTCACACCTCCAGTATGAATGAGCGCTTGCTTTTGGGGGAACTCCATGGTTAAATAATACTAAAGCTCACTTCTTGGACTAAGTTTATAGAATTGGATGCAACGGGAGTCGGAGTCCAAGGTTTGGCATTTGACGTAGATGAAGTAAACGTGGTTGATTTTCAGTGGCTATATACTACCAAGTGTTTGTTTGCCATTTGGCCCGGATAGCGTTTGAAAGAGGCGCTTCATGCAGAATCCCCAGGCAGACTCCAGGCAACCCCAGGGCTATAGGCAGTCATGCAGCATACCCGGATACTAAGAACAGGCATCATTACAAGGCTGACTGCCATAAAGTTCAAGGTCGCAAAATCATCATGTGTCAGAACGCCACCAGTACTTCCAAGGTTCTTTCTCAGTTTTCATGACGAAGAATGTATCAATCCATGTATACATCGTAGACTGTCAGCTCGGTGATGCCACATAAACAGAAATAAATAAATACATTGAAATTTGCAATTTGTAATTGGACAAAAAGGAGGCCATTTGTCTAGCTTGAACCAGCAAATGTCATACCTTATTAACCTTGTTCTGTCTTGCCCAATTCTTGCAGGGGTTTGAAGCCGGATAAGATGAGGCAACAGCAATGGACGACGTAGATCACCGGATTATATAAGCCCTATGCCCTATCGTCCAAGATAGGAAATGCCAATCAGTCTTTTTCTCCAAAAAAGTTACGAAAGCTTCTTGAGCAGTCTTGAAGTATAAACTCCTCCAAAAGCTCAGGGTCGATCCCTGTTTTCAATCACAGTATACTAAGCTGTATAAGCTTACCTCGCCACAAAATGCCGTCCCCTTTCCTCACCCCAGGGACTACCGCGCAGCCAAACGACATCACGCTGCTCCATCTTCGTCGCGATCAAGCCCTTCCGACGATCCTCCGCGACTATGACGAAGATAATATGGGTTATAAAGAAGGAAAAGTCGCCAACACTCGCTTCGGATCATTCCCGCATAGCACCATGATCAATCGGCCATGGGGTTCTCAAATCGCAGCTTCAAAAGTCGACACAGGTTCCCGCGGCCGCAGAGGAAACCCAGCTAAACGCAAGGCCGACGACTTGGATGAATCAGGCGCTACAACAACCGGCGCAGAAGAAGACGCACCCTCCGCCAAGACACCCGTCGCTGCTGCGAGCGGTTTCTTACATATGATGTACCCTACCCCCGAATCTTGGACGCTGTCCCTTCCCCACCGAACCCAGGTCGTCTATGCCCCGGACTACAGCTATATTCTGCACCGACTCCGTGTGCGTCCCGGTGATACAATTATCGAAGCTGGCGCTGGCAGTGGCTCATTTACACATGCCGCTGTTCGCGCCGTATTCAACGGATACCCCGGTGAACCGCAAACGAAGAAGCAGCGACTGGGCAAAGTGTGTAGTTTTGAGTTTCACGAGCAGCGCGCAGGTCGCGTTCGTGAGGAGATTTCGGAGCATGGACTAGATGGTCTCGTACAGGTTACACATCGTGATGTCTACCAGGATGCATTTAACGTTGGTGATCCCAAAACAGGACAATCACCAAAGGCCAATGCGATCTTCTTGGATCTCCCTGCGCCCTGGCTTGCATTGAAGCACCTTGTCCGTAAGCCTGAAATAGGCGAATCACCACTCGACCCCTCCACAACAGCACATATCTGTACATTCTCGCCTTGTCTCGAGCAAGTGGAGCGAACTATCCGCACATTGCGCAAACTGTCATGGTTGAATATCTCGATGGTCGAGGTCCAGTGTCGTCGCATTGATGTGAGAAGGGAACGTATCGGTCTGGATGCGACTGGTATTCGAGGCGCAACTGTTTTCCCTACGACCGTCGAGGAAGCCGCTGATAAGCTTTGGGTGGATGAGCAGCGCGCTAAGGTCTCTCGCACGGCGGCAAAGGTCAGGAATGGTACCGAAGAGTCGATTGGACAGGATGATACATTCACCATACCTGATTCCTTAAGGGAGAAGCCAGCTGCTCCTTCATATAGCTTGGGTCGCTTGGTGCACCGCTCTGAGCCTGACATCAAGACTCATACTTCATATTTGGTCTTTGCTATGCTTCCGAGGGAATGGTCTGAGGAGGCTGAACAAAAGTGTCGCCAGCAATACCCACCTACCAAGATTGAAGATGAAGAGCAGGGTGGAAAAAGTAAAAAGCAGATAAAGAGAGAGTCGAAGGCGAAGTTTGAGCAGGCGGAGAAAGCAAAGAAAGCGTCTGAACAACAGGCCCCTGAGGGCAGTGTTGAGGCATCATGAAAATTGCCTTTGTTTCAACAATAATGCATATATCTGTATAATGTACCATTAAGCATTTACCTGTCTTGAATAATTTTGATGTTTCCCTCTTGAGCCCGAGCATGGCAGCCTTATTACAATCGAGCATTCTTCTACGTGGATACAAGCTTTAAAAAACTATTTGAAAGCGTTCATATAAGCATAATAGAGGCAGTTCAATCCTGAAAAAACGTGTCTATGTATATGTATGTATATGAAGGTTTAGGTCGTAGTCTCATTGCTCAGTCAATGCATGCTGTAAATGGAACACCGGGGGAATTGATAAGATGACCATGCTATGTGACAAAGCAGCCACCACTATGTCAAGTGAAAATACATAACAAAAAACAAGTTGAAGCTTAGATATTGTTCTCGACTCTGAACTTATCCCAAGCTTCGTTCAATGTTCCAAACACAGCACCCGCAATCATGCGTTGTTCTGTCGTGGCAGTAGTAGATATCTAAGATATAGCCAGTCCGTATTTAGAAGTGTGTTCAAAGGCCCAGGGGCATATATGGAATATGACGCAAGACTTACCTTGTCAGGATGCACCTTCGAAATACCTTTCATATAATGGATCTTCACCTTATTGGGCAGTACTAGCTCTGCCAAGCCGACCTTCTTCCAGCCAGCCTCGGGCCATAGTACTGTGTCCAAACTCCCTAACAGTGCACGCAAGTTATCTTGCTTTCCGTTCTTCCATGTCGATATTCTTCCATCGACACTGTCTGTGAGAGCAAACTTCTCCTGATCGGCACGTTCGGCGGCTTGGTTAGCCTCACGAAGACGCGAAACAGCCACCGAGTCTTGCCCAGAGCTCGAGCCTCCAAGATCGGACAGCGCAGAGGCTTTCTTAGGCACAGGCACAGGTCTCTTCTTGGCGGGCGCAGCCGGTTTAGAGGGCGGCTTGCTGATCCCAGCGACTTTTTCGCAGCGGTTCCGGCCCTGGATACTGGTGCTTCCACCATGGCCAGACTCTACTGCTAGCTTCCACGCATGTGCAGCATCAGACCAGCGCTCGAGCTGTTCTAGAGCCTCGGCCTTCCGCATAAGAGCCTTGCCGAAAAAATCTTTCATTGGCTTGGCGGCTTCGCCATTTCCTAATTCGATCGTTTCATCCTCGCCCTTCGAGGGACCGATTAGGTTCAAGATGATGTCGGCGTCATCAATTGCAGTCTTAGGTTCACCGGTCTTCAGCGCAGTCATTGCACGGTTACTGCGGATCATGATGGTGATTGGATGCTTATCTGGAAGCATGCCAAGGGCTGTCGAGAAGCTTGCGTGTGCAGCTGCATAGTCTCCCCGCTTGTATGCCTCTGCTGCCTTTTCACGGTGGCGGTGAGTAGATTGGAGAGCTTGCGGAGAAACTGGAGGGGCGGCGCGTGGTGGAGCTTTGGGCCGTACAGGAATAGAGGTTGAGTGTCCAGGAGAGGGCGTAGCTTGAGGTCGGGGCGTCGGTTGAGGGGGTTTGGATGAAGGAAGGGGAGAATTGAATAGATCGACCTCAGGCTCTGGCGCTGGCGCTGCTGGCTTGACTTCGGGCTGGGGCCGCTTGCGTCTAGCCGGGCTGACATATGCTTGTGCAGACTGCTCTTCTGCCGCAAATCGGTTAAGCCGGGATTTGGGTTCTTGAGAACTTGGACGTGAGGGTCTTTGAAGAAAATGGGGCGCCGGCGGTTGCTGCTGCTGCATCGACTGGCCAGATGGGAAAGATGGCTGGGGGCGTCGATCACGAGGAGCGGAGGCGGGTTGTGATGGCCGTGGTGGTTTACGAGGGCGTGAATCTCCTGAATCTAGAAGTAATGCCTCATCTGTGAGTGCTGGAGCGCTTGACCCTTGCGGCTGACCTGTTCCATTCTCTCTTCGGGTGGGTTGTGGCTGAGAAATTGACTCCTCACGAGGACTAGATGCATCTCTCATCCACTTAGGCTGGCTGGGATCATGCTCCACATTGAATTCATTGACAGCTTGTTGGAACTTTTTGCTCCCTGTTTTCCATAACGAGCCTGCAGTTTTCAAAAAGTTGTTGCCAAATTGGGATGCAATTTGGGCTGGGTCTCTTTCACCAACAGCTGGGCTGCGGCTGTCCTCCCGCGACCGACCATTCTGTGATCTTCCTTCGTTCATCCAAGAGGGTCCATTGCGGTTGCGGCTTTGATTTCGCTCCGGTGGATCATTGGCTGGAGATTGACCCTGAGACTTTTGTCGGGCTTCGGCATGTGCTGTCGTAAGGAGCCAACTCACTGCGGCCTGTACATCAGTGCCAGATGATGTAGTTCTTAGAGCTTGGCGTGCCTTTTCGGCAGGGAATCCCATGTCAACCAACTCTGCAATAGCTCGGTCGACCTCGTTTGAAGGCATGGGCGATGAGTCGGATTCATCACGGTCGCGAATGGGAGACGCTCTTCGTTCAGCCGCCACTGGTTGACGTGGCATTTCCGACACAGGTTTCCCCAATAATCCCAGGAAGTCGTCGTCATCGTCTTGCATTGATTGTATAGGGCGAGCTGGGGGCTTGGGCTTGACTTCGCTGAGTCCAAAGGGGTCATCATCGTTATCAAAAGCGTCCATTCCACCGGTGTTATCTTGCATTTGTATCCCCCCACTAGTCGCTCTTTGTGGAGGCGTTGCAACTAGTCCAGGCGACGGGGAGGCGCTAGGGATCGGGAAATTCGTGGAGGCATCCACGGGCGCTTTCGCATTGAAAGCATCCAGCAAATCATCTTCGTCGGCGGGTGATGCGACCGTCTGCGACGACACTCCGACGGCGGGGCTTCCAGTACGGCCTTGTTCAAGGTTATCCCAGAACTGGGAGTTCTGGCCACCATACTGCGATTCGAATCGGCTTCGTCTTTCAGCCTCTTTGTTGGCTTTCTCCGCTTCTAATTGCTTCTGTTGTTCTAGGAGGGAGAGGTTCTTGTTTGAGGAGGCGGGACCGAACGAGACCAAATTCGCGAAGCTATCTCCGGTGGAGGTGGCGGCGGGTTTCGATGGGGAATTGGATCGGTTCGAGGCCACAGACAGGGGGGTCGATCTGCCAGAGTTTGTTTGTCGTGTATTGGGGAATAAGAGGCCCGAGGACATAGGAGGAGGCTTGTTGGCGGGAGCATTTGAGTTGGAAGACCAACTCAGCCCGTTGAGGTCATCCATGGCGGGCAGAGCAATGCCCGTAGCCGATGGTCGGAAGTAGGAGAGTTCTGATTGATTCCGTATGTTAACAACTGGGCGGCGTTTGAAGGCTTGGAAAAGGCACAGAAGGCATTCTGGTCATACCTGAGAGAATTGGATGTTTGATTTAAACAAGCTTCATTCCATCGTCAACCTCAGCCCCTGTAGATGTGGGGTGTCGGATCAACTGGACCCGTGCAGTCCTTGGCAGCCAATAGGGATGTTTCAAGTGTGTTAATCCATTCAAATGTTTAAATGCTTTACCTTGCGAATATGTTTTATGCCTTTCTTACCATGGATTAATATGTCGAATGTGACTTCAAAGATGGTATCTTTCCTCTGAAGTTCATGTTCTTATTCAGTGATGATGCAGCTTTGGAATATCGTGGTTAATACACTCTATGATGTGCAATTGAGGTCACGTGCCCGACCGTCTATGTATGGAGTCGTGGAGAAGTATAGCCATCATGGATGTGGTCCAGTTGATAAAAGAAAGAACACTTTCTCAGTAACTTGAAGTTTTATGAGCGTGTATTTTAGGTTAATATATGTCATACATGGTACATCTATATGTGTATGATCGCGGAAATGCCCTTGGATTTCAAAGTGCTGGCACTTCAGCAGTATGTATATATGAATGCACATACATACTGCTGTATGTAAGCAGATTGAGGGGCATCGCTATCCATTCTTTGGAACCTTCGTAAACTTCGCATCAGTATAGAAGTATTTAATATAAATGCAAGCGAGATAATAGATTCAGGTTTGGCGTTGGTCTAGATACTATTGGGATGAATATAAATCTGGAAGGTCAACGGTGATCCCGTCACTTGAGTCAGGTTCAATGTATTTACGTGGAATATAGAATGAATCATGATATATCAACACCTAGAGCCTCTACCAAGTCTCTACTAGAAACAAAGGAATATAATCAACCAGCCAATTGGCTTGGGCGTTGGTTTTACCAAATTTGAGAGCCAACACACTACTAGTAGCCTTGGAACACATAGTATTGTTTCATTTAGGCTGATTTGCTGAGATTTGTTGCAATCCATACGTACTAGTACATACTAGGTACTTTCAGATCTATAAGACCCCATGGTGCTATATAGGCATGAGTACATATAGTATGTTCTCGTTTTCTTTCCCGTATTTAATATTTTCACATTCCATACATGGAAGAAGAACCCTTGGAAAAACCGAGCCTTCTACCCAACTGGAGGCGCGGAAAATTGTTGTGAACATGGCTACCTAAGGGCAAGGCGAACCACAGTGTTCAAATACATGGGAAGAATTAGCCAGACCATGGTATTTATTCTTACTATTTCACACCTGGGCACTAATGTTGAGTTGGCCCAAAGAGCAAACTAGAACACTAGGAAATGATTGTGATGTAAAGCGACATGGCCCATTCAAATCATGATGGCATTTAAAACTTTCTGCCCCTGGTGCATGCCTCAGACCCCATAGTTGGTATAAATACATCAGATAAATGGAAGCCATTGGAGACAGTAGTGTTAAAATTATAGTGACTGGTAACAGCGGCAGTATTGAGGTGCTACCGTATTTTCCTGATAGGTCAAATTGGTTGAAAACCTTGGAATATCCGTATCACGTATCTGGTTAGAGGCACGAATAGGTAAGTTGTATGCTGCTTCGAGCCTCTGATCTCCGATCGTTTTGATTGAAACCGACCCTACCCTTGTATAATTATTGGTAGCTCTTTTTTGCTCTCCTATTTCAAATATTTGACCATATGACTAAATTCCTGCCCATCACGTCTGGCAACACCAACCGACAGACACGTGTACCTAGCGTGGAAATGAATGTCTCTTCGGAACGAACAACTCATCCTTTCTCTGTCGACAAACTCTATCCCACAGAGAACGAATACTGTACACCAATGCAAAATGTGCATATGGCGCGACCTCCACCGCCCATTGAACAATGCATTATGATTGCATGCCAGCCACAAGTCCCGCTCGATGAAGAAGGGCGGTATTGTCTCAGAGGTACTGAGCGTTCTCCTTGCCTGCGAGGAGCAGCAAACAAAAAGTCAATTTCATGCCCAACCATTCGGCAGGAACAATGCAAGCACGGCACAGCGGCCCCGGCCTAACGTTGTGATAGGCCAGCGGGCGCGCATGCATGAGAAGGGGAAAATAGACACGGTTCATGGCGAATGAAAGATCGGGATACTAGACCCACTTCATTAAACCCCTAAATCCAACTTAGCGCTGATACCTCCGAAGCTACCGTTCGAGCTGTCCAGCACGCTAGTTTAGCGGCTTGCAGCCATTTTTCATTTTCCCCTGGAGGCCAGACGGTGCACTTGATACATTACGGTGAGGCTCGTATGGAAAAGGAAACCGATGATTATACGAGAGGCTGGATCATGTACAGAGCACAGAGTCAATGTGACAGATCATGGGCATTTATTCTGGGGGGGCTGCATTATATCAAGCTACCCGTGGGTTCATCCGGGTATTGATCAACGGGGAGGGGAAAGAGGAACTACGGATACACGAAAGAAGCACTAATTTCAAAATTTCAAGGAATTTTCCCTTGATTGTGCCTGACTCCGAAAATACTTGTGGCCGGCCGCGAGATCCGGACGGAAAAGGCGTGTTGATAGGCGAAAAGCTAACTTGTTAAGGGGTAGGGGAGGCAAATCTACCGGATAGAAATTGCTTGCTGTGAGTACACTAATTTCAGCCAAATGACGCTAGTCAATTAGTGATCATAATATTCAATATTCAATATAATTTCCCAAGGATTTGTGACCGTGAAGTGGGCACGGCCAGGGCGCTGCACCCTGCTCGATCGATGGGGCTTGGTGGACTCGATCGGTGGGGCCATTGAAGTGCGACTAATAATATTCGAGCTTCTAATCATACTAATCAAGCTTGGAAATAAATCCATGGACTCGATGCACTCGATGAGCTCGATGGACCCATCACGTCCAACTCGCGTGGCCCTTATGTATGTGTCGGCAGGTCTAACCCCCTAAAAAAGCTCTAACGGGGTCAAAACAAATTCCAAGCCCCGCGTTCGTGCATTATCGGTTCTGAGTTTTCCTTTTTTTCTCGAATTTTTTTTTTCTATTTCTTTGTCTGGGTTTAATTTCCGACAATTATTCGCTTCCTGGTTTATATGTAAGGCAGTCCGGGGCTGGTTGTCCCACCTCTATCTGACTGTTGCGGATCTCGTTCTCTATGATCCTCCCAAAGATCTTTTAGTCGTTCAATATTCCAGTTACCCAGTCTGAGTCTCTTGTCAGAGGAATTGGTGGATCTTTTCTTATTATACAACACAATTACCATTGGACTGTATGGAGGCCATGTGAATATTCCGAAGATCGCAGTCGCAAGAGAGTCGAGTCATTTAGCTCCACTCTAATACTTCGCTTCCCCTCATCCTCACCAATCGCAGCTTTGCTGCAATATTGCAGCTTGTGATTCAACATGCGGTGGTTTCTGGTAACACTGTTGGTTGCCTGTCTCTATTTGGGTCAGATAATCGCAGCTCCAGCTGAAGTCGTACCACAATATGCCAATGGTGTCGCCTTACTCAACGCCAGAGATGACGCGAGCGCGACATCAACCGGAGCAGATCAGACATCTAGCCAGTTTTCCACTATAGCTACAGCCACAACAGATGCGCCAACTACGACCACCTCAGCAAGCTCTACTACACACTCGGCATCGCAGACTACCAAAACAAACCAAACAGCCGCCAATACTTCGATTCCATCCCTAGGCTCGTCTGGCTCTAGCTCCAATTCCACGTCCAGTTCTTCGAAAATGGTATACCAAGGTGGTCTTCCCATTCGACCGGAAATCACACCAGCTGTGGGCGTGGCGGGCATTATACTTATGGCAGCGGGTGCAGCCCTAACATTTATCGGTATTCGAAAGCCACGGTACGCGCAACTTTTCGCGAAGAAGAAACGTCTCGGTGCTAATACTTAACAGATACCACATTTTCTTATCGACCGGACTCTTGGCCGCGCTAGGTGTTACAGTGAGTTTCCTCCCAGCACCAAATGGGAATGTGTGCATATCTAATGTTTTTGTCTAGGTCCTCATCGAATACGTCATGAGTCCACCTGCGTCTAATGCCGTACAAGGAGGATACCTGGTAGCCATATTTGTTTCTGGTGCGGTTTTCGGTGGTCTGGCACTTGTGTTCAAAGAGATAACCGAGGGTCTCTGCTGCCTTCTCGGCGGCTTCTGCATCGGGATGTGGCTCTTAACCATCAAAGCTGGAGGCCTCGTCACGGCAGACGGAGCGAAAATAGGATTCATTCTTGCTTTTGCCGGAGGCTTCTTCTGTCTCGCATTCAGCCGATACACACGTGCATATGGTTCGATGATATGTACCTCCTTTGGTGGCGCCACTACTCTCGTTCTCGGTATCGATTGCTTTAGTCGAGCTGGCTTGAAAGAGTTTTGGCTGTATGTCTGGGGTAAGATTTGCGTCCCACACGTCCTGATAAATGAAAAAGAAGAGCTAACATTGTCTAGCCTTGAATGTCGATATGTTCCCGTTGAACACTAATACATACCCCATTACGCGAAATATTCGTGTCGAATCTGCGATCATCATTATCGTCACTGCCTTTGGCGTCATTTTCCAGTTGCGATTGTGGAAAGTGATCAAAGAGCGCCGCGAGAAAGAGGAAGGCATTCGCCAAGAAGCCCAAAGACAGAAGGATGAAGCTGAAGCCGAGGTCGGCCGACAACTCGAAGAGAATAACCGCAAAGAACGAGCAGAGTGGGAGCAAATGTATGGGAATGGCAGCGATGCTAAGGAGCCGTCTATGTCGGAGACTGCCGTGGCTGATGACTCGCGACGAGGGTCTAGCTCTTATGGTTCATCTGTCCATGAGAAAGGCGCTTCCCTCGAGATGAAAGAGATGACTAGCCCCGACCGTTCTGCCCGCCTCTCGGATTCCGGAAACAATCTTGAGGTCGTGGAAGAGGTTGTTGCTGAGAACGCGGAACATCTTCAAGATGACCAGGCATTGCAGGAGCATGAGAATATCCCGCATAGAGAGGGCCATGCAAACCCGCAAGCACTAGAAGCTCCAGTTGCCGTCCCAAGACATCCGAAATCGGGAGCCAATGTGCCAGCAGACAACGGCTCTGAGCACGGCGCTGTTTTGGGCTCAGAGGTGGCCTCATTGCGATCAAAGCGCTTCTCAGGCAGATCCTTTAAGAACAGGTTATCTTGGCGAAGTGGTCATCACGGCGCGAACCAATCCATGCAATCTCAATCAGAAGAGGCTCTCATTGTCGCTACCGACGCAACTTCCTCTGTGGCTGGAATTGCTGATGATCTTCAGAGCATCTCCTCCGAAAGATTCAGTCTGGCCACCGAAGTCCCCGAGAATACAGAAGATGTATCAAAGGAGATATGCGAGCATAAAGTCTTCTCCGAAGAGCATGAAGCTGATAATATCAACAAGAATAATTTTTTGGAAAACAACTCAGAAATCAAGGTAATTAGCCATGAGGTGACTGAGGTGACCACGAATCCACAGAGTGAACATGGCACTGTGAAGGATGATGGCGTGAAACAGGAGGATCCTAAATCCACTGCAGTCGTTGAGACGGAGCTTGTTGACAAGAAGGACAAGAAAAGTGATAAACACGAGGTAGAACAGGCCAAGACCACAGAGCCTGAAGGGAAAGCAGACCCCGTCTCTACAGACGCACCCCAGGAACAGCAAAAACAGGAGCAAGATGGGAGCTCCGTGAAGAGAGACGAGCTCAAAACGGAGGATGTAATCCCGGAAAGCAAGTTCACAGTCACTCACGGTATCGAGCAGAATGCAGAGCAAGCTCCTGCTCGTACTGTCAACGAGGAGCCTACATCTGATCATGCACCGTTTTCACAAAATAAAAAGCCAGCAGAGAGGCCGAAGCTCAATGTTTCAACAGTTCAATCTATACCTGAACAAACATCAAGGGTTGTCAATTCATTCCGTACTGGAGAATGGGCAAAACATCTTGCTGATGCAGAGCATCCTGAAATTGAACCGATCCCAGATGAAATTGGACTTGAAGATGATACTGCTCCTGAGGAATTCGCTGCCCCAGTTGACATGAATGGTCTCTTACAAACGCCCCTCAATGCTCAGCCACCTCCAGTTGTATCAAGCCCTATTCCAACAAGCCCCGATCAGTCTTACCCTCGAACACGCGGGCCTTCAGCTTCTCCAGAGCTAAACTACTCGAAGCTTAGAGGTTCCATGCAGAATCTTAATACCGCTATCTCCCCGCCTATTTCCCGGAACATTTCTTCAGGATCACTGAGTCCCCCTGACCATAATGACATGGCTGCACTACGCAACAGCATGTCGACTCCGTACTTAAGCCCGGTCACGGCAAGTAAATCCCAGGAAGCCGTGGATTCCCCCCGTTGGAGCGGACCGCCTCCCCTTCTCGCCGTACGGGAAAACATGATGCGAAACCGGTTGTCATCAACATCCCTCCGGTATGATCCACGGACAGCATCCCGGAGCCAATCGCGACAGTCTCTCGCCGATCCCACCGGGGTCGTCTCGCCCACCTTGACAATTCCCGAGGAACATGATGAAATCACCGAAGCAGTTCACAACGAAGACGACGTTCCTCTCTCCAAACGGAAAGCAATGCTGCAGCGACAAACCATGCGATCCCCATCAGGGAATAGCGTTCAAAGCCTCGAGCGCACCAAGTCCCCCACTTATGTCCCTACCTCCTCCCCTGGCCCTGCCGACTCGGGTAGATCCGCAGCCGCCATGGCAGCATGGAGACAATCTGTTCGCGACGACATTTCGAAAAGCCGTGACTCGCTAGTTTACAGCCCTCAGCCGAATGCGAGACAAGAGAAGTCCCGCACTACGTGGGGATCTGTGCAGCAAATGCGCGATGCCTCGAACACTCAAATTGGCAATGCTATTGCGGATGAAATGCAGCGAGGAAACATGACGGACCTACACCGCAAGGCGATGCAAAAAATGCAAGCTTCTGCAAACCGCCAACTGTAGGATTTTATATTTTATTTGATTGATACCCCCACCCCCCCCTTTTCTCCTTCTTATCTTTGGTTATCTTTACGATCATGATCATTATCTGGTGTTTTATTTTTGAGTCTCTTTCGGATATCACGTCGGCGTTGGTTATCATATCATACAGACCCACTCTGGCAAGCCATAATGTACATAATCTAAAAGTGACAACAAAATCCCACCATATACTTAATCAACCTTCATTATCAAGACAGCGGATCTTCTATGCTCGATTCCTATACAAAACAACATTTCACTCATGCTCATGCCTCCTACATGAAGAAGGCCAAATACCTAAGCTACTGCAAAAAGTGTTTCGGCGCCTTCTCAAAAATCTTAATAGCCTGCTCCAACTGTTTCTCATACTGCTCCACCTCCACATTCTCCTGGTCATCCTCCACAAACAACCCCTCCGGCTCTCCATCCTCTCCACATTTGAGTCCCTCTTTTAACTCCCCGAGCCCAAGCTCAACAGATTGAACTCCTCCCCCTCTAGCCGTATTCACAGACATGAAATCCCGATAAAGACCCATTGAAACAGGCAACTTAACCTCATCAACACCCCCCTTCCCAACCTTAATAAACTTCGCATCAACCAATCGATACTGCGCCGCCCAGACATGCGGCTCGGCAACCTGCATAGCCATCTCCCACGTCTCCCCGACGCCCAAACTCACAGATCCACCAACCGGAACACCTGACATGGCACCAATAATAGCGGACGAGACACCCACTGATACCTTCGAGGATTTACCCCTTGACACGACCGTTCGTGCCCCCTCTAACAAGTAGAGACCCGTTAGCATCCATACTTTTGGACGGCGGGCGAACTTGAAGTTTAAAACATAGGAGCTGTTAGCTGCCGAGAGCCATAGTTTGAGTTTTTCTTGTGCCGTTTCATTGCTTAGGACGTTCTTTGTTAGGAACGTTTCTGGGCTGGAATGAACTTGTTAGATTTTATTTTCTTTTGTTTTAGGAATACTGCACGAGGCCGAACGACAAACATACTCTTTTAGTAGAAGTCTTTTGCCCTTTTCGGCGATTACGATCCGTTCAAGGTCTTTGTTATATGCCAGGTTGAGATGTGCGATATCCCCACCTTCAAGACCAATTCCAGGTGTTAAACGAGAATAGCCATGGAAGACCGCGTTGGTGATGTCAGTCTTGTATGCGTGCTCGCCGAGAGCATCATCACTGTTAACGTTAGATTGTGTTATGATAATATTCAATAAACCTAGCATGTGGCCACGAGGAATGTAAGACCCATACCTTAATAGTTCATGAGTATAATGTCGAGCACTCATTGGCTGCCAATACTTTTCCAAGACTAACGATCCCAAGGTTAATGCCTCGGGCCGTTCCCCCATTCCATAAAGAAAGAATGACTTATCATCAGCCATCGTGCAAGTGTAAGTTCGTGCCCAGAAAATCAATCGCTAGGACCCTTTCACGATACAAGACTATAAGTCACTGTCAGCCTGTGAATCTGAAGATAACTGTGAAACTGTCCTGTGCCACGTATTTACTGCCCCTCTCCCTTTTGTTGCCTGTGGAGGGGTCCAGTCTGTGCTGACTGCTTAAGTTCGCGCTAATGGGGCAACTTTTGGCGAGACCCGTTAGAAATTAGGGGATGGCGTTGTTTGGACCAATAGAGTATTGCCGGCATGTTATTCCAGACGATTAAGACTTAATTGTGCTTACTAGTTACATTGTCGAGTCTGCCTTTATCTGGTGGGATGTTCCTGGTGGCATGGATTTAATTAACTTGGAAGTATCTTTGTTTTTCCATTTTTCCAACTGTAACTGTGACAAGTCCAAGATTTAGGATTTCAAAATGATCTTCGAACATTTTGTCACTCTCTGCGGTAACTCTCTATTTGCAGAAGAATATAAGGGAGATCTCGACGCGGCATACGACTATCTTCAACAACTTGAAGTACAATACGACACACTTCCCGACCTAAACGATAAAGCAGAATACCTACGATGCTCGTCAATATACGCAATCCTAACAGGCAATTTCGGCAATGCATACAAACATCTCGATTCCCTACATAAGCTCCTAAATCAATTACCTCCAGAATGGGGTCTCCGATACACAAACTACAGAGTTCTAGCCGACTATACCCGTCGCTTCCCTCCAATGCTCCGCTTCTACCAAGAACGAGGCTGGCCCCTCAACATCCCAATGCTAGGCAATATAATCGGGCCTATTGAAATTTCCCAATCTTTCACAAAAAACGTCAATGAGCATTTGCCTCACGGGCTTCCCCGCGATAAGGCACTATGTCATATTTTAAATGTCATCTCTTGGGCTCCTACAAGTACACGACGCTTAACTCAACAATTTCATCCTCTTTCACCTGGTGGCCCAAATTATAAGCCTGATCAAAGCCCTGCGTCGGATATAGAGATCAGTGCGAAGAATATATTAGCGCGTCGTGATCTGGCACAGGCCAATGGTGCGGATTCTATGGCGAATTATTTGAATAGGCTCGTTGTTGAGTTTTATATTGCTTGTGCGAGTCCCAAGAAAGAGATTATGTTGATAGATTTGTATCAGAGGTGTGAAAAATTGAATGATTATGCTGGGATGGCGAATGCGAAGCTTTTGGAAGGTGATGATATGCTTTGTGCGCCTTTTACAAGTCCGTTGGCTCTTAATTTGGTTCCGTTTAATTCCTCGGCTGCTGCTGGGGATAATACTTTCTGGGATCCTATTGAGTTTGATCTTGGGTTTGATTATACTGATACTGTGAAAGGGCTCTATGAGTCTGCACTTGATTTGTTTAAAGCATCGGGGTCTAAAAGAGGCCAGGCGGCTGTGTTGTTTCGACAAGGGTGCTGTCTGCATAATCTGGCTCGGCTCCAACGGACATCGAATAAGGTATATGTGGATTTCTTGGTTGAGGCGGAGACGAAGTTTCAAGATGCAGTTGTGTTGTTTGGGCGCGACGAAGCAAATGTGCAGTTTGTCAGAGCTCATCAGATATTACTCGCTATCTCGAAGAGAAATCCGCAGCGTGTGAAGAAACTCTCAAGAGAAATTGGAGACTGGTGTGCTACTGCGAAGAACGAAGTTCTAGCACATGTCATTGGTCTTCTCATGGGGCGATTCGCATATCAGGAATGGCATAAATACTCCAATTTGGATACAGCGCAGCAGGCATGGGAATGCGTTTATGAAGTTTCAAGGGCAGTGGATGATATGGTTCCTCTGCTTCAAAGCATAGTGTGTCGTGTATCACTTCATCACGAAATGTTCAATTCAGCTGCTGCTCGACTATTAATCGAAGAGGCATTTGATAACATCGAAGAAGTCCGAGATTACCTGAGTGATAAAATCCTGCCTGCGCCCCAGACACCGCTGGGCCGGGCGGATTTCCAACTTCTTCAAACAACAAAGTGTCTTTTCCTGTGGACTTTTGGTCGTCTTGTTGGACAAGTTTATATGCGCGCAGAAGAGGATACAGCTCCATTCTTTAAATGGCATGCTCGATTGAGTGACTGGGTCGAGAATGATGAGGATTTTCGTGAATGGCGCGGAATGATTGAAGATTATGAGTCTCCATCTGCTGGAGATTACAAGCCTGCGATAGCGCCCCCGGAACATAAGAAGGGTAGTCTTTGGAAAAAGGTGATGGCTGATGAGGCTGCGCATATAAAATATGCGGCTGCTGACTCTGGATTTCGCCGATTACTGGGTGAAGGAGATGTACTGGGCGCCGAGGAGATTTTTCGGCGGTTTGTGATCGAGAATTCGAATGAGGGGAAGGTTTGTACAAGAGATTTGTACCGGGTATTGGCTTGCGATCGTATCGGAGATCGAGCTAAAGCGCGGGAGATATTTGATTCAATCAGTGACGATGAGTTGTTCGATGGAAATCTGGAGGCATATCAGCAGGGAATAGGAGTCAGGTCATCCCTTCCTACGGTGGGACAGAATGCTTTAACATTCGCTCTGTTTGCTGGGGATTTTGACAGAGCCCGTCGACTGGTTCGAATGATCAGTGATATGAATCCGACATTCTTTGATTCCGTCATTGATAATTCCATTGACTACTCCCTCAGATTGGGACAATATGCCGCTATCATGAAAGACACAGAGCCAGAGTTATGTTTCTCTAAACTTCTGATTGCTCGTCAACTTATTGAGACTCGCCGGAGACAGACGACGGATTTGGATGCTCGGGTCTGGAGTTCCCATGCTGGGTGGAGTGGTGAAATATATCTGAATCTTGCGCGTATATGTCTACGTGCAGGTAACCTAGGACTGCCACTAGATCTGTTGGCTAGCAGTGGCGATGAGCACATTGCAGGGGCCTCTTGGGTGGACCATGCATTGCTATTTGTCGAAATGTATAGAGCGCGGGCTGTTCTGGAATCTTTGCAGACACAAGCAGCTAAAGCGACAGGGCTTTCTGAAGCCCCGAACGCTACAAAGTTGTCCGAGGCTGTACATAAACGACGTCTTTTAAGGTCGTTACTGTCTCTGGAGACATTAACAGCTGACCAGGAGAAAGAAGTAGCACAGTTGCGTGATGATATCAAGGAGTTAGAGGAAGATGGGACGCTCACATCTGCCACAACTTTCATTGATACCGTGAACTCATCAATTGACCCAAAGCTCTTATACCAGAATATCGATGAAGATACCGTGGTGATCGAAACAACCTTTGGAATTCGCGGAATGATCGCATTTGCGGCCACCAGGGACGGCATTCAGGAAACTCATCAATCATCGTTTTGTCAAGTCGATATGAAAAGACCTGTTATGAGGGCCTTGCAGATTATGCGAAAATTGACTGGATATATCAGCGACGAAGAAGAGAAACAGAAAAAGTTGCTCAATGAGCTATGCAGCGAAATCTCCGAGGTCCTACTGGTACCCTTCGCGGAGATTATCAGAACAAAGTTGCATATCATTTTCTCGGTGTCGGATCCATTGACTGCGTTCCCATTCTCTATTCTTCCATTTGATGGCAAGCCCCTGATTATGCAAGCCGTTGTTTCTCAAGTACCAAGTCTGACTGTCCTCTACTACCTTTCTCAACGCAAGTCGACATCAGCGTCTCCGACGGTATCTGTGTTGGCCAAGTCTCCAACAGAAGAGCCATCTGGCAATACTCGAGGTGGCAACGAGGTGAATCTCCACATGGCAGGAATCGAAGCTGTCAACATTGCTCGCATGTTCGCAACATGGCCCATTGAAGCATCTCAGATGACGCGCAAAGACTTCCAACAACACGTCGAGGGGGGTTCATTGATCATGCACATCGGCACGCACGGTGACATCAACAATCAGAATCCCCTCCTATCATCGATTTCAATTGGTCACGGGCAAGAATTCCGTGTTGTCGACATGTCAGCTATAAAAAGCAATGTGAATCTCTTAGTATTCGCAGCTTGTTTGAGTGGATTTGGAAAAGCAACGATTGGTAGTGAGGTTCTTGGCTTTTCGCACGTTGTCTTAAGTACAGGGTGTCAGGCGTATATCGGATCGCTTTGGAAAGTGAGTGATTTTGGGTCGATGTTGATTATGACTCTATTTTATCAGTATTTGAAGGCAAATCCGCATAGACCGGTTGCGGAGGCTATGAGAGCAGCGCAGATGGGTCTTTTGCAGTTGGATATGGATAAGGCGGGTGTTCTTCTTGATCAATTAGCGGAGAACTGGTCAGTGGATGTTAGTACGGGTCAAAGCCCTGCAGAGTTTGTGCCTGATGCGGAGTTTCTTCTGTGGGCTTTGAAGATGATTTTGGAGCAGTTGGACTGGTCCAGTCCGTTTTACTGGGCCCCGTTTACGTTGGTGGGGTATGGTGGATTTCGATTTCTGCATGAGATGGATGTTTAAAAAGATGAAAAGAGTGTTACCAGGCAGATAAAGTAAGGGATGTAATTCGACAATAGTATAAACCTGAAGTGGACTGTGCACATCTCCACAGACCTACGACCAACAGTTAGCCAAGTCAGATCCAGAGCACGAACTCCACCCATGTCTGCATCTGTCTGTTTTCTCTTTCTTCCCCAAATTGACAGCTGCATTTCGTAGCCAGTGACAGTTGAATAGCCAAGTTTAAGTGGGGATCATCTTGGCTCCCTTGATCACTTAATTATCGGGATGAAACAAGGGAGAAGAGATGAATCAATTAATCTATTAGTCTGTGAGTTCAAGTGAAACCCACAAACGAGACATTGAAATGCTCCAGGGCTGTTACGTATAAGTACAAGTACAGTCACTACAGTGCATCAGTTTCTTTGTCACCGGGCTATGCGGCTATACTCTGGTACACTAACCAGTTAGTCACAGTTAGAGATACATAACTAGTTAACTAGTGTGTGGCTCCAGCAGGATTTGATTGCCTCATTTTTCAGGAGGATCCACGTCTACGATCTTGGGGAGAGCGATCTGGGGGGATCTACACTTTGCTTAGAGTCAGATTTGATTTTAATCTCGATCTCTTGTTTGATTATTTGATTTCCTTTTCTTTTTCCATCCTCATTCCTTTACATCTTTCGTTGTTGTTCTTCTAGAGTTTTGCCGATCTCGATCCTTCTCCAGACTTCGCTCCTTTGGCTGCTCTCTCGCCCTTCTCTCTCTCTCTCTTTCCTCTTTTTTGGTTTAATTCTTTTACCTACTCAAAACGGCGTCCTTAACACCTTTTCGATCAACGGATACGGATCGGAATTCTTCTTATCAATCTGCGCGCGCTCAATCATTTGGCGTCTGGAGAGGTGCCCCCGTGGAGGCGACTCCGTCATTCGCTCGAGCACAGCGACGACAGTGCGTCCCCAGCTCGGGCCCGTCGTCGTTCCCTGCAATCCTCCGTCCTCCGGCTGTTCGACTCGCCAATCCAGTCAACCACGTCCCCCGCGTAACCCCCATTACTCTCCCACCCGCCAGGTCAGACGAAAGTCTTCCGCTCGGTCTCGGTCATCAACGCGACGCACATCCCCTCCTTAGTGTCCCCGAACGTCGCCGAAGTCGCCTCACTCCATCCCCGACCAGTCCGACCAGCCTAATCGTCGAACACAGCCAGGGGGAATCAGAAAGCGGTCGTACAAGCATTGCGTTACCCCCGAGTCATCGCCGAAGCGATCAATTCTCCCCACACAGAAATGGCCGCAGCGTTTGCCGGCAGTGCGGCTCGGGAAGTCGAGAATCTGCGACCACCCGAGGCAGTCCACCTTGCAGAAGATGGCACTCGCTACAGAGAGGATGGCCAACCTCGTCATGCCCAGTCACAAACTTCCCTTCGATCGCAGTCCCAGATTGCTTCCGTTCCTTCACATACCGGTCAGCCTCCACCTGATGTCGCGGATGAATTAGCTTGGGGTCCCGCGCATCCCTGTTATCCTCATTTCAATCCACACGTTCCTATCAATTCACCAGAATACCTCACTACACGGGTAATCCGTATTCGTCGCGATTGGATGATAAAGGGTGACTTGGCGCCAACTTTTTCAAACCTCTATCCTGAGATTTTGGACCCGTTACTTTCGGAACAGGAGTTCCGGAGAGTAGTCGCGACTGTCAACGATGGTGTGATCAACGCATTTGATCCTTACAGCTTACGAAACTGGGTCGACGGTGCCCTCGGCTTGTTAACCGGCTGGGTATGGGATGATCTGAACGCTCCAAAGGTCAAGGGCTCACTACAAACCGTCGAATCATGGCTTGAGAAATGGAATCGGGAGGTCGGTGCCAAAGATGGCGTTTACATCTGGAGTCTCCGACGCACAGCATACATGTCTATTGATATCCAAATCCCCGACCCCAAGGTCGGAATTGTTTCCAGCGAAGCACCTTCCTTGCCCGGCACCAGACCCAGTACAGCAGCAGGGCCGGCGAATTGATCGGCCACTTGTGTGAAGAGGGAAAATAGGTCCCTCTTACTTGTCATTCTATGTCATCTTCTGGATGTATATTTCTTTAAATCTGTTCATCTCATTTCTCGGATTTTGCATGATATCCCTTCCCCAGCGGCTATTACCATCTTCTCTCCCATCCGTTTCTATTTGCTTTTTCTCAAAATACGTCTCATTAATCTCTGCATGAAGCCGCTGGGGAATACTTCTTTCTCTGACATATGCGACCTTCTTGGTCTTTTTTTTTTTTTTTTTTTTTTTGTTGCTTTATTTGTTCATACGTGACTGTCATATCCGTGGTTCTACATGTCGATCTATCAAGAGCCAAACAACGCAAATAACTAGACCTATCGGTCGAGAACACTCAACATTTTTTTCTTATCCTTCCCAACCTTCTAATCATGGAACATTGAATGATCGAATGTGAAAGTAGTCAAGAGTGAGTCTTGCATACAACTGTAACTATTCAGGGGTATTACCAAACTTAGGAGAACATCGGAACTGAACAAACGCAAAATAAACCAGATTAAAATATTAAAAAATATTAAAAACGATCAAAATGCAAATCACAATTCTTACTAAATGTCCATCTATATACCAAAGTAAACGGCGCCGTGGTCCAAACCCTGAACTAAGCTAAACCCTGACCCAGGCGGTGTCGATAAAGTTGATCCAGATCCCCCACATCCCCCGTTCACCTGGAAGCTCCCCTTTACCTCCGCTTAACTCACGGGATGCGCCCTGGATATCCACCATGCTCTCGGGGATCCTGATATTCAATCAAAAAGGCGAGAATCTTATCTTCCGCGCCTTCCGAAGCGACTGCCGCCCACGACTAGCAGATATCTTTCGCATCCAAGTCATCTCCAACCCGCAAGTCCGCTCCCCGATCCTGACACTCGGCTCAACCACCTTCAGCCATGTTAAGCACGAGAATATCTACATAGTCGCCGTGACTAAGAGCAATGCCAATGCTGCGCTTATCTTCGAGTTTCTCTACCGGCTTATTCTGCTCGGGAAGAGTTACTTCGGGAAGTTCGACGAGGAGGCTGTTAAGAATAACTTTGTGTTGATTTATGAATTGCTTGATGGTGGGTTTTCTTCAATTCTCTTCATGCTTTTGCTTGTATCATATATTTTATTGTTGCTAATTGGTATGTTTCTTTTGCAGAAATCTTGGACTTCGGATATCCACAGAACACAGAGACCGATACACTGAAGATGTACATCACAACCGAAGGTGTCAAGTCCGCCATTGCAAACTCCCCCACAGACTCAAGCAAAATCACCATGCAAGCGACCGGTGCGCAATCATGGCGCCGCGCAGACATCAAATATCGCAAAAACGAAGCCTTCGTCGACGTAATCGAAGACGTAAACCTCCTGATGTCAGCAACCGGCACCGTCCTCCGCGCAGACGTAAATGGCCAAATAGTCATGCGAGCCTATCTCACCGGTACCCCGGAATGCAAATTTGGACTCAATGACCGACTCCTCGTCGACACGGTTGATGCGCCCGGACCAAGCAAAAAGGGTGACGGAGGCGGTATCTCGGGTGTTAAGAAGACAACAAGGGCAGCAGCGGGCTCGGTCACACTTGAAGATTGTCAATTTCATCAATGTGTTAAATTGGGCAAATTCGATGCTGACCGGATTATCTCGTTCGTGCCGCCGGACGGCGAGTTCGAGTTGATGCGGTACCGTGCTACGGAGAATGTGAATCTTCCGTTTAAGGTTCATCCTACTGTTAGGGAGATTGGGACGACGAAGGTCGAATACAGTGTGGCTATTAAAGCGAATTTTAGCGCTAAGCTCTTTGCAACAAATGTGGTTGTTCGGATTCCTACGCCGCTTAATACGGCTAAGACTACTGAACGGACTAGTCAGGGGAGAGCGAAGTATGAGCCTGAACAGAACAATATTGTTTGGAAGATTCCTAGGTTCTCGGGACAGGCGGAGTTTGTTCTCAATGCGGAGGCTACCCTCACCTCTATGACGCATCAGAAGACTTGGAGTCGGCCGCCGATCAGTCTTTCGTTTAGTTTGCTTATGTTTACTTCGTCTGGTCTTTTGGTTCGATACCTTAAAGTCTTTGAGAAGAACAATTACAGTTCTGTTAAGTGGGTGCGCTATATGACGCGTGCAGGAAGCTATGAAATCCGGTATTTTTATCATCCACATTGTTACTGTTCTGTTGAGACTTTCAAAATACTAACTGTCTTTCTCTTGATAGATTCTAGGGTGACTTGATATTCGGTTCAAGCACGAAGTAGCATATGTTTCCTGCAGTTATACTGCCATTAGCTATAACTATCAGGCTAGGTGTCTGGCGTCAGAGGTGCTTTGTACATTCGTCTATCCTTCTAATGAATTCTAAAATCACATCTTAATCCCAATCCATCTCCATACCACTCCCAGCATTAAAATAACCAACCATCCCCATCTTAAATACAGGTGGACAGGAACAGGATCAACGTTCAAATATGGGAAGCACGCTGAGCCGTTCCAGCTGGCGGAGAGCCGCTTGAATGAATCATGTAAAACGCAACGACATTCAAGAGTTCATCCGAAGATATAATAACTCCAAGTTAATGAGGCTCATATAGTGGCTTAGTGCCAGTGGATTATTCATCACCTCGCCAATGCCACTTGGGCTGAAAAGGGCCCCCACTCGATGTCTATTTGAACAAAATCCATTATATCACTAGGAGATCAAGCTGCGGCCTTGGACCAGGTACATGCTGCCCTTCCATGGGCGGGGGCACGCTTTCTATTACAGGTTGGTTACAGCCGGGAGTGCTTTCGCTGTATGTGATGCTGAAAGTTTGCTTAGATTGCAACTAACGACTTTGAAATTGTCGACTTTGCTATTGAGGGAGCCGAAAGAATCTCCAGGATTGTAGCTCGTTACAGAGTTATTGAGAGATTGCTATTTTGCAAATGTCGATACAACTTGATCGGATGCAGGAAATATGTATCAAGTTACATAAATCACTACTGGCTCAATGACTCGGATACATCATTCGAATTCTGAAAAGTCATGTAGACATTCATTCATACATATAGTACATACAGTGTCAGTTCCATTCTATACAGTGATTGCCCCCCTGATATCCATCTTCCAACGCAACGCTAAGATCTACCAAAAGTCCATTACTCCCCAAATCTCATATTTTGATGACGACCCCAAATACCCGAGTCAACCGTAAACAACCCTAAAGTTATCGTTGGTCTGTAACCTAGACAACAGACAGTCAAAATAGACAATCTCGCCGGCCATGGCAGGTCAAAGTGCTCTCCACTGAACCCAGCAAGCACACAATTGCGTGGGTCGAAATCACATATCTCCACACTTGGGCACTAGGTAGTTCGCGCGGGGTAACTGCAATTTGATAATGAATTTCCCCGGTAATATATCACGGGGCCTTATGCACAGAGGTATATATGTCTTGGCTACAATGTTTCTTTGTTAGAAGAGGGGTTGCGAGTCAGTACAAGCACCGAGGTCATTTGACCATCGCCACCAATACCGGGGCATAGACAAAGAAAGAATAAGGTAGCATCAGAGCTGAATGTGTTTGCGCCATAAGCGCTTCAATTGTTGTCTTTTTTGTTCAGTGGGGTTCATACCATACTAATCATAGGGCAAACCAATTGGTTAACACGGTTCAAATGTTGGTAGTACATATGAGCGATTTGCATCCATGTCATCCATGTGGTTATAAGCTTGACAAAGAAATGTTTTTGATCCTTTTCTTGGCTGCAAGCCTGTGGAGACGCTAAGATAGAACTTTACCTAGGTTCACGGCGTTAGTAGACGAAAGAGGAAGGAGTCTGATAATGTTCAAAAATGCAATTGGAAGCCAAATTGGTGGTATCTTGTAGGTAATAATACATGTTCGTAGAGGTACATGCTCCACATTAATGTTGAGAGCGAAATCAATGTGCAGGAATAGGCGCCGAGTCAAAGCAAAGTAATACAGTTGGTCCGTTCCCAAAGGTAAATAGTTCAATCACATGGCCAGATGCGAATTAGAATCAAAAGTAGATCCAAATAGAAAAAAGAAACCCGCAAGAAACACATATAGGTAAATTAAAGGAAACAGTGAAAGTTCTCAATGTGTGATGGTGGTACAGGGTTGTTTCTTGCGAGGAATCGGACATCGGAATAGAAAAAAAAGGTAGGTGGGTAGTCATATGATACAGTAGACAATGTAGGAAAGCAGTTTATCGACGTGCTGGACAGAGACCAACACGACCCTTTCCAATGAGGGAATTCCATCGTTGGCCTACAGCTGTGTGGTTGCGGCGCCCCATTCTGCGCGCACACTCATCCCATTCTTGCTGGGAGAGTCGGAACTTCTCAAGGACCAAATCCATGAGTTGTTGATCTTCTTCTACCGTCCATTCATCGGATGGTGAGGTAGTGGGCTCTTGCGATTCTTCAATTGAAGGCAAGGGTGCATCGGGGTCGAGAGATGTATTTGATTGTTGGATACAGATGTCAATGCGACGCTGTGCAGGAGAAGGAGGAGATTGAGTGACTGGTGGAGAGTGTAGGGAATAGAAGTCTGTTGAGGAGAGGCCTAGCGGCAGATCATATGGTACATTGCGCTGGCGTTTAGGCGTAGAGAGACGGTTGCGGCTGCAGGTCATGTCTGCGTCGCTGTCATCTTCGTAGATTGATCGGCGGCGCTTGTTTGCGCCGCGCGCGGGTGCGGATGGAGGTGGTGGGGGTGTAGAAGCGAGTGTGGTGGGTGGTGGTGTTGGGCGAGGAGATGCAGGTCTTGCGACCTTGCTGCGCGTGCGTGGGGAGCGACGCGGCGGGTTGATTGGGAGTGGACTTTGAAGGCGTTGGGCCTTGGGTCGGCGCGCTGATGGCGCGGGAGACCCGTTTAGAAGAGATTGTAATGCGCGGCATGTGCCGAGGAGACCATTGCCAGAAGATAGACTCCTTTCAGAGGGAGGGGGGGTTGAGAAAAGACGGCTTGGCGTGAAGCGAGACGACCGGCGCACATCGCATGGAATAGCAGATGGGAGAAGCATTGTTGCGCGTGAAAGAGAAGAAATATATATATTTCCTTATTTGCGCGTTATCAAAGAATGTATTTCCGTGGTAGATTTGGTAAATAGGAGAGTGGATGGGCGTGGGAGAGAGTGGTGGTGTTTATCGGATTGTTTTGCGCTTGAGATTTGTGCGCGATTTGCGACGGCGATTGCGCCGGGGACGGTTGCGAGGCGCGACGACTGAGTTGGGGAGCAAAGAATGAATTGAGGTCAAAGTCGTCGAGATGCGCTTCGGAGTCCCGGTGTTCCGAAGAACTGGCGAGAGATTTAAGTTGTGGTTGTTGGGATGGGACGGATGGTTGTTAGGGAGAAAGAGAGAATTGGCGGGGGGAAATGGGCGAAACGGGGCGATAAAAGATGGGCGGAATGGGCAGTGGCAGAGGCAGAGGCCGTTTGCGGTCAAGCGAACATCTCCCGAAAAATGTCAACAACGGGGATCCACTTGGCATCAAAGAAAGTGGTAAGTTCGCAAAGATGATAATAATAGATAAGGCGTTTGTATAAAGAATTGATAATTGATAAAGCAATAAAATAATCAGTAAAAAAAAAATTAAAAATTCCAGTAACAACTCTCCAAACACGAATGAATGAGGTCAGAGAGAGAAAATCTTGTTCAGGAGCAACGAATGACTGAAGATGACGATTAGGGATTATCACTATAGAAACAAATACTCTTAACACTGCGAGATACTTTTTCTTATTATACTACTTGTATGTGCTCTCCTCTCGTGTCCATTTTCCTTCCCTTTCCCTCCCCCTCGTGGCCCAGTGAAACCAAGGAGGGCAGGGACCCAAGGAGAGAGTGTCTAAGCAAGGGCGTTTTTTTTTTATCTCGGAGCCTCTCACCCCTGCACGAGTTGCACGAGGCCCCTGAAACGGCGTGGAGCTAGTCGTCCTAATTACACTTCCTAATTGGGTTCCTGACCCGCTCTACACTGCTGCTCTGTTGCTCTTCTGCTCTTTCTGTCTCTCTAGTGTATGTACTAGTGTCCTTTGAATTGAAATGATCATCCCAGTCCATAACATGATGACTGCATGATCAATTAAAAATAAGCCATGACGTGCAGTCCGTAGTCCGTGTACTGCTGCAGCGGACCGAACTTGCGTCAGGCATTAAGCAAACGGACGAATCCCGTTCAAAGCGCATGGAAGTTCGCCACATGCACCGGCCCCATGAAGTCACTCCGTAATTTGATCATCGAAATTGAAATTGGGTGGGCACGCGTGTTTTAATACTACGAAATTTGATACAGGGTTGTCGTTCTCCTTCTCGGGGCTCTGTAGGGTGTTATTTCCCCTACCACCTGGTATACCTGCCATGCTAACCCTCTAGGAGAACTTAGCACTGTATACATTCCCTATATCCTTGAATTAATCCTTCAAACATATTTGATCTCTAGCTAGAATGTATTTGGGATCTAGAGCACTTGAGGATATACACTGAAATTTCCATTGGAAACAGGTCGAAACACTAGCGCGTCGGGATCGCGTGTCGTAAAATTCAATCCCACGCGACTTGACGCGTCAGCCAATCACCAATTAGCACCAGTTTCTATTCTGATTGGCTGACACACCCCCTGTACCTGACGATCTCCACCGTTGATACCGAGAGGACCCGAAGTATAATGGAGGTACTCATTGAACAGGAGAATGGAGTCAAAGCACCCAGTCAAAGCACCCCGTGAACAAAGTCAGATGATAGGGATATCCCAGTAAAACCTTGGGCCAATGCGGAGAATAACCAGGTATGAAGAGGGTCGAGCGTGAACCTTCTTGCTTTACTCAGAGAAGTCTGATCATTCAGTCTCCCGGCCGCGACAACGTACGAGACCCGCTCAGGTGGTATGGTAACCTTTGGGGTTTGGGGTAAGCACACTAAGTATACTAAGTATATGCCGCATTTAATCAAAGAAAGCTGCTTGTTCGCGCATATTGGGGCTTTTGTCTAATGCAAGCCCCTCATACCTATTCGTAGTCTTATCGTGCACGTAATCTTCATTGCGGCTGTGATAACTGCTATCACACCGCTTTAAGCTCCAATACCCCGCGTTTCCCTTACTTCCTGCATCACCGGTTGCCCCGGCAAGATTAGCTCGCCAGAGATAGAATTCACCATCTGCATTATCTTGCAGCGTATACTGCAGCACCATTAACGAGTATATTATTGACTCTGCGGGGTACATATTCATCAAGTGTTAATTTCCTTTGACTACATTGTGTTGTCGATACCACTCATCCTACTTCATCATAAACTATTCTTTGTATTCCATACATCCTCGATTCCCTCGAATCCACTCCTGCCCACCTACCAAACCAGGGATACTACCCACCACTTCCTTCAACACCCTTTCAAGTTACTGCTTGCCTCACACAAAGGGATCTATTCCATTCAAACCAGTGGCTGGGATAGGAAGGTACCACTCTACCCACCTAATTCCCCTCTCCCAGCCCCTCTATAAGCTCCCCTCCAATATCATGCAAGGAGTACTCCCGAGACCCAGCAAACAAAGATGCAAATTCCTCTTCCTATGAACCCTGATAGGTTCAGACAAAGTTAGACTCGAAAGTCTAGCTCCTGCATATCCTTGTTGTTGTTTACAAAGTCTAAAGCATCTATAGCTGACTACTTAGAGAAAGTTTGTGTGTAAACAACTTGAAGCTTACAACTTTATGGTCCTGTGAATCTATGCAAGACATTTCTCTCTGCAGCGGGCACTAAGGGGCGATCATCCCCACAAACTTGACACACTTCGTGCTGTCCAGTGGCTGGTACAGCTATCCCCTGTTGCCCATCCAACACAGCTCCACTGTGGTACCTTCTTTCGAGGCCTTGTATTCATCAGGTTTCAGACCGTCGCCTTTTTTTTCGTCACGGGTAGTCCTTCATGTCTCGGCCATGTATCTTTGCCCCTTTGTATACTATTATCGAGGCTGATTGTGGAGTCCCGGCATTCTTTGTTGTGGTTGACAGGTGGTCATCCATCGATTCCCATGGAAGAAAGCCGATCCTGTGGCTGAGTTATTGTATGAAATTGATGGATAAAGAGATCCATTGGTGAATTGTGTTCCACTTTTATGTGGCCTTGAAGCCATTGGCCTATCATGATGAAGTTCTGTCTCTTTTCAATCCGATCTGGGCTAATATTGCTGTAGAAAATTCGTGATCAGTCTCTATACACTATCCTGAAAGTTCTCATTATATTTTGGTTTTATGAGATCAAAGAGCGCTTAGGCATAGAGCTTGGACATCAGTCAAGCATACCTTTTCGGCAAAGAGTATCTTCATCTACATATGGACCTCAAGAGCGATGAACCCCCTTTACTCAATCTGATCCGGTGATCCCTTATTGGATATGGCAGCTCTAAAGCTCGAATTCCAAGGTTTGATCCAGATGGTACGAATGTGTTGCCACACTCCAATCACTACTGTATCGGGTATCGTCTACCCTCCTTTGCGCACACTCTATACCTCAAATCACCAGCTCCGGTCCGCCCTTCGTCGCCCGTGACTGCCCCTCTCAGTACCCTTCCCGGTGGCCATATATCCTAGACACCCCTCAATCTAGGGGTAGAAAAGGCTTCCGGGCACCAAGTCGAGTGACCATTAGCCAAGGACAGCCCTTCTCTTCCTACTATAGCCAATGGAGAAGACTTGCCCCCCTCCTTCTTCCTATCTTATCCCTTATCAAGGGTACAAGGTCGTACCATCCCATCATCCACAGTTGCCACTGTGGACAAGGCTTGAGAGACTATTGATTATCATTAACTCCTGTCTAAAGAGATGTGCAATGGAATTAACTCTGGTCACAGTCTTCTTTATGGGCTCAGGAACAGAGACTAGCCGTACGTCCACCTCCAAGTGCCTTGATGACAAATTGCTTCGTTTCAATAGATCAAGTCCTACACAAGGGCTATCGCCAATTGAGAATGCTGAGCCGATCTCATGTTCTTGTAGCCTTATCACTCTAGAGTATATTTGGCGCAGTGCCCTGGGTTTCACATCTGTGATACAAAGCAATTACATGACAGTAAGCCATCCATGATTACATCCATGACTATTCAGTCTTGAATTATATGACCTGGAACGCAGATAGCTTCATATAGCTCAAAATATGTACTTTCAGGGCTCTAGATTAACAATGAAAGAAATTACTTTATGAAATCTTCTTCTGATGTCCGCACATTCAAAGGTTAGTCTTCGCACAATAAAGTACTTTCTGGTTACAGTCGGCATATAAACTCACATGTCCAGGCGTCTGATGTACGACCAGATTGTCATGCTTACACATGTACACTATACATTGATTTTCAAAGTATATAAACAAGTTGAGCCTGCTTCGATGATTCTGCGCAGATACTCAAGACGTATACGCAGAAGATTGTTCAATTCTGAGAATCCGGTCTACTAGTAGTCAACTGGTCTTATCTCACGCTGCCCAAAATGAAGTGGATGTCAGCCGCCATATTAGCTCTAGCCTCTACATCCTTAGCAGCTCTACTGGAAGAATCAAACGAGAATGTTGTCTCTTGTGATCCGGTAAGCCCATTACATGGCTGTGTCATATTTCAATCGTACTGATTCTGCATGTAGGGCACTTTTGGAATTTGCATGAACGATTCCCGGGCTCTCCACAGATTGGGCGGGCCTCCAGAGCCGTCGTGCTTCCTTGACTGCATGCGGTACCGTGGCTGCTGGTGAGCACAATGGGCGACTTTGAGTGTCGAGGCTACTCTTAGGATCATTATGTATTTAATTAAAGCAAGAAAGGTCACCTAGGCAAGACATATCCAAGGTAAAGATCTGAATTAAAGTTATTTCAACATGAAATTTAACAAGGAAGATCTGTAAAAACTCACATACGAATAGTTCAACAGGACTTCGAGAAACTTCCCCATGCCATCGTATCTGATATCCAGTAGCTGATATTAACCCAATAAAATGTAAAGGCAAATCCTCTCTGACGTGAATCATCATTTTATCGATATTAGACATTACATTCATAGGTTTCGTTTCTGCTGAGATCTCGTAAATCAATTATGCAAGCAATTTCTTCACTGTTTCCTCATATTGGCCGTAAATGAGTCGCTTGCGCTTGCCGGTGACAGGTCTACACACTTCTTCGTACACTTCTGTTTCGTTCTCGTCGCGTGGTATGTCATATATCCACCTTTTCAATGTAGCTGGCGTTTCGTATGGGCGAGCAATATCTCCTGCAGATGGACGAGCACGCCGGATGATGGGTAGTCGAGTGCGGGCACTTCTCTGGGGCTGGCAGGGTGGTGCTGGGAGATTAGGTGTGCCAGTAGGGTTCGGCATTTCCGTTGATATCTTCTCAATGGTTGCAACCTGGCCTGGAGAAATGATAAGCTTGTGTGTCGCTTGGGGGACAGCAACGGGAGGCTTCATGTTTGTTTGAGTCTTCGGTTGTTCGGGTGCTGGGTTAGGGTCGTTGCAGTTGGCGGGACTACTCAATGAGATCGGAGATTGCAATTGCACATTATGCTGGACAATAGTCCCATCCAATGAAGTCTCGGAAACATGGTCGATGGACTGAAGACGGCAAGCAGGAGGGGTGATTGTTTGCTCGGATTCGGGAGTGCTGCTTATGGACGCCACACGAACGTCATCGCCGTCTATATTATCGATATCAACAACCACGGACCTGTTGCTGTCTTTCGGCTCCCATTCAAGTAGCATATTCTGGTATATTGCTTCCAGTCTGCGTTCCTGTGATGGTGCGGCAAGCCATGGGTGGCTGAGCGCCTCCTTGGTATCCATGCGCAGCTGCTCATCTGGAATTAGGAGACTAGATAAGAAGCCTCTTGGTCGCATGCTAATTCCTAGATTCTTCAGATCTTTCTCCAGATTTTTCATCTCGGGGTTCAAGTCTTTGTAGGGGTCGTCGAATGGTGCATACCCGACTAGTATTACTGCCATGACACAGCCGAGCGACCAAAGGTCAACAGCCTTTTTATAGCCATCTGGATTATCCATGTTCAATTCGCTAGGTCAGACCGTTAGTCATGGGCGTTTATGAAAGTTCCATTGAATATATATGCTCACGGTGCGCAGTATTGAAGGGTGCCCACACGTGTCGACATGCGTTGGTCGGGATGGTTAAGATGCTTTGCGCAACCAAAGTCGGTGAGAACGACGCGTTCAGCACTGTTAGTAGAGCCCATAAGAATATTGTCCGGCTTTATATCGCGATGAACAATATTTCTATCGTGGAGATATTCAAGCGCAAGTAGGACTTGTCGTATAACTAGGGTTGTGGTGAATTCATCGAGTTTCCCACCATTGTGGGCGAGGAAAGAAAAGAGATCCCCTCCCGTCAAGATCTCAGAGAAGATGTAGCTTGGAAGCGTTAGCAGGATGTGAGTAATAAAGAGAATTCCGACTAGCCTCTCTCCACTTACAGGGCATTTTCAGAACGAATAATTTTTTCCACCTGGATGATGTTGGGCTAGCAGGCAATTTTAGCGCAGCTTAAACAGTGAGAGTGAGAAGACTCAACATACGTGTGAGAGGTCTGCAAGAATCGAAGCTTCACGCTCATACCACTTGATCTTTCTCTGAATGTATCCCTGGATGAGGTTCGGGAAGAACTTGGGCTTCTGAACTTCTGCAACGGCTCGATTCTTAACACCTTCGAGATCAAGCACTTTGCAGGCCATCTGATGACCAGTGTCTGCTTTATAAGCCATGTGAACACGGCCAAAGGCTCCGGACCCCAATATGCAATGCGTAATAACATATTTATCGCGAAAGTTCTAAAGCAACGGATGTTAGACTTGAGCGCATGGGTCAACAGGAAGAGGCATCATACAGTCATCTCTGTCACCTGAGCCGGAGTAAATTTATTCGAGGATGAGAATAGAGCTGACTGGAATTGGATATTAAGATCCGGCGCAAGCTTGAGGATATCGCCATGGTTGAGCAGGTAGTTTCCGCGGCTACCCTTTCGCATTTGGTGATTGTTCCAGTATGTCCCATTGAGAGACAGGTCCTGGGCATACACCAGGGGCGACACATTCTCTGGCTGGACTTCATCGAAGATGACGGTGTAGAGACGGACATGCTTGCCGGAGATATAGGGTTCGCTCAAGGCGTATTGACTAGAAAATGGAGATAATTGGGTTAATATTTGCAAGCTCCGTATTGGGGGAAACTGAATTGAGAATACCAATATCTTCTGTCTCTTCCGATGAAGACCTCGACATTGCTGTAAATTTCCACTGGGTGACTTGTCTCTCCTGTCTTGGAGTCCCATCGTATCAAGGTACCCACCCAGATTCCCAGGTCGACTGCCGCTGAACGTTTGTTAATATTCTCCATGTATTGCTGTTCAAGGTGTCAAAAGAGGGTAGTTTGATTCAATAAATGGAGCGAGGGAGGAGGAGAAATACAAGGGAAGGGAGAGAAGGAAGATGAAATGAGATGGGATGGAACAAGGTAAATATCCATGTGATTGATACTGGAGCCATAAGTCAACTCAATTGCTGCTGCGCCGTACCCAAGCCTGGTCAAATTCTTACATTCAAAAAAACGAAAAAAAAGTATTGGTTCCACACATGGAAATTTTTTAATTAATGATGCTGAAGAATTGCTAAAGCACAAATGCAGGCGAATAAAGAACACCATCAATGAGGTATGTACAAAAGAGGTTTGTTTCCTCATCTACCTTGCATTCGTCGAATACGCTCCTCTGCAGCTCGAGCCCGCCGCTCCCGCTCTAACCGCATCCTCATCTCCGGTGTCATGCCTCGTGTCTCTTCATCAAGTTTCTCAGAGGCAGACTTTTCCACGGCTGCTAGTGTCCGACCACCAGGTCGGTATGCCTTCTGTGCTGCCTTCTCAGCTTCCTCTTTCTGCAATCGCTCCAGCTCAATCTTACGACGACTAGTCTCTTCTTCGTCGGCAGCCTTCCGCTCCCGATCGGCTCGATTATCAGCGTCCGCTTTTGATACAGCAGCAGGAACCTTGGCCTTTTCCCAATCCCATTTTGATTCTCCCAGTTGGTGGCGAGCAATACGGAAAGCATCACGCGTGGCCCTATCGCCAGCAAGCTCAAACGGCGTCCTCCCTTCGTTGTTCACTAGTGTGGGATCTGCTTGCGCCTTCAGTAGAAGCGCATTGATGACGGCTGGGGCATTGAGATTTGCGGCGAAATGAATAGGTGTGGGACAACGAAAGTTTTGTGGTGAATTGGTCGGATGGAAAGTAAATGACGAAGAGATCGAGTTGGTTGAAAGGTATGACATAAGAGCTGGGACCTTGGAGCGTTTAATGAGAGCCTGAATCTGAGATGTGTGCAGCAATGCAGCTTCCTCTTCCTTCGACAGCTTCGGTTTCTGGGGTTGTGGCCGTGGTGTTGATGGCTTAGGCTCCTCTTTTTGCTTGGCCGCTTCTGCCGCCGCCGCCAATGCAGCTTCGTCGATCTCGCTGACCTTTACCCGTGTCAACTCCTTAAAAGATCGCATAAGCTCTGCTTGGGTCGCGCGGCGGGTATTGAAGGGAAATCCTCTGATTCGAGGATCAGTATGTTTCAACACTTGGCCATCGTGCTTGTCGAATATGATCTTCCGGTTGGTCTTTCCAGTGGCCCGAACAAACAGCAACTCAGCGGTATCAATCATTTGTCGCCAGTCCGCCAATAGCTCCCTGATATCCTTCTCCAATACAGCCTCATTATAGCGTCGTAGACTTGAACCGGCCGAATGCGCTACCCTCCCTGACGCATCACTTGCGGCTTGAGATCCACCCTGCTTTCTGCGAGTAGTATACCGATGGAAGGTTTTGTGTGCAATTACCCTAGCCTGTCGATCTTCGATACCTCCTTGCTTGCGATGGATTTCCGGTGCCAGTGACACCAGCATTGCTGCAAAATGACCACCTCCAATCATACACATGAAGATATGGGGGCCCGATGCGGCTGGGTCCTGAGCCTGTGCATTATTTGTTCGCGGTTTGACGGGCGCAAGCTGCTTTTTGCGTATGGTGTCCACCAAGTGATTAGGTTCATCTTGCTCAATGCCCGAGAATATAGCGCGATAGACACCCAGTGACTTGTTCGACGGTAGACCTGAGCTGGATAGCCAGAAAAGTGGGCTTTTTGGAACTCCCTTTCTGACTACTTCGTCCTCGTCGTTTGCCTCGGACAGCTTCGCTTGTTTCTTCAGTAATGCGGTGAGCGTTGTATCGGCACCACCCTCGGCCTCTTCCTCGTCTGATTCTGAGGACTCCGATCCTGAAATTGATTCATCAAGTTCGCCAATAGCTTTCACAAACTGATTTTCGTCAAGCGGGGCGTTCCCGCGCAATTGCGTCTTAAGGTTGTACCGATGATGGTCGGATCGCACGTGGCTGCGCTGCTCCTGCAAGTTGCTATAAGAGACTTTGCAGAGAGCACATGATGTTGATGTAGCAACTGTAGACTCGTTTATCGTAGTTTCATCATTCGTAGTTGCGGGAGTCTCCTCGGATGTAGGTTCGGCGGGCGCGTTTTTGACAGTTAGAGTTTCGAGAAGCTCCTTTGGAAGATCGTAGACTAATGACGAGTTAGCAAAATGAATGTCTCTTCAATTAGAGATTTCTTACCATATAAAGGTCTTTTCAGGAGATCCTCAACACTTTTTGAGTCGACCATGGCTCCTGGCGTTTGAACAGAAGTCTTCTGAATGTAATGCGCAATTGCCCCTCCGATGCTGAGCAGATTCTGACCGCCTTGGGTAGAAGGTTCGGGACTTTTATGTATGCAATGGAGAAAAAAAGCAAGTGAAAATGTATCCACAGTAAGCTTGACTCAATGTATCGTATTAATGGCTCAGCCTCTATGAATTTTCTGTTCTAGCTATAGAAAATGACATGCATTGTGGCTGTAAAAGACCAGACTATGACCAATTGGTTGTCCGCTCTGAGTCACAGTGGGTGACAAACTATTCAACGCTGGTCAGGTTTCCATGTCAGTTGGCCAGGATTACCCTCTGTTGCTTCAGTATTACGGCACTTGGAAAATATTATATCCTGTCAAAAGGTGGTAAAGTTTTGGACATTCTTTCTTCTTTACTCTGATTTAAACCCATGTATACTTTACCACCCGCTCAGCTATGACGCGGAACACGAACTACGTCATTGCCCGATGGGTTTGATGCCCGATTTCTCAGGCTAATATAGCGCTAACCATAGTTAACTACAGTAACTAACTAACTAGTTATAGTTAACTATCCACAATGACATTAGTCCAGTGCCTGAGGTATTTGTTACAGGTGGCTCTGGGTCTTATAATTACGCTTTCTATCTCCATTTCTTCCTCACACCATTGCTATATTACCAAACCATCCAAATATCTACAGGGAAGCAGTGATTGAACACGATGCGTTGTATTTGGGTCACAGCCAAGGAAAACCTATCATAGGGAGAAAAACCTTTACTAAGGCCCCAAGTTATAGCTAAACACCATAAAATAAGATAATCAAAATCCGAAACAAGAAGTTTGCTGCAACTCTTAAAGCTAGATGCACTCAAGCTGGTGATCACTCACGGGCGTAGCCCTATAATCCGCATGAAGACTCTTGTCGCCGAAGATTCTTAAGGGCAAATCAAGAGGAATTCTCTTCGTTGCCGTACCAGTAGTGAGGGGCGTCAACATCACGCTTCTGCTGCTCGTTACTATACCAGTAGTGGGGAGCGTCAACATCCCGCTTCTGCTGCTCGTTGCCGTACCAGTAGTGAGGGGCGTCAACATCACGCTTCTGCTGCTCGTTGCCGTACCAGTAGTGGGGAGCGTCAACATCCCGCTTCTGCTCCTCGGTGCCGTACCAGTAGTGAGGAGCATTGGTAGCATCTCCTGTGGTCTCAACGCCAGACTTCAAGTTGCCGTCCACAATTGGGCTTGCATTAGTCGCAAGAGCTAGCCCTGTGATAATGGCAGCCGAAACAGAGATAGAACGCATGATGAATGATAAGAGAAAAGTCTTGGGCTTGGTTGTTTAAGAAGATAACGATTGTCAACTTGAAGATGGGTGAGTAGTATATCTTGTGGATGAACCTCGTGATGACTTGGAACTTGGGCTCATGAAGTATATATACCTAATTGCTGCTCTATAGAGAAAATATTGCCTCATATTATGAGATTACGAATGTCTAGGTTCCAAATTAGGTTACTGCCGTCGGGTTCCACCCGTCAGGATCACCTGGACTATACTGGCATGTAAGGTATGCTGTTATCCGCGTCAAGCATGTTCATCTGATAAGAAGGATAGGATTGATGCAGTCGCGTCGTGTTACTAGTCAGCATTTATCCTTTAACTAAAGCTTACTGTAGTAGTCAAACATTCTTTCCTCACATTATGTGAAGCGGTGTGCACGGTATGTGAAGTAGAATGTTGATGGCTGAATATCATGGGATCGATTTATGAAATAGAAGACCTGTATTCGTCATGCAGAAGCCTCCTGGTTAACAAATGCCATACATATGCAAGGCAGGTGAAGGGCGTTCTTTCGACGTAACTTTGGGTTGCATTAATGCATTGGTTACTACAATGTCAGCTGAAATGGCATAATGTCCACACGTGAGCTCTAGTCAAACTGGTAGAGACTGTTACCCCAGGAATAAATTATCTACGAACCTGGTAGACTCGTTTCGTATACATTTCTTTTTCCAACACTGACCATCTGCGCTCATACCCACGCCCGGCTTATTTTCTTTTCCGTTGACTTTACATCACCATCAATGGATGGCAGTCATAACAGCCTTTCGAGGCTATGGAAGGATTTTCGGACGCCCTTATATTCGAAGATCGAGCAAGCGTCCACACCAGAGGAATTCGAGCATGGTATGATGAGCCGAAGCGAACAACGAAGGGTATCATTTTGGACCGGACAATTTTCGGCATTACTTATAGTTTCTATCATCTCGTTCCTTGTCGGAATGTGGTTCAATCAATCAAATGATAGGTCTTGTGCAAAGCAACTATCGACCTACTGTGAGTTCTGCCCCCTTCCATGAACTGGGATTATTGACTCATTATCTACAAGCCCCTCTGCTTGATGCTGTAGAGTATGAGGAAGTCACATTTGACGGATCCTTCAATAGCAGGAATAAATTCAAAGGACCCCCGAATCCGGAACTTGATGCAGCCTGGGAGAATATCACTACTTGTATTTGCCAAAAACCCTAACGTCAGAGACAAAGTGTTGTATACGAGCTAATGATTCTTAGTGAAAAACTTCAAAGTCGGTCTGCAGAATAGATCTTTAGTGAGAAAGAACACGACCACCCTCGTGGAAGGAAAAGATTCGGAAGGCGAGTGGTTCACAGGGAATTTGGAAGTATTCCACCAGGTGAGCAACTACTAATAGCGACAAGGAATACATGAAGCTTCCATTACTGAAAGTATTAGCTTCATTGCGTCGATCTCGTCAGGCAATACACATACCTAGACTATTACAATGGCACAGAGCATCAGTCACCTTGGTTCACAGAACATGCCGATGTTGTTCGAGTTCATATTGGTAGGTCATATCGTTCCGCTCCAACCTTGGAAGGCTATTTTTCTAGTTTCTTTTCTGGTGGAAGCTTATGAATCATAGATCACTGCCTCGATATTCTCAGACAGGCTATCCAATGTTATGGCGATACCACTGTGATCACATTTGATTGGATGAAACACCGATCAACGCCTTATCCCAATTTCTACACAACACATAAATGTCGGAAGCTTGAGCCGCTATCTGATTGGGTTACAAAGCATCTTGAGAGGGGCGGAGAGGATTGGCTTGAAAAGCCTGATGGCGTACCCGAGATTGAGCACGAGCATGGGCACTGAATGAATGTCCCTAGCCTCAAACTGGGGTAAATAGATACCAATTTTAGGGTTGTGGGTACTAGTAGCTTTGTATATTCAATTCCAATATTTGAATGTCGGATGTTTTGAACTTTGGGCAGGTAGTCCGAGTCGTTTGGCATTCCCTAATTTCCAACTTCAAGGTCAATTTGAACTTGAACTTCAACTTCGGCTCCAACTTGAATTTACTAGTAGTAGTTTGGATGATGGCCCGGAGATCATCATGACATCTCGAGTCCATGATGGGTAAATTCAGGTTCAAGTTGATTCCGAGTCGCAGGATGCGCATAGGTATACTAGTAGTACCTATAGTACTAGTAGTCGTAGTATGTGCTGAGTATTCCAGTGACTCTTCAAAAGTTAAGGCTATTTTGTCGTAAATATCCCATTACGAGCATAATTGTTGTTTTTGAGTTGAATGATGATTCCACGCATATTTTCGAAGAGTTCTAAGTTCACCTAATAGCACGGAGCTCCAACTGAGCTACAAACAGCTACAAACAGAAGTAGTTACCGAGGGCACTATGTCAGCGAAGCTTACCAACCACCGCTATCTCCGCGTAATCCTCGCGATTTGATTGCTCGATTTCAGGAGGTGGGCGGAGATCATTTCTGGATTTGGCTTAGTTACTTCGTTTTCAACGCGAAAACATAATTAGGCCGTCGAAGTTCATAGGAGCAAGAGGGGTCCAGTTAGGGGGCAGCTGGTAATATATGCACAGGGACAGTTGAGAATATCTGTAGCACAATGAGATAAGTCAAGTCATTGGCTATCTTGAGCTCTCACAATTTGATCATAGACGAATGAAACGACAGATGACAAAAAAAAAAAGGATAAGGGAATAAATAAAGTAAAATCGAAGGAAGAGAGGGATACCGATTCCGGGGCCTTGATGCTTAGCTGCAGTGTCCTCACTAAAAGCGGCAATGTACGGTTGCTACATATAGAATAAACGGTGAAAGTTGCATGCGGGGTTGCTAGACATTGTGCAAGCATTGTGCCATGTATAGTCAGTACTTATTATGGGCGGCGATATCATATAGACTGGTGAAGTAATGGAGGCAAGAATATAATCGATAACAGGCTGTTATTTTCATACGGAACACGAGTCTCCATTATCCAGTGGGCTTTCGGAGACGTTAACAGTGGGGAGAAACATCTCCACTTTGAACCGGGGGCCTGTTGCGGTAAGCAAGACCGGAGTTACGGCATCATCAGCTCGGGCTTTGACTAAGCAACCCGCAAGCTCTGGAATCGCCGACACCATCATTTTTCTCTTCTCTGCGCAAACCCGAATGGAATCTTGGGGAGTTGTCGCTTGACACCAAAAAATGTTGGACGGCACATCTCAGGTGTTTATGGGGAATTCCCAGCCGGGAATCTCTCAATCGCACCTTGTATCGCCATTCGATCGCCAACCCCATGCCTTCTGCGGCGATCCGGAGGGATGGGGCCCGATGAGCTCGACCGGTTTCCACCTCACCCCATGCTTTCAGGATGTTCTTGTAGCGACGGTCGCTTCCTGGGGTGTCCTTGGTGGTGCCGGTGCCCTGTGGTATCTGCTGAAGAAGCGCATCCCGCAGCCAGTCTCCAAAAACTGGCATTTCTACACCAAACTAGTTCGTCGAATTTCATATCATCATGATTCCGAGTGCCCATGGAATCAAAGCTGACAAATACTTCTCTGTTATAGGCCATCGTTATCTCGTTGATCTTTGTCACAGCTCTCCAAACAGCTATCCAAGCTGAATCTCATCCGTCGAATTTCTGGGCCGATTTCCGGTTTTGGTCCTCGCTCTTGACTCTGGCCTCACTTGGCGTGATCTATGCAGTGCAATATTTCGAACACTGGCGGAGCCGGCAACCAAATGGCGTTGTCTTGTTTTACTGGCTCTTCTTCATCATCGTATACGGTGTCAAGTTGCAAACTCTTGTCTCGCTGAAGAAATACCTGACTAATATCCCATATTTCGTTTGCATCAATGTTAGCCTTGGATTGGCGCTGGTGGAATTCGTATTGGAATATCTCGTCCCCAAGAAGCAGAGCGACTATGATGCCTTGGGCGATGAGGACGAGTGCCCCTATAACTATGCGGATATATTTTCGGTCCTTACCTTCGGCTGGATGACCCCGATGATGAAGTTTGGGTATACGAACTATCTGACCCAAGATGATCTGTGGAATCTTCGCCGCCGAGATACCACTCGTGCCACTCTTGATGATCTGAGTGCTGCGTGGGACATCGAGCTTGAGAAGAAAAAGCCATCTCTTTGGATCGCTCTTTTCAAAGCATTTGGAGGCCCGTATATGCGCGGTGCACTCATCAAGTCTGGCAGTGACATGCTCGCCTTTGTACAGCCCCAGCTGCTGCGGTATCTAATCGCCTTCATTAATTCATACAATAGCCCCGACCCCCAACCCATCATTCGCGGTGTCGCAATCGCCTTGGCCATGTTCTTCGTCTCAATCTGCCAGACAAGCTGTCTGCATCAGTACTTCCAACGTGCCTTTGACAGTGGTATGCGAGTCAAGTCGTCATTGACCGCCTTGATTTATGGCAAGGCCTTGCGATTGTCCAGTGAAGGCCGGGCACACAAGACAACCGGTGACATTGTCAACCACATGGCTGTTGATCAACAGCGTCTTTCAGATTTGACTCAGTTTGGTACTCAGCTGATGTCTGCTCCTTTCCAAATCACTCTGTGCATGGTTTCTCTTTACCAGCTCGTTGGACCCAGCATGTTCGCTGGTATTGGTGTCATGATTCTGATGATCCCACTCAATGGAATCATTGCGCGAATGATGAAAAAGCTGCAGATCATTCAGATGAAGAACAAGGATTCAAGAACTCGTCTGATGACGGAGATTCTGAACAACATCAAAAGTATCAAGCTCTATGCCTGGAATACGGCTTTCATGAATAAACTTAGCCACATCCGAAACGATTTGGAACTCAACACGCTGCGCAAGATTGGTGCAACCCAGTCCGTTGCGAACTTCACCTGGCAGTCCACTCCCTTCCTGGTGTCTTGCTCTACATTTACCGTGTTCGTTTTGACCAGTGACCGACCTTTGACCACTGAAATCGTCTTTCCTGCGTTGACTCTCTTCAATTTGCTCACCTTCCCACTCTCCATTTTGCCCATGGTAATTACCTCCATTATCGAGTCCGCTGTCGCAGTGAACAGATTGACGGAGTACTTCCTTGCCGATGAGCTGCAGGGTGATGCTGTTACCTTAGAAGACCCCGTGGAGCACGTCGGCGACGAAGCAGTCCGCCTTCGCGACGCTTCCTTCACCTGGAACCGTTATTCAGGAGCCCCTGTTCTCGAGAATATTGATTTAAGTGCTCGAAAGGGCGAGCTTAGCTGTATTGTTGGCCGCGTGGGCGCGGGTAAATCTTCTTTGCTGCAATCAATCCTGGGCGAGCTGTGGAAAAACAGTGGTGAAGTAGTCGTACGAGGTCGCGTTGCCTATGTTGCACAGGCACCTTGGGTGATGAATGCAAGTGTCCGTGAGAATATTGTCTTTGGCCATCGATGGGACCCCTCATTTTATGAGTTGACCGTAGAGGCTTGCGCTCTTCTCGACGACTTCAAGACCTTGCCGGATGGGGACCAGACCGAGGTCGGAGAACGTGGTATCTCTCTTTCGGGAGGACAAAAGGCCCGTTTAACCCTCGCTCGAGCAGTTTATGCCCGTGCAGATATTTATCTTTTGGATGATGTTCTCTCTGCGGTTGACCAGCATGTTGGCCGCCACATCATCAACAAGGTTCTTGGTCCCTCTGGTGTCCTGAGCACCAAAACTAGAATTCTCGCTACCAATGCCATCACTGTGCTCAAGGAGGCGGACTACATTGGCTTGTTGCGTGACAAGACGATTATCGAATCCGGCACCTACCAGCAGCTCATGGCTATGAAGGGTGAAATCGCGAATCTGGTCAGCACCAATCTAGTGGAATCGGATGACGAGAGGTCCGGCGCTACATCTGACGACGATAACGCAAGCCATGAAAGCTCCGACAACACTGCTGTCTTTGAGGATGAGAATGAATCGGACAGCGAGGGATTAGAACAGCCTGGGTCCCTTGTTCCGATCAAGCGATCAAGTGGCCCTGGAAGGAAGAGCAGTTATGCCACTTTGCGCCGAGCTAGCACTGTCAGCTGGCAAGGCCCAAGACGCAAATTGGGCGACGAGGAAAACGTTCTCAAGAGTAAACAAACTCAAGAAACCTCTCAGCAGGGTAAGGTGAAATGGGGTGTCTACGGTGAATATGCCAAGAACAGCAACATCATTGCAGTTGCTTTCTATTTAACTGCTCTTCTGGCTTCTCAAACTGCACAGGTGCTCGGCAACTTCTGGCTGAAAAGCTGGACTGAAATCAATGAAAAGCACGGCGGCAATGAGAAGACGGGTCTTTTCATTGGTGTTTACCTGGCTTTTGGTCTAGGCTCGTCTCTTTTGGTCATTGTCCAGAACTTGATTCTGTGGATCTTCTGCTCAATTGAAGCCTCTCGCAAACTGCATGAACGCATGGCATTTGCCATCTTCCGCTCTCCCATGAGCTTTTTTGAGACCACACCTTCTGGCCGGATCCTGAACAGATTCTCTAGTGATATCTATCGTGTTGATGAAGTTCTTGCCCGCACCTTCAACATGCTCTTTGCCAATTCAGCCCGTGCAATGTTCACTCTAATCGTCATTGCAAGCTCGACCCCTGCATTCTTGGTATTTGTTCTGCCTCTGGGTTACGTCTACTTGAGCTACCAGAAGTATTACCTGAGGACTTCTCGCGAGTTGAAGCGTTTGGACAGTGTCACCCGTAGCCCGATCTTCGCCCAATTTCAAGAGTCTCTGGGTGGCATCACTACCATTCGCGCCTATCGACAAGAGAACCGATTTGCGATGGAGAATGAATGGCGCATGGATGCTAATCTCCGTGCTTACTTCCCGTCTATCAGTTCCAACCGCTGGCTTGCAGTCCGTCTCGAATTCATTGGATCCATTATTATCCTGGCATCTGCCGGACTTGCAATTATTTCAGTAGCTTCTGGAAGTCAACTGTCCGCAGGCATGGTCGGTTTGGCTATGTCTTACGCTCTTCAAATCACTCAGTCCTTGAACTGGATTGTTCGACAGACTGTCGAAGTTGAGACTAACATCGTCTCCGTTGAGCGTGTTCTCGAGTATGCCAATCTGCCTAGTGAGGCACCGGAGGTGATGTTCAAGAGTCGACCTGCTATTGGCTGGCCTGCTCAGGGTGCGGTTTCTTTCAAAGACTACAGCACCCGATACCGCGAAGGCCTTGATCTGGTGCTCAAAAACATCAGTCTTGATATTAAGCCTCGCGAGAAGATTGGTGTTGTTGGCCGTACCGGTGCCGGAAAGAGTTCTCTAACGTTGGCTCTCTTCCGAATTATTGAGCCTACCAGTGGTGACATCAGGTGAGATTTCCTAATTCAGCCCAAATTTGTGACTGTACTAATATAATAATAGCATTGATGGACTTGATGTGTCTAAGATTGGTTTGTTCGACCTTCGTGGCCGCCTTGCTATCATTCCCCAGGATCCTGCTATGTTTGAGGGAACCCTGCGTGACAATTTGGATCCTCGTCATGTTCACGATGATACTGCTCTATGGAGTGTGCTAGGTAAGATTAAATGCACCATGGAGTTTAGGATGCGAGACTAATTAGATTACAACAGACCATGCCAGATTGAAGGATCACGTCGCTCAGATGGACGGCCAGCTTGATGCTGGAATTCAAGAAGGAGGTACACACATTCTCTCATTAGATCAATTTTACAAAAGAGACCAATACTAATCAGAGACTCGATAGGATCAAACCTGAGCCAGGGTCAACGCCAGCTAGTCTCGCTCGCTCGCGCTCTATTGACACCCAGCAACATCCTTGTCTTGGACGAGGCAACCGTAAGTTTAAGCCTTCTAAGTAAAAAATAGCAGCAACAGCTGACCAGCTCTCAACCAGGCCGCTGTTGATGTGGAGACAGATGCACTGCTCCAGCGCACACTGCGCAGCAGCATATTCTCAGATCGCACCATCATCACCATCGCGCATCGCATCAACACAATCATTGACTCCGACCGAATCGTCGTCTTGGATAAGGGTCGAGTGGCGGAATTTGATACCCCGGCAGAGCTAATCAGGCGAGGCGGCAAATTTTACGAGCTTGCCAAGGAAGCCGGTCTACTGGACGGCGACGGTCTCGCCATCTCGCAAATAGCGTAAAAATCAACTGGCTGTAATTAGCGATGAGTTCTCGATCGCGCAGCTCACTGCTCAGCCCAACTCATCTGCAGTCTAATGGGACCCAGCCTCCAGAATTATGAGTGGCTCGGGGAACCCGGGTCCCGCCTCTGGGGCCTGCGGGCCGATCTCTTGAAAAGCTGCCCTGACCGTTCAAACGCACAGGCGCTCCGCCAGCCGTGGCGTGGGTGCCTATGCAGAACTGGCATATATCCCTGTATAGCAAATGGAAAACTTTCTTTCTTGGCTGCCAGATCCAGGGGACCCCTGGTGAGAGCGATTGAGGAGACATAGGCTGAAAGAGTATGTCTCGATTCATTCAAAATTCTATTTCTCGATTTCACTATGCAAACAAACTTTGTCCGTCGATTCTTGTATCCTGTTCATTGCGCCTTGATGGTAACGCAAACGAGCGTGGCTGGGTGGGCCTGTTCATACTTGAAAAGTGCTCTTTGCATGGCGTTCCCAATTTTTCTATTATTATTATTTTCTTTCCTTTGGCTGTAGCTAAGACTGCGTGTACAGCATCTCTGCTTGTTGACATTGCAAAAATACAAATTTCAAGCGCCACTTCGTACTTCGTAGACCGATCTTCGTAGAAAGTAAGGATCTAGACCCTCGAAAAAGAAAACATCACTCCAACGCTAGATTACTCTTGCATTTCCAGGTGTCCTAATGACATAACCGCAGATTATCGGGCTATTCAGCATCCTCCAAACCAGTTTCTTCATGATTATTTGCAGTAGCGCCATGCCCCAAACGTGGCGGTGACATTCCTAGTATAATTTCCCCTCACCATTGTAACCGCTCAACGACGGTTTATTGTAGCGGTGAAGATGCCACTTGGCTCCCGACATAAGCACAGTGTAAATAAACCCGTTCGCACTGGTCTCCGAATTCTTTCGTCGGGTATACCCATATGTGTCATTATCTGAAGATACGAAAGGTAGTGTTTAATGAGCCTAGCTCAAATCACATGGTAATGCAAACTTCCATCTCCGCCACAACGTCCCACTCCTAATGTAGCCTCTAGACGATCATCGGGATTCGGAACAATTACTCAAGCATTACTCCAGCCACCAAGATAGATACTATTACTCATTCTGGACTACATACATACTTATGGAGAAACCCACTTCTCCACTTCTCCAAAGGGAAAGTGGGAATTGAGAGGACAGAAACGACCAGAGAACGTAATTGTCCTAACATTCGATAGTGGCAACGTACTGGAGACCCCTTGCTGTGCGACGTGCGTGGAATCCTTCCACACGATCGTATGTACGTCTGAGAATAGGTACATGAACGTACTCCTACATGCATTGCTAAACTAGATGCATGGTTAAGGGGAACTGAACGCTGAAATTCGCCTTCAAGGTCGGAGTGGACGATTAACTTTGAGAAGCAAGTCGAGATAAAATTTTCGCTGGTCGGCGTTATATTCCGTACTTGTATACTTTTAATGTATATGCAAGTTTCGATGTGAGCTGGAATGAACGAACGAACTTGGTGGGTACGTAATTCGTGCATTGTACCTGAGTCTGGAAGGAGATGGAAGTAAGTGATGGAGGGGGAAAATCGGAAGAAAGCCCCCCCAGTGAAGAATCAATATATCAGATCTCGCGTGGCACAGAAATGTTGCTTGTCATATTTACCCCTCTTGTCTTTGGAAGAACAGAGTTCTTTGTGTCTGAGCTCTGATTTACCCCATCTGTGCTTTGTAGTTGTGTGTCATTGGCGCAAAGTTCTGTTTTCGGTTTCTCGGACCCTCGTTTCAGCTATCAAGATCAAGGCAAGGGGCGGGGCGAGGTCAGTGCGCGCTTCTCTTTTTGGATCTGAGATTTTGAGTTTGGAGATTCTGTGGATGAGGACTGAAATGTCTGGTGGCATGGATTTAGCGTCGGGGAATCGAAGGTGCGGTTCCAGTAATCTTGTTCAATGGGCCTCAGAGCTCCGATGGCCCAATCATGGATTTTTCGAGTCAGATCCTTGTTGAAACCATGATGGAGTTTATTTTTTACTTAGTTTCCATTTTCAATTTTTATCTTCCCATAACATTTTGCATTTGGATTTCCTAAATCATAATCTGATGGCAGATCGATCTTGCATCCTGTGACGGACGTATGCAAGTCGCCTTTACGGTGGGGAGGAAGCGTCATTTGGCAATGAGTTCCCCGAAATTCCCTGTTCTGATACTGATCTTCTAGATAGTGAAGAGTTCTCAATTTTTGGCCCTGGGGATTTTCTATTTTGTACCTGACCTCGAAATCATAACTCACTATCAGTAGTATATCATGATGTTCCTCTTGGCGACACAACCACTGGCACTAGGAGTAACCATATTCGCACACCGAATATATCCGAGCTAATGCTCCACTATGTCACTATGTAGCACATACTGAGAAGTTAGAACGCACGAAGAGTAAAAAAGAACGAAAATAAAGAAAAAAGTATCACCCAAAACCTGAATTAGATGCAGTCCTTCAAAGTTGCAAATACACCACCTTGCAAAAGCCTTGGAAGTAGTAAGCCTCGCAACTAAGCCCAGAGGAAACTGCTTGTGTGACGTCGATGCAGGATTCAATTCGCTTTCTCCCTCTTTTCTCTTCAAGTTTTCTTCCAGGGTGTTCCTAGTACCTACATAGGTTCCTGCAAGCCCAGCAGTAGTTCACTCAATATGAGCCTATACAATGCCCCAATTCAAGACCCCCCACCTTCCTCTTTCCTCACATACAGGATCCCATGTACACAATACCACCAAGCGCCGGCCAGAGCCGTCCCGTCACTGTGACACGACAACATCAGGCGGAACTGGTATTCGGGAACAAGCCGTACAGTAGTTCCTACCGAGAAGAAGGTACAAACTCCCCATATCAGCCAGCCTCATTCATTTCCCCTCAGATCAACGGTACCAACTCCCGTATAAGGGTTCAGATCGCGATCGTGATGATGCAAGGTTGCACAGAAGAAGCACTTCATATCCCGAGTATCCTGTCATGGAACCATAGGGCATCCAGGGCGGGACCCACGACAACTCTGACGATAAGAGTTCGGGATTTCCATATCCTGTGGAGTGTTGTAAGGAATCCACCGCTGGTCTAATGTGCAACTAATGTACGGGCTATCCACAATTAGACTACTTCGCTGTCTACCCCTCTTGGATTTTCTGGGTGCATATGATCCGCCTTCAAAACCAGGATCGCGGGTTCGAGATCATGTTGTAGTTGTGCTTGGGCCCTGTTACTTTCTGGTAGAGGTCAAGGGTGGCATTCGGGGAGGCTTCCCGTCGGGAAATGGGATAATTCTCTAAGCGAGAGGGTGGGAGACTCGGTACTTTTGTAGTTGCTTTTTGTGGATTTTAGCCTTTGGAGCATGGTGTGGATATGCGAGGGGCTCTCCGAATTATTGTGGGCTTGAAGTTATTCTTGTGTGGCATTTTCTCTCCGTGAGTGGTCAATCTCTTTTATTTTATTTTTTTGCCTCCCGATTTGCTTTTGTAGAAGGTGTTAAGTAGTTGTTTTTTATCTTTGATATTTCAATTTCAACCGCTGTTGAAATTATTAGATGATTGAATAGGTGGATACAATATGCACGTATTAGACGGGTTTCCCTTTGTGGTATCTAGTAAGCATATTTTCCCCCACGAAAAGATGCAATACATATGTAGGTATCTAGCTATGTACGGAGTGCATAGGTAGACAAGATTCATGACTGTGGCTCTCCAGCCACCCTGCCCGATTGGGGTATTTGTCATGAACCACAATCCCAAATAGCAGGTAACGTCCTACCGGATCAGCTCGCGTGGAACGGGCCTCTCCGGCAATGTGGAGACTACATTTCGTAGGAATGGTCGACCCTAGTCATAGCCTTGTGTCGAGATTGTGGGAATGCTTCTTTTCTTTTTCTGGCGCCAAAGCGCCATCGTCATGGGGCCAGAGGGAGGGAAGTTTATTGGCTTGGAAATGAACACACATTGGCCCTATGAGAAAAACCAAAAAACAAAGAGGGCTAAATTGGTCGAAAGAAAAATGAATAGGCCTCCAGACGATCAAGACGCATAATGACATTGTTTCAGCCACAGCATTCACCACACGATCGGGCTGGGGCGCGCGGATGTCCGCCAGGGACGATCTCGAGACGCCGTTTCGGGCAATTTGTCCGTGTCTGCATCCCTCGAGGCTGGAGTGCATTGCATCGCCGCAGCCTAGGGATAATAGTTTTTTAAAAAAAATGCTTTGGTTGCATATGCATGTATGAAATTAATCTGAGATGTCCGGAGTGTACATAGGGAATAGTATACTAGGTAGAGTTACGGGTCGGAACTGCACAATCAAGGTTAATAAAATGGAAATGGAAATCAAAATCGGGTTCAGAAACCACGCAATGGTACGGAGACCCATTATGCATAGCATGGGGAAATCGAAATCCATGCTGGTGGGTTCCCGGGCTTCAAAAAGCTTTGGGATGAAGTCCCCGGGGAACTTTTTAGTGTATCCAGAAGGTTTACACTATTGACTGATTTGGATTTAGGGGCTAAGACGCCTGCGACGCTAATGCATGTTGATTGGATGGGGTTAAAAATTCGCATGAAGGCGTCCTGTAAGGACATGTGGGGAGTGGGAATGACGCCGATGCATTGGTTGAGGAGCCCGAGCTCCATTGTGTGTATCCAGGAAATCGGGATTATGATCCTCACCTTCTACATGGAGGTTAGGCGATTATAGTTCGTGGTTCCTTCATTAGGGAAAGGGATTTAGATCTCACATTGGAAAAGGGTGCTCCGTACAGTATGGAGGATTCGCGCAGATCGTGACGTTTTTGTTTTTCTGCGAGATACGACTAGCTTTCGGGCTAAATGTGATTGTTACTCTGCATACATTTAAATTTTCAAGTCTTATGTATAATACCAATAGAATGTAATTTTCTAACGGGAAACACATGGTTTTCGGACTGTTATGCAAATAATAGCCACGTTCATTGGAAAT